ATTGATATTATTTTATTTTATACGCTTCCTTTCAAAAATATATTATCTTCCCATTACGGCTTACAACATATAAAAACAATTTAAAACCGCATAAAGTACCAGGCAGTACACTAATAATGACAGCAGCAGTGATAAAACACTTTATTACTTCCAATTCAATTTCATCGGCCAGCCCAATAAAAATAGAAAATAGAAGCCCCTGCCTTTCGCAAACCTTCAATAAATGCAACTGCGAATAAGAATGTGTTTTAGAGTCTGCTGAAATGGTAGCAAGGAGAGAGCTGGTTGTAGGAGCAAATGAAGCTTTCTTATACCAAATCAGATCACAGGTGCAGCTGGCTCATCACTGTCTATGCACTGACTGACAGCTGCTCTTCAGCGCTTCAGGCCCTCCTACTGAGCCATTGCAGTGACACAGAATGTTCACAAACATTCCAATTCCTGAAACAAGATTGGTAAAACACTGGACTGAAGGTGAGATAATATGAAAGAAAGGGGAAGGACAGGATAATCCTAAGGTTGAGTTTCTGTGTCAAAGCCGGATTTCAAAAGATTCAAACTTTCTCAGTTTTTGCATTTTCTAGTGGCAAAAAGCTTCACTCCTTATGTTTCTCCCTGCCAGCCAACTCTTCAAACAGGAGACCTGCCTGAAATTTAAAAAGAGAGATTGTAGCCCCAGTTAGAGGGCTGACTTTCTGATTTGTACCTGACCAGGGTTTTAAAGAAAGATTAATGGCCAAACTACACAGTTACATTAAGCACATTGTTTGTTTGTGTCAGGGAACTGACATCGGAGCCAGAGGCGGAGGCTAGGCTCTCAAGCGATGCTGGAGAAGGGCCCAGCAGGGGGAGAGGCGGCTCACCAGCTGGGGAAAGAAATCAGCGTAACACCAGGGATAAAGGGGGCAGATGGGGGAATCAGCGAGGGGGCTCCAGGACTCCTCGCCGGAGATCAGCAAGGAGAGCACGGGTCCTCCGCTACCCATACCCTCCCTGTGCAGAAGGCTTCCGCGCAGGGAGAGTAGGAGGAGACTTGGAGTCAAACAACTTTTATGCTGGAAAAGGTTTAAGAAACGCCCACTGAGGGATTCTGCTAGCGACTGAACAGCCACGAAGTGCAGGGCTGTCCAGACAGAAAAGGTTTAACAAGGCAACCTAGCCAGGAGTGGCACCAACTTGCGCACGAGCAACCCCTACATTTATTACAGTTTGTTTGTAAATTTTATTTATGATTTTCGGGTTTTATACATTTCGATAATTTTACCTTTCAAAACATGACTTCCTTCCCCCTTTCTACAGTTCCTTAAATTTATTTCCAATATATTCTGCATAGCCAAATTAACTTAATTTGTTCATTTCTTCATCTACTTTAAATATATACTTATGAAACTGCAGGTTATTACAATAATCCTGCCAATGTTCTTATCTGTTTACAATTTATCTGTAAATATTCAATAGACCATTTCCATTCTTTTATAAAAAGTTTGTGTAATGAGTATGGGTTGCTCGTGCGTAAGTTGCCGCCTCTCCTTGGTTACTTGCAAGGGGAAATCCAAGGGCAGCAGGTGGAGCTGGTGCACTAGTGCAAAGTCCTTGCTGAAGAAATTGCAGGAACTGCCCGAATCCAACAGCCCTTTCACCTTGACTGGGTGCCCATTTGGGAGTTCTAGCACCACTTCTATAGCTATAGCCGCCCTGGGGGGGTCTGGTCTGGGCACTTCTATTGGTTGCTGGCCTGGCTGCTGTGCCCGCTGAGTGGCAGCCAAGCTTTGGCGTTTCCCTGCTCCTTTACCATCTCCTCCTCACCCCCTGCAGCTCCCACCATCCCTTGCCAGGCCTTTCTTTGTGGGCAGACCCTGGCAAAATGTCCTGGCCGCTGGCAGAGAAAACACTTCTTGGTGGTTTTCCCATCCTTTCCCTCCCTCTTGCGACCTTCACTGGAGTTTGAAATCTCCCCCGCGCGCGCCCCATCTATTTCCATTGGCTCCGCCGGCGGGGAAGGCTGCCTTGGTATTTCAGGAATGCGGTAGTCATGGTAACGTTGCTCTCTCCCTTCCCGCTTCTCCTGGGCCCGCGCTTCCTGCCTTACACCAATCGCAAGCACAGCCTTGGTCAGCTGATCCATCGACTGCGGGCGGGGTGCGCGGGAAAGCTCGTCCTTCACTGTTGGGGACAACCCCTCCTCGAACAGCATTTGAATGGGTTCAGAGTCCAAATCCCACCCGAGCCGGTGGACTAACGTGGCAAAGCGTGACCAGTAGTCTCTAACTGACTGGTTCCCCTGTTTGCAACCCATCAGTTCCCGCCGAGTCACACTTTGCTGTACATCACTGGAATACATCGCATCCATCGCCTGGAAGAATTTCCTGAGGTCTATCAAGGCGGCATTCTGCGTTGCCATTAGGGGCCTGATCCATTCTCTGGCCCCATCCTGCAGATGTCCGACAATATAGGCAACCCTTTCCCCATCGTCTGCAAAATCATTCTGTTGCAGTTCCAAAGCGTACTCTATTTCCGTTCAGAACACACTGTAGTCCTGGGGTTTCCCTCCAAACTTGTGTACCAGTCCTGGTACCTTCCTTGCTACGGGGGTGGGTCTGACCTGAGCATCCTGAGACCGCCTTTCGTCCAGCCGCGCCGTCAGCAGAGCCACATGCTGTTCCAAATCTCGGTTCCTCTCCACCAGATTTTGCCCTCCAGCTGCTCCCTCCGTGGCGCCAACTTCTCCGGTTTTGCTCATGATGCTGCCTGCCTGTCGCTGTGCACGAGCGACGTCAGGGACTGACGGATTGCTGTAATGAGTATGGGTTTCAGTCTGGGCAGCCCTTCACTTCGTGGCTGCCTCAGTCGCTAGCAGAATCCGTCAGTGGGCGTTTCTTAAATCTCTTCCAACATAAAAGTTGTTTGACACCCAGTCTCCTCCTACTCTCTCTGCGCGGAAGTCTTCTGCGCAGGGAGGGCGTGGGTAGAGGAGGACCCGTGCTCTCCCCGCTGGTGTCCGGTGAAGAGTCCTGGAGCCCTCTCGCCGATTCCCCATCAGCCCCCCTTTATCCCTGGTGTTGCGCTGATTTGCTTCCCCATCTGCGGAGCTGCCTCTCTCCCTGCTGGGCCCTTCTCCAGCATCATTTGAGAGCCTTCCCTCCCCCTCTAGCTCCGATGTCAGTTCCCTGACAGTTTGTTACCTTGATTTCATATTTTACCAGTAAGTTTTGCCGTTTCTGCATATTCCGTAAGTTTTTGTATCCATTCCTCCTTTGCTGGGACTTCTGCTTCTTTCCATTTTGGGACAACACTCTTGCCGCTGTAGTAGCATACATGAATAAGTTTCTGTACAGTTTAGGTAGTTCTGTCCCTATAATTCCCAAAAGAAAAGCTTCTGGTTTTTTTTTTGTTTTTACAAAAAAGTACAGTCATACCTCAGGTTACAGAGGCTTCAGGTTGCGCGTTTTCAGGTTGCGCAATGTGCTGAACCCAGAAACACTAAATCACACTTTGTGCATGTGCAGAAGCGCCGAATGGTGTCACATGCGTGCACAGACATGGCGCTGTGGGTTGCGAACGCTGCGGGTTGTGAATGTGCCTCCCGCACGGATCATGTTCGCAACCCGAGAGTCCACTGTTTAGTCCAAGTGCAGTTTGCCCTACAGATGCAACAGCAACTAATTCTTTTCTGGGGCCACCATTGCATCCCACAGGTCTTATCGTCTGGGCAGCCCAGGACTTCCAGACACACTGCCCAGGTTTGTGTCCTGGAGAGGTCACTTTGATGCACTTTTACTTCACCCCCGGAGGCGCACTCCATTGTCTCTAGGATGGATGCCAAAGTACCATTTGAAGGGACAGTTTTCCCACAGCTAAACTAGCTTGTGGCTTTGGGGGGGGGGAAATGGGTGCCTAAATAAAATTGCCTTAACTGTCCCAGCGCTCAGACGGCAGACTGAGTTTTGAAGGTACCTCGGGTTAAGTACTTACAGTAATTCGTTCCGGAGGTCCGTACTTAACCTGAAACTGTTATTAACCTGAAGCACCACTTTAGCTAATAGGGCCTCCTGCTGCCGCCAGAGCACGATTTCTGTTCTCCTCCTGAAGCAAAGTTCTTAACCTGAAGCACTATTTCTGGGTTAGCAGAGTCTGTAACCTGAAGCATATGTAACCTGAAGCGTATGTAACCCAAGGTACCACTGTACAAGTTTTCTGTCAATCCTACAAATGTATGTAACTCTTTACAATAGCTTTTCAACTAAATTATAAACTATCCCCATTCTTTATTAAAGAGGTCCTCTTCCTGGTTTCTAATTCTGCCTGTAAGCTTTGCCATCTCGACGTCGTTCATCAGTTTTGTCTGCCCCTCTTCTTTGGTGGGAGTTGTAGACCCTTAGGATCATCTAGTCCAACCCCCTGCAAAACACAGTCAGTGGCAGCCAAAGCAACATGGCTCCATCAGTGGCGGATTTCTGTATAAGCTAAGCCAAAATCCCTTATTTTGGCTGCTGATCCCTTATTTTTGAGGCTGCTGATCCCTTATTTTCAAATCTGTAAGTTGACAGCTATGGTCCGACACAACCCCCCTTCTTTCCACCCAGTGAGCTCTCTTCCACCAGATCGAAAGGCAGCGAGGGATCCCCACCGGCCCCAGCTACTCAGGAGGAGGCGGAGGGAGGCGGTTGCACTCGCTCGGGGGAACCGACGCACCTTGGATCGCGCACAAAGGGGCGGATCGGGGGCCTCGAGGGGGCGGGCGCGCCGGAGGAAGAGGCGGCCAGTCGCGTTGGAGATCCGCTGGCTCCCTCCTCCTTCTGCTGCTGCCTCCGCCTCCGGCGAGGAGGGGAGGGCGCGGGCGGGGATCGGCGGCTTGCGGGGGAAAGAGGAAAAAGTTTCGCGGCCACGTGGGTGTCCCGTGCAGAGGGGCGGGGAGGGCGGGCCGGGCCTCTTTTGACCCCTCGGCAGGCACCATCGGGGCTTCACTGAGCGCAGGAGCTGCATTCGCCCGCGGTGTCGCCATGCCTCCCGCCGAGATCATCAGCGGCAAGGCCGTTTCTGAGTAGGTCGCCGCCGCCGCCCCCTCGGGGCTTTGGGGAGGGCCGGGCTTTGCGCGCGGGGAGGCGGGCAAGCGGGAAGGAAGGAGACGCGTGTATGCATCGCTCTCGGGGCCTGCTAGGGCGCACCTGGACTCGGGTCGCCGGGGCTGCAAGTGGGGGGAGGTGTATTGCGCCCCACTTCTCCAAGAGGGCCAGACCCCTCTTTAGGATGAAGGATACCGGGTTTGCTGCGCGCTCCAGCGCGCGTCCGGACAGGAGTCGCCCGCCTGGAGTTCTGCGGGACTTGCGCGCCACTTGGCGTAGATTTCACCAGGTTGGTGGAATGGTAGAGTTGGAAGGGACCACGGGGATCAGCTGCGCTTTTTCCCAGCGGGGGACTCGAACCCACGACCGTGAGGTTAAGAGCTTGGAAGGAGGGAGCCCTCCCACGCAGACTCCCCCAAAGCCACGTGCCGTTTCCCTTCGCTTCCATCCAACTTATTCGTTGTTGCATGAAGTTGCCGTTCGTTTTAACTTTAAATAAAAATCGCCCGCCTTCCTCCCATCGCCTGGAGGCCAAAGGTGTGTCCTGTGCCCGGTTTCCAGGTGGTCTCCCATCCAGGCACGGGCCAGACTGGGCGCTGCTGAGTCTCTGCAAGCTGGCGGCGTCATGAGACTGTAAATCGAACCCGAGACCGGCCTTTTCCGCCAGGGCAGGGCTAGCCTCCCTTGGCTCTCTCCAGCTGCTGTTGGGCTGGCAACTCAGATCAGCCCCAGCCAGCATGGCCAGTCGTCAGGGATAGATCAGTCGCTAGAGCATAGAACCAAAGAATTGTCGAGTTGGAAGGGACCCTGAGGGTCATCCAGTCCAACCCCCTGCAACACAGGAATATGCAGCTGCCCCATGCAAGAATCGAACCTGCAACCTTGGCATTATCAGCACCATGCTCTAACCAACTGAGCTATGAGGCTCTTTAATTTCAGGGTCATTGGTTCAAGCAAGAGATTTCTGCATTGCAGGGGGTTAGACTAGATGACCGTCGTGGTCCCTTCCAACCCTACAATTCTATGATTTTACCCCTGCACCCTGAGGGTTGCATTCCATTCTGGGCAACGTTTTATTCTTTACTATTATCATTATATATTTATTTACTTGCAAGGAAGGTGGCTTACAAACAAAAATAAGAACTGCTAAAAACTTAAGTGCAGGGACAACAATCAGAATTTAAACTATATGCATAGATAAAATACCTTAAAAACATACGGGTAACTGCAATTAAAGCAGCACGGCACCAACCCTTTCTTTAAAAGCAGTCCGTTCCCGGAACGTTAAGGTGGGAGGACAGCAAGGAGGGAGCGAGTCGAGCTTCTCGAGGGAGGGAGTTTGGGAGCTGCCACCACTGAGAAGGCCCTGTCCTGCAACCCCCACCAAGAATGCCCATGAGGGTGGTGGGATGGAGACAATAGATCAAAGCCAGCACTTTGAACGATGCCCAGGTATAGATTGGTACCCGGTGGAGCTGTCGTACAAAGGGAGCCATTATGCTCCCTGTAGCCTTTGGGGAGCCATGCCTCAGTGCTGTGCAAGGAGGAAGGCAAAAGTGGCCAGAGCAGCGAATGCGAATGCTGCCTTTCCACAGCAGGAGAGCTTCTCAGCATGTGCTCCTGCACCCTGTCTCTGTTCTCCATCTACACAAAAAAGTAATACAGTGGACGCTTGGGTTGCGAATGTGATCTGTGCGGGAGGCACGTTCACAACCCGCAGCGCTGTGTCTGCGGGTTGCGATTCGGCATTTCTGCGCATGCGCAAAGTGAGGTTTAGCATGCGCGAGCGCTCAAACTCGGAAGTAACCCATTCCGGTACTTCCGGGTTTGGCACGGTACACAACCCGAAAACACCCAATCTGAAGCGTCTGTAACCTGAGGTATGACTGTATTATCAGACTTCGAGAGGACACATTGCAGCCTGGCAGAAATACTGGGACAGGACCAGGGAGGAGGGCTGTGGCCTGCAGAGATTTCCAAGGGAATTGTCTCCTGTCTCCCTTTATTGCTCTGCTGGCTTAATATTAACCCAGCGGCTGGTCCGTGACTGATTAACATTTGATTCCTTGATCCTGAAATCATATGTGTGTGTCTTAAACTATGTCCTCTTTTGAAACCTTTGCTTTTAAAGCTTACTTTTTTCCAGGGGCCTGGCTGAAGAAGCTGCTTTTAGTTTTATTCCTCTGTCATTGTACCTGCATGCTGCACAAAACAAAACAAAAAACCTCACCTGTTAGATTTCTGCCTGCGCCCAGGAGGCTTGTTAGACCTCTTTGCAGCATGAGAGCAGAAGCTGCCTCCCTTGTTCCGTCCGTGCGAGATTTTCTGCTTTTGCAAAAGACTGCTCCCTTCCTCTCCTCTCCCCAAGCTGCCCCAGAGGGTTGGGGGAAATCTTGAAATCCTTGTGCTGTTGAAATGATGGGGTCAGTGTTATATTGGATTCCACCATGAGTGTTGCCATAGACTCGCAGCCTCTTTTCTGAAGCTCATCACTACCCTTGTGTGCAACGGTGCATTGGAGCTGAAAATTATGCAAACCGTGGGATGCTGTCTTCAGTCCAAGCCAGCATGACCAGTGGTCAGGGATGATGGGAACTATAGTCCAGCAACATCTGCAAGGCCACAGGTTCCCAGTCCTTTATATATGTGCTCAGCTCCCATCATCCCTGACCATTGGCAATTTATTGATTTGTTAATTGGACATATACGTCCCTAGGCAATTTGCAGGCAGGGAGCTGTAGTTTAGTTTAAGGGTGCTGGGAATTATAGTTCAGCGAGAGGTAAACTACAGTTCCCATGATTATTCAGGGGCAAGTCATTGGCTTTAAATGTGTAGCGCGTATGCAACCAGAGCTGATGGCTGAGCGATGCAGACTGCTTTAATTTAGTGGCACTTCTTTCATTACTGCCGCTGAATCCATACAGGTTGACCTTCATGTGTCAATTTTGCATTGGAAGCAGATAATTGGCATCTGATCCAGCTGCCTTTCCCTTCTCCCCCCTCCCCCAGCTCACCACCCAATTGCACAATTTTAACACAGCGCTAGAAGTGGAAAGACAAGGGAGCCAGCAAAGCAAACAACTTCAGGCAAGAGCATTGCACTACAGGATCTGGGCCTACATGAAATTTAACCAGGGAGCCTTTGTAGTTTCATCTGGTTGAACTTGCAAGCCTGTGGAATGCCTTAGACCTTTATTTGTGAGGTTCCTTCATTCCTGCAGCAACGTATGCCCTTTCCCCCTTTCCTGGTTCCCGATGTGAATCTGTTCTTTACAGGGGTGGGGAACCGGTGGTCCACAAGAAGTTCCCGTACTCTAGCTCCCGCAATCTCCATCCATTGGCCATGGGACTGATGTGAGAGTTGAGCCCAACAACATCTGGAGGGCCACAGGCCAGGCTTCCTCAACCTATGGACCGCCATATGTTTTTTTGGCCTACAACTCCCATGATCCCTAGCTAGCAGGACCAGTGGTCAGGGATGCTGGGAATTGTAGTCTCACGGGCCGAGTTTGAGGAAGCCTGCCATAGGCTCCCCATCTGATTTATAATAAGCACAGTGTCTTCTTGGTGGCGTTGATTTACTGGGGCATCAGCTTTTGTGAATTAGAGCCTAGACTTCATCCGATATGTAAAGTGGACATTAGTTCATGGAAGTTGATGCTGAAATACGGTTGCTAGTCTTTCAGCTGCCCCTAGATTCTCTATTTTTTAAAAAAAGTTTAAATTGAATTTTGCAAACAAAACAGACATTTTACATACCATTAAATATTCAGCAAGGACTTCCCTCCCACTCCTTCCTTGGTTAACGGTGACACAGAGCGTTCATGACGTCAGAATATTCTTCACAACTGTGAGCAGGGCAGTGGGGTGGGGGTAAGTGAAGACAAGCGACGACAATTAACTACAACGTTGTTTACCACTCTTGTTCAGGCTGCACAGGAAAAGCGTTTTGGTTCCTGAAATCCATTCTGATTGTGCAGATTAAATATAACAGATAGAATTCTTCAGGATGTGTTACTAGTGTGTGAACACAGTCCAAGGTTCTCTATGCTTGCACCTCCAGATTTTGGAGGTATCAGACACTGTCCTAGCACCCCAGCATCTGCACTTGGTCACAAGTGGCCAGTAGCTAGGTGCAAAATGTGAATTTCGAAAACTGCCTCCAGATGTTCTGGACTACAACTTCTGGCTGGCACTGATGGGAACTGCAGTCCCAAACATTGGGAGGACACAAAGTTGATGAAGTCTGCAGAAGCGTGGAACCAAGAAGTAAATGTTGCAGCAAATGCCATTGCTACATTGATTGTGCCACAATAAATCTGTATGTCTTTTTCAGTTGCAACAAAGTTATTTAATATAGAGATATACAGTGGTACCTCGGGTTACATATGCTTCAGGTTACAGACTCCGCTAACCCAGAAATAGTACCTCGGGTTAAGAACTTTGCTTCAGGATGAGAACAGAAATCGCACAGCGGCGGCAGGAGGCCCCATTAGCTGAAGTGGTGTCTCAGGTTAAGAACAGTTTCAGGTTAAGAACAGACCTCCAGAACGAATTAAGTACATAACCAGAGGTACCACTGTACATTGCTGTAGGGATGCGGGTGGCACTGTGGGTTAAACCACCACTTCGGCTTGCCGATCTAAAGGTTGGCGGTTCGAATCCCTGCGACGGGGTGAGCGCCCGTTGCTGTGTCCCAGCTCCTGCCAACCTAGCAGTTCGAAAGCATGCCAGTGCAAGTAGATAAGTAGGTACCACTCCGGCGGGAAGGTAAACGGCGTTTCCGTGCGCTGCTCTGGTTTCGCCAGAAGCAGCTTAGTCATGCTCGCCACATGACCCAGAAAAACTGTTTGCAGTAGCGGACAAACGCCGGCTCCCTCGACCTCTGAAGCGAGATGAGCGCTGCAACCCCAGAGTCATTCACTACTGGACTTGATTGTCAGGGGTCCCTTGACCTTTATACATTGCTGTATCTGATTGCACATTATCTTGCCAAGATGCGGGACAGACCAAAGAAAGTACTTTGCTCCGACAGTTTTTTGTTTACTATCACATTTACGTCCTTCCTTTTCTCTGGGTGGTGTCCATTGTGGCCCCTCTCCATTTTACCCTCACAACAACCCTGTGAGGTAGGTTAGGCTGAGAGGCTGTGACAGAACCATGGGTGAGCGCCATGTACTGAGGGCCACCAACTTGGATGTCTTTAAAAGAGAATCAAACACAATGGCTATGTTTCTGTACAAAAACGAGCCTTCATATTTGTAGCTCCACCCACTTTTGCCCCTGTCCCCGCCCACCTCAGAAGGTTGGACCTCAGAAGGTCACTAAGTCATAAATGCGGCCCTCACAAGAACCAAAGTTTCCCACACATGTATTAGGGCAAAATATGAAGAACAATAGGCTTTATTTATTTGGGACACGGTAGGGGCACCTGTAATCTCTTGTACTGGGACTTCAGCCCTCGCCTCCTGCCCCTAGCATGGCAGCTGAGGGAGATATTTGAGTGGGTTTTGGTGAAATATTAACTAGCTGACATTTAGAACAGATTGTCCTTTATGGCTCATCACAGAATCTGCCAACTCTAAAAATTGTGAAACAAAAGTTAGCTGGGGAGGTGCTAACCGCTGACAGATTCACGTTATATTTTTGCTGATTCTTAGAATTGTACAGTTGGAAGGAGTCCCCGGGGGTTATTCTTCTAATTTATTTATGGAATTTATATACCGCCGTATATCTGGGGGGCCTCAGGGCAGTTCGCAGAAGAAAATCAAGATCTAAAACCACAAAATACATAATAAAAATAAAAACAACCCAGTAGCTCCCCCCCCCTAAAAAAACAACCACATTTTAAAAGGGCATGTGATGTAAATCAGATCAACCAAAGGCCTGGGTTAAAAAAACGTTTTTGCCTGGTGCCTAAAGGTGTATAATGAAGGTGCCAGGTGAATGTCCTTTGGGAGAGTCCAACACTTCCATCCAGGAATCTCAACTAGATCATCCATGGCAGATGGCCCTCCAACCTCTGCTTAAAAACCCCCAAGGAAGGAGAGTCCACAACCTCCCAAGGGAGGTTTTGCAGGCAAAGGACAAAGTATAATCTTAAGAGACAACTCCAGATCTGAACGGGCCCTGGGGAAAGTCTCTGCTGATGCAGAAGGGCTGTAGCTCTTTTGTGGAACATCTACCTTGCATGCAGGGACGCGGGTGGCGCTGTGGGTTAAACCACAGAGCCTAGGACTTGCTGATCAGAAGGTCAATGGTTCAAATCCCCGTGACGGGGTGAGCTCCCGTTGCTCAGTCCCTGCTCCTGCCAACCTAGCAGTTCAAAAGCACGTCAAAGTGCAAGTAGATAAATAGGTACTGCTCCGGTGAGAAGGTAAACGACATTTCCGTGCGCTGCTCTGGTTCGCCAGAAGTGGCTTAGTCATGCTGGCCACATGACCCAGAAGCTGTACGCTGGCTTCCTCAGCCAATAAAGTGAGATGAGCGCCGCAACCCCAGAGTCGTTCACGGCTGGACTTAATTGTCAGGGGTCCCTTTACCTTTACCTTGCATGCAGAAGTGCTCAGGTTCAATCCCTGGTATCTCCAGGTGTAGCTGGTAGAGAACCCTGCCTGAAATCCCAAGGAGCTGCTGCCAGCCAGTGTTGACACTATTGCGCTAGCTGGACCAATGGTCTCACTTGGTATAATAATAATAAATTTTTATTTATAATCCGCCCTCTCCGGCCAGAGCCGGGCTCAGGGCTGCTAACACCAGTAAAATTACAATAAAAACATAAGGTGGGGGCGCACACCAATTTTAAAATACAGGTTAAAATACAATTTAAAATGCAGCCTCATTTTAATAGTAGCCCATAGATCAAAACCATAAGGGGAGGGAAATATAAGGGTCAGACTGAGTCCAAACCAAAGGCCAGGCGGAACAGCTCTGTCTTGCAGGCCCTGCGGAAAGATGTCAAGTCCCACAGGGCCCTAGTCTCTTGTGACAGAGCGTTCCACCAAGTCGGGGCCAGTACTGAAAAGGTCCTGGCCCTAGTTAAGAGAGCATCCTTTGTCAGTGGTCCATGGTGGTGGCAATCTTTTAGGTGGTGCTGGCAGCTGGTTCTAGCCACCCTTTTAATTTCCTGCAATGCCTCAGATCGGGATTATTATGGGATATTTAAATGGTGGCAAGATCCACCCATCTGCTGCTTTTTAGAGTGCTGGACTACCAAAGAAATTGGGGGGGGGGGGGATTGGGTGTGAATCTACGGTGGTTCTCCTAATCTGCCCAGCGATGCCAAATCTTGGTGCCAGATCTGCGTAGCACACTGGTTTCCTCCAGGTGGAAGTAATAATTTACTTAGGTGTGAGTATTAACTTCTTTGCAGCCAGAACCAGATTTTTATCTAAAAAAAGAAGAAAAAGAAAGCAAGTATCAAACACATGCCTAGAGTCTTACCACCACCACCACCACCCCATCCCTAGAAATTGCTGGTGGACTTACAATCCATTCTCAGAATTCTGGGTTCAGCAGATTTTCCCTTGTGCAATTTTACAAGTGCCTTGTCAAAACCTACCGTACATAATGAATAAATGGGCTATATCAGCCTTTGCCGACCTGCTGCTCTCCAGATGTCAAAACTAGTTCCCAACATCTGGAGGGTGCCAGGATGGGCAAAGTAAGAAGCAGAAAGCTATAAAATCAAGCAAAACACTTTTAAACAGAGCTCAGTAGCTGAAGATCTGTGTACTTTGTCAAATATTATGAATATCTACAGGCTGAAAATGGGACTTACGCTCCTTAATTAAAACCTTTTTTTAATTTACAAAAGCAGTTTCTGTTACCTGCAGCTGCACCCAGTGCTCAGTAGATGGCATTGCAATACGAGTATTATTATTTCTGCAAACCGGCGTGGTGCAGTGCGCCTCAAGAGTGACTGTAATAGCAACTGGCGGATCCATTTGATTTTGTTTTCACTGGGGTTGTTATTTTTAAATCTTATTATTTTTCAGTGCACAATGAATGTGCCTGACTTAATCTTTTTAGCTTGTGCCTGAACAGCAGTTGGAGACCAGTTATATCATGAACAAGAAACAGATACTTATCCATGAGATCCTACATATAGTACAGATGAGAATGAACTGTGGTTTCTTTGTGTTGGCGTAGCTTATTGTGTTTGCTTTTCTGTTCCTAAATCGGGTGGCGTGAGAGCCAGCATGGTGTATTTTGAGAGCCAGCGTGGTATTTTGGTTAGGGTGTCTGACTAGGAACCTGGGAGAGACCAGGGTTCGAGTCCCCCACTTGGCCATGAACATAGCTGTCAACTTACAGATTTGAAAATAAGGGACCAGCAGCCAAAATAAGGGACCTGCAGCCTCACCTGTTCCAGGCACTCCAGTCTTCCTGTCCTCCTGCAGTCTGGTCAAACTCATGCTGGTAGCTTCGAGAACACTGTCCAACCAACTTTGTAACCAGAGGTTCAACTGAATAGAATCTGAATCACATGCACCACAAGGCCTATGCAGCCTCAACTTAAGATGGCTCCCGGCCTGGCTTTGCACTGCAAAGTTTGCAGCAGCACGTGCAACAAAATGGCGTCCAGCATTCAAAAACCTCCTCAGCTTGCATTAACTAGCCACACACAAGGCATGCAAGCTCCACCCCCCAGTCGTTCTTAGGCTTCTTATTGGGTGAGCAACACAGCCAAGCAACACAGTTGGAGCCTCCCTCCTCCCTGGCCGGCAGGGAGGGAGGGAGAGGAGCTGCTTCCTTTGAAATTTAAGGGACATCATTTAAGGGACATCTATCAATAAGGGACAGCAGCGGGACATGGCACTGGAATAAGGGACTGTTCCTTCAAATAAGGGACACTTGACAGCTATGGCCATGAAGCTCACGGGATGGCCTTGGGCCCGTCACTGCCCCTCCGCCAGACCTACCTCACAGGGTTGCTGTGGGAATTACACGAGGGGGAGAACCATGTGCGCCACCCTGAGCTCCATGGAGAAAAAGGCGGGATGCAATCAGTAATAATAATAATAATAATGATACTGGTAATTTATTATTTATACCCTGTCCATCTGGCTGAGTTTCCCCAGCCACTCTGGGCGGCTTCCAATCAAGTGTTAAAAACAATACAGCATTAAATATTAAAAACTTCCCTAAACAGGGCTGCCTTCAGACATCTTTTAAAAAGAAGATAGCTGCTTATTTGCTTCACATCTGAAGGGAGGGCGTTCCACAGGGCGGGCGCCACTACCAAGAAGGCCCTCTGTCTGGCTCCCTGTAACCTCACTTCTCGCAATGAGGGAACCGCCAGAAGGCCCTCGGAGCTGGATCTCAGTGTCCGGGCTGAACGATGGGGTTGGAGACGCTCCTTCAGGTATACGGGACCGAGGCTGTTTAGGGCTTTAAAGGGCAGCACCAACACTTTGAATTGTGCTCGGAAATGTACTGGGAGCCAATGCAGAGTAACAAATGGCGTGTTTACACAGATGTTTCCTGTGAAAATGCATGGATTTCCTTGCTGCCTCTTGAAAACTGCTTTACAGTGGTACCTCGGGTTAAGAACTTAATTGGTTCTGGAGGTCCGTTCTTAACCTGAAACTGTTCTTAACCTGAGGTACTTAAAGTGAGGTACCACTTTAGCTAATGGGGCCTCCCGCTGCCGCCGCCATGCGATTTCTGTTCTCATCCTGAAGCAAAGTTCTTAACTATTTCTGGGTTAGCGGAGTCTGTAACCTGAAGTGTCTGTAACCTGAAGTGTCTGTAACCCGAGGTACCACTGACTCTGGGATTGGACCTTGGTGTCTTGGAATCCATAGCTCAGTGACAGAGCATCTGCTTTGCATGCAGAAGGTTGCGGGTTCAGTCCCCAGCATTTCCTCAGAGAGCTGCTGCCAGTCAGTGTGGACAGTACAGTGGTACCTCGGGTTACATAAGCTTCAGGTTACATACGCTTCAGGTTACAGACTCCGCTAACCCAGAAATATTACCTCAGGTTAAGAACTTTGCTTCAGGTTAAGAACAGAAATCGTGCAGCGGCAGCAGAAGGCCCCATTAGCTAAAGTGGTGCTTCAGGTTAAGAACAGTTACAGGTTAAGAACAGGCCTCCATAACGAATTAAGTTCTTAACCCGAGATACCACTGTACTGAGCTAGGTGGACCAAAGGTCTGATTCAGTATAAGGCAGCTCCCTGGGTTCTTACAGTTTTGCTTTGTCACAATTTCTCTCTCCACCTTCATACGTTATGGCAGCCTTCCCCAACCTGGTGCCTCCCAGGACTACACTTCCCATCAGCCTGACCATTGGCCAGGCTGGCTGGGGCTGATGGGAGTTGTAGTCCACAACATGGAGGGCGCCAAGTAGGGGAAGTTTCCTCTATGGGCAGAGGTAGCAAAGTAGTAGTCAGGGGTTCCCCATTTCCCACTTCCGCGAGGAATAACGTGGGAACATAGGTTCCAAGATTAAGTCTTCCAGAAAGTTCCAAGTTGAACCCTGGCACATCTGTTTGGAACTCTCCTTCTCCTAGTCTTTCCTGCTGCTGGATTTGTGACTTTCTTTTCTCACTCCAGTCTCTTCCTTTTCTAGGCAAGTGAGGCAGAGGCTCAAAAGCCAAGTGGCAGAAATGAAGGAGAGAGTCCCAGGCTTCAGACCAGGCCTTGCAATTCTACAGGTTAGTGGCTATATCTACAATTTTGAGATTTGTTTTCATCTAAAGCAGATGCTCACGGGGTCAGACGTTACAGCATCCTTCACCCACTTGGATGTCCTCCAGATATTTTGGACAGAATTTCATGCAAAAACAGTTTTTCTGTATTATATATGAAACTTTGGCATTGGCCTGTCTGGAACGGTGTGGTCCATGGCCACTTTGTGTCTTGAAATACCGCTTATTATCTGCGAAGCAGTTTTTGGGAGGAGGAAATTAAAATTTACAGGGGGTGAGGAAAGGCTTAACCCTTTCCCCCATTTGCTACTGCCCATTCCCCCAATTGGAATTTCAGTGACCAAAGCGGAACCTAAGGAAGCAGACGGTTCTTGTGTAATGTGGGATTTGGTATGGAGGCCTATTATTGGAGGGCAGGGTTGCCCCAAACTGGGAGGTCTGCTAATTTTGTGTGAGGTTCCCGCCTCCATACCATTACACGCCTTAAAGGAGGGTCCTATTATCCTCTGGATGAGCTTGGGGGGCGAGGAGACACCCTGTCAGTGGTTACACAATTGGGGGGGAACGAGAAACTTTTCTTTCATTGACTTCCTTGAGCTAAGTTATCTTAGGAACCGAACCAAAAATAAGTGAAACCTATAAATTGCCTTCTGTTTGTGATTTTTTTTTTTCCTCTTCCTCCTTCTAAAGGTTGGTGATCGGGATGATTCAAATCTCTACATTAGCATGAAACTCAAGGCTGCTGCTGAGGTAATATTACCCACACACCCAAATAGCGTAGGGTTCTCTGGAGTGTTTCATTCCCCCTTTTCACTTTAGTGTTGTTGATAATAATAATAATAATAATTTATTATTTATACCCCGCCCATCTGGCTGAGTTTCCCCAGCCACTCTGGGCAGCTCCCTATCAAGTGTTAAAAACAGTACAGCGTTAAATATTTAAAACTTCCCTGAACAGGGCTGCCTTCAGATGTCTTTTAAAGATAGGATAGCTGTTTATTTCCTTCACATTTGAGAAAGGCTGTGAGGCACAGTGGGTATAGCCTGGCAGACCACGTCAGAGCCCAGGAAACAGTGACTCAGGGAGAGCACCTGGGTGTTGCTTCAGCGCCATGTGTAGTCGTGGTAGTTCTGCACTCCTCTCGCCATTCCTGGCTGTGGCAGCGGCGCATGGAAAGGATGCAACGTTCTAGGAGGAATGTTGTGATGGGCAAACAGGATGGCCAATCTGCATGTGGGGAGTGAGTTTGAAACATCGGACGCTGCCATGTGCTGGGCCAGACCATTGCTCCATGCAGCTTAGTATTATCCTCACTGACTGGCAGCAACGGCAGATGCTCTTGTCACTGAGCTACATCCCTTCCCAGAACATTATGGTCTGCCACCGATCTGTGGTCGTTGCCCTGGTGCCCAGCTGCTCCAAATAAGCGCCTCCACGGAAAGTCACAGTGAGAAAGAAAGACAAAATGTTCTGAATATTATTTCTGTTTATATCCCAAGACCAGGGAGAAGAGGGCAAGGTGGAGACATGCTGTTGCCGCCGCACGCTGCCTTGTTGATGGTGGACAGCTAAACCACCTTCACATCACAGCGTGAGAAGACGGCGCATGTCTCCTGGTTGCCTTGGCAACGTGTTTTCCTGCCCAGTGGGCAAACACTTTCCCTCTCAGGAAAAGTTGCCCAGAGCAAGGTCCCTTTCTGTGCATGTGGCGGGGAGAAGAAGGGAGCCAAAGGTTTCGGCTCAGTTCTGCCATCTCTTTCCTGAGCCTTCCAGAATGAGAAAATTACTTGGCTGCTTTTCATCTAATCACTTCACAATTCATAGAGTTTAATGATTTCTATTTTGTTTTCTGTCTTATTTTCCAGATCGGGATCAATGCCAACCACATCAAGCTGCCAAGCACTGCAACAGAAGCTGAGGTAACCCAGTTTTACTTTACGAATCTCTCTGTGGTTTCACAGGGAGATCCTCTTGCATTTCCCGGATCACAGTTTCTTCTGAAAGTGCCTCATCGATTCCTAAATCTGCTTCCTGAGATCTTTTTCAGTTGGAGGTCCCTGGGATTGAACCTGTGACCTTACTGTCACCTGCTATTGTGCTATGAAACTGCATGTTGGGAGGTTCAGGAGAGAGAACGATTCTCTGAGATACAAAATTAAAGTGTTGGAATGAACCATCTTGTTGTCTAGATAGCTAATTTCCTCCTTTCATACAGAGGAGTTATTTATAAACTTCCTCAGGGATGGAAGTGAGAGGGACCCTCAGACATCAGTGGACAATTCAGATATTTTAACGGATATAAGTGTGTTCGTCCTCCTGTGACCCCTCCCAAAACGCCCCCCAACTATACACATGTACCACATGTAGGGGGGAAAAAACAGAGAGAAGGTTCAAAACAGTTCAGTGAGGACTAGCATGATGGGTTAGCATGCTCAGTAGGCACAGAATGCTGGCAGATGTGGGGAGCAGTGGGGGATAGAAGGAAGCGAGATAGAATGGCAGACTGGAACCCTGAACAGGAGAATGCTATGCTGCAACATTTTGTTGCAGAACCTCACCTGTTTCTTTCTAATTCTCTCTCTCTCTCCTCCCCCCCCCCCGGTCCTGTTCCTGCTTTTAAACGAACAGGTGTTGAGATGTATTCACAATCTGAACGACGACCCTGCTGTTCATGGGTTTATAGTACAATTGCCTTTGGATACCAACAAGCCCATCAACACAGAGAAAGTCACCAATTCTGTGGCACCTGAAAAGGATGTGGACGGGTAAGTTTGTGGAAGGGTCAAAGGTCTGCAGTAGAGCAGGTTCAATCCCTTGCAATTTCCAGGTAGAGATAGGAATGTCCTCTGTCTGGAATCCCAGAGAGCTGCCTGGAGATGAGACTGAAGTGAGAAGGTTTGCTTTCTTCTTTGGCGATCACTCGTAGCCGAGTAAGATTGTCCTCCATAAACACAGTTTTAAAAGTGAGTCTGTAAGTGACTGTGGAGGCAAATTCTGGATCCGCACGTCTTTCCACAGTGGGGACATAGGTTTCCAGGAGGGAATTGATCACAGTGAGGGTTTGCCAAGCGTGCCTTCCTCTTAGCACGTTTCTCCCTTTCGTCCTGAGTTCGAGCGTCTTCAAAGCCCATGACACCTTTGGGAAAGGCAGTTCTCCAATTGGAGCGCCCGCAGGCAAGTGTTTCCCAGTTCTCGATGTTTATACTGCAGTGGTACCTCAGGTTACAGACGCTTCAGTTTACAGACTCCGCTAACCCAAAAATAGTACCTCGGGTTAAGAACTTTGCTTCAGGGCGAGAACAGAAATTGTGCGGTGGCGGCAGTGGGAGGCCCCATTAGCTAAAGTGGTACCTCAGGTTAAGAACAGTTTCAGATTAAGAACGGACCTCCGGAACGAATTAAGTTCTTAACCCGAGGTACCACTGTACCTTTTTTTTTTTTTTTAAGATTTGCCTTGAGAGAGTCTTTGAACCTCTTTTGTTGACCACCAGCATTACACTTTACACTTTCCATTTTTATGTTCGGAATAGAGTAGTTGCTTTGGAAGACGTTAAACAGGTATCTGCACAACATGACGAGTCCAACAAAGTTGGTGTTGAAGAATCAGTGCTTTGACACTGGTGATCTTTGCTTCTGAAGTGAGATCTTTGCTACTGGTGATGTTTGCTACTGAAGTGAGAAGGTTTCAGCCTTTATCATCACATGCAAACCGTATATGGCAAATGGATTTCAGTCCAGAACCAGATGCTTGTACCTTCTGGAACAGAGAACATTTGCATCTTACCCCCCCCCCATTCATTTATTTCCAGAGGAGGTTGTACTTCAGTTTGCCCCAGACTTAGAACGAGGGAATAGAACTAAAGCCAGCTTTTTCCTTCCTCAGAGACCACTGACCACTGCTGCTTTGTTTTTGCCTTTTCAGCTTGAGCAGTATTAACGCAGGGAAACTCTCGCGTGGCGACCTCGGAGACTGTTTCATCCCCTGCACGCCGAAAGGATGCATGGAGCTCATCAGGCAGACAGGTGAGCAAGGAAAAGCCACGTGGCTTCTTGCCTTGGTAAAGATGCTACTGTGAAAGAGGTCCAGGAAGAATTAAGGTCCTGGTGTGTTTTGCTGTGCTAGGGACAAAATATTAAGAAAAAGGGCTAAAATGTACAAGACAAGAACTAATGAGTGCTGGAAATCATCAGGAGAGGAAAGGTATCTTCTACCACATGTGGTGGACTTGCAAAGAGGTAAAGGCTTTCTGGGAAATGGTATATATTGAGTTAAAGAAAATGTTTAAAAAGACTTCTGTTAAAAAACCAGAAGCCTTTTTACTGGGTATAGCGGGTGAAGAGATTCCGAGGGAAGATAAAAGACTGTTTATCTATGCAACAACTGCGGCAAGAATTATTTTAGCCCAAAAATGGAAATAACAAGAAGTACCAATGAAAGAAGAGTGGCAGATGAAGATGATGGACTTTGCAGAACTGGCGAAGCTGACAGGAAAAATCCAAAACCAGCGCAATCAAGTATTCCAAAGGGATTGGAGTAAATTTATACGATATCTGAAAGATTATTGTAAGCAATTAACATCACTAGCAGGGCTGTTTGAAGACTTGTAATGAGAGATTTTCCGTCTTTCTATATTTATGTAAATTTTGAGCCATTCTGTAATGAGCGTAATTAGAATTGGAAAACGTATATTTGCAATGATATAAAGGTTGATTTTGAAAGCCATGAGGCGGGAGGGAAGGAAGTCGATAGGCTCTCTAGAGCCAGGGCGATATTGTGGATGATGATGATGTGATTGTATAATATTAAATGGAAAATAAATAAAAATTGTATTTATAAAAAAGATTAGGAGAAAGATGCCACCGTGCCTGTGGGGAAGCAAAGTGGCTCAGCGGTGTAGCTTCTGCTTTTTTCATGCAGTGGAATCCCACAAGCCCTAGAGGCTGAAATACGTCATTACCACGGCTCGGAATTTAGGCAAAACTAAGTTGTGTGTTCTGTGTTTCAGGTGTTCAGGTGGCTGGGAAAAGAGCCGTGGTGATTGGTCGCAGCAAGATAGTTGGTGCTCCAATGCACGACCTCCTGCTCTGGAACCACGCGACTGTGACGACATGCCACTCCAAGACTGCGTCCCTGGCTGAGGAGGTAAGGCTGGGAGGCGGGCGGGGTATAAATAATAAATTATTATTATTATTATTATTATTATTATTATTATTATTATTATGCTTGGAAGTACAAAGTTGCCTTGGTGATACTATCTTGTGTCAATTTCGATTGCAGTAGTCATTGTATCAACACCCTGTTCATTGTTTCCTTGTAGAAGTCAGCAGAGAGGATGCAGGGGACAAAGATAGGATTAGTTGGCTCTGCCCATCGTTGGCTCTAGCTCCACCTACTGTTGGCCTCCTGCATTACACCCTATTTCTTCTTCCTCTTCCTGTTTTTGTTGTTCTTCTAAATTTATTTATAGCTCACTTTTCCCTCTGATGGGAACAGCTAAAACATGTGGGGGATTAAACAATATCCACACACACATGTATGTATACACAAATACACACCCACCCACGCATGCATAAAAATCTGTAACAACTATACAGATAATTACAATAAAAATAGCGCAGCGCCAGACTGACTTCTCAAGTGGAGGGGAGTTCCAGAGTCTGGGAGCAGCCACCGAGAAGGCCCTCTCCTACGTCCCCATCAAGCACGGGGTCAAGAGGGAAGGGCCTTGCAGGCCTAATGGACTCTAGCCACCACTGGGTTCTTCTCCTCTCTTCTCCCTGCCTTTAAACATTTATTTTAAAATAGAGTACAGTGGTGCCCCGCAAGACGAATGCCTCGCAAGACGAAAAACTCGCTAGACGAAAGGGTTTTCCGTTTTTTGAGTCGCTTCGCAAGACGAATTTCCCTATGGGCTTGCTTTGCAAGACGAAACGTCTTGCGAGTTTGTTTCCTTTTTCTTAAAGCCGCTAAGCCATTAATAGCCGCTAATAGCCGCTAAGCCGCTAATAGCCGTGCTTCGCAAGACGAAAAAACCGCAAGACGAAGAGACTCACAGAACGGATTAATTTCGTCTTGCGAGGCACCACTATATTCGCTTTAAAGGGGTGGGGTAGTAGAGAGACTGAGCAAGAGGGAAGGGTGGTGGAGCATGCCTGGTGAACCCTGGGTTGATGCAAGCTCTGTTTGCAGGTCAGCAAAGCGGATATCCTGGTGGTTGCTGCTGGCAAGGCAGAGATGGTGAAAGGAGATTGGATCAAACCTGGCGCGGTCGTGATTGACTGTGGAATCAACCACATACCAGGTAATTTTTTTGAAAAAGCGTTGCACTGTTCGAAATATGAGCAAGCCAGGGCTGAACTGATATTACCCTTGCTGGTACCTTTCCCGGGAAAATCAGAGGCTCACTATGTCAGGTTCCTATTGGAAGACCGGACAAACGCTAGAACATTAGCAGTGGCAAAGTTTTTAATCAGTGATTTAAGAACCAATGATCCCTATCTTTAAGTCTGAACAAAATGCTTGTTTAACCTGGAGGTAGGCTGTCTGAATTGTGCATTGCTTTGTAACGATTTGTTGGGTCTCTGGACCGTAATAAAGATTGATTGGCAGTATAAAAACCTTCCATATTGATACTCATAAAACTGCGCTACAGGAAAAAAACAAAAAAGCGGCTTCTGGAAAACAAAAACATGAGAAGAGCCTGCAGGATCAGGCCAACGTCCCATCTAGTCTTACAGTGGCCAGCCAGATGTCTGTGGGAAATCAGCAAGAGCGCTCTCCCCTCCTGTGGTTTCCAGCAACTGGTATCATAGAGTTGGAAGGGACCCTGAGGATCATCCAGTCCAACCCCGTGAAGTGCAGGAATATGCATCTGTCCCTTACAGGGATCGAACCTGCAACCTTGCCTTTATCCGCACCGCACTCTTACCAATTGAGCTATCCGCTACGGCCTCAAACTGTGGAGCCAGCACACAGTAGCTGTTGAGAGCCTTCTCCTCCGTGGAATTTGTCTAATCCTCCTTTAAAGAAATGCAATTTGGTGGTTATCGCTGCCTCTTACAGGAGCAAATTCCATATTTTCAAGTGCTATCATGATAGCCTCTTACTCACCTTTTCTCTTAAAAGTCCCGAATGTTGTGACCTTCCCTCACAGCCCCTTGATTCGAAACAAAATAAAAAAAATCCTTCCAGTAGCACCTTAGAGACCAACTAAGTTAGTTATTGGTATGAGCTTTCGTGTGCATGCACACTTCTTCAGATACACTGAAACAGAAGTCACCAGACCCTTATATATAGTGAGAGGGTGGGGAGGGATATTACTCAGAAGGGTGGTGGGAATGGGTGATTGGCTGATAGGTGTGGTAAACCTGATGACTTAACGACTGCAATTGGTCTTACAGGAAAAAGCAAAGGGTGAGATGGCTAAAAATAGCTTTATCATGTATAATGAGATAAGAATCTAATGTCTCTATTCAGACCAGGTTTCTCCTGTTGATTTAAAGCAGAGTCTCGTGCCCAGCGGAAGGATGAGGAATACGTGCTGCATACTCTATATTGCTTTATTTACAGTTCAAAGCTGGTATATTACAGAAAGACATCTTGCCTCTGCCGGAGCAGAAAATGCATCCTCTCTCCTCGACAGCTCGGAGAGAATCACACAGTGAAAAACAGGAAACCAGTGTACGTCACATCCAGTCTCCCTTTCCCGTGAGAAACTCCAACAGTACAGACTGTGGAATGTAAACACCTGTCTCGTGACAAGCAGAGCTGCACAGTGAAGGAAAGCAGAAACCAACATCCTCCCCCTTTCTGTGAACATCACTGGGCAGCGTGTTTGCACAATATCAGTACAAACCCAACTTCTGCACATAGGTACAGTGTTGATCCCTCGATACAATCTTGGACAATACATCAGCAGGAATTTCATTACCTGGCATATAGGACACCGTTACGAGTCCCTTCTGAATACATTCCCTAGCATGCTGCAACTTTAATTGCAAGTGCTTTGTGCTTTGCTTACAACCTTCAGACTTCAGCAAAGCCAAACATGCTTTGTTGTCCTGGTAAACCTGGATTGGACATTTGACAGGAATTTTCATATCTTTGCACAATTGTACTAACCATTCACAATCCTTAAGTGAATAAGACAGTGCATTCAGTTCGGCTTCACAAGTACTTAAGCTAACTGTTGTTTGCTTCTTGCATGACCAATCAAACAGACTCTGATTGTACATATAGCAAACTCCAGACGTACTTTTCCTGTCTGTAGCGTCACTTCCAAAACTTGCATCTGCAAATATCTCAAGACCACCAGACTTCTGATTGTTAAATCTCAGTCTGTAATGCATAGTGCCTTTCAAATACCGCGCTATGCGTTTCAGAGCTTTCCAATCCTTGACACTAGGATTGTTGACTTGTCTGCTTAGCAAATTACAGCTAACAGCAATGTCTGGTCTTGAACATCTGGCAATGAAGTTTAGCTTGCCTAGCACACTCCTGTACAGTGTAGTGTCAGAAAATGCTTCTTCAGTGTCATCTACCTGATAACCTGTTGTCATCGGTGTGTCTACAGGGTTAGCATCCATCAGATTTAGTTTGCTTAACACATCAGCAATTTTCCGTGACTGGTGTACTAGAATGTTACCATCTTGATCTCTCTCTATTTCCAGAGATAGGTAGTTGTTTACCTCACCAAGATCTTTCATGTCAAAGTGCTCTTTCAGTTGAGCTAGGGCGTTATTGTACATTGCGACATCTTTCCAAAAGAATAATAAATCATCAACATAAAACAAACAGTACAGTTTCTTTTGCCCCTCCTCTTTGACAAATACACATGGATCAGCTTTCCCTTGCTGAAAACCTAGAAAACAATACTTCAGTGAGTTTTGTGTGCCAACACCGTGCACTTTGTTTGAGACCATAAAGGGATTTCTTCAGAGCACAAACAAATCCCTGTTTTACCTGTACGCCATCAGGTGGAAGCATATAAAGTGATTCATCTAGAGATCCGTACAGAAAAGCTGTATTAATATCATGGTGACTAATGTGTAGATTTTCCTCTGCAGCTAGCTTGAGCATAAGCCTAATGCTTTCATATCTCACTGTGGGTGAATAGGTCTCGTGATAGTCTTCACCTGGTACCTGTGCAAAACCTCTGGCTACCAATCTGGCTTTGTGTCTGACTATCTTGCCATTTTGATCTGTCTTCGCTTTGAAGACCCATTTGCTTCCAAGCAGTTTCATTCCTGGAACTACTGGAACTAGCTCCCATGTTTTGTTCCTTTCTAAGGAATCAAGCTCAGCCTTCATGGCATTTAACCATGGCTCAGCTTCCTTTGAATCCAAACCCTGGATTTCTTGGAAACTTGAAGGTTCAAATACCTTCTTGGAGCTTTTAACAGCTGTTACTGCTATCTTAGCAAACTCATCAGCAAATCTCTTTGGAGGTTTGCCTTTTGTAGCTCTCTGTGACCTACGAATTAGCCTTAAGTCTTCAACACTCTCCTCTTCCTTCTTAGGAGAAAAACGACCTATTGTGAACAATGGTTCCTCCAATTCTTGATCAGAGCTTTCAGAGGGTCGCATAGAGGCTTTCGCACTCTCGAAATCCTCTGAATCACCCGATTCAGTTTCAGATTCAGACTCAGAACCTTCATCAGTGGGTGTGGGTTGTTGTGGTTGCTTTTGACTATCCTCAGTCTCATCACCGTCATCAGGATAACATTGGAAAATTCCCACATTCTCCCCCCCTTTGCATTGTACTCAACACTTCTCGTGAGCTTAATTGTCTTAGAGTCAGTCATCATTATTCTGTAAGACCCTTTCTGATAACCTAGAAAGATACCATGCAATCCACGCTTGTCTAACTTGGAGTTTTGTGGTGAGCGAACCCACATGTCAGAACCAAAAATCTTCATGTGTTTGATGTATGGCTTCTTGCCAAACATCTTCTCATAGAGGTACAACCAATCGCTGAAGATAACCTGCGATTGTAACTGTAAACAAAACACGAGAGAGATTCGGCCCAATAACTCTCTGGAAGATTGGCATCATGCAGCAAGGTTTTTAACCCTTGAAGCAATGTCTGATTTGCCCGTTCCGCAAGTCCATTCTGCCATGGCGAGCGAGGACTAGACAAATCGTGTTGAATTCCTTTCTCAGTCAGAAAAGCTTCAAACTGCTGAGAAGTGAATTCCCCCGCGATCACTGAAAAGAGTCTTTATCTTCTTACCATGCACATTTTCCAACCAAGCACAGAATTCCTTGAACCTAGGAAAAGCCTCCGATTTCTGCTTGAGATTGTACACAAAAATATATCTAGAAAATGCATCAATGAGAACCATGAAGTATCTATTTCCACCCAAAGAGGGCGCTAGTGGTCCAACCAAATCAGCATGAACAACCTGGTATGGTTCTGTAGCTTTCCTACTAGACACCTTACCTTTCGCAGCCATTTTCACTTTGTTTGCTGCGCATGCTTTGCACTTCATGTGGTACCTGCAGGGTTTAATAGTCATACCTTCAACCAAGGCAGGCATTTTAGATACTGCCTCAAAATGCAAATGACCAAATTTTCTATGAAAATCGTGAATACATTCTGCATGCAAACTTTTGTTAGAACCTGCAATGCAACAAGTGTCATCCTGCACCACATCATCATAATACAAAACAAACAAACGATCAACATATTCTGCATGCAATACATAATCATTTTTCTTTGTGATGATGCACTTCTTGTTCTTGAAGGAAACGTCAATGTTCCGCTCATTCAGCTGTCCAACGCTGAGCAGATTATGTTTGGCGTCTGGCACGTAAAGCACATTCTGTATCGATAAGTCCAAACTGTGAAGAACAACAGTTCCGTAGCCTTTACTGGGAATAGTGTGGTCATCCGCCTGGTGAATCGCACCTTCCTGCGGTGTAAAAGACACAAACAGTTTCTTATCGTTGCACATGTGGTGGGTGGCCGCTGAATCAACAACGAAGAAAGATCTAGACGTCTTCTGGACCTCTGCAACCTTTGGAGTGAAGCGTGAAACCATAGCCTTGTGCTGCGTTGTCCTAGACACCGGACCTTTGCCTTTGCCTCGGCCTTTTCCGCGCGATGAGCTTTCGCTGCGCTGCTCTGTCTTGGCCCTGGGATGTCTGCATTCCCTCTTCATATGGCCTAGACGTCCACACGAGTAGCATTTCACTGCCTTCAAAGCTTTGGCGCCATCTGGTGGTTCCACTGCACTATGGGATGACGTCTGTGAAGACTCCCCCTTGCCCATGCAGCTAGCACCCGGCGATCTGCTTCATTTAAAATCACGGCAGTAACAAAGTCCACTGTCAGCTGAGCAGTTGGTTGCACAGCAATCTGGGTTGCAACAGACTCCCAACCTGAACCCAAAGATTGTAGTATCATGAAAGAATACACAGCCTCTGGAAAGTTGAGTCCTCTCTGTTGCAGCTCATGTCTCAGATTTTGCATCTCCATCAGATGTAAACGCACATCTCCACCTTCAGCAAGAGCCATATTATGCAGCTTGTTAAAGTAAAACATAGTGGATCCAGCTTCTGTCCTTAAGTGAGCCTCTCTCAAAGCGTCCCAAATTTCTCTGGCTGAGGTCTTATCACGCAATAGACAGAGCTCTTCTGGGGATACTATCAATGTAAGAGTTCCCCTTGCTTTGGAATCCTTAGCTTTCCATGCATCTGTAACTGGAACTGGGGGGGTTTCTGTAATCACCTCAAACAAACCCTCTTTCCGCAGAATTGCCTCTGCATACTGAACCCAGTCGCTGTAATTTTTCTTGTTGAGCTTAGGAATCCCACAAGCATCCTGAAGGGCCATCATGACTCTGGCATTAGCCTTCAGCGTCATATATATGCTGCTTTAATTCTTGCTGCGTCACTGCTGCAGCTGCCTTATTACAAAGGCGCACTTAAAAGTTACTTTCGATTTCCCCAGCATAGTGACTTGTGCCTGGGAGCCTTTTGCCTATTCCCGGCAAAACCGGCTTTAAAAGTTCAAAGTCCAGCCATAAAGCCATTAACTTGAAGCTGGCAGGCTGCCCGGAGCAGTAGCACATACCTCATCAATCACTTCTACGCGCAGAGCAGATTCCGTTCCGATCTGTCCCTCTGCATTCCGATCCTTTGCCGGCACTCCGATTCGACTTCTGGGCCCATAACCACGTGTTGATTTAAAGCAGAGTCTCGTGCCCAGCGGAAGGATGAGGAATACGTGCTGCATACTCTATATTGCTTTATTTACAGTTCAAAGCTGGTATATTACAGAAAGACATCTTGCCTCTGCCGGAGCAGAAAATGCATCCTCTCTCCTCGACAGCTCGGAGAGAATCACACAGTGAAAAACAGGAAACCAGTGTACGTCACATCCAGTCTCCCTTTCCCGTGAGAAACTCCAACAGTACAGACTGTGGAATGTAAACACCTGTCTCGTGACAAGCAGAGCTGCACAGTGAAGGAAAGCAGAAACCAACATCTCCATGGTTTTAAGTTTGGTAGTAAGTTGCAATTCAGCAACTTCTGTTTCCAGTCTATTTCTGAAATTATTTTGTAATAAGACAGCTGCTTTGAGATGTTGTATAGAATGTCCTGGGAGATTGAAGTGTTCTCCTACTGGTTTCTCTGTCTTGGGGTTCCTGATATCAGATTAATGTCGCATTTATCCTTTGGCGTAGGGTTTGGCCTGTTTGTCCAATATAGAGAGCTGAAGGGCACTGAAAGCTCATACCAATAACAAACATCTCTAAGGTGCTACTGGAAGGAATTTTTTAATTTTGTTTCAACCACGGCAGACCAACATGGCTACCTACCTGTAACTATCCCCTTGATTTTGGTTGCCCTTTCCTGGACGTTTTTCCAACTCTGCAATACCCTTTCTGAGGTGAGGCAGCCAGAACTGCACATGGTATTCCAAAGGCAGCTGTGTAATGGCATCAGGAGTTTTATTTTCCTTTCCTAATGCATGGATTTCACCAGTTTTCACAGCTCAGAAAGCTGAGAAGAAGTGACCGCTAAGTCTAGGAAGTCTTCAAGGTCAGCGCAGCTTGGGGGGCAAGAGACTTCCTCTGTTGGGGAGGAAGGGGAAGGGAGCTGGGCAGGATCCTGGCAACCAGAAATTGGGAGGTGGCATCCAAAGCCCGAAATCTTGCACCCTCCCCCATAACAAAGCAGTTTCCATACTCCATTGGGTTGACTAGCAACTTCAGCAAGCTGTGATTGTCACCATGTTAAATAAAATTATGGAGTCATAGGAGTGCTTTTTTTTTTAAAGAAAAAAACCCACTTTCCATTAGATAATTGCAATAAATCACTTATAAAAACAGGCTTCATGGAAGCGCAGTTAAGTGGGAGGATAGCAACAGCCTGACAGGTGTGACTAATCCTCTTATTTAAGAACCTGAGAGTTAGATTCTTAAGCGCAAGGTGCGGGCGGGGGAGAGAAATGCAGCAAAGAAGTGTTTCTAAAGAAGCAATCTATGCCAGCCAGACTCTGGTTCATTAACTGAGTTCTGAGAGCTGTCAGCGAAGAGCAGGGCAGAAAAATCTTGGTCTCTGGGTCTAAGCAGGGATAAGTGAGAGGTGTACGTCCTCCGTTTTGCATCACTTCGCAGGCCAGGTATCTAGAGAAAGGGCTGCCCCCTTGCAAACTGGTCAGTGTACCTTCCAAACAAGGTGGGGGGAGATTTTCCAGCATGGTCGCCCCATGAGCAACCTTCTTGTGCATGTGGGTGAGGGTGGAGGAAAAACTGGGATGGAGCAATGGATTTGGCTCTCACTTGGAGCATTCCCTCCGTGCAAAATCCAGGGGTGCACATGCTCCTTTCTCCACCCCCCCCCCAAACTACCAAGGCAAACCGTCGCAGTCCAGGGACCTATCCCAGCGACACAAAGGCACTTGAGGGGGCACAGGGGGCTATGCTGTGGGGCAGGCGGGGAAGTTCAGAAGCTGCCTTTCCACCAGGTCAGACCACTGGCGCCTCTCGCTCAGTGACTGTGACCCTTCAGGGTCTCATGTAGGGAGATGCTCTGGGGCCCAAGTTTTATGAATTAACAGAGGAACCAGTGTTTCTCAAACTTGGGTCACCAGCTGTTGTTGGACTACAGTTCCCAGCACCCCTGAAAAAGAAGAAGAAGAGTTTGGATTTGATATCCTGCTTTATCACTACCCTAAAGGTAAAGGGACCCCTGACCATTAGGTCCAGTCGCGGACGACTCTGGGGTTGCGGCACTCATCTCGCTTTATTGGCGAGGGAGCCGGTGTACAGCTTCTGGGTCTTGTGGCCAGCATGACAAAGCTGCTTCTGGCGAACCAGAACAGCACACGGAAATGCCATTTACCTTCCCGCCGGAGCGGTACCTATTTATCTACTTGCACTTCGAACTGCTAGGTTGGCAGGAGCTGGGACCGAGCAATGGGAGCTCACCCCGTCACAGGGATTCAAACCGCCGACCTTCTGATTGGCAAGTCCTAGGCTCTGTGGTTTAACCCACAGCGCCACCCGCGTCCCTCACTACCCTAAGGAGTCTCAAAGCGGCCAACAATCTCCTTTCCCTTCCTCCCCCACAACAAACACTCTGTGAGGTGAGTGAGGCTGAGAGACTTCAGAGAAGTGTGACTGGCCCAAGGTCACCCAGCAGCTGCATGTGGAGGAGCAGGGAATCAAACCCGGTTCACCAGATTACGAGTCTATCGCTCTTAACCACTACACCACACTGGCTCTGACTGCTGATCCTCCTAGCTAGGGATGATGGGAGTTATAGTCCAACAACACCTGGCGACCCAAGTTTGAGAAATGCTGCACAGTTCAACAGCACCTGGAGGCTGCCTGTCTCTGAGTTGACTTATTTTCCGATCCAGGCCCAGCTTGGAAAGATTTTACACACACACAGTTCAAGAGGGGTCCCACCTGGCTGTAGACCCTTCGGCGAGGGAGGCAGGTTGCTTTGTAGGGCAGGCAGGAAACTTTGCTTCTGTCTTTAACTTGCATTAGGACCCCAGCCTAAGACTCCCCTTTAGAATGGGTCTCTTTTTGTAAAGTGCCTCCACTTCCAATAGAACTATTTCACACCGGGATTTGTGAAGGAGATAGCCATCTTCACATATCTCAAGGGATGTCACACAGGATGTAGCAAGCTTGTTTTCCCCTGCCCTGGATGGTAGGACTCGAACCAGTGGCTTCAAGAAGGAGATTCCGACTAAACATCAGGAAGAACTTTCTGACAGTAAGAACTGTTTGACAGTGGAACAGACTCCCATGAGAGGTTGTGGACTCTCCTTCCTGGAGGCTTTTAAGCAGAGGTGGGATGGCGCATTGCTGGCAGTGCCGGATTTACGTATAAGCTAAACAGGCTATAGCTTAGGGCCCCACTCTCTTGGGGGCCCCCCAAAAAATTAAAGGAAAAAAACCTGGATGTACGTTTCCAAAATATAAGATAAACAAAACAAAACCTACATGCAGCAACAGTGTTTTGTGTTGCGTAGGCTCCTATGATATATTTCACTATTAATATACTTCTTAATTGTATTTCAGTTCAACAATTACTTTGATAAAATACATATTTTGTTCTGTGCAAATGGCTTTAGATGATGATGATGATGATGATAATGATAATAATAATAATAATAATAATAATAATAATTTATACCCTGCTCTCCCTGGCCAGAGCCCTGCTCAGGGCGGCTAACACCAGTAAAATTACAATAAAAACATAATGGGGGTGCAATTTAAAATACAGGTTAAAATGCAATTTAAAATGCAGCCTCATTTTAAAAGTAGCCCATAGATCAAAACCATAAGGGGAGGGAAATATAAGGGTGAGACTGAGTCCAAACCAAAGGCCAGGCGGAACAGCTCTGTCTTGCAGGCCCTGCGGAATGATGTCAAGTCCCACAGGGCCATAGTCTCTTTTGACAGAGCGTTCCACCAAGTCTGGGCCAGTACTGAAAAGGCCTTGGCCCTAGTTGAGACCAATCTAACCACCTTGCTACTTGGGACCTCCAAAATGCTGTCATTTGTGGACCTTAAGGTCCTCCGCGGGGCATACCATGAGAGGCGGTCACGTAGGTATGTGGGTCCTAGGCCGCATAGGGCTTTAAAGTTCAAAACCCTGTACTCCACCGGGAGCCAGTGCAGTTGGTAAAGCACTGGATGAATGTGATCCCTATCAGGTCCATAAATTACCATATAGCGTATGGTTTTCCCAGTAGTGATGTATGGAAGTGAGAGCTGGACCATAAAGAAGGCTGATCACCGAAGAATTGATGCTTTTGAATTCTGGTGCTGGAGGAGACTCTTGAGAGTCCCATGGACTGCAAGAAGATCAAACACATCCATTCTTAAGGAAATTAGCCTTGAGTGCTCACTGGAAGGACAGATCGTGAAGCTGAGGCTCCAATGCTTTGGCCACCTCATGAAAAGGGAAGACTCCCTGGAAAAGACCCTGATGTTGGGAAAGATTGAGGGCACAAGGAGAAGGGGACGACAGAGGACGAGATGGTTGGACAGTGTTCTTGAAGCTTCAAACATGAGTCTGACCAAACTGCGGGAGGCAGTGGAAGACAGAAATGCCTGGCGTGCTCTGGTCCATGGGGTCACAAAGAGTCGGACACGACTAAACGACAACAACACACACACAGCGTATATTCAACACAAAAAAGAGTGAGAATTTGTTGTTGACAAAGGACAGCTCAACATTTTAAGGGCCCCATTACCTTCAGTAGCTTAGGGCCTCATTAAACCTAAATCCGGCCCTGATTGCATGGGGTTGGACTAGATGACCCTCAGGTCCCTTCTGTATATGATACCGTATAGTCAACCTTTAATACAGGGTTGAGGAACCTTAAACCCTCTAGGCCTGGCCCCTGGGAGTCTCCCCAAGCCATGCACCTCTTGAATGCAGGGGAAGAGGTTGAGAGGAGGTAAAGTGGACAAGCGCAGACTTCTGCATGTGGGATATAATTCTCAGAGACATTGAGAGCATTTGCAGGCCTGGGAGCTGTCGGACGGAGGCTCCGTCTCTGCCCTGGACATCAGTTTGACGGTGGCTGCTATGGAGACGCAGGCAGCTGATCTGAAAGTTCAAAAGGGGAGACAATAATTTAATGATCTTGAGAATAATTGCCCTTGTTCTTCAGGTTAATATTGAGGTAGGGATATAAAACAGCCCAATTTCAGGATCAAAGTCATTTTTTTTAAAAGGATATATTGAAATAGAATCTTATTGGATGAAATGGGCTACATGGAGCTGGTATCGAATTAGGCATGAAGCTTAAATTCTTTATTTTTGAAATGTGGGTATAATTACATAAAAGGATAATGTGCTCTAAAGATCCCTGCTGCATAAGCTGAAGTCTAGAGCAGCCGTTGCTAACCTGGCGGCTTACAGATGTTTAGGACAAAAAACTCCCATCGCAGCTAGCTGGGGCTGATGGGAATTTTAGGCTGAAACACCTGAGGGATGCCTGGCTGCCAGGGAAGGTTCTGGAAGGTGAGATGGTGTGAAAAGCGCTGACGATTCCACCGATCCCTTTCCCCAAGAAATGACTGCCAACATGGAGTGTGACAGATGTGTTTTGTTTTTTAACCTGATTTTTTTTTTGAAAGTTTTCAACGTACCATACACTAAAAACCAAACTAATCTAAATAAAAATAGAGAAGAAAACAAAACAAAAAAGACAGAGAGAAAATAGAGAAGGGCGGAAGAGAAAGAGAGAGAATAATAACATACAGAGCCCTCTATCGAGGTAGATCTTAACCCTTTTGCTGTTGTTTAGTCGTGTCCGACTCTTCGTGACCCCATGGACCAGAGCACGCCAGGCACTCCTGTCTTCCACTGCCTCCCGCAGTTTGGTCAAGCTCATGCTGGTAGCTTCGAGAACACTGTCCAACCATCTCGTCCTCTGTCATCCCCTTTCCTTGTGCCCTCCATCTTTCCCAACATCAGGGTCTTTTCCGGGGTCTTCTCTTCTCATGAAGTGGCCATCCTACACAAAAGCAAGTGGACTCTCCCAGCTCTTACTGGGGAGCTGCCCAGAGTGACTTGGGCAACCCAGTCAGATGGGTGGGGTACAAACATCATCATCATTATCATCCTCCAGAACGAATTAAATACTTAAACTGAGGTACCACTGTATTCCAGATTCCAAACTTGTTATACGTTTCTCTTTAAAATTTGACTTTCTTGCCTTTCCCTCCATGAGTTCATAAACTCATCCCATTTACTTACCGTGTTTTAATAAACATTTCGCCTAAGACATGTTATTCTATTTCATATATTATCAATCTCCTACCTCTGCCCGTATTTCAAATCCTGCTTGCGATTTCATCTGATTATAACATTTTTTCAGATATCCCCAAAAGGGCTTCTGTGAATACCCTGTGGTGTTGGTTTCTTATTTTTGCTGTTAGTTCCGCCAGCTCTGCATAATTCATTAGCTTTGAAATCCATTCTTCTTTGGTTGGTGTTTTCTTTCCAGATTTTCACGTGCAAGATAATTGCATTCATAAACAAGTTAATTTTTTATGCTTTCTGTTGTGTTGCCTCTTAGCTCACCTTGTACATGATCTTGTATCTAAATAGTGCTATAGAAAGCCATAGAATGTGTTATGCATTTATATGCCACTTTTCCTCCAAGGAGCTCGCAGCGGGCTACGTGGATTTCCCCATCTCCATTTTATCTTCACAACACCCCTGTGAGAGGTTGCGTCTGGCCCAAAGTCACCCAGTGAGCTCCATGGCTGAGTGGAGGATTTGAACCCAGGTCTCGCAGACCCTAATCCCAACGCTCTTAACTGCTACTCTGCACTGGTTCTCTGAAACAGTGCAGAGTAGCAGTTAGGATGTTGGACACTTCAGTGTCATTGAGCTGTGCCCTCTGTATTAGCTGGCCACAAGCGCTTGCAATTTGACTGAATGGGTTTTTAAAAAAAAAGAAAGGAAAAGATTTGGCTAAGGCAGCTCTGGCTCCATGGTTAATGCAGGATTATTCTTCATTCCCACACCCTCGCCCTGCAAATCCCAAGCTATCTTGCTGCCTTGCAAAGTCTTAAGAAAAGCATCAGCCACTTATAAAAATGGTACACGCAGGAGTTTTTGAGCAAACCTTGCTCTTTGATAATAAAAAAAAATTCTTTCTCCTTTTTGTATTTTTATATACACGTCCTCCTGAGTGGTTAACAAATTAAAATCTGCAGAACACAAATCCGGTCTGCGCAGAAACGATTGCTGCTGCTGCAGCTGCACTATGGGCAGAGCTGAACGGCGAACTAGCATAAAGACGCATGGAGCAGCGTGAACACTGATAAAAACAGCGCTAAAACCCAGGGAGTGGGGAAATCCTAAAGGGGAGTCTTTCTGGGTGAGCTGTGCAGTTCACCAGCTTAACAGCACAGCAATTATTAGCGAAACCTGAAAGAGGAGGAGAAACAGAGCGGTCTGGTGTGTTGCCTTAGCGCTGCCAAGAGATTATGCTTGTGTGTTTCTGCCGTTGCAAAGATGTTCCCAGGCCTTTCCCCTGCTTATTCTTTGTATTGCTCTGATGCGCACCCTCCCCTTATCTCTCTCTCACACACAAGACAGTACAAGGGCAAGTGGGAAAAGGGTCGTTGGCGATGTGGCCTACAGCGCAGCCAAGGAGAAGGCGGGTTACATCACCCCGGTCCCTGGAGGTGTCGGGCCAATGACGGTTGCCATGTTGATGCAGGTGCGTGGCCTTGGTTCGCGGAGAGAGCGCACTGGTTGTACCTGTGGGAGGCGCATGGGCTGCGTTGCTCTCCCACAACCCCACCCTCAAAACTCTTGCTTTCCCCCAGAGCAGCTGCACATTATGTACGGGGGGTGAGGGGAGGAATGGTTGTGGGTGCTCTAGGGTGTTCTGTGTGTGTTTTTGTCCCACCTTTTGGCGTGAGCATGAATTGCAGAGGTGAGGGTGCAGCTGCTACCTATGAATGCATGCTTGTAAATGTTAAATAATGGGATGATGATGATAATGATAATAATAATAATAATTATTATTATTATTATTATTATTATTATTTATTATTTATACCCCGCCCATCTGGCTGGGCTTCCCCAGCCACTCTGGGCGGCTTCCAAAAAAATATTAAAATAATGTAATACATCAAACATTAAAAGCTTCCCTAAACAGGGCTGCCTTCATTCTATTTGACTTTGTGATAGTTTTGTAACATTCTAAGCTGCTTGTATGTCCATCTCTGTTGCATGAAGAGCTATATAAATTGCCGGAATAAATAGCAACCTCCAGTATTTCTGATCACTGTGCCTCTAAATCAGGGGCATATTGGAGTCTGTCATCTATTATCCTTGACCATTGGACATGCTGGCTACAGACGACAGGAGTCCAATAGCATCTGAAGGGCCACAGGCTCTCAAAATATAAACCACGGTGATGATTTAACCTTTGTATTCTGGCTTTCTGCTGATGTAATCAGAGTGTCTGACAGCAGAGATCAGAAACGATAATCCTAAAATGCAGCAACTAATGCTGTAAACAGTTAGGGTCCTTGGTTTTATATCCTGCTTTGGGGGGGGGGATGACCTAAAATTGGCTTCAAGGGCAACAGAAATAATAATTGGCCTTCCGCTAAAACCTACCCAAGCAACCAGGTTGTAATGAAGATGTTAGAACGAGGCAGGGGATGGAGGTGTTGAGGCCGGGCTTCCTAGAGAGTGCATTCCGTAACAGCAGTGCCACAACCAAAAAGGCCCTGCAGCTTGTACCCATCTGCGTAACAATGAGTGATGGAGGTTCTTGGCCGGGGGCGGAAGTCCTTTGTTGCTGCAGCTGGAGGAGCCAGACGCCTGTGGAAAGCCTGCAAGAGGGACTTGAGTGCAACTGCACTCTCCCTGGCTCCCAGCAGGTAGTATTCAGAGGGAGAACACAGCAATTGCGGCCAGTAGTCTTTCCAGGTGTGTGCTGGGCTCCTGTTCTGTCTTGCCTATGACATTATTGACTGACCTGCTGGAACGTTTTGTGTGACGGACCTTTCCTTGGTTCGCTTCTTTGTTTTTCAATACGAATTTAGAGCACTGTAGAAAGTGCGCAACGCTTTCTGGAGAAATATCAGCCTGGCAAGTGGAATATTCAGTATAACCAGCTGATCCCTAGAACGCCTGTTCCAAGGTAAGGAACATCTTATGGCTGGAAGGCCATTGATAGAGATTATTTCGTTCTGGTTTTTGCCTGAATTTATATGGGGGGGGGTGTTGGGGCATGGGATAGGGGGTGTTGTTTTTATTAAGTCTTTGTAGAGGTCCAGCATGTTCTCTCCACTACTCACAGCAAAATGGGGTGATAGAAACTTGGAACTGATGGAATATATTTCTGCGGTCTGCAAATGGGTGATGCAATTGATTTTTGTTGAATTTGCAGGGAACAGCTTTTTTATAATAATAAAAAAATAATCTAGGTGGTTGTTGTTTTAAAACAAGGTCTACCTTCCCCCAATCTGGGGAAGATCATGTGGATCTTAATCTCAGGGTTGTGCATTTGAGCTCCACATTGAGCAGAGTAAAGGTAAAGGGACCCCTGACCATTAGGTCCAGTCATGACCGACTCTGGGGGTTTTGCGCTCATCTCGCTTTATTGGCCGAGGGAGCCGGCGTACAGCTTCTGGGTCATGTGGCCAGCATGACTAAGCCGCTTCTGGCAAAACCAGAGCAGCGCACGGAAATGCCGTTTACCTTCCTGCCGGAGCGGTACCTATTTATCTACTTGCACTTTGGCATGCTTTCAAACTCTAGGATGGCTAGGATGGCAGGGACCAAGCAACGGGAGCTCACCCCGACGCAGGGATTCAAACCACTAGGCTCTGTAGTTTAACCCACAGTGCCACCCACGTCCCTACATTGAGCAGAGAGAGCCTTGCAATTGCAGGGTGTGGTGGACCAGATGATCCTTGTATGATGCCTTCCAAGTCTGCAATTCTGTGGTTCTAGGAATATCTCCAGATGTGGCTGGGACTGACAGGTGTTGTAGTTTTAAAACAGCCGGAGGGCACCCAAGATGAGAGCTCGCTCTGGTCCATCCTTCTCCTGCTAATTTTCCAGCTTGCTAGGAGCCTTTCTTTTAGGCAAGCACTCAGAAACATGACTCTCCCTCCATACACACACAACTGTAGTGGTGAGAGCCAGGGTGGTGTTGTGATTAAAGTAGTGGGCTACAGCCTGGGAGGCCTGGGTTCGAATCCTCACTCAGCCATGAACTTCACTGGGCCAGTGATCTATAACTCAGCATTAAAGCAGCTTCCTATAGTCCTGCGTATCGTCTCTCCGTAGAACTCTTCCTCACCGCCCTCTTGTTGACTTTCAGCGACATCGAAGTATCCCGGTCCTGCTTCCCCAAGCCCATCGGCCAGCTGGCCAAGGAGATCGGTCTGCTCTCAGATGAGGTGCAACTCTACGGCCAGTGCAAGGCCAAGATTTCGCTGTCGGCGCTGAAGCGCCTGAAGGACCAGCCCGACGGCAGATACGTTGTCGTAACGGGGTAGGTTTCATGGGTCCGTTTCTGCTACTCTGGTCGGCTCGTAGCCTTTTTCAGTTGGGGACATTGGGGAGCAGCCTGCCAGGTGGGGTGGAACCAGCCAGTGGCGTAACATGGGTTTCCAGTGCCTGGGGCTGCTTGGAGCTGGGTGGGTGGGAGAGAGGGATGGAAACAGACAGAGTATGCATTCACATTCAGCTGCCTAAAGGTGTCCGTGTCACTCAGGAGTATTGCAGCCACTGTGATAAGAAAAGAAGAGTCGTTCGCTGGAAGTGCATGTCGGGATCTCCGCTCGGCCAAGCTGATAAAGCTCATCTTCCTCCGACTGCTTCGGAATCGCCCCCGATGAATAATTAATGACCTGAGCCTTTGATGAGGCCTCAGGCACGTTCCCCCATTCAGCAGAGAATCCAAAACAGCACGCGGAAGTGATGAGATTTATGGCTACATGCTATGCTTTATTACTAAGCTACGTGGAGAGCAAAGAAAAATGCATCCTCTCTCTGTGAGAGCAGAGAGCAACTGAACAACAAAGGAACAGGAAACCAGTAACGTCACATCCGTCTCCCTTCTCCCGTGAGACTTCCAACAGCCTGGGATGTCTCTGGAATGTAAACAGAGCCTTGTGACTCTAAGCAGCTGCTCAGTGGCAAAACAGAAACTAACAGTGCACAGCTGTGTTGAGGCAGCTCTGGGTGCTGAAATTGTGCACCCCAAACAATTTTGTGCCCAGGGCAGCTGCCCCCATGGCCCCTCCCATGCTGTGCCACTGGGTGGAGCCGCTGCACTGACTTCCCAGGAGGCAGGTGGTGGTTGTTTGCTGGGAGGGGCAGAGGTGAGGCAGCACGAGATCGGCATCGTGGCCGTCCTGTGATTTGCTGGACCCCAAAGAGCTTGTCTTGAGCTTTGAATACCAGCGCTAAGGGTGCATGCAGGAGATCACCTTGTTCATAGCCTGTCGGCTTTGCTCAAAGGAAACGGGTGCATTTTCCCAATGCCTTCGGGTTTTTTTGTTTTGTTTTTTTGCATTTCAGTATAACGCCCACACCCCTGGGAGAAGGGAAAAGCACCACAACAGTGGGACTGGTGCAAGCGCTGGGAGCATACCTTGGTCGGAATGCCTTTGCCTGCGTTCGGCAGCCTTCGCAAGGACCCACATTTGGAATTAAAGGTACGTAAAGGTGGGCCGTGGGCTTGATCCAGCAGCCTCTTCTTATGTCCAGGGTGTACCTGGAGATGCTGGGGGGCGGGGTTAAACCTGGAATCTTCTGCATTCAAGGCAGATGCACGGCCACAAGCTATATCCCTTCCCAGAACATTACAGTGGTACCTCGGGTTAAGTACTTAATTCGTTCCGGAGGTCCGTTCTTAACCTGAAACTGTTCTTAACCTGAAGCACCACTTTAGCTAATGGGGCCTCCCGCTGCCACTGCGCCGCCGAAGGCTGATTTCTGTTCTTATCCTGAAGCAAAGTTCTTAACCTGAAGCACTATTTCTGGCTTAGCGGAGTCTGTAACCTGAAGCATATGTAACCCGAGGTACCACTGTACTGAAAATATTGTTTCCGGTATCAGTAATTTGGACTTAAAAGTTATGAGATAACACAAGACAACTTACAGATAAGCACACGATCTACTTTCATCTCTTGTAATCAGATGCAGGAGGTTTTCGGGCAAGCCTTTTTCTTGACACCCATCACTGCTCAGAGAAGTTTGTCGGTTTTAGAAGCCTGTGCATCCTCTTCGTAATCTAAAGATGCTCACACTTTTAAGAAATTTAAAGAATATCTAGCTAAATATTGTAATATAAGATAAATAGAAAATTAATGGAAGTAATAAATAGGCTTGGGGTAGAGTAAGAATATGTGGTAGTAAATATTAAGGATTAGAATATTAATAAAAGAGAAGAGGTTAATAAATGAAAGGAGTTAATGTTATTAGAAATATGAATTTGGAGAACTGTTAAACAGGTGATATAATGAAATTCAGTTAGAGGGGATTTGAGGAAGTCAGTTATCAATGTAACGAAAATTAGGGATTTGAAGTAATAATTCTTTTTTGTGTTTTTTTTCTCTTTTTCTCTGTTGTGTGTTTTGTAATGTTTTCTTTTTCTTTCTGTGATAAATGTGAAAATCAATAAAAAAATAAAATAAAGATGCTCACGCTTTTTGCAAGCGCGGTCTGATGAATGGCATCCTTTCTTTTATACAGGTGGTGCGGCTGGAGGTGGATATTCTCAGGTTATTCCTATGGAGGAGGTAACTTGATTCCTTAATTTACGACTGCATTTGAGACAAAACGGTTGATGTGGGATTAGCTCAGTCAGTAGAGCACTAGACTCTTAATCTCAAGGTCGTGGGTTTGAGCCCCACATTGGGCAAAAGATTCCTGCATTGCAAGGGGTTGGAACTTGTGGTTCCTTCCAACTCTACAATTCTGTGATTCTGTGTTTAAAGCAGGGCTGGGAAACCTTTGGGAAGCCTGTAGTGATTGAAGGAACTTTTTCTACGATACCCACTTCCCTGGATCTCTGGAAATTTTGCAGTGTGACATCAAGAGATGGCTCTTGTCTCTTACCTATCAGAGAGCAACTTTCTAACCTCGCCTGTAGGAACATTGCTAATAATAATAATAACAATAATTTATTATTTATACCCTGCCCATCTGGCTGAGTTTCCCCAGCCACTCTGGGTGGCTTCCAATCTAGTGTTAAAAACAATATAGCATTAAATATTAAAAACTTCCCTAAACAGGGCTGCCTTCAGATGTCTTTTAAAAATAGGATAGCTGCTTATTTCCTTCACATCTGAAGGGAGGGTGTTCCACAGGGCGTGCGCCACTACCAAGAAGGCCCTCTGTCTGGTTCCCTGTAACCTCACTTTTCGCAATGAGGGAACCGCCAGAAGGCCCTCAGAGCTGGACCTCAGTGTCCAGGCTGAACGATGGGGGTGGAGACGCTCCTTGAGGTATACAGGACCGAGGCCATTTAGGGCTTTAAAGGTCAGCACCAACACTTTGAATTGTGCTCAGAAACGTACTGGGAGCCTGTGCAGGTCTTTCAAGACCGGTGTTATGTGGTCCCTAGCAATCATTCCCAGTCAGTAGTCCAGCTGCCGCATTCTGGATTAATTGCAGTTTCTGGGTCACCTTCAAAGGTAGAGCGCCATGCAGTAGTCCAAGCGGGAGATAACTAGAGCATGCACCACTTTGGCGAGACAGTCCGCAGGCAGGTAGGGTCTCAGCCTGTGTACCAGGTGGAGCTGGTAGACAGCTGCCCTGGACACAGAATTAACCTGTGCCTCCGTGGAATATTTCCCTCTCCAGCTCATAGTCCTGTTTTGGGACTTGCTGGGCTTTAACAGAGGGTTTGAGGTTGTTGTTGAGGTCCTCTCCACCCCAATACAATTTGTCTCCCCTTTTTTGTCATGGGTATTCTACTCAATATTGATCCAGGGTAGATTCCATTGTATAGTTAGCAGAGTAAAAAACTTAAACTTGTTGCAGGATTCCCCAAAAAATAGACCAGAGGCAATTAATATTTCATCCAGCAGAGCTTTACTGCCACTGAAGGCAAATGAGCATAATGGTCACAAATCCAATACAATTAGGATTGGCACTGTCCATAAGAAATCCAGTTGCAGCAGACTTAACTTAAACTTGCAATAACTTATAATAAGTCTAAATCTTTTGTTAATGAATCTTAACACTAAGCATACTATGTACAGTCATACTTCATGTTACATCCGCTTCATGTTATGTTATTTCAGGTTACGTCCTGCGGCAACCTGGAAGCACTGGAAAGGGTTACTTCCAGGTTTCGCCACTCGCGCATGCGCAGACGTGCAAAATGACGTCATGTGCAGAAGCGGCGAATTGCAACCCGTGCATGCGCAGACGCGCCGCTGCAGGTTGCGCTCTTTTCATGTTGTGTACGGGCCTCCGGAATGGATCCCGTTCACAACCAGAGGTACCACTGTTCAGAACACCACACCAGAAGGAAAGAGAGATAGAAAGAGAAAGTGTGACGCCCAGGCTCCTTCTGGCCTATTTTTATAGTCAGCATGACCTTGACTGAAAGAGATAACAGAACTAGTTTAAACTAGCTGCACTCAGCTTCTCTGAAGGAATAACCCAAACATCGTGAACCTTCTTTCACACAGAGAAGCTTCCAGAACCCTCTTGAATTAATTAGAATAGGAAAGATCTCAACACATCAGATCAGTGCTTTCTGCAATAAGAAATGCAAACTGACATTTTCCGTCCTCTCTAGTTCAATCTCCACCTCACTGGCGACATCCACGCCATTACTGCAGCCAATAACCTGGTCGCTGCCGCTATTGATGCCCGCATCTTCCACGAGGCCACGCAGTCTGATCAGGTAACATGGTGCAATTTATCTTTTCCCCTGTAGTGTGTGTGTGTGTGTGTGTGTGTGTGTGTGAGAGACTTGTTGAGTGCCCTGCAGCCACTAATGAAGTGCCTTTGCTCCTTAAGGCTCTCTATTCCCGATTGGTCCCTTCTGTTGACGGCGCCAGGAAGTTCTCCAACGTCCAGATCCAGAGATTGCGGGTGAGTTTGCAGAGCCTGTTCCGGTAACAAATTTCCAAGTCCCTTCCGTGTGGATGTTTCATGGACTATATACTCAGGGATGTGACCATCTTGCATGTTTGCAAGCATAGAATTTGGTTCAAAGCCCAGAATCCTTTTATTTTATTAAAAAAACTTGTACTGAAAACAGCAAAGCATAAAAAAACCCAGGCAAACAGGAGGCAAAAAAATGCAAGGTCAGGTATCTGGCAAATGTATACAAAGAGTAATGTGAGGACTTGCCTTAGACATTCAGAAAACAATTACAAAATCAAAAAGTCACACAAAGGACTAATCAAGAACACTTAATGAAGTCATATTTGTGCATCAGTGTTGTCAGGTAGGCCATCAGGAGCCAGCAGACAGTTGCAAAACCCAGAATCTTGGCCCTGTAATTTATGAGATTTGCACCCAGGCAAAGTGTGATGTACTATGCCAGCCCTCACCAATTCCCTCCAGCTGTTTTGGTGGATAGTCTGAAAGAGCTGGAGGGCACCAAGGTGGAGAAGGCTGATTTGTACAAGTCTCTCTATTTCTTCAGGAAAATCTGGCTCTACATTATATATCTTCTTTCAGATTAGGCCCCTGTTCAAGTTAGCTAGGCAGGAAACACACTTAGGACCCATATCTATAGCTGGCCCATTGAAGCTGAAATTCTGGCTTAAAAAAAATTCTGTCACTTACATCATTCCTGGTTTGCACAGGATGCTAAGCCATGGCTTAGACAAACCATGGTTCAGAGTTATGTGCAAACCATGCTTTTTCACATTTCTTCTTGGCAGGTTTCAAGTTTCAGCCTAGGTTTTTAGACGCTGCTCTCCCTTTATTTATTTATTTATTTATTTTGCTTTAAGAACGATTCCCCCCCTCCAAAATGAACTTGCTCATTTCCTGTAACTACCCACCATCTTATTTCTCTCCCCCTCCTTTCGTTCTTCCTCAGAGATTGCATATTGAGAAAACAGACCCAAGGGCTTTGACGGGTGATGAAATAAACAAATTTGTGAGATTGGATATTGATCCAGATAGCATAACATGGCAAAGAGGTATTGGCGCAAAAATAACCCACAGTGGGCAAAGTAGAAAGATGTTTAGAAAGGTGGGGGAGTTTGAGCTTTTGTTTTTGTGTGTATACAAAAAAAATGGTTTAAGGTTTAGACTTAGAGATTCCTGCTTATCTCCCTCCACTGCCGGTCCCCATCCCAGAGCCTTCAATGTTAGCCAAAATCTGATTGCACACAGATTATAGATAGTTTTGATCCTCCGCTTCCTGTGTAGCAGAACTGTCCATCCTCCAAGGAGACGGCCGTTGCTTCTCTGCATGAGTCATTGCTCTGGGCTTGCCGACTTTCAATCAGGAACACCCCCAGAATTGCTGGGCCTTTACAGAGTTATTGATAGGGCTGGCTCAAGATTTGAGGAGGGCCCTGTGCGATATCCCCTCTGCTGGGCTTATCTGGTAGCAGGAAGTGGCCGGCAGAGATGTTCTGGTCAGCACAGGGTTTCGGAGCTACCATTTAATTTGATTTTCTGTGCAGGCTAGCCGCACGGACGCTGCTGGGCAGCTCTCAAGATGTAGCTGCTCAGCACTGATTGGAACGCTTGGGGGAAGCTGTTGACCTCTAAAAGTTTTTTGAGAGGGAGAGGGCTGTCTTTGTGTGCCTGTGTGTGTGTTCCTGCATGTGTTTGAGTGTGTGCACGTATGAATAGGCATTCACCTTTCAGCAGCTTTTCTGAGCTAATGGGGTAGGCATATGGTTGTCAAGCCTCTGCTTAAAGACCTCCAAAGAAGGAGACTCCACCACACTCCTTGGCAGCAAATTCCACTGTCGAACAGCTCTTACTGTCAGGAAGTTCTTCCGAATGTTTAGGTGGAATCTTCTTTCTTGTAGTTTGGATCCATTGCTCCGTGTCCGCTTCTCTGGAGCAGCAACCTAAGGCCCAGGGGCCAGATGCGGCCCTATCACCTTCTCAATCCGGCCCATGGGTAGTCCGGGAATCAGCATGTTTTTACATGAGTAGAATGTGTGCTTTTATTTAAAATGCATCTCTGGGTTATTTGTGGGGCATAGGAATTCGTTCAGTTCCCCCCCCCCCCAAAAAAAATATAGTCTGGCCCACCACATGGTCTGAGGGACGGTGAACTGGCCCACAGCTGAAAATGGTTGCTGGCCCCTGCTAGCCCCCCCCCAAAAAAAGCCTGCCTAAAATGCCCATGTCACAGGGTCCTTTTTAACCTGCTTTCACTCATCCATCCATTCATTCTCTCCTTCCCTCCCTCTCCTCTCTTTCCCTTGCTCAGTGATGGACACAAATGACAGGTTTCTGCGGAAGATCACTATTGGGCAGTCTCCAACCGAAAAGGGGTTCTCACGCACAGTAAGTGCCCTTTCTCCTCTCATTCCGAGATGCTTTCTTATTGTGAGGGTGGTGGTGGGGAACTGGCTGGTCTTTGAACAATAGCATCTTACCCTCCCTTAGCAACTGGGTTGACCTTAAGCTAAGAGGTGTTGGGGTTTTTCTTTCCCCACTGAGTGTTTTTCTACAGATGATGTGCATGAGAACATAAAAGTGTGTGTGGGGGGGTGATAATATGTACCTGGTGCTAAATTGCTCCGAGGGGCTGGCTTTTCCACCCACCGTGTTTTGGAGTACCTTGGTAATCAAACAGCTTGGCTGCCAAACAAATCTGCTCCTGAACGCTGCAAACCCAGAAATGAGTACAGTGGTACCTCTGGATGTGAACGGGATCCGTTCCGGAGCCCCGTTTGCATCCTGAGTAGAACGCAACCCGCGACTGTGCGTCTGTGCATCATGATTCACCGCTTCTGCACATGTGCGTGACCTCATTTTGAGCGTTTGCACATGCACGAGTGGCGAAACCCGGAAGTAACGCGTTCCGTTACTTCCGGGTCGCACACACAGCATAACCTGGAAATGCTCAACCTGAAGCATATTTAACCCAAGGTATGACTGTATTCTTGGGACGTGGGTGGCGCTGTGGGTTAAACCACAGAGTCTAGGACTTGCCGATCAGAAGGTCGGCGGTTCAAATCCCCGCGACGGGGTGAGCTCCCATCGCTCAGTCCCTGCTCCTGCCAACCTAGCAGTTCGAAAGCACGTCAAAGTGCAAGTAGATAAATAGGTACTGCTCCGGTGAGAAGGTAAACGACATTTCCGTGCGCTGCTCTGGTTCGCCAGAAGCGGCTTAGTCATGCTGGCCACATAACCTGGAAGCTGTACGCCGGCTCCTTTGGCCAATAAAGCGAGATGAGCGCCGCAACCCCAGAGTCGGCCACAACTAGATCTAATGGTCAGGGGTCCCTTTACCTTTACCTTTATGACTGTATTCTGGTTTGCAAATGTTTTCAGAAGCTGAACATCCAACGCAGCTTCCGCGGCTTCTGATTGAGTGCAGGAATCTCCTGCAGCCAATTGGAAGCCGCACCTTGGTTTTCGAACCATTTCAGGAGTTGAACAGACTCCCGGAACAGATTAAATTTGAGAACCAAGGAACCCCTGTAGTCTTCTCCATTTCAGACATCTAGTTTGCTTGACTCTGTGTTGTCTTTGGCATAAAAAATGGCACCTCTTCCAGCACAACCTTGCGCTATCTTTCCTGTGGAACAGGGGTAGTGGTTGGAAACCTTTTTCATCCCTTCTGGGGACGGCATGCGGGTGGTAGGTGGAGCCGGAGGCAAAATGTGGGTGGAGCAATGGAGGTGACTCTTACCTTACAACAGGTGACTTTCCAGCCGTACGAAAGTGAGAGGTAGACACCCGTCATTTATCTCTATTTTATTTATATATTTTGTTTCCCAAGATTTAGACACCGCTTGATTGTAATAAAACCTCAAAATGGTTTACGAAAACAACAACATTATCAGGGGTTGGGGGAACAGCTAAAAACAACGATTGGGAATATTTAAAAAAAGAAAAAGAAACACGGAATCGGTGATCAGCTAAAAACCACATTAATTTGAACAACCATAGGCAACACGTGGCTAATAATGTGCTAACAAAATATTTACAAAATTATAATGTTTCACAATTCATAAACAGAAAATATGCAATGGAGTAATGAATCATCGGAGTCAAATAATGTTCACGAACAACGATAGAGAGTGTAGTTAGTCGGTATCAAAGAACCTGGAGATGGAGGCAAAATGCCTTTCAACAGTCACAGTCCTGCAAATGAGCAGTGATTGGTGCTCCGAACAAAGTGTAGAACAAAGTGTAGTTTTTACTACACTTCTCGGTGATTGCTGATCCTTTGCTACTAGATGTACCTGTAGGGACAATTCATTTGCTGATGAAGAATTACCATTGAAACAGTTCATCATCCGGAAAAACGGTTCTGCACTGACTGTGACTGTTGTTGTTAGCAAATTATTAGCCGCGTGTTGCTTGTGGCTGTTCAGAGTTGTCTGTTTTGCAACACGGGGGATTTCCTTGGTTGTTTATTCAAAAACCAGATTAAAGCATACGTCATCATTCTGCACGCCTTAAACAAAGATGTTTTTAGCAAGCAGCAAAAAAAGTACAGTGAAGGAACTTGCCCAGTGTCAACAGGCAGGGAATTCCAAAGTGTGGTGCTGCCACACTAAAGATGGATTTTTTCCAGGAAAGCGAGAGGCGTTGTGGCAGTTCATGTTGGAAAATGCCCTGGGGTGCTCCTGCAGCCCCCGCACTCCAAGCATTCTCTGGTATGCGCAGCTCTGGAAAAGGCATTTCCTTTCTTCTCCAGTGTGCTCAGCGACGTATACCTGATGGCATATTCACACTAATCTTCTAGCATTGCACAGCAAGAAGTGTGAGACATCGTAGAGCTAATCTACGTATTTATTTACACACTATGTACAGACAAAGAATTATGGCGTCCTCTCTCATCAGCTCCGAGAGAGAACAGGACGAAGTAAAAGCAAAAGTACAGTCCCAACAGTACCCACAACGGAAGAGAGAAAAGGCTGTCTTCCATTCCCACCGTCTTCCCAGACAGGCATGTGATTTACACCAATCACATCTGCAGCAACAGATGCATGAAATACTAACAGTTCAAGGATTCATTCCAGAAAGGCAAAAGCACTCAAGGAAGGTGTAGCTTTCAGATGTGGGTGACCTGGGAAGCGTCTTGGGGGCCAAGCAAAAAGGCCACATTGGCTCCTGAGTCTAATGCTTCTCTTGCCTGTTAACCACAAAAATCCATCTTTCCATCCAGGAAAACAAGAGGCACTCTTGCAGTTCAAGGCGAGAACCAGTGTGGTGTAGTGGTTAAGAGCGGTAGTCTCCTAATCTGGGGAACCGGGTTCGCTTCCCCGCTCCTCCACATGCAGCTGCTGGGTGACCTTGGGCCAGTCACACTTCTCTGAAGTCTCAGCCCCACTCACCTCACAGAGTGTTTGTTGTGGGGGAGGAAGGGAAAGGAGAATGTTAGCCGCTTTGAGACTCCTTTGGGTAGTGATAAAGCGGGATATCAAATCCAAACTCTTCTTCAAGGACACATTCCAAAAACACTTGAGGAGGGCAATGAACAGGGTCAAGGAGATGTGGCATGGAGAGAGTCCTGAGCGGGATGGAGAGGCTTGAGGTGACACATTCGTTCCCAAGGGTCTGAGGCTCCCCACCTTTGCCAGGGGTATCATAGAGTTGGAAGGGAGCCTATCATCTACTCCAAGCCCCTGCAATGCAGGAATAGGCAGTTGTCTCTTACTGGAATCAAACCTGCAACCTTGGCATTATCAGCATCACACTCTAACCCAGAGCTTTCCAAACTGCGTGTCGCATCACGTTAACATGTCGGCTGCAGTGTGCAGGTGTGCCGTGCGAATGCTCCCTGCGCTCCTCACGGGGCTGGAAAGGGGTTAGTTTAAACCTCTGGCTTGCTAGTAACACTGAAGTACCGTGTCGCAAAATGATGCATGTCTAAAAAGTGTGTCACCAGCATGACAAGTTTGCAAAGCTCTGCTAAGCAATTCAGCTACCCAGAGGTCAGGGGTTGAACAAAGTGTATGGGGTGAAAGAGGGGGGGTCTTTGTTCCAGCCTTGCCCACTTTGGCCCTCCCCACCACCAGGGTAAAGGTACGGGCCAGTCGTGTCCGACTCTAGGGTTGTGCGCCCATCTCACTTAAGAGGCCGGGGCCAGCGCTGTCCGGAGACACTTCTGGGTCACGTGGCCAGTGTGACATCACTGCTTTGGCGAGCCTGCACCAGAGCAGCACACGGAACGCCGTTTACCTTCCCGCTATAAGTGGTACCTATTTATCTACTTGCACTTTAAGGGTGCTTTCGAACTGCTAGGTGGGCAGGAGCTGGGACCGAAAGACGGGAGCTCACCCCGCCGCGGGGATTCGAACCGCCGACCATGCGATCGGCAAGCCCTAGGCGCCGAGGTTTTACCCACAGCGCCACCAGGGTGCCCAGATACAAAAGAAGGCAAAGCTCTGGGAATGTCAGTGGGTGTTGTTTGCAGGACCAGCTATCCCTGCTGAAATCCCCTCGTCTTATCTCAACCTCTGCAGTTTGCAGGAGCCCTGCCCATCCACCAGCATGCAGCCCCCAACCGCTTCCCTCCAAGGAAACAGGGCCCTTGCGAGGCAAGGAAGAGTCCCCCACCCCACATCCCCACTATAGAGTTTGTATCCGGAGACAGTGGTTCTCCTTTAAAACAAAAAAATGCTGCTTGAGTTGAAAGGAGACTGTTTTTGGCCCTGTCCTTCCCTCCGGCAGGCTCAGTTCGACATCACGGTTGCCAGTGAAATCATGGCGGTCTTGGCTCTCACAGATGGCCTGGAGGACATGAGGCGTCGCCTAGCCAAAATGGTGGTGGCTTCCAGCAAGAACGGCGTTCCAATTACCACAGAAGATCTGGTACGTAGGCCATAATCTTCCTCAGAAGACAAAACTTTGCCAAAACTGACCTTGATGGTGCAAGTTTCCCAGAAACCTCTGCCGGATTTAATTCTGGTTCAACTGTCTCTTGGATCTGGGTGTTGAGCTCATAAACCTAAGCTGGCCCCAGGATAATTTAGAATGATAGAATTGTGGAGTGGGAAGGGACCCAAGGATCATCTTTTCCAGGCATAGACAACCTTGGCCTTCCAGATGTTTTGGGACTACAACTCCCATGATCCCTAGCTAACATGACCAGTAGTCAGAGATGATGGGAATTGTAGTCCCAAAACATCTGGAGGGCCGAGTTTGCCTATGCCTGATTCAGTCCAACCCCCTGCAGCGCAGGAACGAAGCAGAACCTGTGGAGCATCTTCTTCTTTGCGAGCCCCTTGTGATTCAGGTAGTCTGAGGAGGCCCTGCTCCAGAATCCCATTGTGTGCCTAAGGTAAATTGCCCTGGACACCAGCTTTAATTTACATTTTAAAATTAAAAATAGGGAGAAGTAGAGGCCTCGCAAGCACCAAGGCTGGTCTCTTCGGCACTCGAGCACTATGCTTAGGATCCCAGAGGTAGATCGTACATGTGTGAAATTGCCCTACCTGTAATTATGGAATGGTGAGCATGGCATCCTCAATTGTGTTCATTTAGCATCCTATTTCTGTCAAGGTAGAATAGTGGGCTTCCTTGCGGTTCTTGGAGCATCCTAAACCTGAAGAAATTGGTCAGAACTGCCACCCAGGTAACTCTAAACACTTCTTTCTTTAGGGAGTTAGTGGTGCCCTGGCAGTTTTGATGAAAGATGCTATTGAGCCAAACCTCATGCAGACTCTGGAGGTAAGTGCATATCTTGTGCAAGCTTTGTGCTGTCAGTTGGAAATCGGAAAACCTACCTGCCCCCCCACCAAAAAAAATGCTGTGAGGCAGTGGTTCTCAAGAACATTTTGCACCTGACAACCAATCACCCCTTCACGGTTTGCCTTGTTTGTTTGCTGTGTTTCCAAAGTGGTTTGCGATTAAAAAAACATTAACACAAACAAATAGGATAGCTCAGTCATGAGAACCTTAATCTATGAAATGGTAGAAAAATAATCTCAGGGTGGCATCAGCTGCCGATGGCACTAGATCCCTGGCCTGGATTTATCCTCTTCTGCCTGCCCCCAAGGGGGGAAAAATGGCTGGAGAAGGAGGGACAAAGGCTGCCTCAACAGATCTCCCAGGCCACTGGCGGTCCAGTCAGGAGCTGGTGGCTCTCTGCTGCTTGGCCTAGTCTTCCTAGCTTCTGCCTTACCTCAGAGCACACAGGTTGTAAGTAGGGGTTGGTCTTCATGTTGCTTAAAACAGAAATTATATAGACCTGTCAAGGGCAACTGGCTATGATCAATAGAACCTCCCCATGCAGAGGCATGGATTACGAGTTACTGTGAGGAAAACAAGAGGAAGTGTTGTTTAACCAGAGATGTTGTTGGAATCAGGATGCTAGCCTGGGATTCTTGCAAATTCTGCAGGCTCTTAATCCAGAGGCAAAGCTCTTGCTATTTAAAGTTAAGTACCGAAATATAACGCATCAAGAATGGATGTGGTTTACAGACTTGTCGCATTCCCAGAAGGTGTGGGGGTGGCCAAGAAAGGACTCTGAGCTATGAGGGAAGCCAGTTCCTAACAGGCAAGATTGCATCTTCTTCCCCTACCCTCAGCTAGCAGAGGTGGAGGTGGGGGGTTTGCCGTCTGCATTCCTGAAGGAGCCAGAAAGGTTTAAACTTCCTGGATCCTGCCCATTCTGTGCAGGGAAGGATTTGGCTTGAGAAGTGAGAGTTCCCTCCTCTCCTGTAGAACTGTTTGGGTTTGACAGGCACAGAAAGAGAGAGCCCCATTTCATTTTGCTTTCAATTTGTATACCATCTTTCTATATTACTATACACAAGACGGTTTGCAGCAACAAAATATACACACCTTATAATAATCTGATCCAGTGTAAAAAGGCATAATGAAACATAACTTTAAAAATGAACGACTTATGTCATATAAAGTGATATTCACTGATGTGTTAGAATATAATAGAACACAACAAAATTAACTCTCAAATAATAATTAAATTCACTCTTAACAATTGCAATAAATATCGCTCAGCTTGGGGCGACACAGAAGGGACTGTGATGGGCTGATTTTTCTTGCTGATTTTCAGTTCTACCCAGTTTCCACTTTGTTGGGTTGCTTCACCAGAGACACTTGAAGTGCTGCAAGATTTTTAGAGCCCTAACACATGCTTACTCGCAAGCAAGTGCCATTGAGATCCATGGAATTTGCTTCTGAGTAAGTGTGCGTAGGGCTTGCCGATCAGAAGGTCGGCGGTTTGAATCCCGCGACGGGGTGAGCTCCCGTTGCTCGGTCCCTGCTCCTGCCAACCTAACAGTTCGAAAGCACGTCAAAGTGCAAGTAGATAAATAGGTACCGCTCTGGTGGGAAGGTAAATGGCGTTTCCGTGCGCTGCTCTGGTTCGCCAGAAGCGGCTTAGTCTTGCTGGCCACATGACCCGGAAGCTGTACACCGGCTCCCTCGGTCAATAAAGCGAGATGAGCGCCGCAACCCCAGAGTCGGCCACGACTGGACCTAATGGTCAGGGGTCCCTTTACCTTTTAAGTGTGTGTTGAGCTTGCAGCATTCCAGGTGGCAAAGCATCTTTTCTCCCTTTGCATTTCCTTCTTCCAGTTGCATTTCCCCCTTCTCTTCTCAGGGCAACCCTGTGTTTGTCCACGCCGGTCCATTTGCCAACATTGCCCATGGCAACTCATCCGTCCTGGCAGACAAGATTGCCCTAAAGCTCGTCGGCAAGGAAGGGTTTGTGGGTGAGTCTCTGTGCGCCATTTACTTACAGAATTCACGGCTGCACGATGCAGTAGGTGGGGGAGCCTGTGGCCTTCCATAGGTTTCTGGACTACAACTCCCATGATCCCTGTTGGCCTCTCTAGCTGGGGATGATGGGAGTTGGAGTCCAGCAACATCTGCAGGGCCATGGGTTCCCTATTGTTGCTGTTGCACCGAAAAACATTTGTGAAATTGACCTAGTAGTTCAAGGAGGAATAGCTTTGTGAAGTTGTGTCCCCTTCCCCAAGTTTGTTTCCCATAATCATTTCAATGATTCCATGGCTTGTTTACTTGGGTGTAAGTCGTATTGAACACAGTGGGCTTACTTCTGATTGGACATGCATAGAACTGCTATGGGTTTTTACAAGGCAATTCTTGTTTTTAAAAAATAAAATAAAAAGGCAGAGAGAAATTCAAGCCTAAAACAAAAGTCTTGTGTTGTTCAGAAAGGCTTGCAAGGAACAGCACGCTGTGAGTTCATCTATTTAACAAGCCTGCTTCAGTCACTGCCCTTTCTCTGGAGGTGTGTTTAACACTGCACCTCACGGATAAAATGAGATGCTTGAGGAACAAGCCGCCCACTCTGTAGAAGGGTGTATTTTTCTGCATATATTCAGCTGCTGTCCACTGAACTGGCAGCCCCCAGGGAATGGCAGTGGCTGTGTTTTCCACCGTATTCTCAAAGAGCACCTCAGAACAAGGCTTCATGGGGGAAACAAAATGGCCTCACCTCTGTTTCAAATCGCGCCAAAATAATTTTACCTCACCCCGGGATTATAGCCAGACAAAACAGCCGGTTTCAAAGTGGGTGAAGTGGCTGAGAAAATGGGCTTTGTCACTTTGGTTCACCCTTCCGGCTGCTATCATTTATTTATTTAGAATATTTACATGCAGGCTTTAAATCAGAAGTAACTGAGGCAGAGTGCAACATAAACTTCTTCTCTGACGATCACTTGTAGCTGAGTAAGATTGTCTTCCGTTTGAGGACCTGGACATTCTCAGGGAAACCAAAATAATCTTGATTCCCAAAATGCAACACAATAACTTAAGACAATCCACTAAAACACATGAAACACCATGAGGGTTTGAAAATCTGCATCTTCCCAATCTAAGGAACAGGTTTTATTTCTAGGTGTTTTTTTTTTTTCCTTTTTTGCCAGTTATTTTTATTGATTTTCCGTAATTTTTATCGAAATTATTACAAATTTAAAAGCTGACTTCCAGCTCCACCCCCGACGTTCCTTCTTTTTCCCTCCCTCCATTGCTGCTCCAAATACATTTGCTTTCCCAACTTTCATTTCAATATTCAATAAAATCAAACATATTTATTTATGCAATAATATTTCAACCTTTGTCCTTTCACATCGGCTGTACAAGTACCAATTTCCGCTTAAGACTTTTGTATATATTATTGTAGCCTATCCATAAAATAACCAGGTAGATAAATCCTCCTTTATCTGTCTATGATAATCATGAATCAATAATGACATATCAGTACTGTCAGGGCCTGCTCTGTATCCAGGGGGAGACCATTCCACAAGGAATGACTTTTGTGGGAGCCCACCTGGCTGCTTGGGGTCCCCAAACCAGAGGACATTTTGCATAAACTCTTTGACGCTGTTCCAGCTGGAGCAAGGACTTTGCATAGCTAGGAAAGAGGGAGGGCAATGAAGTGACTAGAGCAGGCATCCCCAAAACTCAGCCCTCCAGCTGTTTTGGGACTACAGTTCCCATCATCCCTGTCCACTGGTCCTGTTAGCTAGGTGCAAACAAACAGCAGAAGTGCCAGGTCAGGTCTGCTGATGTGTTTGCACCATGCTGGCCACGTCGCTGCCTTGCCCCTCTCCCTCCAGGTGTGCTGCAGTGACTCAGGTGATGGGAGGCCAGGTAAGCTGAGCGCTAGGAGCCGAGAGACTCAATGGCTTGCCGGACCTCTGCTAGGAATGCCTTACCCTTTGTGGCATCGTCACTGCCCTGTCTCTCCTAGTTTGCTGCTGCTGCTGCTGCTTATTAATGCCATGCCTGGGGAGCTTCTGCTGGAGGTGTGTGAATAGAAAGGAAAGAGGAGTTATTAAAACCCTCTGGTTTTCATCCTTGTTGTGCATCTCTGGTTCAGTTGTGCTTCAGGCAGTTCCGTTTCCTCGTTTCGCTCTTGCCGTTTTGGCAAACTCTTGCACGTTTCTCAAAGCGTGAATTCCTCCGAGCTGAACACTAGAGTGGATAGGGACGTGGGTGGCGCTGTGGGTTAAACCACAGAGCCTAGGGCTTGCCGATCAGAAGGTTGGCAGTTCAAAGCCCCGCGATGGGGTGAGCTCCCGTTGGTCAGTCCCTGCTCCTGCCAACCTAGCAGTTCGAAAGCACGTCAAAGTGCAAGTAGATAAATAGGTACTGCTCCAGCGGGATGGTAAACGGCGTTTCCATGCGCTGCTCTGGTTTGCCAGAAGCAGCTTAGTCATGCTGGCCACATGACCCGGAAGCTGTACGCCAGCTCCCTCGGCCAATAAAGCGAGATGATCGCCGCAGCCCCAGAGTTGGCCACGACTGGACCTAATGATCAGGGGTCCCTTTACCTTTAAAAACAACAACAACAAAAAACACTAGAGTGGGTGGCTTAAGGACGGAGATTAAAATGAGAATGATGCTAATGCTGCCAAGCAAATAGAAAGGAGATTGTACATAATATAACGCAGTGTTCTCCTTTTGTTCCGCCTGCAGTGACAGAAGCTGGCTTCGGAGCAGATATTGGCATGGAAAAGTTCTTTGACATCAAGTGCCGGTATTCTGGGCTGCAGCCCCATGTGGTCGTCTTGGTGGCTACTGTCCGAGCTCTGAAGATGCATGGTGGAGGACCTACGGTGAGTGGCGGCCTTTGCGATAGGGAAGCCCAGAGACCAATGCTTAAGTCATTTTAGTTCCCCCATTCTGGTGCCCTCCAGGTATTCTGGACCGCATTGCCCATCAGCTCCAGCCAGCACGGCCATTAATACCTGTGGATATTATCCACATGTATGTTTTGATTTCTGAAGACTTAAAATTCAGGATAAATGAAGATACATACAGAGAGGTGATGGGACAGAAGGGAAATTTGGGAGAGACATACCAGAGTGGCTTTTCTCAGGGTGTGTGACTGACGAAGAGGGAAGCTCTCCCAGGTGAGAGCTGAGAGGTTTCACTTGTCAGTATGAGAATCAAAAATTAAGATATAATGGAGGGCTGTATATATACAACTCTGTGCTCTTTCTTTTCTCGTTTTCTCCCTTCATTTTCTGTATTGTTGTTGCTGTCATTTTAATAAGTATTTATTTTATTTTTTACATAAAATGCAGTAAAAATCTAATTAAATAGCAGAAATAATAGGAAACCAAGAAAGGACAATAAAGGAGGGAAAAAGAGGAGGGGGGAGAGAGAAAGAGAAAGGAGGAAAAAATAATAGCTATTACGGCCCTTTATCACATTTATATCATATGGGGGGAAAAAACCCAACTAGTCTAAAATAGTAATAGATGGGCCCTTTAGCACTTTTGTTGTTGTTATTTTAGACTCGTTGGGTTTTTATTCTATCACATGTTGAAAACTCTTAATAAGATTTATATTTTTTTAAAAAACTGGAGGGCACCAGATTGACTTATCCTTCCCCAAAGTGTGCAGTGATGTTGAGGAATCTGGCTCCACTTTCCAGCTGCCCTTATTGGGTAGCCAGTGCTCTCAATTCCTCTCCAATCTCCCTCGGTTTCTTTTTCTGATTCTGATCCTCTCCCTACCCCTTACCATCCATCATGAGGTTTATTCTCTTTCTTCATTGGAAAAGCAAAAAAACAAAAACACATTTTGCTCTTTTCCCCGCCCCCTCTATACAGTCCTCTGCTTGCTTCTTATTTAAAATTTCAAAACGACAGCTTCTGTCAGTATATAAGTGATGGTTAACGTTATGAAGGCGTCGGGCTTTTAATTTGCATTGCTCCTTTCCCCTCGTGGCCCTTGCTGTTTAGATAAGCAAAGCCTCCTTGCAGAGACTTGTCTCTGATGAATTAGGTTTACATTGGCCGCGTTGGCGGAGCAACCAGACTGCCATGTTTCAGAAACAAATCTCCATTTTGGGTAGGCAGCAATGCTCTGCTTTTCTGTTTCTTACAGATTCCTTAGGCTTTGCGGCATAAGCAAGAAGCAGTTTCTCTAGCTGCCCCCCTTTTTCCTTTCTGTAGCCTAATCCCTGATAAGTATTCTGAATATTTTCCATATTTAGCTTCTCCTTACAGAGATGTCAAGCAGAATTACTGGCCTTCTGTGTCAAAGAACGTTTGCTTTTTTGCCAGTCTTAGAAATACCTTACTTCCTTTTTTATCTTTTGAGTTCAAAGTGATCTTATTTTTTAACAGACGTGTGTGTGTAGCTAAAGATGGAGTAAAAAGTGAGTGAGAGAGATTTGCACACACACGCACACAAACACACGTCGTGCCTCCTGGTGACTGGCAAACAACCTCTTCTTTGCTTAGCTTGGAACAGGAGCTAAGACGAGTTCTTCTCCAGAAAAATGTTAAGAGTCTGCAGGAGGAAGGGGGAAGGTCAAATTTATTCCCTCAGCATTGCCCACTGCTTCTTTGCTAATGAGATCTTTTGTGTGCCGCTGGCTATCGTCTTCACAGTCTGGTGTCTCTCCTCCTTTGGCCTCACAGCCTTGTGTTGAGAGGTAATGATACGTCCCTGGAGGCAGCCATCTATTCTTTGCGAATTCATCAAGAGGGAAACAATTGCTGCTTGGTTCATTATGTTAATGTGCAGGACTCCTAGACGTGAGCCAAAATTCACAACCTTTGCTATGTCCTTGTAGAAGAACTCCCCTTCTCTCTCGAAGTGGGGACCTTTCCTAAAAGTCTAATTTGTGCCCACTCCACCTCTGGTCCACTTCATCCTGCTTGTGAGGAACCTGAAGCACCCCCATCGTTCTGCCCGGACACTGAGGTCCAGCACTGAGGGCTGTTCCCTCACTGCGAGAAGTCAAGTTACAGGGAACCAGGCAGAGGGTCTTCTCGGTAGTGGCACCCGCCCTGTGGAACGCCCTCCCACCAGATGTCAAAGAGAACAACAACTACCAGACTTTTAGACAACATCTGTTTAGGGAAGCTTTTAATGTTTGATGCATTACTGTATTTTAATATTGTGTTGGAAGCCGCCCAGAGTGGCTGAGGAAACCCAGCCAAATGGGCGGGGTATAAATAATCTATTATTATTATTATTATTATTATTATTATTATTATTAACCTTCTAAGCACCTTCAGCAGGAAGCCCACTTCACAGTCCATTGTTACTGGTTCACAGCGGGTTGGGAGTGCCTACTCTCTCCCTATACAATTTATGACAGCATAAAAAAATTTCCTTTTTTTTTTTTTGAACTTCTCAACAGGGCTAAACAGGCTCCCAGGTAAACGCCAGGGTTGGGAATGAAATTGGAGTTCATAGGGAATGCCACCTCCAATGCCTGTTTTTGCTCTTTGCAGGTCGCTGCCGGAGTTCCCTTGCCAAAGGAGTACACTGAAGAGGTAACAATAATCTGCCAACTCTATTTACTGTTCCCTGATCTAATAACAACTTTGCAAGACACAAGGCAGCCTCTGCGCCCTCAATACGTGCCCTTAAATGCAGTACATATACTTCCGCTCTGAAAAGTGCTGCTTCCCGTCTCTGCTCTGAGGAATAAAGATTGCTCATTTTGAGCCAAGATTCAGGGACCCAGTTCTTACATCACAATCCCAGGCCAGTAAACCATGGTTTGTTGGTCCCCAAATGATCTGTGTGGCCACACCTCCTTCCCTCATGTACCTGATGCCAGCACTTCTAGCCTAGGTTGTTGGAAACCACAGTTTTCTGTGATGTCCAAACAGAGAAACCGTGGCTTTAAGCTCTGTTAAAGACCAGGATAAGGGACGTGGATAGCGCTGTGGGTTAAACCACAGAGCCTAGGACTTGCCGCTCAGAAGGTCGGCGGTTCGAAACCACCCCCAAGACGGGGTGAGCTCCCGTTGCTTGGTCCCTGCTCCTGCCAACCTAGCAGTTCGAAAGCACGTCAAAGTGCAAGTAGATAAATAGGTACCGCTCTGGCGGGAAGGTAAACGGTGTTTCCGTGCGCTGCTCTGGTTCGCCAGAAGCGGCTTAGTCATGCTGGCCACATGACCTGGAAGCTGTACGCCGGCTCCCACGGCCAATAAAGTGAGATGAGCGCCACAACCCCAGAGTCAGCCACAACTGGACCTAATGGTCAGGGGTCCCTTTACCTTTAAAGACCAGGATATGAAATCAGTTTGTAAGCAGCTATTAAGCCATACGTTTCTCTAAACCTCGGTTGGTTTGTCTAACTTTGCTTTCCCCGTGTTTTTTGTATCTTGCCACGTGTCAGGAATGACGTGGCCAGGTTCACACATAGCATCGAGCTATAAATGAAATGAACTGAGTGTCGTAATCCAACAAGAAACCATCAGGATTGTGGTTTGTTGGCAGTAAACAGTAATTCAGCCACTTGGCAGGGTTCACATACAACACAAAGCTATAGTTTAATAAACCACGGCTTGGCGTTATGTGTGAACCAGGCCAGTGGCAGTCTGATATTGAATGTAAGCAAGAATATATGGTAAAGACTCAAGCTGCTTCAGGTGAGGAAATTAATCCTGAAAAGGGGGTGAGTCAAAGCTTCAGAGGAAATTTAAATTACTTAAGTATTAAGAGATCACTCTGTAGCTTGGCCAGAATCCCCACCCACTGCAGCTCAGGTTAGGAAGTTGAAAAGGAGAGTTTTTCTCTTAGACATTTTGTTTGCTGAGAAAGCAGAATGTAGGGTGCTCTCAGCACACAAAATGCCTAAGAGAAAAACTCTCCTTTTCAACTTCCTAACCTGAGCTGCAGTGCTTCATTTTTATAATGACACTTTGGGCTTGCAGTGCTCACTGCTCGTTTAATCCACAGGTCTACTTAAAATTTTCCATGCCAATAGTTTTATCTCTCTATAACCTCTCTGTTGCTGCAGCTGTGCTTTTTTTTTTTTAAAGTAAAGTGCCTGGGAGGTAGCTGAATTCAGGTCAGGAAAATGGTAGACTGGGGCTAAGGGTAGCTTCTGGCTGTTTGGTTGAGGATTATGTGTTTGTATTTTAGATAAGCCCAAGCCACTGGGTGCTTTACAATAAGGCAAGTAGATAAAAATCCACAAAGTCCCCAAGATAACAATCCGTTAAAAACTCCTAACAAATCACAGAAGAGCAGGTACTAACAGAAGCAGCGGCAGTCAGAGTTTGCTTCCAGACACCCTCCAAAAAATATGCATCTTGGCTAGCCATCTAAAACAAAGCATTTACCTTTCCCACCAATATAAGCTCCTGAGGCAGCTTACAGCAAATGATGTTGCAGTGCACAGTTTACCACGAGAAAAAGCAACGTTAGATAGAGCAGTTGATAAAGCAGCTTAAAATCCTTCACAATTGGACGTTAACTTTCTTAACTGGCCAAGAAGATGGACAGATTCATACAGACGCCCTCGGGAGGTTGTGGACTCTCCTTCCATGGAGGTTTTTAAGCGGAGGTTGGGTGGCCATCTCGCCATGGATGCTTTAGTTGAGATTTTTGCATTGCAGCGGGTTAGACTAGATGACCCTGGAGTCCCTTCCAGCTCTGCAATTCTACTGTTCTATTATTTAAGTTATCCTGAGAATATGCTTCCGAAATAAGAGGCTAAAGATGCCGTAACAGCTGTACTGGGAGCTGGCAAGTTGCAAAAAGCTACCTAGCACTTGTTCATCCCCAAACAAACTCTCTCCTTTTTTTTCCCCTTTCCTTTTCGTACAGAACCTCCCACTTTTGGAGAAAGGGTGCAGCAACTTGCGTAAGCAAATCCAAAACGCCAGGACCTTTGGCATCCCAGTCGTCGTAGCTGTCAATGCATTCAAGTAAGTATGAGAGCTAAAAGTCCCTGCCTATCCATGCAAGGAAAATAAAGCAGTAAAGGGGACTCACACTATTTCAGACTGCTGTTTTGGAACTGCAATGAAATAGTAGCATATGATCACAGGGCTGTTGTCACTTGGGGCTGCCGCTGAAGCTGGTTCGGAAACTTCAGCTAGTGCTCAGCGTGGCAGGCAGGTGGTTAAAGAACGCAGGGAGGTGGGATCTCTTAACACCAGTTCTCTCCCACTGGCTGCCACTTGGTTTCCAAACTGAACTCAAAAGTGCTGCTTTTGACGTTTAAAGACCTGTATGGCTCAGGACGCCCCCGTACCTAGAGGGTCCCCTTTTCCCATATGAACTTGTCTGGACACTGCAATCAACATCTGAAACCCTTCTCTTGAGTACGAAGGTTGGTGACTGGAGACAAGGTCTTCTCGATAACGGCCTGCCTCCCCGGCCCCTTCTGTAAAATGGGAGGTAATGCTGTCTCACTGTAGAGGCTTCTTGTAAGGATGGCGACAAGATAATGCACATGATGTACTTTGAATGCTGGAAAGCACCATTTATATGGGTACTATTATTATTAACATCTCCCCCAGTGGTGCAATGGCTCAGTGCAACCAGAAGGTTGATGGTTCGAACTCACCCAGGGATGGCGATGCGCAGAATTCCTGCATTGCAGGGAGTTGGACTAGATGACCCTTGGGTCCCTTCCAACTCAACAATTCTTTGATATTTATTATTATTATTATTATTATACCAAGTAACATAGGAAAGGGTGCATTCAGATGAGATGTTTCTCTTGATAAGGCCTTGGTAGCCCTGATACATCCAAAGTCAGGCATGGCCAAACTTGGCCCTCCAGCTGTGTTGGGACTACAACTCCCATGATCCCTAGCTAACAGGACCAGTGGTCAGGGATGATGGGAATTGTAGTCCCAAAACATCTGGAGGGCCAGGTTTGGCCGTGCCTGCCCTTAGGAAACCACCACGTATGGGTGGCCGCTTGAAAGGTGGCAAGCTACCCACACAATATCTTGTTTGTGAGCGCAAATTAAAGCTATCCTGCTCTTCCCCGGTCCCCGCCCCTCCTTCCATGCCATCCGTGAGTCATTCTGCATGTGTCTTTCTTAAATGTGATGTGCATCCACATGAGATGTTGCTCTGAAGTGCATTTGAGAAATGTTCTGTGGCAGCTCTCTGCTCTCGTCTCGTTTTCAACCTTGAATAAAAGAAAATGCCTTCGCTAATCAGGCAGTGCTTTTTCATTCCTGCCAGCTGAATCGTGGGAGGTGGTGGTTGGGATGTCATGAAGATTAAGCACTTAATGGTTTTCAGTGAGCATTAATAGTCAAAATTAAATCTCCCTATGCTTCTCCCTCTATGGTTTACATCATCATTGGCTCAGTATAGTGATAGCATCTCTTAGGTAAAGCTCAAGACGCGGGTGGCGCTGAGGTCTAAACCACTGAGCCTCTTGGGCTTGCTGATCGGAAGGTTGGTGGTTCGAACCCCTGCGATGGGGTGAGCTCTCGTTGCTCTGTCCCAGCTCCTGCCAACCTAGCGGTTCAAAAGCACACCAGTGCAAGTAGATAAACAGGTACCGCTGTGGAGGGAGGTAAACAGTGTTTCTGTGCGCTCTGGTTTCCATCATGGTGTTCTGTTGTGCCAGAAGTGATTTAGTCATGCTGGCCACATGACCCGGAAAGCTTGTTATTGTTTAGTCGTGTCCAACTCTTTGTGACCCCATGGACCAGAGCACGCTAGGCCCTCCTGTCTTCCACTGCCTCCCGCAGTTTGGTCAAACTCATGCTGGTAGCTTCGAGAACACCGTCCAACCATCTCGTCCTTCCAAATGCCTGCTCCCTTGGCCTGAGATTTTTATCTATCCTGATACCAAATAAAAGTAAAGGGTGTACAGGAAGAGGCACTGGATTTTCCTGCTGTTTGCTAAGCTGCATTGACCCAAGGAAAACCATCCACTTGTTTCCCCCAGTGATAACTCTCCGTCAATGGATATCTTTGCAGATCTGATACGGAGGCGGAGCTACAGCTGGTCATCCGGTTGGCTAAGGAAGTGGGCGCTTTTGATGCTGTGAAATGCACCCACTGGGCCGAAGCAGGGAGAGGAGCCATGGCGCTGGCCGAAGCTGTACAGAGAGCATCGCTGGCCCCCAGCAACTTCAAGTTTTTGTACAATGTGGAGGTAAGGATTCTCACTGAACCCTGTGTGACTCCTCTTCCTCCTTTGCGATCTTCATTGAGTTATAATGCAGAAAAAGGGAAGTTATTTTGAGGAAAGGAGTCTGCAGCTGGGCTAGCAATGATTCTGGTCCATGGGTGAGAAACACAGGCATATAAGCAGCAGCTCCATCTCAGTGTCGCCTTCTCTGGCTGGCAGCAGCTGTCCAGGGGGTCAGACAAGCGCCTCTCCTAGCCTTAAGGTCCCAGGGACTGAACCATGCACTTTCTTCATATAAATTTTAAACCTTCCACTAAACTCAGGAACTGCACGTATTGAGTTTGCAAAAAGAAGAAAACAACACATGCCAACATATAGCATATAAATTGCCACAATGAGAGTTGTTCCGGCGAAAATGAATCTTGTTATTTTTACAGGAGCTTTTCATGTTACAAATCTTGCTCCTCCGATTTCCAGTACAGCCGCACCTTGGTTTTCAACCAGCCTAATTCTCGAACGTTTTGGCTCCCGAACGCCGCAAACCTGGAAGTGACTGTTCTGGTTTGTGAACTATTTTTGGAAGCTGGACATCCGACGGGGCTTCCGCGGCTCCCTATTGGCTGCAGGAGCTTCCTGCAACCAATCAGAAACCGTGCTTTGGTTTTCAAACATTTTGGAAGTCGAACGGACATCCGGAACGGATTCCGTTCTGCTTCCAAGGTACGACTGTATTTATCTGTTTCACATTATTCACTTCTTCAGTTATATATCTTCAAAAATATATGTACGTAATAAGCTCCCATCAGTTACCAGTTTTCTTCATTCATAAACCCAAAGACCCTAGCCTTTGTTGCTCACCTATTTTAATAGTTTCTTCCCCCTTAGAATCTTTCTTTGGAGTAGGGAACCTTTGTCGCTTTGGCTGTTGCTGCACTAACGTTCCCAAATATCTGGGCCATTGGCTGTGCTTGCTGAGCCTGATGGGAGCTTGCAGTTCCACGGCATCTGGATCCCCACACCTGCTCTGGGGGAGGACACTGATAAGCTTGTGGGAGACTTGGGAAAGACTGGCTGACTGGGGGTGTGAATGGCTTAGGGCCTCAAAATTATCATAAATGCTCTTGCAGGCTCTCTTTCCACAACTAGCCAAGCCTGAGAGAGAACCTACCCAGCAATCCCCTCTTTCTCTCTCAGGCTAAATCTAATTCCTTGCCCTTGAGTCAGCGGCATAATCAAATTGCTTTCTAATGTCCCTGGGAAGACACAGAATTTTTTGTTCCGAATGCCCAGAATCTGATTGGCATTCTCAAAGCGATGGAGAATAATGTGGTTGTGTGGTTTGTTTGAAAAAAGTGACTTAATGAATGATGGATGGCTTAAAAGGAAAATGAGGCTCGCTGGGCCAAAGTGTTCTGAGTTCCCTTCCACTGTTTCCTCCCTCCGCCTTGCAATGAATTTTGGTTCCCTCTGTGAATCAAGAGGCTCCCCTCCCCTTCCGCACTCATACCTTGCAACTCTCCTGGTGTTTCAGCTGCACTTATGGGGCTTTTCTGAAGGCTTGACTGGTTAGGGGAGAGTAAAAATAAGAATGCACACATGCACCTATGTATTTTAACGTTCTATATCCTCTCCAGTCTTACGGATACAGGAATCTGGCCTCTACTGAATCAGGACATTTATTTTACTTATTTTTAGAATTCCTACACCACCCTTCGTCAAAAAAGACCACAAGAGGGTTTACAACATAGATCATAATAAACGTGTGTGTGTATCCATCCAATAAAAAAAGAAACTGTCATATAAATACGATGCATCATACTAAGTCGCACATCGTCATAAATGATACGCAATGGTTCATAATATCTAATGAGCAATGCATGCTAAGCAGCAGTAACAGACACTGTCAGCCCAGCAAATAAACATTTGGGGAACTTCGGGCATAGCCCCCTAGGCCTTTCCACACATGCACCCCCTCTCCTCAGGCCAATCCCTTCAACTCTGCCTTCTCGGTAGTGGTGCCCGCCCTGTGGAACGCCCTCCCATCAGATGTCAAGGAAATAAGGAGCTATCCCATTTTTACAAGACATCTGAAGGCAGCCCTGTTTAGGGAAGTAATATTTAATGCTGTACTGTTTTTAACACTCGATTGAGAGCCGCCCAGAGTGGCTGGGGAAACTCAGCCAGATGGGCGAGGTATAAATAATAAATTTAAAATTGTTGTTGTTGTTTAGTCGTTTAGTCGTGTCCGACTCTTCGTGACCCCATGGACCAGAGCACGCCAGGCACTCCTGTCTTCCACGGCCTCCCACAGTTTGGTCAAACTCATAGCTTTGAGAACACTGTCCAACCATCTCGTCCTCTGTCGTCCTCTTCTCCTTGTGCCCTCCATCTTTCCCAACATCAGGGTCTTTTCCAGGGAGTCTTCTCTTCTCATGAGGTGGCCAAAATACTGGAGCCTCAGCTTCACGATCTGTCCTTCCAGTGAGCACTCAGGGCTGATTTCCTTAAGAATGGATACGTTTGATCTTGCAGTCCATGGGACCATAATTCAAAAGCATCAATCCTTCAGCGATCAGTCTTCTTTATGGTCTAGCTCTCACTTCCATACATCACTACTGGGAAAACCATAGCTTTAACTATACGGACCTTTGTCGGCAAGGTGATGTCTCTGCTTTTTAAGATGCTGCCTAGGTTTGTCATTGCTTTTCTCCCAAGAAGCAGGCATCTTTCAATTTTGTGACTGCTGTCACCATCTGCAGTGATCATGGAGCCCAAGAAAGTAAAATCTCTCACTGCCTCCATTTAAATTTAAATTTAAAATACATATTATTAATCACGAAAGCCAAAGGTGGGAATCTTTTTCGTTGCCTTTTGGGATCACATTCCTGTGGTGGGCAGGGCTAGAAGTGGGTGGAGCAAAGAATGTAAATTATTTACCTTTGCACAGTAAGCTAGTTTCCGCACACCCCTCTCCATCCTGATGGGCAAGAGAAATGAATGATCAAAGTTCAAGTCCAGCCATGCAGAAGCACCCGAGGAGGCAGGACCATTGAGAAGTGTGATCTAAGGAGAGGGGTGTGGCTTGGGGAGAGTACAAAGGGCCAAACAGAGAGGTCTGGGAGGCCACATCTGTGCCCTTGGCCTGAGGTTCCTCCCTGTCACCATCACTCAGGGTAAGCCTTCCATTTTCTGGTGCAGCCCCTCTTCAGTATGTTTTCTGCTTGGGAAAATGATGCGTTCTTGTTGCTTTCAGATTACCATGATTGGCTACATTCCTTATTGATTTGGCATCCCATGGCGGTAGGGAAGGAATTGGACTGACTCTCTCTTCCGCTCCCTTTCCTGTCTTTCTAGCTTCCAATTCTAGACAAGATAAGAATTATTGCACAAACGATCTACGGGGCAAAGGACGTTGAACTGCTGCCAGAAGCAGAGCAGAAGATTCTTCTGTACACCAAGCAGGTATGCTAGCAAAACATCCTTGCAAGATTGGGCTCTTACGGTTGGATTTTTTGGTGCACGTTCTGATTTTTCCTGCGCACGTAGCCTGAGTTGGTCAACAGCTACCAAGACTGTCTTAATTAATTTCTTAGGAAAGAATCCTAGAAAATTCTTCTTCAGAAAAAACAGGCTTCATTTTGGCATGTTGCCCATTCTTGCTTTTTCTCTCTCTGATATGATGCTGATAATTAGGGCTTATTCTTTTTATGAGCTTGTAAACTTAATTTGTATCTTTTCCTATTTCAGTGGGATGTCATTCGGCTTTTCTTGACACCAAATTCAGACTGCCTTAGTTAAGGATGTTAACATTTTGTAGCTTGTATGTGCATTTGTAAATTTCGAAAAGAAGGTTTGCCCTATAAAAGCATTCCTTGCTAAAATTCCATAGGCCAATGATATGCAAAGCTGTTTGCACTTTATCATGTGCATGTCCATTTAAAAAGCATATTTGGAGTTTTTGCTTACTGCTGCTTACTCACCGCTCCTTAATAAACTAAAGTTACGGCACTCGCAGCTCCAGTTAAGTATCTCAGTTGAAACTTTGCTTCCAAATCACTGGGATGAAATTGTTGTGTTGTTGTTTTAGAAAGCCCAAGGTCCATATTGGCTCCTGGCAAAAGCACTTGCAATTAGCAGATTATCTTCATAGAACTGCAAATGGCAGCATTAGGGGGTCTTTTACTTTCCCTTTGGGGTAGCAGTGCTACTCCGTTGCAGCAGAAATTATACATGAAGGGCTTAGGATTGCAGCCAGATTTAACAGTGCAATCCTATAACACAGGCATAGGCAAACTCGGCCCTCCAGATGTTTTGGGACTACAATTCCCATCATCCCTGACCACTGGTCCTGTTAGCTAGGGATCATGGGAGTTGTAGTCTGAAAACATCTGGAGGGCTGAGTTTGCCTATGCCTGCTATAACACATCTGCTCAAAAGTAAGTCTCCATTGAGTTAATGGGGAATACTCCCAGTTCAGTAGGTTTACAGCAGGCATAGGTAAACTCGGCCTTCCAGATGTTTTAAATCAAGGCATGACAGAGTTGAGTGCACTTTAATTGGAGCAATTTCATAATGTTTTACTGGCAGCCTGTTCAAAAGTTGTCTTGCTCTTCCTTGTGGTCTCCTCAATCCATCATCCAGGGTTTTGGGAACCTGCCTATCTGCATGGCGAAAACCCACCTGTCGCTGTCTCACGACCCAGAACAGAAAGGGGTGCCCTCTGGTTTCATCCTGCCCATCAGAGACATCCGAGCCAGCGTGGGTGCAGGATTCTTGTATCCGTTAGTAGGAACGGTAAGTGCTACATACTGAAAGCTTTGTTGTGTGGATTAAGTCAGAATGGGTAGCAAACATGCAGAGCTGCCTTCGACCTTTTGTCTATGTAGCCCAGTGCAGCCTTGACCAACCCTGGGTTCGCAAATGCCGTTGGACTACAAATCCCATCATCCCCGGCCAGCATGGCCAGAGATGATGGAGGTTGTGGTCCAGCAGCATCCGGGGACCCAAAGTTGAGGAAAGCTGGACTGGCGAAATGCTGTTTCCAGATGAAAAAGAGGGCTGGAGGGACTGTGAATCTCTGCAGTTTGTATGCATCTCATTCTCTTGATGTTAGGCCATAAAGCTCCCCTTCTCATTTAAAAAGCCCTAAACAGCCTCAGGCCTGTATACCCCAAGAAGTGCAGTGGTGCCCCGCAAGACGAATGCCTCGCAAGACGAAAAACCCGCTAGACGAAAGGGTTTTCCGTTTTTCGATGCGCTTCGCAAGACGAATTTCCCTATGGGCTTGCTTCGCAAAACGAAAAAGTCTTGCGAGTCTTGCGATTTTTTTTTGCTCCCCCCCCCTTTTTCTAAGCCGCTAAGCCACTAATAGCCTTTTAGCCTCTAAGCCGCTAAGCCTTTAATAGCCGCTAAACCGCTAATAGCGCTAATCCGCTAAGCCGCAAATAGGGTTGCTTCGCAAGACGAAAAAACCGCTAGACGAAGAGACTCGCGGAACGGATTAATTTCGTCTTGCGAGGCACCACTGTGTCTCCACCCCCATCATTCTCCCCAGACACTGAGGTCTAGCTCCAAAGGCCTTCTGGCAGTTCCCTCACAGCAAGGTGAGGTTACAGGGAACCAGGCAAAAGGGCCTTCTCGGTAGTGGCGCCCGCCCTGTGGAAGGCTGCCCCATCAGATGTCAATGAGATAAGTAGCTATCTGACTTTTAGAAGACATCTGAAGGCCGCTCTGTATGTTTCATATTTTATTGTTTTTATATGTGTTGGACGCTGGGGTACAAACAAACAAACACCTGTTTTGTGTTGTGCAAGCTTACAAAGCAATTTTACTTTCAATGCTTTGTACATTAAGTCACTTTTGTTTTTTGTTTTTTTAAATCAATAAATCTCCAGCACGCTGCATTAAACCTGCAGCCCAGTTACACACTTTCCTTATCCAGATTGACCTTCAATTATTTTATGGTGAATATTGCTGATTTTGGGTGAATATTGCTGATTTGTGACCAGGAGAGAGTTGAGGGAAGGAGCTCTCTTCTAAGATATGCTTGTTAGCCCAAGAAAAAAAAATGTTCTCTGGTATAAATAGCAAAGCACATGTTGCAGAAATGTTCGGAAGACTAAAACATTTTGTCTTGTTTTGGCATCTCCAAATTTGGACGGCTTGGCTTTTAATTGAAATCCCCCAAGCATCTTACGCAAGTCTGCCTGTGGCACTAGATTCTTGCTGTTGTTTTTCCAGGCTCCCACAAAACCATATGATATTAAAAAAAAAAGAAAAGACTCTCAGGAGCTGGCAGCTTAAGGTAATGCTGCTTATGTTCAGGTGGAAGAGCCATAACTCATTGGCAGAAAGAGCCAGCCTTGAGGTCCTGGGTTCAGTCCTCAGGTTCAGTAGCAGGGCTTGCACAAATCCCTGTGCCTTTGGAGCACCATTGTCAGAGTAGGCAGGGACACTACAGGTGACTGAACTTTCTTGGCCTAAGGGACACATCATCCCTGCAGTTCCTCTGGGAGGGGCAGGAACGCTGAACACGAGCACTTGGCGATACCTGTTTTTCAGCATTGTAATATATCACCAGCTAAACATAGCAATATGGGTTAAGAACTTAATCCGTTCTGGAGGTCTGTTCTTAACCTGAAACGAATAACAACAACAACAACAACAATAATAATTTATTATTTATACCCCGCCCATCTGGCCGGACCTCCCTAGCTACTCTGGGCGGCTTCCAACACAATATTAAAATACAGTAATGCATCAAACATTAAAAGCTTCCCTAAACAGGGCTGCCTTCAGATGTCTTCTAAAAGTCTGATAGTTGTTGTTCTCTTTGACATCTGGTGGGAGGGCGTTCCACAGGGCGGGTGCCACTACCGAGAAGGCCCTCTGCCTGGTTCCCTGTAACTTGGCTTCTCGCAGCGAGGGAACCGCCAGAAGGCCTTTGGTGCTGGACCTCAGTGTCCGGGCAGAAAGATGGGGGTGGAGACGCTCCTTCAGATATACTGGATCGGGGCCGTTCCTAACCTGAGGTACCACTTTAGCTAATGGGGCCTCGCACCACCGCCGCGCGATTTCTGTTCCCATCCTGAAGCAAAGTTCTTAACCCGAGGTACTATTTCTGGGTTAGCGGAGTCTGTAACCTGAAGCATCTGTAACCCGACGTACCACTTTATACTGATACATCACAATGTCTGAAGTAAGGATGGAGCTATGTAGAGGCATTAGCTGGCTTCATGGTTTTTCCTGCATCACGATTTTTGCCAGCGCCTGCACTTGTGATTTGCTGGAGGCAATGGAGAGCTGAGCAGGCAGAGAGAAACCTTGGCTGGCTTCGCGGTTTTTCCCACATTGTGATTTTTGCAAGGTACACACACACACACACACCATGATTCACAATATATCGCCAGGTCAAAAATTATGAAACTGATATCACAATATGGACTTCAAACCAGTTTTGGACAATATATCACCCAGCCCTACTGTAGGCGGTATTACCCCTGGCAAGATGTCATGGACTGGCTGGTTGCAGAGGAATGGTGGGAGGAACCAGCCGGGGAACCCCCAAGGGAAGAAGGCTCAGAGCCTGGGAATTGGTGGTGGGACAACGATGAGTGGTCAGAGGGAGAAGAGGGAGCAGACTGGGAGGAGGAGGAGGAGGTGTTGGAAGCTGAAGAGGTAACAGGGCTTAGTGAGCAGGAAGAGTCTGGGGCAGAGAGCAGTGCAGACTCTGAGGCTGAAGCAGAGGCTGGAGGGGAGGGGGACAAAAAGGCAGAGTGAAGACAGGCTGCTGAAGAATCCAGGGAGTCCCCACTTCCTGCTGCGACCAGCTCCGCTCTCTCCTTGGTCTCCAAGAATGCACAGAGCAATGAAAAGAGTGGGGCAGAGATGATATGTGTGCAGCCGCAGTTTGAGACTGTGTGGGGAGGCGAGGAGCCTTAGGGGTGGGAAGATGGGGACATCCAGGCCTTGCAAGTGCCTCATTGGGGCAAGACCTCCTGGAAAGCGTTGCTGAAACCACTAGGCCCGAGCTGCAGTTTGTTTCCCTCAGTAACTATTTACTTGAGTGCTTTATTGTTTTTGCTGACAACCTACGCCTGACACAAGCCACTCAAAAACCAAAGACTTATTCTGGCAGTCTGGGAGCACCGGTTGATGTCGGCCGGAGGGGAGAGGGTGCGTGCAGGGGGTTGAATTTGGTCTTTGACTCCACCGACGTTCTCTTTCAAACTGCATCCCGGAATAAGCACACGTCAGCCAACGAGGCTATTAGCATAATCTTTATGCTTAACATTATTAAAACCCACTCGCTCAGCGCAGTGTCGTTGCTCCCGTTAACATCACTTCAAAACACTAAGATTATAAGGAGCCCTGCGGGTCGGAGCTGGTTTTGTAGCCGGGCTGGTGGAGGAAGCCTTGTATTATGGTCTGTATGGCACAAGCCTGCAGTCCCCTCCCTCCCTGACTGTTTGCAACCTCCCCAGAGAGTGCCAAACACTCGTCTCTTTCTCACTTTTGTGGAAACATTCATAGCCCTGCCAGCTGTGGGAGTGGAAACGAGAGAATGGATGTATTATGCTCCCCTGTACTTCAGATCAGAGGTGCACAGCGAAGGCAGCGTTTGTTCCTTCTACCCTGTTACAACCGCCCACTCGCCCTGCAAAGCTCAGGAACAGAATAAGCACCAGAGGCCTATCAAACGCAGCATCCTGCGGCCAGCCCAAAGTCCTTGAGATGCCCCACAAAGAGAACAGAACCGCCCTAGGCCTCTCCTGTTGCAGCAGCTGGAATTCAGAAGCATCAGTGCCTCTAATCCCGCAGGGAGCATTCATCATCCTGACTAGTAGCTGCAGATATAGTCTTCTCCTCCATGAATTTATCTCAATTCCCTTCTAAGGCCTTTTTGAGCACCACATCTTCTTGTAGTAAGGAACAAGTGGACTGGGAAGATTGTGGCTGGAAGGCTATTGGTATAGATTATTTTGCTCTGGTTGAATTTATTTGGGTGGGTGTGGGATAGGAGGGTGTTTTTTTTTTAAAGAAGTATTTTCAGAGTTGCATCATGTTCTCTCCATCTCCCACAGCAGAATGGGATGGTAAAAACTTGAGCTGATGGAACATATTGCTGTGGTCTGCAAATGGGCGGTGCAATTGATTCTGTCTGTCCCCAATCTAGAGAAGATAAGGAGACTGTTAATCTTAGGGTTGTGGGTTCGAGCCTCATGATGGGCAGCGAGATTCCTGCATTGCGGGGGTTGGACTAGATGACACTCGTGGTCCCTTCCAACTCTACAATTCTATGATTCTAGTGAGCTCTGTAGTTCAACAATGTGAGGAAGTCTTTTTCTCTTTTCTGTCCTGAATTTGCCGTCACCATATGGCTTCGTTGAATGACCCTGGCCTCTAGAATTACGAAAGAGTGGGGGAAAATACATATTTCATCCACTTTTTCTACACCGTACATTACGTTATGTGCCTCTATTGTGTGTCCTGACTTTCTTTTTTCTAAACTATAAAGTCCTAAATCTTTTAGTTTTTCCTCGTAATGGATTGCTGCAGTCCCCTGGTCATTTGGTTTCCCTTTTCCAGCCCTACAATACTCTTTTTAGAGGCGCAGCAGCTAGTACTGTAAACAATATTCCCTTTTTTGTAATTTTTTTATTTATATTTTTCCATTACAATTTTTTAACATTTCATTGAATAGAACTATATATTCATAATCTTTAACTTTCCTCCACGCCCCTTCCATTGTTCTCTTTATTTACCCATCACAACTGCATATTCTAATGACCCCATATGTTCACATTCTCTCCCTTGTAAACAGTATTCCTCATACTGTCCTGGTCTGAGACATCACTCACTATTATATATTTTTGTTGTTGCTATGGAAGGGGCAACGCAGGCCTCTTGAGCAACAGAAATGCAAAAGTGACTCGATTTATGAACACCTTTGAGAGCCAGTGTGGTGTAGTGGTTAAGAGCGGTAGTCTCGTGATCTGGGGAACCGGGTTCGCTTCCCCGCTCCTCCACATGCAGCTGCTGGGTGATCTTGGGCTAGTCACACTTCTCTGAAGTCTCTAAGCCCCACTCACCTCACAGAGTGTTTGTTGTGGGGGAGGAAGGGAAAGGAGATTGTTAGCTGCTTTGAGACTCCTGAAGGGGAGTGAAAGGCGGGATATCAAATCCAAACTCTTCTTCTTCTTCTTCTTCTTCTTCTTCTTCTTCTTCTTCTTCTTCTTCTTCTTCTCCCTGTGCCCATTAAAATATTTGTGCTATAAGAAGAGCAAGGCTGTGGGAAAGGGTGGACACTGGCTTTGAATGGACGGGTCTGAAAGTAGCAGGTGCAAAATGTAAAGGACGGCTTAAATCTCCATCTTTTCTGTCTGATTGTCAGCCCGTGGGTGTTTCTGATGGGCTTGTACCAATGTGAATAAACATCATCTCTCCCTGCTTTTTTTTTTTTTTTAAAGTTCTGTTATGTAAAGTTCTTTTAAGAGAAGGGAGAAAGATCTGGACACATACTATGTAGAGAGAGAGAGAGAGAGAGAGCACGCACATGGTAGAAATTTTGTGCAAGAAAAGTCATTTTTCCTGGCTGCCCAAATCTTGTAATGCAATCCTAGGCATGTTGTTTTCAGAATTAAGTCCCAGTGTATTCAGTGGAGCTTTCTTCCGGGAAAGTGTGTTTTGAATTGCAGGCAAAGGTCGTCCCACCCACAGTGAACCGAGTTCTGCAAGCTGCTTGCTGTATAAGGCAAGGGCATCTTGAAGGTGAAGCAGGAAAAAAAAATCCTGCTTCTCTTGCTCAAGATTAAGCAACCCTTCCCAGCATGTTCTGATCGAACGGCGCTAGAGAGTTATAAATCCAAAAAAAGGGGGGGGGAATAGGAAGCCTCTTGCACAGAGAATTTGCTTCTTCCTTGTTGCCGTACCTGCTTATTTTCTTGAGCAAATGGTTAAGCCAGGCATTAAATGGCTTGGCTGGTCCGCAAGCCCTGCTACGGCCAACTCCTTTGAGCAGATTTACAGCCCTTTGTATGCTGGTTGCTGCTTATGTCTGCAGCTGCGTGAACGTCCCTAACCTCTATTAACCTGCCATGTCTGCTGCCTGCAGATGTACCCATTCAGCACTGACGCGGAAATCCCAGCTGAAAAGGCAAATGTTAAGACCTTGTAAATGGAGTTGTAGACAAGGCTCACTTATTCCGGGTGGGAAGAGCAAGTAGCTCGAAAGCTCGTGCCGTAATAAATATATTAGTTTCTAAGGCCCCATCTGATCTCCTGGTTGAATCCATACATTCCCCCAACCCTCCTCTTTGCAATCAAAGGAGGTTAACAAGACTAGCAAAAAGAAAAAGAAAAAAACATACACTATTTAGAATTCATTCCCATAATGTTCTGGGGAGCCAGATGGGAGCCATTTTCAGAGTGTAATAGGTTTGCTTTGTGGGTTGTTGGGGTTTGGTCTGGTTTTTAATCAGAAATGCTGCTTGCTAGAAATCTTCCCGTCTTTTCTTGTTTTTTAAGCACACGGGTTAATCTTTTAAAAATGTCTCTCGCAGGCCCGGCTCACCTGCAGAAAGAATACCACTGATTAAGGGTTATGATCCCTTGTGTGTGAAGCGAGCCTTCTAAAGAACTGCATAAAAATGTAACATTGCTTCAGAAGTAATCTTAGAAGTGGAGTGGGGGGGTGGAAATACGTCAGCCAATTTATAGCTCTCTCTTGCTTTAAGACTCTGCTGCCTGCATGGCCCACCAGCCAGGATTAAGATATTGGAAGCGGGGGCTCATGTCTCAGCTAAACTTGGAGCTTTCTTTCCCAGTGCTGAGCAGGAAATTCTCCATCCACCTAATTGAGCTCTCTGCAAAATGGGAGAAAGAGTGGTGGAAATCTTTTTCTCTCTTGCTGAAAGAAAGGAAGAAAGAAAAACGAATCGGAAACGTGATTAAGGTTCATCACCTAATGCCTGGTGTGGGAAAAGTGAGTGGAGATGCTTTTCATTCTCCCGTCTCGAAACTACAAGGTCATTCCATGAAACTGCATGGTGGGCGATCAAAGCAGAAAACAGCGTCTTCCTCACACAGTAGAATTGTAGAGCTGGAAGGGACCCCAGCTGTCCTGTGTGTCTGGAGGCAGTTGGAGGATGGTTGGCAGCTAACAGATTGAGGTTGAATCCAGACAAAACAGAAGTACTGTTTTTGGGGGACAGGAGGCGGGCGGGTGTGGAGGACTCCCTGGTCCTGAATGGGGTAACTGTGCCCCTGAAGGACCAAGTGTGCAGCCTTTCACTGGTAGGGAGAGGTGGGAGAGCTATGAGAGAGGGAGGTTGATGCAGTGCAGGCGATCAGTTACACCCGTATGCCCATTCCATGCTGACTGCCTCTCCCTTCAGATAAGCAACAGTTACGCCCCTGCCAGGAAACGAGCTTTGTGGTTCCGCCCCACGGCATGAGCTGTTTCTAAGCGTGCAAAGTTCTAATCGTGGTTACTGGTCCTCATGACCTGTTTGGGGGCTTAGATGATCTGCGAGAAGTGAGGTTACAGGGAACCAAGCAGAGGGCCTTCTCAGCAGTGGCACCCTCCCTGTGGAACACCCTCCCATCAGATGTCAAGGAAATAAACAACTAACGGACTTTTAGAAGACATCTGAAGGCAGCCCTTTAATGTCAGGACCTGCCCATAGTGGCTGTGGCAACCCAGTCAGATGGGTAGCATAACACTACTACTACTACTACTACTACTACTACTACTACTACTACTTCTACTACTACTACTAATAATAATAATAATAGATTCAGGTAGGTAGCCTTGTTGGTCTGACACAGTCAACATAAAAAAATAAAAATAAATTGTCCAGTACCACCTTAGAGACCGACGAAGTTTCTTCTGGGTATAAGCTTTTGTGCGCATGCACACTTCTTCAGATACACAATAATAACAATAGTTATTAATCAGGGTTCGGATTTGAACATTAGCAACCCACAAAGACCACAGGCTCAAGATTGTCGCTGAAACGAATCTATACGTTTACTGGTGCTTCATTGAAAGCGTACTGTTGCCTTCTCGTGAACTTTGAAGCCAAACTCGAAACAATGAGCTTTCCTCTCGTACTTTCCCAAAGAGCCCCACCGACAACAGCAGGGGCCTGTTTGCAGCAACCAAGAGAGCAGCTGGTGTTTTGGATGGGGGACTTTTTGTCTGGAATGCCAAAGAACTAGCAGGCAGATGGAATTAACTTTCTTAATTCCTCCCATACCTCCTTTCTGGTAGAGGCTTGAGTTAAGTTGTGGGTGAACATATCAGACGACACAGCGATTCTTCAAACAGCTCTTGTTTATTCATAGGCCAGAACTGAACTGAACTGAAGGGTTCAGCCAGCCTGCTTATATAGAGCTCCACTAGAACACAACAGTAACCATTTTCTGTAACTATCCAATCACTGAACGTCACTTTCAATCCCTTATTTGCATATGTGGACCTGAGTGAAACCTATCTACAGTATCCTCCTTCTGGCCCAGGGTGAGAACTTCAGTACATAACAGCTTTGCTGGAAAGAAGATCCCAGCTTTGCTCCCCTGTCCCTTTCTCCTTGTGAAGCCACAGGGCAAATGTCAGCTGTACCAGTGGCAATCCTGCCTGGGAAGAGAGGTGTCAAGTTTTTCAGTTGTCTAGCCAGCAGGAAGAGGGTTGAAATACCTTTGCCTTGGTGGTCTGCTTCCTGCTGGTAATAGGACTTTGGCTTCAAGCTGGTCCACTGACGTGACCCATATCCAGCAAGGAAGCTCTTAGTGTTCTTTGCTCCTGTTTCCAGCTCTAGTTTTGATATTTGTTCAGTTCGTTACAGTTGATTTTTTCCCTTTTAATTCCTTCCAGATGAGCACAATGCCGGGACTTCCAACTAGGCCTTGTTTCTATGACATTGACCTGGACCCAGCGACTGGAGAAGTGACCGGCCTGTTCTAAAATGAACTGACAGTCCAAAGTGAGTACTTCATTGCTTGCTATCCTGCAGGACTCCCCGCTTGCAACTGCTGGGTTTTTCCTAGCTCTGCAATCACGCCTGGTCCCACCATTCACTCTTCCCTGAAATAGCGTGGAAGCCTTTTTTCCATCATGCAATCCCTATTCTGCAATCCCAGGAACATGCATGTGAAAGAACTACATAGTTGTTTGACCCACATAACTCTAGAGAGCTGCAGTTGGCCATCTATTTTCTGCATTTTTCATCATGGCTTGCGGTGCTAAGGACTAGTAACATGATTTCTTTTCTTTTTGTAGGTATCCAAGCAATACCAGTTTGGCGAAACCTGAAGAAGGTACCTCAAGGGGACACTAGGCAGCCTTTGGAAACAAATTAGCCTGTGGCATTTTTTTAAAAAATAATAATCTGTAATACTGTATTTTTAATTAGGTTGTCTACTTTTTAGTCACTACAGGTGAAAGTCTGCATCATGTTAAATGCAAAGGGTGATCACCAGAATTAGTCATATTCAGGAGTAGATCTATGGACTTAACTCCATTGATTTCAGAGGGCCTACTCTGGCTAATGTTGGCTATCACCCAGAAACCTTTTAAAATGGGTTCAAAACGTGGTTTTAAACAGTCAGTGAAAAGCAATATGCGGTTTTAACTAGGGTAGCAAACTTATTAAAGACGTTTTAATTGATTAATCACATGAGTTTCGATCTATGCAGTATGCATATGAGTAAACGGAATATTTCTAAGCAAAAGGTAGTATTTTCTTTGTTAGTAGATTGTATGTGTCATCTTTGGCAATATCAAAGAAGCGTTCTTTTGGAAAGAGATGCTAGAGAAGGCTTCTTTTAGAATGGTGTTTGCCTTCTGCACTTTTAATATTCGCAATACTTTGTTAAAAAATCTGCCCAGCTAATTGGAGGAGATCCTTTTTTGGGTTGGTTAAAAAAAATGTAATCATGTAATCCTAACTGATTAATCAGTTCAAACACTGCAGCCCTAGCATCCTCTATTAGTGCCTTATGTACAAAAGTGTGTTTTTAACGTCTTAAATCTTTGGTGTAATTATGAATGCTAGTACATTCCCATGGAATGGGGCAGTCAACTCTGCACATATCCCCAAGCTGCACAGCCCGTTCTGAAATCAGCAAGGCAATGCACAATGGCAGAAGCACGCAGGCGGTAAGCCAGGTTCAATCCCTTCGGTTAAAAGAATCTCTGGAGGCAGGCCTGAGAAACTCCTGTGCCTGAGACCTTGAGTTCTTGCTTCTCATCGTAGGCCAGGGTCATCCAGTGCGGTGCCTTCCAAATGAAGGATGAACTACGACTCCCATAAACCCTGGCCATAGGCCATTGCTGGTCGGGATTCATGGGCATTGGAGGCCAGCAAAAATCTGGAGGGCACTGCATTGCCTAAGTTGTTAGTAGACAGTGCCTGCTAGTCACGATGGTCGTATACTACCTCCAGGATCAGAGACGGTATGATTGTTAAACGCCAACTGCTGGAAAACAACAATAGGGGAGTGCCGTCATCCACGTATCATTCTGGAGGCCTTCCCACTGAGGCAGCTGGTTGGCCACTGTGGACAAACAGACCAGCATTCTGACGGTGCAAAGGGTGCTTTGCATGGTCTGTTGTTGTTTAGTCGTGTCCGACTCTTTGTGACCCCATGGACCAGAGCACACCAGCACTCCTGTCTTCTACTGCCTCCCACAGTTTGGTCAAACTCATGTTCATAGCTTTGAGAACACTGTCCAACCATCTCGTCCTCTGTCGTCCCCTTCTCCTTGTGCCCTCCATCTTTCCCAACATCAGGGTCTTTTCCAGGGAGTCTTCTCTTCTCATGAGGTGGCCTACCCTAATCATTTATTTACGCCTACCCTAATCATTGTCAGACAACAAGGATGGCTGGGAACAATGTGGACTTGTACGGTCAACCTTGATGGCTTCTCGGGTGATTGCAGAGGCATCTGCTGCCGTAAGACACCTTGTTTGCCCGGGATGTTCACCTGCACTGGGAATGTACAAAATACCTGAATACCTCTCCTTTGAGTCCTTTTCTGACTCTCAGTCGTGCAACTCTGACAAAAGAAATTAGAGATGATGGATAGGAAACTTTCCTTGCTCCATGCTTCTTTCTTATTTCATAAAAGGACAAAGTTCTTGGTTTTGCATGCAGAAAAACATCCCAGGTTCCATCCACAGGTAGGGCTGGGAGAAAAAACCCTTTTCTGAAACCCTAAAGAGCCACTGCCAATCAACGTAGACAGCGCTGAGCCAGATGGACTGGGTCTGTATAAGGCAACTTCCTATGTTCCTGTGGGTTTTTTAAAACGTATTTTTAAATTAATTTTGAATATATGAACATACAATCAGCTTCAGTTCCCCAACCCAATAACAACCCCAGCTATGTACAGTTGCATTAGTAACAATAAAGTAAAACATTGACTCGATGGCTGCCGATTTATAAAGTGCTATTCCACAGGCTCCCATGTGTCTTGGGTGGTTCATATGCTTGTTCTTTCTTTGGTGCAAATGAAATAATTCCTGTGGTTTTTATGATGGGTTTACTCCTGTTTGAAGTCCAGATCCTGACCTCCAAGAGAGACCCAAATTGGCCAGTGCTCTTTCCATCTCCGTCAGCATCGCTTAAGAGAAATTTGCGTGCAGCCCTGATTTTTCTTTTTTCCAGAATCCGAAGTCCAAAAATCCAACTCCAAAGGCTTTGCCTTCAGTGCTCCTTGGTGGGCACCTCTTTCTATTTGTGGGGAGACTGGATCTCCCACATAAGACCTCAAGGATGGGACTTTCCTCCCGCTTTGCCTTTTTAATAGTTCCCTGGTGTTCACTGCCAAACCTTTATTTCTTTTGTGCAACATTCATGTTTCTGCTCAAGTGATCAAACAAGATGCAAAAGCTGTTTCAAATAAGGTTTGTCTCTCTCACACACACAGAGGAACATCCTCTTTCCTCTCCCCCAAAAGATATATTACTTCCTAATGTGAAAATGCAATTGTTGCCAGACTTGTAATTAACACAAATAAACTGCTACATCTTTGAAAAGCTCTCAGGTACTTGATGAATGTGCTGTGATTAATGTAGAGGAACTTGTTTTTATTATGAGTTCCAAAACTGTTTTGGGCAAGAGCCCTGGTTACTGGAAATGGATTATAAATGCTGCAATATTTGCTTCTGCAATGCACCAACATGGATGGGGTTAAACCGGGGTCCTGAGTCTCTGGAAAGGGGAAAGGGAAATGTTCACATATAGAAGGAAATTCTAAGGCCAGACATATAGTCAACTGGATTTTGATGTATATCTGAGGTGTTTTCATTGCCTGTGTGCCGTCGCCCTTCGTTCAAAGAGATCGAGGGCATACTACTTCTCATTGAAACTCTTATTAAAGCCTTCAGTTTAACTTAACCCTTATACTCCTTACCTCCTCAACACCTACTGAAAATAAAGCTGAATTCATTTTAGATTATTCTGTAGCTTAGTGGTGGTGCATATGCTTTACAGGTAAAAGATCTCTAAACCACTGAGCCTCTTGGGCTTGCCAATCAGAAGGTCGGCGGTTTGAATCCGCACAACGGCGTGAGCTACCGTTGCTTTGTCCCAGCTCCTGCCAACCTAGCAGTTCAAAAGCATAACCGTGCAAGTAGATAAATAGGTACCACTACAGCAGGAAGGTAAATGGCATTTAGACCTGCTGTCCACATGACCCAGAAAGCTGTCTGTGGACAAACACCGGCTCCCTCGGCCTGAAGCGAGATGAGCTCTGCGCCCCATAGTTGCCTTTGATTGGACTTAACCGCCCAGGGGCCCTTTACCTTTTGCCTTTTTAAAAGATCTCCATTTCAAACCATGGCATCTCTAGCTAAAAAGATCAGGGTTGGAGGGGAAGGGGAATACCTTTCTCTGAGACACTGTAGAGATACTGCCAGCCAGAGTGGGAAATACTGAGCTCTATGGACAAATAGTCTGACCTGGTGTAAGGCTGTGCTCTACATCGGGGGTGCCAAAACCTGTGGTCCTCCAGGTGTTGAATCACAGCTGCCATCATCCCTAGCAATTAGCCATCCTGGCTGAGACTTATGAGAGCAACCTCTTTAGTGTGGCAGCTTCTCCACCCCTGTTCTGCTCGCAACTGAAAGCATATTCCTTACCATTTTACTACCCATTCACTCAGTTTGCAAATGTCCTTTTGGAGCTGTTTGCAATCTCTCTTTGTTTCACTGACTGAACTATGCAGTATGATCAGCAAACTTGGCCACCTCACTGCTCCTAATTCTTTATGGTTTATGAACAAGTTAAAAAGCATGGGTCCCAATACCGTGCCTGGTGTTTTGTATGTGCCATAGAAGTTCACTCCATTGGTTAATCTAACCATAGGAAACAACTGTGTAGAAGAGAGAGCTTTTACTTGGCAAACACCAACACACCCACAAGCTGTTGGCAGTTGCTACAAGAAGTATTCACTCTCTGAGCCCAGAGAGGGTTCTTTGCTTTCAAAGTCCACAAGGCAAGTACTAAGTTGAGATGCTTTCAAAGTCCTGCAACTTCCAGAGTTCTCTTGAGTCCAGAAGACTTGTAAGTTGTCCACCTTCTCTCAGATGAGCTCTTCTCAAAGCTTCCACAGTTCCATAAATTTCTCCAACAGTCTTCACAAGTCTCCCCTACGTCCCAACAAAGAATACCATAACCAGAGCCCTTTACGTACCTAATGCTATGTGCTAGTTTGCCAAGCAACTCAGATAAGACAGTCACAGGATGCTTTGCTGAGTTGGAAGGGACCACGAGGATCCTCTAGTCCAACCCTGGCAATGCAGGAATATTTTGCCCAACATGGGGCTCAAACCCCCAACCCTGAGATTTAAGAGTCTCGTGCTCTACCTACTGAGCTATTGCCCACCCATGTCAAGTGCACACCCAGGCTGGCTTCTATGCAGTGTGTTATGTGGGCATAGAATGCAGAAAGGGGCCATAGCTCAGGGGCAGAGCAACTGCTTTACACACACAAAGTCCCAGGTTCAATCCCACGTATCTCAAGTTAGGTCTGGAGTGGGAACATCCCATGCTTGAAGTCCTGGCGTGCAACTACCAGGCAGTGTTGACACTACTAAGCTAGGAGGACCAGTGATCTTACACGGTATAAGGCAACTTCTGGTGCTCCTAAGTTCTGTAGTGGTGGCAAACCAAAAAATTCTGGAGTTGCTTTCACAAGGGAGGAGCCCCTGTGTAGGCGAAAGGCTTGCTATATACAGCCTAGCTATTGGGACACGGGTGATGCTGTGGGTTAAACCACAGAGCCTAGGACTTGCCGATCAGAAGGTCAGCGGTTCGAATCCCTGCGACAGGGTGAGCTCCTGTTGCTCGGTCCCTGCTCCTGCCAACCTAGCAGTTCGAAAGCACGTCAAAGTGCAAGTAGATGAATAGATACCGCTCCAGTGGGAAGGTAAACGGCGTTTCCGTGCGCTGCTCTGGTTCACCAGAAGCGGCTTAGTCATGCTGGCCACATGACCCGGAAGCTGTACGCCGGCTCTCTCGACCAATAAAGCGAGATGAGAGCCGCAACCCCAGAGTCTGCCACGACAGGACCTAATGGTCAGGGGTCCCTTTACCTATTGGGAAGAAGGAAATTCATGCAACAATTAGTTTATTGTCTTACCTGTAAAGAGCTTTGAAGCTTAAGATGTTTCATGTTCCCTTTAAACCCCCCCACCCCCATTTTTAAGCATTGTGTTCAAGCAATGACAGCTGATAGGGGTCTCCAAGGCAAAAGGAACCAACTGTTTTGGTGTCCTCCTGAGGTAGCTATTCTGCATGCAATGTGCTGTACCCTGAGAGACTGGTAACTGGTGTGCTATGAGGAATAAATCACGAAAGACTCCTGCGCCCGGCCACCAAGGAGGCTGTTGCACGCCTGTGTGATTTATTGCTGTCCCTTTGCCTGCTCCCAGTCATTCTTTACTCACAGCGAAGCCATAAGCTCATCCGTCTTCTACAGCTCTGTGCTGGAAATTATCTGAACGGGCGCTCTCTGGGTGCCGAGATTGCAGCAGAAGTCCCTCTCGTCCAGTATGTTGTCTCTGCATAAATCACTATTAGAGCACCCCCTTCCAAACAGCGTTGCACACCCAGAACAAAAGGGTCGTTAGCAGAGGGGCTGTAGAGGTTGTGCTTTGCAAGATCAGGCAGCAGGTGCTGGGAAAGACCCTATAGAGCTGCGGCCAGCCAGAATAGATTGTACTGGGCTAGATCAATAGTTTGAACTGGTAGAAGGCCACTTCTTCTGTTTTCATGTCCCTATGTGGGAAGCTAGTTCTTCTTGCACAACCCAGCAGGTTTTTTTTGGGAGGATCATAGAGTTGGAAGAGACCCTGAGGTTCATCTAGTCCAGCCTCCTGCAGGAATATGCAGCTGTCCCATATGGGGTTTGAACCTGCTACCTTGGCATTAATAGCACCATGCTCTAACCAACTGAGCTGTAAGGTGGTGTAAGAAAAGTGAAGAGTACCTCTCAATTTCTTCTTCTACTTCTTTGAAAAATGGTGTACTACCCATTGGGAGTGTTACTACTGAGCTGAATCCTAGAACAATAGGATCCAGAATGCAGCAGTCCAATTGGTCCGCAGGAGCCACCCAATCCAGTTCCAGGTGCAAGTGAATCAGTGACCTGATTGGCCTGCAGGAACAGCCAATCAGACTTCCGGAGGAGGTGAATACGCAACCTGATTGGCCTACAGGAGCAGCCCGGAATTAGCCAATCATGCAGGGCCCATTGTGTAAATAATGTATATGTAGCTAGACGTTTTGGGAAAAGATTCATTCTTTGCTACTATGAGCTGAATAAAGAGCATGAAATTCACACTCAACTCCACGAGTATATTTCAGGGGGAAAGTGTCCTAAGTTTTAGAGGACGCAACAGGTAGAAAAATAAGTGGTCCGCCATGACCGGCAGCTATTCTCAAGTGGTCCATGTGGGGGAAAGAGTATGGGAACCGGTAATCTAGGGTGCATTCACAATTAAACATTTCCACCCCTCCAGTTACTTAACCAAGGCTTTCTGCCATTCTATGGGTCTGTACTGAGAATTGCTAAATCGGAATCTCCATTCAGCCACAAACTTGCAATTGAAGAATAGTGGCAGAGAGTTTACTCTTACCAACGGCACACGTACAAATTTGTGTTAAGCCGTGGGTCTCAGGTTTTGAGAAGGGTCCCTTGGCAGGGGCATACAAGACACCTCGGGGAAAGGGAGTGCAAATTTCCAGGAAGGAAGAGGTTCCAGAGGGAGGCAATTTGGAGACAAACTCTCTTTGCGGCATCATTTAACTCTGCAATCAGCCAAAACGCTCCGTTAGCCAAGCTAGCTGCAGATGAGCAGATAGGGAGATAGGACTCATCTCTTGGGCCAGCTCATCCGTTGCAAAGGATTTAACTCTTATTAGGACATTAATCCATATTATCTTTACAAGGCCAAGCAAAATATTACAAGATGCTGTGCAAGCTTTCACGTTCTCTTATTCGGGGTTGCTGGTAAACGAAGAGGAGAGGAGAGGAAGGAACTTGCTATTGCTAAGTTCTGGAGATCTGTAAGCACAGATTGATTAGCAGTTGGGTTTACATTGCTTGGGAACCGAATTCTTATGGAAAAATCGACTGGCAAAGATACATTGACAAAGCAGCAATGAAAATTCTGGTAGGTTTTCTGCAGCTTGCTCCAGTTTTACATCATACGCACATAAAAAGGCAACATGAGCACAGACCACCTGCTTCTTCTGAGGAAATGGAAATACACTTTTTCTGAAAGAGGGAAATTGTTTGTATTATACCGACTAATTTGTTTGACAAGATGCTGCACTCTTTGAGGGGCATTCTGTTTGTTATATCTCTCTGTGTATAATTTATTAATTTATTATAATTATTATTTATTCAATTTATATACCACCCTTTTTCAGAAGATCCCAGGGTGGTGTACAACATTAAAAACACATTACAGAACATCAGTGGTAAAATAATAATAAAGACAGACAACCTATCATACATATTAAAAGTAAGGCGAATGGCAGAGATTTACAGTTAAGGAACGATAAATGTATTTACGAGGTATGGTTGCAATTCAGATTGCTAAGAATGTCGTCTGCCCATTTCCCTACAAAACGTTGATCATTTTTCCTACATAGGCAGTTATCTTTCTACAAGGGCTGACATGGATGCCAAAATCCAGCATCATCTGAGCTCTGGGAGCGCAGCGTTCTCCTGATGGAAGTGCAGAGTGTTTGAGGACCGGGACATTCGCAGGGAAACCAAAATGCTTGTTTACAAAGCTATTGTCCTACCAATCTTACTGTACGCTTGTGAAACATGGACCACGTATAAACACCATCTCCAACTCCTCAAAAGATTCCATTAATGGTGTTTCTGAAAAAATTTACACATCACTTGGGAAGACAGGTGAACAAATGCACTGGAAGAAGTGAAGATCACCAGTGTCAAAGCAATGATTCTTCAACATCAACTTTGTTGGACTGGTCATGTTGTTCAGATGCCTGATTATCATCTTCCAAAGCAACTACTCTATTCCAAACTTAAGAATGGAAAACGAAATGCCAGTGGACAACAAAATAGGTTTAAAGATACTCTCAAGGCAAATCTTTAAAAATGCAGTATAAGCATGGATAATTGGGAAACACTGGCCTCCTGTTGGAGAATAGCCTCTCCCAAAGGTGTCGTGGACTTTGAAGACGCTCAAACTCAGGACAAAAGGAGAAACGCGATGAGACGAAGGCACACTTGGCAAACCCTCACTGTGATCAACTCCCGCCCGGAAACCTATGTCCCCACTGTGGAAGGGTATGCGGATCCATAATTGGCTTCCACAGTCACTTACAGACACACTGTTAAGACCATATCACAATCTTACTCGGTTATGAGTGATCGCCAAAGAAGAAGTTCATGAATTCTTTCTCCAGGCCAAAACAGAGCCTCCTTGTCAGGTGCAGGCTACCAGCAGAAAAGCTAGATTATAAGGGTTTTGTGTTATGGAGAATCAAGGCAATCTTAACAAAAAGAAAGTGGGGGTTAATTTAAGGTGGTGTGCTAAACAGAAAAACTAACAGAATCTGTTAGAGTGCTTCTTCAGAGAAAGGGATCCCATAGGCTTCTGGAATATGCTGGACTACAACTCCCATCGTGCATGGCTATTGGCCACACTGGCTGGGGATGATGGGAGTTGGGAGTCCAACAGCCGTTGGCGGAATGCCATAGGCTCCCCCTCCCTGCCTCATAGAATGAAGTCCCATCTCCAGATACCCCACATTTCCTGCATCACAGGGGGTTGGAATAGATGGCTCTTGGGGTCCCTTCCACCTCTACAAGTCTGTGATTCTACGAAATATCCTCTTCCTTCAGGCTAGGATCGCACTGCTGAATGGCCGACTTTGGCATTCAGCTTGATAAAGCTGGTGTTTTCATTAAAGGGTTTAATCTGGAATGCATCCCCAATGTTTGCATGAGTCGCAATGGTGGGGGAACCCATAGCATATCAACCAGTCTGAAGACATTAGTATTGCAATCACCGGCTGCATCTGTGCAGGCCTGGCCTCTTGGACTCGTTTCCCATGTGCGGGAAGACAGCCAAGACAAATTGGATTCCTTTGATAACGTTCAGACTGGACCAGCTGCTACTGCATAAAGGCCTAAGCCAAGATGGCGGCGTTCTATCTCCCGTGTGAGAGGAAGGAAGACTCTGAATGCCAGTTGGTGGTGCTTCGATTTATTACATTTATATGCCACTTTCCATTCAAATGGGTCTCAAAGTGGCTTACAAGCAATAAATAACAATAACATGCTGGCTAGAACATAACAGAACGTCACAAATACAGAATAAACTACCGTATTTTTTGCACTATAAGACTCACTTTTTCTCTCCTAAAAAGTAAGGGGGAATGTGTGTGTGTCTTATGGAGCAAATGCAGGCTGCGTAGCTTTCACTGCGCAGTGATCTCTCTTGCTGTTCTGGTTTCTGAGATTCAGAATATTTTTTTTCTTGTTTTCCTCCTCCAAAAACTAGGTGCGTCTTGTGGTCTGGTGCGTCTTATAGAGCGAAAAATACGGTAAATCATCAGTAAAACAATTGCAATCTATAAAGCACAAAGCAACAACTTAAACAATAAGCCATATTATATTATTAACAAATCAATTCAGCATTTATAATCTATAACACAGGGGTCAGCAAACTTTTTCAGCAGGGGGCCAGTCCACGGTCCCTCAGACCTTGTCGGGGGCCGGACTATATTGGAGTGGGTGGGTGGGAATTAACGAATTCCTATGCCCCACAAATAACCCAGAGATGCATTTTAAATAAAAGGACACATTCTACTCATGTAAAAACACGCTGATTCCCAGACTGTCCACGGGCCAGATTTAGAAGGCAATTGGGCTGGATCCGGCTCCCAGGCCTTAGTTTGCCTACCCATGCTATAAAACAATATTAACCTTTAGCCAGATCCAGCAGGGCTTCTTATGTTGTTGACAATGGAGTGTGCCTCGGGGGGTGAAGTCAAACTGCTGCGTTAGGAGACCAGTTTGGGGCACAAGCCTGGGCAGTGTATATTTAGGGAGTCCTGGGCTGCCCAAAGGACAAGACCTGCCTCTCAGCGCTCGTGGTGTGGTCCAAAGGAAAGCAGAGCAGTATGTTTGGCACCAGCTTGGCTGTAGCAGTTGCAGGAAGGAGACACACGAGGCACCATCCATCCATCTTAGGGACTCCATTCTGGATTTGTGGAGGGTTTAATCCTTAGCCTTTTCGTCTCTCCAATATGTCCCCCAAGGCAGCGGAGGTTTAGGATCAGAGTCTTCCTTCTCCTCGATGGGCTACCTTCCCAGGCTGACGAGCCCCATGTGCCTCTTGTTCATAAACACCCCATCAGAATCCCCAAATGCTTGTGTAAGTCGCATCTCCCATTAGCCCTGGTCACCGGGGTTTCCTGGTTGGAGCAGATGGGAGTTGGAGTCCCACAACAGCTGCAGGGCCACAGGCTCTGTATCCTTGACCTCATGGATGTTCTAAACCAGGCTCCTCCAGTCTGATGTTGTCCAGATGTTGAGGACTACAAACCCCATCGGCCCCGGCCAGCATGCCCAGTAGACAAGGATTCTGGTGGCTGTCGGGAGTCTGCAAAATCAAGAGGGCACCACTGCAGGTGTGGAAAAACGCCTGGAGGTGAAGAATAACAGGACAGGTACCCAGACTTGTCTCAAACAGATACAGTGGGCAGTCATGGGATAGAGCACTGGCTGCCAATTAGTTTCCGGGCCCAGTTCAAAGCGCTGTTTTTGACCTATAAAGACTTACACAGCTCAGGCGCTCAATACCTTAAGGAACGTCTGTCTCCGAACACTGAGTTTGTAATCTCTATATCCCCACCTCCTTGAGAGGTTTGGAGGGTGGCAGCGTGAGACGGGGCCTTTTCTGCAGTGGCTCCCCAACTATGGAACACTCTCCCCAGAGGTGAAAATATTCCTCTTTACCCAGGCCTTCGGTTACTGAATAATCTATGGCCTGTTAAATGTGCGAGAGACTGTTATTATGATTACATGGTTATTATGATGTGTATTATGTTTTCATTATTATGCTGAGTAAATTATGTTCTTAATGTTGTACACCGCCCTGGGACCTTTGGATAAAGGGAGGTGTATAAATTGAATAAATATTGTAGTAACCTGACTGCACTATAAAGGCTGGTTCACACATTCGTGTTTGCCAGCTGGTGAAAATAAGGCACAGTAACTTGCAGATGTGAATGGGGCCATCATTGCTCTGACACAAGGGAGGCAGTGCTCATACCCTGAACCATCACAAACACCCCCATGTTTGAGGGAAGGGGAAGGCGCTATCTCTGCGTGGAGAAGGTGTCAGGTTCGATCCTCGGAAGAAATAGTTTTGCTTTTTTTTTTTTACAAAGGATCCGGTATGAGACGATGGGAAAGGCTCTCCGCCCAGACCCTGGAGAGCCATATGGGGGCTTCAAACGGACACACAGCACTTCCCTCCAGCGCCCTCAGAGAAAACAACCGACGCGCGTGCGAACGTGTGAACCTGCGCCCTTGCTGCACTATGCGGAAGAGAAGCGCGCGTTTGCAGGACATGCGTTATGGGAAACGTTTCCATCTTTCCACGCAGCAGCGACACCTGCATGTTTCCAGGGCACGTAGGTCTGGTTCGTCACCTATACGCTAGTTTCTTGGCGGGGGGGCCAACCCGGCGTCTGTTAATCCGAATTAAGGACCGGGGGTGGGCGGCACTTTTCCTCCTGCATTTGCCGCGACCCGATCCTGGGCGGGGAGCTTCGCCTTGGCGCGCCGAGGGGGCGCCCGAAGGACGGCTCCCCGCCTCCTCTCCCCTCCCCGCGGCCGTCCAGTGGGCGGATCTCGTCGGCGCCGCGGCAGGAGGAGAGCGCGAGCGGCGGGCAGGCAGGCAGGCAGGACGGCAGCGCGGGCGAGGCGCGGGGCGCGGCGGCCGGAGCGCAAGGTGAGCCTGGCGGGGCAAGCGATCGCCCCGGGGAAGCGGTTGCACATTGCCAAGGCGGGAGCGGGGATGCAGATCCGGAGCGGGCGGCCAGGCAGGCAGGCAGGCGAGCACCGAGGCAGCAAGCGCGGAATCCCGCTGCAGCAAATGCCCGGGGGTGCATCGCGCACGGCGGCCCGGGAGTGCCAAGCGCCCGGGAGGAAGAGGGGCGGGACGGGCGAGCAGCCGCAGGCAGCCCCCACCGGTGCAACGAGGGGGAGCGCGCGGCGTGCAGAGCCGCGGAGGCGTGCAGCAGCAGCAGCAGCAGCAGCGTGCGCGCTGGGGGCTTGGCGGTGGGGATGTGCGTGCCGGGCGCCTTGCAAGCGCGAGGCTTTTGCAGCTGCACAAGGGCAGCGCGCCCGCTTGTTCTGCAAAGAAAGGCGCCCCTCGAAGCTGCAAGGCGCGCCCGCTCCCAGGCTCCGCAGCCGGGATGAGGATCGCCTGAGCGCCAGCAACAACGAGGTGCAGGTAGTAGCAGGTTCCCCTTAAATGATAGGCAGTATTTGGGGTGGGGGGAGTGATTAAAAAAGAAAGAGCGGTGCATAGCCCAGGTCTTGGTCCGCGTAAGCCGCTTGTTAGAGATTTCGACGATTAAGCGGCATACAAATTTTTCAAAAGGGAGATATGCAAATCTTCACGCGGCCAACCTGAGCATGGTCCCTTGGGGCAAAGCGAAGGGCTCCTTCTCAGCCTCAGTGACTTGTCTGTAGAATGGGTGCCTCGGGGATCTCTTGCCCGGTGGTTTGGAAAGGTCTTGCTGGTTCCCGGAGTCGGTGCTGGCAGCTTCAATCCTTTGTCTGAAGAACAGGTGGAATTGTAGACTGGCACACTTTCTGTGAATCGAGAGTCAGCAGTTCTGACTGCAGGTATTCGGGGCTACCTTTACGACGTACCTTTAAAATAAAATTTTAAAATCCCACTTAATGGAGTCCTGCAAAAATGCTGGGTTTGCAGTACAGAAACTACCTTGTAGGGGCTTGTCGCTCTTGTGAGCGGCGTCAGATTTTTGCAAATCAAATTTGCATGCTATTATATACATTAGACATGCACAAGGCAGCTTGTGTTTTGCAGGGTTTGGCTAATTGATTTAAAAGGTTATCTGGCTTAACCGGGTGTCAATTTTTTTAATATATGTATAATACACCCATATTGTGGTGCCTGGCAGGTAGCAGCTTAGAATGCCCCCCCCCCCCGTTTTTCTTGAATAGAGGAAATAATGCTTTCAGTGGAACTTGATGTGACAGGTGGAAATCATTTTTTATCCTGGCCTTTAACACCTGTGACAGGTGTTTCCACCCTATTCCTGTGACTGTAATTTGTTTTAACTGTTTTCAATACCCCTTTCTTAAAAAAAAAACCTTCCAAACTATTGTTCATTCATTTGCAAATAAATACCAATGTAATCAGATAACGAGGTTGTAGGATTGACTAACATTTCTTTCACCCTGGGGTTGTGCTTGCAGAAAAATACACGATAATGGCTGTCACTGCAACTCCCCCTTTCTCTCAGTGCAAGGACTGCTAAAAACGTTCTTTGCGCTATATGGCTTCATTCTGTGCTCTGGCTTTCTTCTCTGCCACTGGCTGCTTTTTTTGCAGCTGGCTCCGTGTACCGAGTTCCGATCAAGACATGCAAAGAACTTCCCCAGTGGTCGTGTAGAATGGGTGGAGGTACTTAACATTGTTGTTGTTTAGTTGTGTCCGACTCTTCGTGACCCCATGGACCAGAGCACGCCAGGCACTCCTGTCTTCCACTGCCTCCCGCAGTTTGGTCAGACTCATGTTTGTGGCTTCGAGAACACTGTCCAACCATCTCATCCTCTGTCGTCCCCTTCTCCTTGTGCCTCCATCTTTCCCAACATCAGGGTCTTTTCCAGGGAGTTCTTCTCTTCTCATGAGGTGGCCAAAGTATTGGAGTCTCAGCTTCAGGATCTGTCCTTCCAGTGAGCACTCAGGGCTGGTTTCCCTAAGAATGGATAGGTTTGATCTTCTTGCAGTCCATGGGACTCTCAAGAGTCTCCTCCAGCACCATAATTCAAAAGCATCAATTCTTTGGCGATCAGCCTTCTTTATGGTCCAGCTCTCACTTCCGTACATCACTACTGGGAGAACCATAGCTTTAACTATATGGACCTTTGTTGGCAAGGTGATGTCTTTGCTTTTTAACATTGGGCACCTTTAATGATGCAGTGTCAGACTGGGACCTGGGAAACCAGGGTTCAAATCCTCCATTCAGCCATGAATCTCACCTTTTTGGGTCTAGTTCACACACGCATTTACATTGCTAGATTTCTCTGCGCTCGGTGGCTGTGTGAACTGGCTCCCATTGCGAGTGGCAGGGACACACTGCATCAGAATGGTGCACAACTTTCACCAGTGGTCTTCAGGTTTGTCCCATGGCACATGCTGATCACCAGTGGAAGCTGACGTCAGTGGCTGCTAATATGTAGGCATGGACCTTGCATCTTTCTCGCGCCCTCTCTTTTCTTTGCAGACTTTCTCGTGTTTCTGATCATAGCAAGTTCAAGCCCAACGGCGTCGAGAGCTGCTATCACAGCTCGGCCGGCTTGCTCCAGAACACAGGTTCCTTCTTCTGGGAACAGGCTTGAACTTTGCCATTCTAACAGAATTGCTGCTTTCTCAAATACTATCTGCCCATGTGGAACCATTTAAATAGAGCGGGTGGAATTCAGCGCTGCACTGTTGCACTTGTTCCGGCTTTCACAAGCAATTTCAGCTGGCCAGTGCTGTCCTGGTCATTCTCCCCGCACCAAAAGAGTGAATTTCACAGGGAGGGGGGAGCCTGGTTTTGAGAGCAGAAGTTTTTCCGTAGGGCACCTGCCAATGGAGGTGAATCCCGCCGAGTATACGTACCGTATTTTTCGCTGTATAAAACGCACTTTTCTCCTCCTAAAAGGTAAGGGGAAATGCGAGTGCGTCTTATGGAGCGAATGCAGGCGGGAGGCTCTGCTCAGCGCACCCTTTAAAGAGCCGCGTGGAGCGTGTGTGCGGCTCTTCGGGGCTTTTCCCCGAGGAGGGAGAAGGGCTGCCCTGGCTTCTGGGATTCAAAATATTTTTTTCTTGTTTTCCTCTTCCAAAAACTAGGTGCGTCTTATGGTCTGGTGCGTCTTATAGAGCGAAAAATACGGTAATTGGTTTCATAAGGTGCCTCTTTAGAGCTAGACATGGTGGTTAGAATACCAGACTCGGTCTGTAGAGAGAGGGAGCAGGAGGAGAGAGAGAGGCAGGTTCAAATCCCCACTAAGCCAGGACTGGGTGACCTTGAGCCAGTCACCAGCCTACCTCAAAGGTTTGTTGTAAAGGTAAGTTGGGGGGTGCAGGTGGCGCTGTGGTCTAAACCACTGAGCCTCTTGGGCTTGCCGATCAGAAGGTCGGCGGTTCGAGTCCCCGCGATGGAGTGAGCTCCCGTTGCTCTGTCCCAGCTCCTGCCAGCCTAGCAGTTCGAAAGCACATCAGCGCAAGTAGATAAATAGGTACCGCTGCAGCGGGAAGGTAAACAGCATTTCCATGCACTCTGACTTCCGTTGCAGTTGTTTGGCTTCGCCAGAAGCAGTTTAATCATGCTGGCCACAAGAACCGAAAAGCTGTCTGTGGACAAACGCCGGCTCCCTCGGCCTGAAAAGCGTGATGAGTGCTGCAACCCCAGAGTCACCTTTGACTGGACTTAGCCGTCTAGGGGTCCTTTACCTTTTACCTAAGCATGGGGTAGAAATAGAGGTAGTAATAATATTTAGGTTTATACAGCACAACAAGCTTCAGGTCATTGGTGGCTCGCCACAAATTAGCCCAGGGCTGAAATCTTTTTCAGGCACAAACTACACATGTATAGTTGATTGCATAGACTTTCCAAACGGACTTGGGTTTTTATAGAAAGGAAGTCATAGACAGATGAACTTATGTTGCAGCAAATCTTCATAGAATCATAGTATCGTAGAGTTGGAAGCAGGGTGGATAAAAATCAAGGTTTTTGGTTTGTTTTTAAACCAAACTAACAGATTTTTTAAAATTTGAAACAGATTTTTTTATTTAAATCAGATTTTTTAAATTTAAAACAGATTTTTAAAATAAAATGCTTTTGGAGGAAATATCTTTCTAAAGATTTTCTATTTAAGTTACATTATAGTGCAAAGGCTATTCATCAGGAAATAAGGATTTGTTTTAAGTTTTTCATGTGTCCTAAAAACTCAGTCTAAGTTGTTTTAAAAAAATGTTCAGCCACATCAGTTAACAAGCATGGATACATATGCTATAATGTTATTGTTTTAGTTAAATAAATTGTTATGAAGGAAATGATTATTTTTCTCGTTCCAATAAAGTACAGCAGAGCAGTTGTCAAAATATAAACAGTTCACTTATTAAACCTCACCATAATTTCATCATTATCGGTCTATGTATTTCTAAGAGTATCACCAAATCAGTAATTTTTGATAGAACTGTAAAAACAACTCTGAAAATTTATTATTCCAAAAATGAAACCTTCATCTAGTTGCAAATATTAAGGTGGTACCAGCAAGAATGAGTCTTTCTGTAAAAAAAAAAAGAGATATAAATCAAGTCTTACTGACTAGTGATTTAAATCATTAGCCAGTAAGACTTGATTTAAATCTTCTTTTTTTAACAGAAAGACTCGTTCTTTCTGGTATCACCTTAATAGTTGGTTAAACATTTGGTTAAACACTTAAGATGTGTTTAAACATTTCAAATTCACCCTGGTTGGAAGGGACCCCTAGGGATCATCTAGTCCAACCCCCTGCAATGCAGGAATCTCAGCTAAAGCATCCAGTACAGATAACCATCTAACCTCTGCTCAAAAACCTCCAAGGATGGACAGCTCTTTAAGTTGAAGTCACCGCTAGCGAATGTGCGCAGCTATCGTTGGAGTCCACTGGCCTGATCTTGCGTTGACCTGAAGGCAGGAGGAATGTTTAGATGGGGCATCTTGTTTTACTGCAGCCACCCGCAACGTGGATATTGTTGTCCTCCAGACTCCCATCAGGCCTTGCCAGCGCGGCCAACGGGCAAGGATGATGGGAGTTGTAGTCCCAAGAGGGTGTCGGATATCACCAGACCATGGTCCCATCTGCCGCAGCCCTCTCTGCTCCCTGAGAGAGGTTTGAGGCGCAGGATCCTTCCCCAAACAGCTCCCATGTTGTTATTTAGTCGTTTAGTTGTGTCCGACTCTTCGTGACCCCATGGACCAGAGCACGCCAGGCACTCCTGTCTTCCACGGCCTCCCGCAGTTTGGTCAAACTCATGCTGGTAGCTTTGAGAACACTGTCCAACCATCTCGTCCTCTGTTGTCCCCTTCTCCTTGTGCCTCAATCTTTCCCAACATCAGGGTCTTTTCCAGGGAGTGTTCTCTTCTCATGAGGTGGCCAAAGTATTGGAGCCTCAGCTTCAGGATCTGTCCTTCCAGTGAGCACTCAGGGCTGATTTCCTTCAGAATGGATAGGTTTGCTCTTCTTGCAGTCCATGGGACTCTCAAGAGTCTCCTCCAGCACCATAATTCAAAAGCATCAATTCTTTGGCGATCAGCCTTCTTTATGGTCCAGCTCTCACTTCCATACATCACTACTGGTAAAACCATGGCTTTAACTATACGGACCTTTGTTGGCAAGGTGATGTCTCTTCTTTTTAAGATGCTGTCTAGGTTTGTCATTGCTTTTCTCCTAAGAAGCAGGCGTCTTTTAATTCATGACTGCTGTCACCATCTGCAGTGATCATGGAGCCCAAGAAAGTAAAATCTCTCACTGCCTCCATTTCTTCCTCTTCTATTTGCCAGGAGGTGATGGGACCAGTGGCCACGATCTTCGTTTTTTTTTATGTTGAGCTTCAACAGCTCCCATAGAGCCCTACAACTAGAGGCGCCAGGTGTGGAAGCTGAGGTGCTCTACATGCCAAGCATGTGCTCTGGGCCAGGGGTCCTCTGGCTGTTAGACAGCTGTTAAAACAGCTGCTCTAAACCAGCGTTTGAGGTGGGTGTACCAAAGGCTTAGCTCCCTTTATTCCTGCATTGCAGGGGGTTGGACTAGATGGCGGCTTGAGATTACTTCCAACTCTACAATTCTATGATATAAAAAGTCCCCCCCCCAATAATATTTATTAAATTTCATACAAAGGCATAACTTAAACATAACATAAAAAGAAAAAAACAATAATAAAAGAAAAAAAAGATAATAGAGAAAATAAAATATTACAAACCTCCCACATACCACCACATACATAAATACAATAAGACTTAAAAATTAATTAGTTAAACTCCAACTTCATAAACATATTACTTGACTTCCTCTAATCTCTTCCTTGTAATTGAATGTAGCAGTTTCCAATATCATTATTCCATATAACAATATTCCGGTTATAATCAAATTTCCTAACTTTTCTTATCCTTCTGTTTCTTATTTATTTATTTAATCCTAATTTGATCCTAGGCCTAATTAGTTCTTTCAAGTAATTACAAATCTTTAATGTTACAATATTTATTCAAATAGTCTTTAAATTTCTTCCAGTCTTCTTGATTTTCCTCTTCTTTCTGGTCACGGATTCTCCCGGTGAGATCAGCTAGCTCCATAAAGTCCATCATCTTCATCTGCCATTCTTCTACCGTTGGTAATTCTTGTGTTTTCCATTTTTTGGCTATTAAAATCCGTGCAGCAGTTGTGGCATACAAAAATACTTTTACATCTCTTTTGGGCAGTTCAGAACCTATTACTCCAAGGAGAAAGGCCTTTGGTTTCTTCATAAATGTATATTTCATCATTTTAAAAAATTCATTATAATTTTTTCCCCAGAAGTCTTTTACCTTTTTTTAAAAAAAAGTCTTTTACCTTTTACCGAGGAAGCAGGCTTAGTCGTTGTTTGAGGACTATCCCTGCCTCCAGGTCTGGTCCTGACCGGAAGAATACTGGAATCAACAAGGGAAACCCACATGACCTGAAAGTGTTGCTGTGCAATGCCAGGTCAATGATGAATAAAACCTCTGCCATCCACGACCTGATTGTGGATGGAGGATTTGACCTGGCATGTGTGACAGAGACCTGGTTGGATGAAGCAGATGGGCCCGTCCTTGCCGCTGCTTGTCCACCAGGTTTCTCTTACGCACAGCAACCCAGGCCTTGTGGGCGGGGAGGGGGGGTTGCAGTGATTTTTAGGAAGTCATTAGTTTGCACCAGGCGTCCTATTGGAAAGACCCAGTTCTCTGAGTGCATGTTCTGGAAGTTGGGCAATAGGGGCAGTACAGGATTCCTATTGGTGTACCGACCTCCCCGCTGCACCAAGGATTCCCTGCCCGAGCTGCTTCAGGTCGTGGCGGATGTCCTCCTGGAGACACCTAGTTTGGTTGTCCTAGGGGACTTTAACATCCATGCCGACACGACCTTACAAGGGGCCGCTCGGGACTTCGTGGAAAGCATGGCCTCCATGGGGCTGTCCCTGAATAAGTCTGGCCCAACTCATAGCCACGGGCATGCCTTAGACCTGGTGTTCACCTCTATGGATGTTGGTGATCTGACATTAAGTAAAAGCGAAACCAAAGAAGTGCCATGGTCAGATCACTTCCTGGTGCAACTGGACTTCTCCGTGACCCTTCCCTCTGCAGGGAGGCGGGACCGATTCAGATGGTCCGCCCCGCCACTTAATGGATCCAAATGGTTTCCAGAGAGTGGTAGGGGATGTTTTATCCCATGTTGATGGCCTTTCAGCTGATTCCCTGGTGGCCCGCTGGAATGTGGAGTTAACCAGGGCTATTGACTGTTTGGCTCCAAAGCGCCCTCTCCGATTGCATGGAGTCCGGACAGCCCCGTGGTTTTCCACGGATCTGAGGGCAATGAAACAATCGCTGAGACGGCTAGAGCGCCGGTGGCGGATAACCCATTCTGAATCTGACCGGACACGGGTTAGAGCTCAATGTCGAGCCTACCAAGTGGCGATAGCGACGGCGAAGAAGACTTTCTTCACCGCCTCTATTGCATCTGCGGAAAACAGCAGCAGGAGACTCTTTCAGGTGGTTCGCAATTTAGCGGAACCACCTGCTCCATCAGGGCCCAGTAGCGGCCACATGATCTCCTGCAATGACTTTGCAAAGTTTTTTGCAGATAAAGTCGCTCAGATTCGAGAAGAGGTAGACTCCACCGTGGGAGCAGGGCCGGGGCGGGAGAGTGCTAGAGTCCTGTCTAGTCAAGTTGTGTGGGATCAATTCCAATCTGTTACCCCCGAGGATGTGGACAGGCTGCTTGGACGAGTGAAACCAACCACTTGCCTCCTTGATCCTTGCCCATCCTGGCTTATAAAAGCTAGCCGGGAAGGACTGGGCGATGGGCTTCGTGGGGTGGTGATTGCTTACCTCCGTGAGGGAGGCGTCCCCGACCCGCGGAAAGAGGCGGTTATTAAACCGCTTCTTTAAAAACCATCTTTAGATGCGGCCACGATAGCCAACTATCGCCCAGTCTCAAATCTTCCATTCTTGGGCAAGGTGATTGAGCGAGTGGTTGCTGAACAACTCCAGGCACGCCTGGAAGAAGCGGACCATTTGGATCCCTTCCAGTCGGGATTCAGGCCTCATCATGGGACTGAAACTGCCTTGGTCGCACTGGTTGATGATCTCCGGCGGGCTAGGGACAAAGGTGAGAGCTGTTTCCTAGTTCTGCTGGATCTCTCAGCGGCGTTTGATACCATCGACCATAACATCCTTCTGGACCGTCTTGAGGGGCTGGGAGCTGGGGGCACTGTTATACAGTGGTTCCGCTCCTTCCTCCTGGGCCGTGTTCAGAAAGTGGTGGTGGGGATGAGTGTTCAGACCCCTGGGCCCTCACTCTGTGGGGTGCCTCAGGGTTCTGTCCTCTCCCCATGCTTTTCAACATCTACATGAAGCCGCTGGGAGAGATCATCAGGGGATTTGGGCTGGGTGTTCATCAGTATGCAGATGATACCCAGCTCTACCTCTCTTTCAAATCAGAACCAGTGAAGGCAGTGAAGGCCCTGTGTGAGTGCCTGGAGGCGGTTGGAGGTTGGATGGCGGCTAACAGATTGAGGTTGAATCCTGACAAGACAGAAGTACTGTTTTTGGGGGACAGGAGGCGGGCAGGTGTGGAGGATTCCCTGGTCCTGAATGGGGTAACTGTGCCCCTGAAGGACCAGGTGCGCAGCCTGGGAGTCATTTTGGACTCACAGCTGTCCATGGAGGCACAGGTCAAATCTGTGTCCAGGGCAGCTGTTTACCAGCTCCATCTGGTACGCAGGCTGAGACCCTATCTGCCTGCGGACTGCCTCGCCAGAGTGGTGCATGCTCTGGTTATCTCCCGCTTGGATTACTGCAATGCGCTCTACGTGGGGCTACCTTTGAAGGTGACCCGGAAACTACAACTAATCCAGAACGCGGCAGCTAGACTGGTGACTGGGAGCGGCCGCAGAGACCACATAACACCGGTCTTGAAAGACCTACATTGGCTCCCAGTACGTTTCCGAGCACAATTCAAAGTGTTGGTGCTGACCTTTAAAGCCCTAAACGGCCTTGGTCCAGTATATCTGAAGGAGCGTCTCCTCCCCCATCGTTCTACCCGGACACTGAGGTCCAGCACTGAGGGCCTTCTGGCGGTTCCCTCACTGCGAGAAGCCAAGTTACAGGGAACCAGGCAGAGGGCCTTCTCGGTAGTGGCGCCTTCCCTGTGGAACACCCTCCCACCAGATGTCAAAGAGAACAACAACTACCAGGCTTTTAGAAGACATCTGAAGGCAGCCCTGTTTCGGGAAGCTTTTAATGTTTGATGTATTATAGTATTTTAATATTCTTTTGGAAGCCGCCCAGAGTGGCCGGGGAAGCCCAGCCAGATGGGCGGGGTATAAATAATAAATTATTATTATTATTATTATTATTTTTTTCCCTCTTGCAATGTGCTTGCAATTTTTTTTTTAAAAAAATAATAATAAATGAAAAGGGGGGATGGGGTGGGCATCCGGAATTATTATTTGATTCCACCCACCACTGAACCCAGTGGTGTTTCCATTTCATGTATACATGCAGAACCTGGGAATCTAACCCTCCGCACAAGTGGGGAGACGCCTGTGCTGTTGCTATCACGAATCATTTGTAAGGGCACAGGGATCTCAACGAAAGCTCTTAGAGTGAGTAATCGGATGTTTGGGATGAGCCTGAGGCTTTGCTGCGAATCTTGGTTCTCGGCGGAAAACTCCCCCTCCTTCCTTCCACCCACTTTTAGAAGTACAGTGGTACCTCGGGGTACTTACCGTATTTTTCGCACCATAGGACGCACTGGACAATAGGACGCACTTTGTTTTAGAGAGGGGAGAACAAGAAAATTTTTTTCCCCCTCTCTGCCCAGCGCCCCTTCAGCGAAGTGGCAGGAGGCGCTGTGCAGAGAGGGGGAGAACTTTCCCCTCTTGTTTTCCCGCTCTAAAACAAGGTGCCGTTTAAGGTGCGATCAGGCGGCTACCTTGGAAGCCTGGAGAGCGAGAGGGGTCGGTGTGCACTGACCCCTCTCGCTCTCCAGGCTTCAGGTTCCTTTCGACCTGCTCTTTGGGGCTGGCGGGGGAAGCCCACCACCAGCCCCAAAGAGCAGGTCAGGGAGCAGCGGAAAGGCGCAGCGGAGAGGCTCCTGCCATAGCCGCGCGTCACCTCTCCAGCCGGGAGAGGGTCGCGGGGGGCTGCTTTAGCCCCGCGCGCACTCTCCCGGCTGGAGAGGTGACACGGGGCTGTAGAGGTTCCTGCCATAGCCGCGCGTCACCTCTCCAGCCGGGAGAGGGTCGCGGGGCTATGGCATCTTCGCTCCATAGGACGCACACACATTTCCCCTTCATTTTTGAAGGGGAAAAAGTGCGTCCTATAGAGCGAAAAATACGGTAATTCGTTCCGGAGGTCCGTTCTTAACCTGAAACTGTTCTTAAACTGAAGCACTACTTTAGCTAATGGGGCCTCCCGCTGCCACCACCATGCGATTACTGTTCTCATCCTGAAGCAAAGTTCTTAATCTGAAGCACTATTTCTGGGTTAGCGGAGTCTGTAACCTGAAGCGTATGTAACCTGAACCGTATGTAACCCAAGGTACCACTGTATCACAATGGCATTTGCGGTTGAAGGGCTTCGCCCGTAGGTAGCGGCCGCGAAATGCTGAAGACATGTGCTTGGCGATTTATGCTGCAGTTGCTATGGAAAGGGAAAGCAAGACTATAAATAAGCATCCCTTGTGCAGCGCAGCTCGCCTTTTTGAAGCAGAAAGCCGTGGGTGCTAGCAAGAAAGCGCCTATATGACGTTTGTGTCGCAAACGGGACTTGGGTTCCCACAAAGTAGACATCCCTTCCTGTCCACGGCACCAGGGCATATATATTTTTGCAGAACCTGAGCTTTCTTCAGGAGTTTGTTGATGGTGGGGATGACTCGTCCTCTCTGCTGCAGAGGGCCTTCTCGGTAGTGGCGCCCGCCTTGTGAAACACCCTTCTGTCAAATATAAAACAAATAAACGACTACAGTGGACCCACCGGATACAAATTAAATTTGTTCCGGGGGTCGTCCGCATCCCGAAAAGTCCGTAGGCAAAAGCGCCGCTTCTGTGTGCTGGACGCGCAGAGTGCTTCTGCGCATGTGTGCACGACAAAACACGGAAGTATACACTTCCGGGTTTGCAGCATTTGTAACCCGGAAGTTATGTATCCAGAGCGGTCTGTAACTAGAAGGTCTACTGTATGTGACTTTAAGAAGACACCTGAAGGCAGCCTTGTATAGGAGAGTTTTTAAGGTTTGATGCTCTTTTATGTTTTTATATCTGTTGGAAGCTGGAGTCGGGGTTTGAAGCAATTCTCCACATCTAGGCAGATGTTTAACTGATCATCAAAACGGCAACTGGACATTCCATTTTGGCCACTGTAACTTTGGTTTGATGCCTTTTGATGCCTTGCTTACACAGTTGTACCTTGGTTTTCGAACAGCTTCGTTCTCAAACGTTTTGGCTCCTGGACGTCGCAAACCCGGAAGTAACTATTCTGGTTTGAGAACTATTTTTGGAAGCCGAACGTCCAATGGGGCTTCCGCGGCTTCTGATTGGCTGCAGAAGCTTCCTGCCGCCAATCAGAAGCCGCGCTTTGGTTTCCGAACGTTTTAGAAGTTGAACGAACTTCCGGAACGGTTTCCGTTCGACTTCCAAGGTACGACTATATCTGAGTTTCTAACACTGCTTTCCTCCACTGTATTTTCTGTTTATGGCTACATTCAATAGAGATGTAAACTTGGGGCCCCTACAGTCAAACCCAATACCTGCCTACAAAGGTGGTTAAATATAAATAAAAAAATAAAATAAAGCGCTTCTCCCTGCAAAGCAGTCTGATTATTTTTTGGAGCATTAATTTGTGTGGGCACCCTGTGTACAGTGCAATATTACTTTCCCCCATTTTTCTTTCTCTCTCCCCCCCCCTGCAGGTGCCCACAAAGCAATCCCATCAATGAGGAAAGTTGTTGCGTTTTATAACCCGAGGGATGCTAATTGGAAAATGGACCAAAAGGCAATAAGAAGCAGACTTGGAAGGACACAGGGATGCCTCTCCCTGAACTAGTTTATGAAGATGGCCTTCTTTGTAGTCGCTTGCATGCAAAACCCCTGATTGGGAAAATATTTGCAAGTGGATGTTGTCTCCCGGGGCTGTCGTTAATGGAGCAGGGCCAGTCTCTGTGATTATCCAAAATCTATTTTAAACTATTAAAGCGCCAAGCTTCTGATGAAAGAGTATCGCCCATCGCACCGAGAGATGATTAAAATTGATGCTCAGAGGCGTAGGGCAGAGAGTTCTTCAGTAAGATACACGGAGGGGGGTCAAAACACCCTGCTGTCAAAAAAAGAAAAATCTCACTCTTTTAAAAAACAAAAACACTAAGCGAAAGAGAAACCTGCCTTCAGGTTTCCATCAAAAGATGTTTTTGTAAAAAATAGAATAAAATAGATAGGTCATCTTGAGGTCGTGAGAAGACATCTCAAGGGATGGTTTGTTGAGTTTGATAACAGCATATTAGCGCTGCAGATGCAAAGGAGCTCAACAGTTGTCTCCTCTCTGCAGGGAATTGTGGTTCTAAGGATTTTGTCAGTACACTTCCCAAACTACAATTCCAACTGCTATAAAACTGATACGTTTGTGGCGTGGATCTGCCATAAGGATGTCTTCTCTCTGAAACGATAGCTAAGGGACAGGGATTTAAGAATGGAGGATACAACGAAAGAAATTCAGACAGAGAGTATGCAAGAACCGGAAGCCTCAAATGCGGAAAAGCCCTTCCTTTCACACGAGAGCCCGGCCCAAAAGGCCTCTGCGATTTGCTTTAAGAGAAGGAAGAAGTCCTACGCAACAGAGAAAGACGAGGATCGTGAATCTGTAACCCGAAAGGCTACAAACCAGCTCTCCAACTCTGGGCAAAGTCAAATGGAGGCTTCAGATCCACCGTGGACGTCAGGAGGGGCTTGGTTGTCCTTCAAGCGGCTTGTGACACTGAGGAGGAGGTCCAAATCCGCTTTGAAGAAACAAGCGCAGTCTGGTTCCCGCGTGCAGCTGGAGACGAATGTGGAAAATTCTGGCGCAAAGGAGCGCACCAGCTCCAACCATAAAATTCCCTGCCTAAGGTTCTGTAGAAGCAAGAAGTCCTGCCAGGCTGAAATAACAGAGGAGGGGGATCATGGCGAGAAAGCCAGCGAAGGGGCAAGCATTGTGGATAACAAAAGGAACAGTGAACCGGAGTCTGTGTCTGTGGAAGGTCCTCTGAACGCTGACCAATCCCCCGGCGGTGCCCTTGAAAACAAGGGCAACAGGGGGGTTGTAAACAACTCTGAAGAAGTGGCTCCGGCCAGGAGAGAGGACGCTTTTTCAGAGATGAGTCCCGGTCCCGACCAATACACAGACTTTACGGCTCAGTCAGAAATTATCCACTCCGAAACAGTCCTGGAAACAGAACAGGAGAAGCAACTCTTCCAGCTGCATCACGGAAGCCTCTATGGGGAACCTGAAGAAGGGAGAAACGAGAGGTTTGATTTTGAGGGAGAGGTGGGCTCCCTGCTTGCCCAGGACCTGCCAGAAAGCCAACCCAACGTCTTGGAAGGAGAAGACTCCAAGAACTCGCCTGCCAAAGAGGCTGAGTTGGAACAATCTGGGGAGGATGCTGTGCCGGAGATGGACGGTGCCAAGGAAGGCAATTCGGTTGAAGTGCTGCTACATTGCAGTCTGCCTGTGTCCGAAGACGAGGCTTCACAGGAGCCAAATTGTCCCATCCAGGAAGCAGAATCCGACGAAAACAAGCTTGCGATGCCTGGGGCGGGCATTGTGATCATGATCACAGAAGCGGAGGCCTTCCAGGAGGAAGAGGAAGAGGAACCCAGCTATAGCTGCGAAACATTTTCCTTTCCGCAAGCCAGCAAACAGAAAGCGAAAAAGAAAACCAGCAAAGTCCCTGATTCCAGGTCAGGGAGGGAAGGGAAGGCGTGTCCGCAGGCCCAGCCGCCTTTGGGTGCCAATGACCAGGAACACTGGGCTTCAGAACAATACGAGGTGCTTCTGATTGAAACGGCCGCCTCACTTGTGAAGGCAGCCATCCAGTCGTCCATCGAGCAGCTTGTGAATGAGATGGCTCTGGAGCAAAATAAACAAAACAGTTTTCTATGATAGGGTCACCGGAGCTCCCTGGTTGTCTTTGGCCAGGCCCTGCCATCAGACTTCCACAAGTACTGTAGCGGATTCTGAGTACTGAGTAAAAGGTGCAAGGGACCTGCTGTTGCAGTGGCTTGGCTGAATTTTCTGCATCAGGTGCCAAAAGTACCTGTCCTCGCCTTACAGGTTAATCCAGTATTAATGCCATAGGAAGGGGGAAGAAAGTCCTACAATATTTGAACTCAACATGAAAGACATCAGATGAAACCCCGAGATAAATTGCAGTATTCGCTGCGATTAGCTTAATTTTGCATGTCGGTGAGAGGAATGTATCATGTACGTAAAAAAAGGATTTTTGGAAGGGTGGGCCCTTTGCTGCATGGTGACGTGTTAATGGCTTGTTCTGCGTAGTAGAGCTAGGAGAGCAAGAAGCCACCTCTTCTTTCCAATGTCCATTTATTTCCCTTACTTAGAACCAAGTTGTTCGATTCCCATTATTGCCAAATGCTTGAAGAAGCCCTACGTTAATCAAATTTAACACCCGCTAAATTGCTTTTGGTTAAGTTGCTGTTAGAGGCAAGTTGTTGAACCGAGATCAATTTACAGAACAGTGAATGAAGGATGCACACGTTGAAATTGGCAAGCGAGCCGTTTTTATCGGAGGTCTTGCAGAGGCCTTAAGAGCCATATTAGCAAAACTTCAGTGTTCATTTAGAAAAGTGTTAACTTTCTAGAGCCTTTCCGGCACTGTTTTTGCTCAAAATAAATGTTTTGTTTTCAGAGACTTGGAGCTCACTTGATCTTCCAAAGGGAAACCAAAAAGCAGCAAATCTCACTGAGTACAGATTAAAACTATCGTCAAATATCAGATGGTGTAAGGGATCGGAAATAAGACTCCTAATGCCGTTACACAAATCTGTGACGCGGTCAGTGCTTGGAATACAGTATGCGATTCTGGTTGCCGTACCTGAACCAAGGATATTGTAGAGCTGCAGGAGAGGACAACCAAAAATTATAATGGAGGTGCAGTCCATTTCCTATGCAGAAAGGCTGCAACACTTGAGCCTTAACATATATATATATATATATTTAAAGAGGCTTTTTTAAAATTCAAAGAGTAATTAAACTGTTCCTCCTAAGGATTGGTTTCTAGACCCTTGATCATTTCGGTCACCCTCCTCTGCACATTTTCCAGCTCGTCAATATCCTTCTTAAACTGTGGCACGCAGAACTAAACACTACTGGAATGATAAAAAAGATTTGCTGGAGTGTTTCTGAGGAGATCCAGCAAACTAGGGCACTGCTTTGGCGCTTAATGGTTTTCAAATGCAAGGGCTCCATCTACTCCTTAGTTTTCCTTAGGTCCACATAGGTTACTCTTGCACAAGTGCAAGAATAAATCATGCCTACCCATTTATTTCAGGAAAGAGTATATCCCTCAAGCCATTTGAAGTTCAGGGAGCCTGTGGAAAGTCCCCAGAAGAGTGGTTTTTTTCCTGGGAGGTCACCAGAGATCAAGGATGGAGAACATTTTCAAGCTGAGGGCCACGTCTCCACATAGGAAGGGGCCACATGTGGAGGTGGGCGGGGCCAGAGACAGAGGTAGGTGGAGGAATAACGTGACACTTAACCTTTGCTGGCTACATTCCAACCATGCAAATAATCGAGAGGTTTCTACACCTGCAGATATAGGCGACCAATAGGCATTGTTCCAGTTAAACACTTGGGGGGATGCAAAAGGTTCTGGTAGGGTTTGTTACCTGGGGATAGGTCAGGAGCTAAGGGAGGGTCCTGAGGGCCAAAGAGTGGCCTAGGGGGCCACATTTAGCTGCGACATGTTCCTGGGGCTGCCATCAAGATAAGAGTCATTCATTCAGGATTGCTGGAGTTGTCATATAGCAGTACCTGCACATAACATTTGCGGTAAGTAATAAAGGCTCTGGGATTGTTTTCTGGAGCTGTCTGTTAAATATGAGGTCAATCCGGGTGAACTTGGGAGTTTGCAGCTGCTCAGACCTACACAGTGTCGGTCCATAGGCATTGCACCGTCTCCAGATGCTAACCAAACCTCCTGCAGACATAGTAGTGGGCAATGCAAGGAGTGACCCTGAGCCTTCTTGGGGTCGATTCTAGTCACCCCCTTCCCAAAATTGGGAGAAAAATGAAAACAGCTGCAGAGAATTGGGCAGTTCATAAAATTCACTGAAAAATTGTATTTAAAACACACAATTCTTGATTGGCACATAATTACAGTGGTACCTCGGGTTAAGTACTTAATTTGTTCCGGAGGTCTGTACTTAACCTGAAACTCTTCTTAACCTGAAGCACCACTTCAGCTAATGGGGCCTTCCGCTGCTGCTGTGCCGCCGGAGCACGATTTCTGTTCTCATCCTGAAGCAAAGTTCTTAACCTGAAGCACTATTTCTGGGTTAGCGGAGTCTGTAACCTGAAGCGTATGTAACCCGAGGTACCACTGTATAGGCAAAAAGGATAGTTGTGCAAAGGAGGACCTGGAGCTGATCTCATTTTGTCAGCACCCAAACAGTATTACTGTTTAATTCAGGTCCAGTGTACAGGTTTATAAAAATCACATGGTACAGCCCTATTAAGCTGGGACTGTACCACTTCAGAATGGAGGTTAATTTTTGGTTGGGGTATTACGTACTTGATTGCTCCAGTTTCAGATTGCTCCGGTTTCAGCCTAGGCTACTCCCTGATGTTCTCCTTTTCTAGGTGCATGGAATACGGTTCTGGTTTTTGCTTTAAGTGAGAGAATCCTAGAATTGTAGCATTGGAAGGGACCCTGAGGATCATCTAGTCCAACCCCCTGCCATGCAGGAATATGCAGCTGCCCCGTATGGGGATTGAACCAGCACCCTTGGCATTTTTAGCACGATGCTCTAACCAGCTGAGCTCTCCAGTCCTGCAATCCCAAATCTGCCTTCTGAAATGAAACAGCCTTGGAGGTTAGAAATCCTTCACCAAGGCTAGCAACGGCCCCTTCTCTCTCCCCCAAAATAATCCATTAATGTCCCCAACTTCCTTTCCTTTAAAGAGGCTTGGTCTTCGGTGCGATCCTGTGCATGTCAACTCAAGTTTTATGTCCAGGGTTTACTCTTGGGTAAGGTAGGGTGGCAGATCCACATACTCGGCCCTTTCCGCTGCTGGCGATGAACAATTCATATTGGAGATAAATTGTTGGTTGATTTATTTCACATACCACATGCATACCTCCTTTTTTTCCTTACAGCTTTTGTCACGTATAAAGGTAAGCATGCAAGTGAGAAGGGAGTGTGTGCGTGCGAAGTAATGCAAAAGAAAAGGAGCTAAACAATGAAACTGAAGCTATTCCTTGCCTCTACACTTTCATTGTGATTACACAAAAGAAAACTGCAGAAAAAAACGAGGCGGCTCTGAAAGAAGCCTCGGGAAAGATGGAAATCAGACAGAAGGCAACATTTGCTCTCAAGCTGCTTGAAACCAATATAGACACCTTGGCCCCGATCCTTAGCAGGTGATACTATTGTTGTCTAGGGATCTGTACAGCTAGGTTGCATCAAAGCAAACCTTCCTTTCGGTTATACGTATGCAGGAGAATCGGCTAATCTAAAACAATCCATTTGAGTTTTGTGTGTGTTCCCTCCTGGGGCAATGACTTCTCGTTTCATTTAATTTGCTTTGGTTTTGATTACTTTAGGACACTCCCTTGCTATTTTTGGGCGGTGCTATTTTCCCTTTTGAGTTTCACAATACACCTCTTCGGGTGCTCTCTTTTTTCAGTCACAAGGTAAAGGTAAAGGGACCCTTGACCATGAGGTCCAGTTGTGGCTGACTCTGGGGTTGTGACGCTCATCTCACTTTACTGGCTGAGGGAGCCAGCGTACAGCTTCCGGGTCATGTGGCCAGCATGACTAAGCCGCTTCTGGCAAACCAGAGCAGAGCACGGAAACGCCGTTTACCTTCCCGCCAGAGCGGTACCTGTTTATCTACTTGAACTTTGACATGCTTTCGAACTGCTAGGTTGGCAGGAGCAGGGACCGAGCAACGGGAGCTCACTCTATCGCGGAGATTCGAACTGCCAACCTTCTGATCGGCAAGTCCTAGGCTCTGTGGTTTAACCCACAGCGCCACCCGCGTCCCTTTCAGTCACAAACGTCCCTAAAAATAAATTGCGGGAAGCGCGACATAAATAGAGAACTAGTGAATTTGCAGCAAGATTTTCTAATCAGCAAGGGGAAAGGTCCATTCTTTTTGCTTTCCAATTACACCCGGATCTGGAATAAACCAGATGTGGATTTGCACTTGCATATGTGGGGCATCTTTGTTTTGAAATATTTTTATTCTGCCATCCAGTGGAAAAGGGTTGCGTCAGGTCGATGATCTGGGACTCTGGAGATAATGCATGTTCTTTAGAGGGCAACGTGTATTACTTGCTTCAGAATGGTGAGCTAGCCCTGTTGTGTTGGTGGACCCGTCTGTTCATTCTTCTGAGTGGAGCCATGGACCTCTCTGCCCTAAAAGCACCACTGCCTAAAGGGGACAGCACAAAAGGAAGAAGGGCTGAGGTGGGGAAAGGAAAACGCGACACACGTTTTGGGAGGTGGGGGTTATCAAAAAGAATCCAGCACGAAAAGAGTGCTCAGAACCCAAGACTGCATTTCCTTGCCATCACAGTCCAAAAGAAAAGCTTTTAAGTATTTCCCACCTTCAGTAAAAACACATCTTTCTAAAAAAAAAAACTTCTCTTTCCCGCCTCCTCTTCATGCTCTTCTGACGTGTGTTTCAAAATTCCCTCATAAATCTGGGTGACTCACCTTGTGTGTTAGAGAATTGTTGCAGAAGAACAGTGGGAGGCGTGGAGCGGGTGTGTATGTGTGGAATAACAAAAGGCCTTTTAGTGGAGTTTACAACTGGCAAGTTCACATTTTAATTTGAGAAAAGAACATTGTTTGCGCCTTGCTGCCACCTGCTGGCTGATCAAGTTCTGACACGTAATAAATCTGACAAGAAGACAAAAGCTAGAGGTGAGGACTTTTTGCTTGCATTCTCATAGAAACCTGGGCAAAATCCAGAACCCGGGCCAAATCCTGTCACACCTCCTGCTTTGCTACATATGCCAGGCCTTTGGTCCGATACAGCCAAACGCTTTTGAGTGTGGTTTTATGGTGAAAATCTCCTGGAAGCTGCTTTGAGACCAAATAACCTACAAAAGGACCAGGAGCCCCTTCTCCAATGCTCTGGGAAAACCAACAGCATGATCAGAGTTTTTCTACAGGAAAATAGAAAGCACGAGCCGATGGAAGATTCAGAAGATTTTGGTTTTATTCAATTTTTTGTAAAAATAAAAGCAGAGTGAATAACTTAAGGGGCTGGGAGTCTTTGGGAGCAAACAGAGAGAATCTACAGGTTGTGCTGTAACAGGGAAGAAATCTATCTTGAGCAACGTTAAATCCAAAGAAATGAGTCAGCAACTAATATGAAATAGTGCGATGAGGGGGCGGAAATCACACAGGACTATCTAAAGCTAGCAAGGGCAGAGCTTTTTATTGCACCAATCTGCTGGTAAGGTTTCATGCCCCTTTCTGGCTAAACTGGAAAACTTGTAGGGCCGGGATAGAAACAAGGAATCCTAAGAGTTGGAAGGGACCACCAGGGTCATCTAGTCCAGCCCCCCAAATGCTCAGGGTTGCGGGTTCGAGCCCCACATTGGGTAAAAGATTTCTGAATAGCCTCAGTGTTCCTAAGGCATCTGCTTAGAGCTACGTGATTTCCAAGTGTTTCCCAGACTTCCAAAAACTGACAGACTTGCGCCTTTTTCTCCTGAATTGGAGGAACACACCACTTACATGTGAAAAGATTTTTCCAAGCAGTGTTGGAGAACCTCAGGCCTAGAGGGACAAATGCAGGATTCTGCACCTCTCTGAGTGTATAGAAACATGAATTTGGAGTGGGTGGGCTGTAGACTAATTTTAACCCCGATCTTGCTCATCACTTCCTTTACTGTCTCCAAAAGGTTCCCCAGAGAGACCAATTCTATGTGTTTCCGCAGGAGTCACTGATTTGAGACAAGCCTCGTGGACAGCAACTCGTCCAGAGGGGCGACGAGAGGCTTCCCCTGAGGCTGGGCAGTCTTGTAACCATCTCTGCATCGCAGGTTGAGCTACCCAATCACACCTGGAGAGCAGGTGCCACAAAATCAGCCTCCCGGGTGGAAGCTCTTTGGGAGGGTGTGAGGCCAAAACGGGGAAGCCTGCAGAGATGCAGCAGGGGCAGCAGAAACTCAATCCAGGTGCAGCCCTCAAAAGTGGCTTCAGGGCACGACTGCTCCTGGTCACTTTATGTTACTCTTTTTATCCACTGGCGATACCCCTATATAACAAACTCTACAGAATATTCCATCTGCAAGAATGCTGGGGCTAGCACAAAATGTGTTGTTATGTGAACACATGAAACTGTCTTAGAGGGAATGAGATCTCTGGCCCTGCTAGCTGTTTTCCTCAGTCTCTGAAAGGGATACTTCCTGGGTCTGAAATCTAGTCCAGAGCATGCGGGATCCGCTGGAGGGACATTGCCAGAGAACCACTGTCAAAGGGGCTCATCACAGAGTGGGGTTCCCCAAACTTGGGCCTCCAGCTGTTTTGGGACTACAATTCCCAACATCCCTGACCTGCTCGCTAGGGATGATGTGAGTTGTAGTCCAAAAACTGCTGGAGACCCAAGTTTGGGGAAACCCTGTCGCGGAGCCTCTTTGAAGTCCATCTGCAGGCGTGGTTTGCATTCAAACCACTCTTGCAAATGGGCAAAGCGGGGCTTGCTGACGGCAGCAATCAGCTCTGACAGTAAGTCTCGCTTGCAAAAGAAAACACTTGTGAGCGCACTATAAGCATGTCTGATTGTTCTTTTGAAGCTGCATTCTTATCTGTACCTACCTCTGACATCTCATAAGATTTCAGGTGTGGGAGTGCACGCAATTTAGTTTGCATTTTGCGGCAATGCACAGCCACGTCACCTGCCCCTTAACACATGGTCTCCCCAGTGCATACGTTACTGGAGCAGTGTGAGAAACAGCCGCGCAACCGAGTCCATGAGACAACCCAGAACAGGGCTTTCAGTCTGCAGATTCCTATTTTGCAAGAAGACGGAAAACACCTTCAGCGACAATGAGAGAGACATTGAAACGAGCGCAGGAATTCACAGGCAAAAAACGCATACAGGAAAAAGGGAAGGAGCTATTCAACCAGTATGGTGTCAATACTCTCTTGGGAGAGGTCAGGATCCGGCGCGTTATGCGAATCCACGTGAGCTTGCGAGAGGGCGGTGCTCTTCACCGGAGTCCAGCTGCTCCCGAGCAGCTGAAATTTAGGGGCTGCCGAGCCGCCCAGCCTCTGGCACCGGCCCAGTTTGAAGTGTTTGCCTTTGTGGGTGTACATGTGCTCGAGCAGCTGGCTCTTGCGTAGGAACTTGTGGCCGCAAACCGCGCAGCTGATCTTCCTCTTCCGCGAGAAGGAAAAGTTGCAGTTCAGTTCCACCGGCTCAGAATCCTTGGAAACGAGCGACAACTGGCCGATGGGCAGAGGCTCCAAGCTGCCGTGAGCCGGATGCTCCAGGTGGCGCTCGTCCTCTTTGCGGAGGAAGGAGCCCAGCCGGTGGCTTTCTGCGGCCTCGTGGTTTTCGTGCAGGGGCTGCAGCTGGCCAAGGTCGCTGCTTTCCAGGATCGAGGCTGGAACCCCAAACGGCAGCGACCCCGAGACGTGCGTGAAGAGGTGCTCGCGCAGATTGCTCCGGGATTCGAAGTGCTCCCCGCAGTACTGGCATAAATGGACCTTGAGGTTCGTCCTAGAGAAGGCCGGGCCGCTGACATCCGGGGACGACGAGGTATGGCTCTGAGACACCACTTGTTCCGGGTCGCTCTTCTCCTGTTTTATAGTCACAGGAGCGTTTGCAAGCTCCTCTGTCGGCTTCACAGCCGGAGGGAGCGAAGGACGAGAAAGCTGCTGGTCCAAAGAGCCGTCGTCGAGCCCAATCGCCAACGAGAGCTGCAGCTGGGGGTGATCGCTCTGGCCGGCGGTTCTGCTCCCGAGGCTCGTCAAACTTTCCTTTGCCTGGAGGCCTCCCTTGACGGATTTGTGCGTGGTGGAGATCTGGATTCCGTACAGGTTCGAAGACTGCACAGACTCTGGCGACAGCATCTGATTCATTTCCACCGCCATGCGGGAAAGGTAGTCGGCGTGCAGGAAATGGATGCCTTCCTCCAGCCGTGTCTGGTTGACGATCTGTTTGGGTCCTTTGCCGGTGTACATTATATGCAGCAAGTAGCTGAATATGTCGGGTTGGATATCTGTTGGCTGGATCTTTATGCAGTCGCTGCTTGAAACAAAAGAGGAACGTTAGGGAAGCGGATATAGCAACGAAGAATCCAGCAGAACTTTAAAGACCAACACATTCACCGTGACATAAGCTTCTGTGGATTTTAGTCAACTGCATTAGAAGTATGAAGTGCTATCCTAAGTTGGCATTTTTATATACACATGGGTGCAAAGAAAAATATGTGTGAGCGATGAGGGGAATGAAATTACACACACACACACACACACACAAGCTGTCAATTATACTAAAGCTGAGAATGCACAAACAATAAGTACAGTGACCATTCACGAGGCAGTGCTGATGATAATGCAAATGTTCAGGCAATCGTAAGCCAATACCAGGATTTAAACCAGACTCCTCCTACCCTTGAGGAATAGCCAGAGGTCATAACATTTTGAATAAACCGACAGCATGCAGAAATTTATGGAAGGGGAATTATACTGCGGTTTCTCCTAAGAACAAGCTATTCTTCATTTATTTATGTTATTCATTTGTTTCTTTGTTTTACAACTAAAAAAACACCCCACAATTGATTGCTTTTAGAATAATAACAAGCTGAATATACTGTAAATTTTGAGAGGTGACATTTTTGGATGCGGTCTAACACATTTCTCTCTTCTTCTCTTTCACATTTGAGGCAATGTCTGTTCCAATTTCTTAATCTGCATGTTACTTCCTTTTCTAATGAATTAAAAATTTAAAAATACGGGTGCACCTTCTGGTCTCTAGGATCAAGTTATTTTCTGAAAATCTACAGCAAACTTAAGTGATGGATGCAGACACACATCTGGTTGGCCCCAATGAAAACAGGATGCTGGCCATGGGCCCGATTCAGCAAGTTCTTCTTATGACACACTAACTGGCTTTTTAATCATGCTATTTATGACTGACAACGGCCTTGGGCTAGGCTGTAAAGACTTGGATTTGGATTGGGCAGTGTTTAAAAGGGGGGAAACTCAATTTGTTTTTAAGACAAAGGATGAATGTAGAGCTGGATAAGCATAAATGTGGCATACTGAAGTAAAACAATTAAAAAAAAAAACAACCTGTCCATCTTAAATGTTTCCTTTTATCTGAGCTCCTGACAAATGTAAGGGTCTGCACTTCAGCAGGAAGAACCAGATGCACAAATATAGGATGGGGGAAACCGGGTTTACTAGAAGTACATGGGAAACGGATCTAGAGGTCTTGATGGACCACAAGCTTCACACGAGTCAACAGTGTGATGCAGCAGCAGCAAAAAAAAGCTAAAGTTGTTCTAGGCTGCATCAACAGAAGTATAGCGTTCAGGTCAAGGGAAGTTTTTAATGTGTGATATTTTAGTGTATTTTTGGGTTCTATGGAAGCCGCCCAGAGTGGCTGGGGAAACCCAGCCAGATGGGCGGGGTACAAATAATAAATTATTATTATTATTATTATTATTATTATTATTATTATTACCACCACTCTATTCTGCCTTGGTCAGACCACATCTGGATTACTGTGTCCAGTTCTGGGCACCAGAATTTAAGGAAGATGTTGACATGCTGGAACATGTACAGAGGAGAGTGACCAAGATGATCAAGGGTCTGGAAACCAAGCCTTATGAGGAATTGGGTATGTTTAGCCTGCTAAATATTAGACTGAGAGGCGATAGGATCACTATCTTCAAATATCTGAAGGGCAGTCACATGGAGCAAGTTTGTTTTCTCCTGCTCCGGAGGGCAGGACCTAAACCAAAGGATTCAAGTTGCAAGGTACATTATACGAAAAGCTAAAAGGCTTGGGGTTTTCGCCACAGGCACTGATAGCCGCAGGTTATGAGAAAGCCAGAGCAACAATTCGCAAACGAATATGGGATGTAGAATTTCAGGGTCATGTGAGTGAGATGAATAAGCACCCAGCAATCGAAGACAATGGGAGAGGTTTTACCCCAGCAATATATCTGTCAAAACTACATATAACTAAATATAGACGGTTGTTCACCCTCGGTAGATTCAACCTGCTGCCATCTGACTTATCGCAGGGCAGAGATGTGGGTAAACCGTATGCAGAGCAAGTTTGCCCCTGCGGCTTGATAGAGGTGGAAACTGTCTCCCATGTCTTGCTTCGATGCCATTTTTATGAGGATATACATTCGGTCTTTATTACCGTATTTTTCGCCCTATAGGACGCACTTTTTCCCCTCCAAAAATGAAGGGGAAATGTGTGTAAGTCCTATGGGGCGAATGCAGGCTTTCGCTGAAGCCTGGAAAGCGAGAGGGGTCGGTGCGCACCGACCCCTCTTGCTCTCCAGACTTCAGGAAGCTATCCCCCCAGCAGCTTCGCCATCGCTCTGGGACCCGTTCTGGGGGCTGGGGTCAGGGGAAGCTCCGGCTTCCCCCACCCCAGCCCCGCGCCTGGGGGGGGGAAATAAAAATTGTTTCTTTTATTTCCCCCCCCCCAAATCTAGGTGCGTCCTATGGGCCGGAACGTCCTATAGGGCGAAAAATACGGTACCCCTGTTATACAGAAAGTGGGTTTGAATCTCAATGCTTAAAATCCCTGTTAGAGGACAAGAATCCAGAGATCACACTAAGGGTGGCCAAATTTTGTGTGGCTGCCATAAAACCCGGAGAACAAGCTGTGCTATTACAAAGACTAAGACCTCAGATAAGGGACGCGGGTGGCGCTGTGGGTTAAACCACAGAGCCTAGGACTTGCCGATCAGAAGGTCGGCAGTTCGAATCCCCGTGACGGGGTGAGCTCCCGTTGCTCGGTCCCTGCTCCTGTCCACCTAGCAGTTCGAAAGCACGTCAAAGTGCAAGTAGATAAATAAGTACCGCTCCAGCGGGAAGGTAAACGGCGTTTCCGTGTGCTGCTCTGGTTCGCCAGAAGCGGCTTAGTCCTGCTGGCCCCATGACCCGGAAGCTGTACGCTGGCTCCCTTGGCCAATAAAGCGAGATGAGCGCCGCAACCCCAGAGTCGGCCGCGACTGGACCTAATGGTCAGGGATCCCCTTTACCTTTACCCTTTAAGACCTCAGATGTGAACTCTAGATAATATTTTAGAGATTAAGACCTAAACCACATTTCTACTTGCTGCCATATTCATACTGTTTGTTGTTATACTTGATTGTTAATCCAAACTTAATTCTATTGTGTTTTATGCTTGTTTAATATGGTATGTAAAACTGGTCTGGGACCGTAATAAATTTCCATCTATCTATCATGTTACAAGGAAGGAGACTGTGATTAAACATCAGGAAGAACTTTAAGAGCTATCTGGCAGTGGAACAGGCTCTCACAAGAGATGGTGGACTCTGCCTTCCTTGGAGGTTTTTAAGCAGAGGTTGGATGGCTGCCTATCATATATGATCTAGTTGAGATTGGACGTGCTGACCCTTAGGGTCCCTTCCAACTCTACAATTCTGATTCTGCCATTTTATCCTTCTCCTACTAGGGCTGGAGAGGCAGGTATAATATTTAAATCAGCTTCTTGGCTTCTCCCCTTTGCAATTCCCATGAACCACAACATTCCAGGTAGCCAAATGCTGCAAAGCCTTTTGTGTGTAAAGGAGATATTCTGGAAGTTCTGAGAGCCTCCCCTTCCCAGAAAACAAGTTTGTGATTGCATCCGTCATGCCCCAAAAGACATGCACTGCCTTACCTTGTCTGGTGAATGAATATCATCTTAAAATAGTTTGAGAAGGCAGCCAGGACAGCTCGGTGAGCTTTGAAGTAGACGTCTCCTATGGCCACAGTGCAGTCACAGAGAAAGCCAAATTCCCTTTGCATGTTCAGCTGCTGCAGGAGGATCAGGCTGTGGCTGGCAGTCTCCATAGTGTTTCTGCAGGACAAAGCAAGAGCTCTTATGGGTGTTCAGTCTTCAGGCTTGTGAGATCTTAACTCTGTTTTTTGTTTTTACTAAAATCCCAAGATCTACCAGCTGCAGTCAGGTGCAAAAAAACTGTATAGTTGGAAGGGACCACTAGCGTCAATTACGCCATCCCCATGCAATGCAGGAATGTTTTGCCCTAGATGAGACTTGAACTCACAACCTTGAGATTAAGGGTCTCATGCTCCGCTGACTGAGCTATCCTAGGTCAAGCAGTTAAAATTAAAGAGCAAGGTGCCTCTGAGCATGTTCTGAGCCTAGGAATTTGCTTCCAGTTCAAGAACTGAACTAAGATTGCAGTCCTTTCACACACACTCGATTTCCCCAAACTCTCTTCATTTCACCTGCCTAATTTAGGTGGAATAGTTGTTGCTATTGCAAGACAACTGAGAATCAGAAGCCCTTGCAGGTTTACTGCAAAACAGACATCTATCTGCAGATTTCCATCTACCTTCTGCCCACCCTGCCTGAGAAGGCAGGTCCATTTCAGGGTAGCAGGAACTACAACTCCCATCAGTCGTGACCACTGAGCAAGCATGATCCGGAATACTTGCTATTTCTGCCTGTGTGTTGTTGTTTTTTTAATACTAATAAGATTCAAACCACAAAACACACTCAAACTTAAAACAACAATATCTAAAATACGAGGCTTCAAAATTCCGGAGACATTAAACCAGCCTTTGCCAATCTTGTGCCTTCCAGCTGTTTTGGACTACAACTCCCATCAGGCCCAGGCTGGCCAAGGGCAGCATTAGGCAGTTTCAACCGAGTTGGCTGCAACCCTTAAAAGTGCTCCCTCTCCCCTCTTCTCCAGTGAAAGCAGAGGGATAACAGGCGCATCAGAAGAATTTAGGACAGCATCCTGTTCTCACAGTGGCCAAACAAAGAGCTGGACCAGAGGACAAGAGCCCTCTCTCCACTCGTTTCCTGCAACTTGTTTTCAGGGCTGCTGAAATGCCTTACCGAAGGTGCAATCTTAAAAAAAGAAGAATCACCCGGCTGCAACCTGCCAGCAACCGGGCACAACCTCGCACTTTCAGCGGCGAAGCATCCGCTTTGCAGCGCGGAAGATCCCGAGTTCAAGCAGGCTGGGAGACTGCACCCCTCGCGCCCGAGAGACCCTGGGGAGCCGCTGCCAGCCAGTGCACTCAATACTGCGCTAGATGGCCCCGCGCAAGGCGGCGACCCAGCAGCCCCAAATACCTGCGCGCTTCTGGCTCGGGGTGCCGCTGGCCTGCGCGCCTCCGGCCCCACCAAAAAAACCAAAACCCTTGGTCGCCGCGCATGCCCATAGTAAGCTACGGAAATGCAAACGTGCCACACACGGGCGCGCGCGCGCGCACAGAAAGGCAGCCAAGGCCGGCGGTGCAGCGGGGTCGGTTGGCTTGCTTGCAAATAGCTCGCCGGCTCCTGTTGCAGACGCGGCGCGGTGCGCAAGGAAGCCATGCCACCCCGGGCATCTATTCCTGGCCCCCCCACCCCTTCGACCGTCCCTCCCCCTCCTCCGGTGGAAGAGGGGCTGCTCCCCATTGCACAGCGCTCCCCGACGCCACCCCGCACCCACATCTCCGTCCCGTCGGCTCCTGGCCCCCTTACCCCACAAGGCAGCGGGCCTCTCGGCGCGTGGAAGCGGCGGCTGCGCAGCTACGGCAGGAACAAGGGCGCGCCGGATACGCGCGCGCGCGCTCTCACGTTGCTTTTTTTTTTGCGCCTCCGGCCCGAAGAAGGGAAAGCGGAGGGAGGGGAAAGGGGAGGGGGCTGTGGCGCCAGGCGCCAGGAGGCAGCTGCAAAGCCTCTGGATTGCCTGTCTCCCTCGTGCGCGGGAGCGCACCTTGGAGTCATTTCGACAGGGGGGGTTCCGTTTTATTTAATGCATTCCCTGCCTCTCAGCGACGGCTCTCGGGAAGGTTGGAAAGCCGGCCTGCTACCATGGCAGTAAAAAAGGACACAACAGTGCAGTGCTCTTTTTATCTCCGGGACAACTCAGTCAATAGAGCACGGAGACGCTTGAGCTCAGGGTCATGGGGTTGGACTAGACGACCCTTGGGGTCCCTTCCAACACTCTTCTTCTATGGTTTCAGGCTCCAAGATCTGCAGCTGGTGGGATGAGAGGCCCCTGCATTTGGTCTCTGGTATGAATGCACATCTGCGCACATCTGGGAACTGCACTGAGGTTCTGTGTAAGGTGAACAGCCTGCCAATCATTTGAAGCGCCTGGCAAGCTTTATTTTGAAACTGTTGGCCACAGTTTATGGGGCGCTTCTGTTGTTTTTCCAGTTTGTATCTTTAACCTGGAGAGCAAAAAACGCTCTGTTGTTGTTTAGTCGTTTAGTCATGTCCGCCTCTTCGTGACCCCATGGATCAGTGCACGCCAGGCACTCCTGTCTTCCACTGCCTCCTGCAGTTTGGTCAGACTCGTGTTTGTGGCTTCGAGAACACTGTCCAACCATCTTGTCCTCTGTTGTCCCCTTCTCCTTGTGCCCTCAGTCTTTCCCAACATCAGGGTCTTTTCCAGGGAGTCTTCTCTTCTCATGAGGTGGCCGAACTATTGGAGTCTCAGCTTCAGGATCTGTCCTTCCAGTGAGCACTCAGGGCTGGTTTCCCTAAGAATGGATAAGTTTGATCTTCTTGCAGTCCATGGGACTCTCAAGAGTCCAGAACCATAATTCAAACGCATAAATTTGGCGATCAGCCTTCTTTATGGTCCAGCTCTCACTTCCATACATCACTACTGGGAAAACCATAGCTTTAACTATACAGACCTTTGTTGGCAAGGTGATGTCTCTGCTTTTTAGCAGTGATCCATGAAGGGAAAAAACGCTCTATTGGCTTCCAAATCAGTGGAGAAAAGCCTATTGCAGGATGAACAAATAACAACCTGCAGCGGGCAGAGAAAAGCCTATGGCAATGCATAATTGTGGGAAAGGGGAATAAGAAGCCATAATCCTTGCAATGAAAATATGTAGCTCTTGCTTGATGTGGCAGCGATTGTCCTTGTGTCCTTCTGGCAACCTCCTAGATTGGTTTGGGTTTTTAAAGAACTCCTCAACTCGGGCTTATATTATACCCTGAAACATGAACTGGGCCTTCAGCAGAGCATCTGCAAACCTTGGTGTCTCCAGATATTCAGGACAATTAAATAAACCACATTTCTTCATGCTCTTTATCTTCGGTTTGACCACACAGAAAAATGTCTTGCAAAGTCTCTCTTTCTTTTTTTTACGTTGTAGCTTCACTGAGTTTACACTTAAATGACTTAAGAAGAGGTGAAGTTGCATAGGATGGAGCTGTTACAGTTTAGAAATCTAATTATTCTACGCTGAAGAAAAGGACCCTTTTCCTTGCTTACACTTCTGCTGCAAGTATCTTAAGTAACGGTGAGTTGTATAGTTCAGTTGCAAGAGAATGTGGTTAGTCGCAGCCAGATTAGACAGACATGTGGCAATTTCACATGTTTAGGGAAATTCTGTAAGAAGGGGTGGAGAGGTCAAATTCTGATAAGGGGCATGTGGAGGAATGGCAGAGTCCAGAGAAGGCTTTATTGCTTGGTTTTAACAATTAGAAACTAGGCCCAAATCCATCCAAACAAGGGGTAGGGGGGAATGGGGCCGTGTTAAGCAACTAGTGCAGAGAAGGAAGGTTGGTTTGGTGCTGGGGTGGGAAAATTTTAAAACACACGCAAACCAAGCCACAAAGTGTCATGCACTTTTAGACTCCACCTGCATTGCAGGAAACATCTGGCGGGGAGGTGGGTTAAGGTATCCTTTTTTACTAGCTATGTTCCAAAAGTGTTTGAGATGGTGTGGTACGCAGTCCTGTTGCTTTGCATGTGGGCTTGTGGGGGATGAAACGCTCCGTTATCAGGCTTTGCAGGGATCAAAAGAGCTAAAAATGTGACCTTGATGCTGCAGAGATCCAATTGGTATCCTCCAGTTAATTGGGCATGAGTTATTGTTATTATTATTATTAATTATTTGTATACCAGCCTATACCCGCAGGTCTCAGGGTGGTTCACAAGATAAAATCACAAAATAAAAACATAAAGTACAGGATAAAAACAATCCAATAATCTCCCCCTCCCACAACACATTTTAAAAGGGCATTGGATGTCAATCAGCCAAAGGCCTGGTTTAAAGAGAAACAGTTTTGCCTGGCACCTAAAGGTGTATAAGCAAGGCACCAGGTGAGCCTCTTTGGAGAGAGCATGCCACAAATGGGGAGCCACTGCAGAAAAGGTCCATTTTCATGTTGCCACCCCCTGAACCTCTTGTGGAGGAAGCCCATAAAGAAGGCTATCAGAAGGTGATCTCAGGGTCCAGGTAGGTTCATATGGAGAGAGGCGGTCCTTATAGTAGACAAGAGTGTTGGATGAACACCGGAGAGACGCAGGTTGTAAAGGTTGTTCTCTGAGGTTAAGGGGCAGTGGGGAGGACCTCCATGAATAATATTAATTAATTAACATACTGCTTAATTTCCACTGTGGCTTTTATATAAGTATGAAACCAATTACAAAAATATACATAAGCACACTGAGCTTCTTGGGAGGGTGAGATAAAAAAAAAAATACAACAAAACACTTTGCTTGGGTGGCCCCCAAATTCCCTGTTCCCCCACACCATGGAGCACTTGGAAATTGCTGAGGGTGTCGGCGGACAACTTCCTATTTTTTCTGCTCGTTGTAGCAACTGTCATGCACTGAGCTAGATGCTTTACTACATGGATAGAAGAAGAAGAAGAGTTTGGATTTGATATCCTGCTTTATCAGTACCCGAAGGAGTCTCAAAGCGGCCAACAATCTCCTTTCCCTTCCTCCCCCACAACAAACACTCTGTGAGGTGAGTGGGGCTGAGAGACTTCAGAGAAGGGTGACTAGCCCAAAGTCACCCAGCAGCTGCATGTGGAGGAGCGGAGACGCGAACCCGGTTCACCAGATTACGAGTCCACCGCTCTTAACCACTACACCACACTGGCTCTCTAGAAGAGACTCAGAAGCAGGCATAGAATCTTAGAGTTGGAAGGGACCCTGAGGATCATCATAAGTCCAACCCCCCGCAATGCAGGAATATGCAGCTGTCCCATACGGGGATCAAACCTGCAACCTCAGCGTCCTCAGCACCACGCTCTAACCAGCAGATCTATCGTACACACAAGGTGGTGGTATGCAGCCAGCAACATTTCTTTGGTCAAACCATAAAAAGGCCGGAGCTGCTGTTTTGATAGACTATAACGGGTAGGCAATCTAAGGCCCGGGGGCTGAATCCGGCCCAGTCGCCGCCTTAATCCGGCCTGCGGATGGTGCAGGAATCAGTGTGTTTTTACATGAGTAGCATGTGTCCTTTTATTTAAAATGCATCTCTGGGTTATTTGTGGGGCATAGGAATTCGTTCATATTTTTTCCCCAAAATATACTCCGGCCCACCACATGGTCTGAGGGACGGTGGACTGGCCCACGGCTAAAAAAGGTTGCTGACCCCTGGAGTATAACAAGAGGAAGCTCAGAAGTTGGCTGTGCAAAAGGGAACTGCAAGAATAAAGATTAAAATGTTATCACGCGGAGTGCTGCTGGTCAGGGTTTCAGACAGCCAGTTCCATTTCCCCTCCACAACATGTCCCCTTCCACAACCGTCAGCCAGCGTTCCAAGATGAGCGCTCAGGTTTTGGTGGTCTCGGTTCCCCCCACAAAAATATTTCATGTACTTCTGGAAACCTTGGGTTCTCCCACCACGCACATCTGCTGACACCTCCCCTTGCGGGTGGTGCTATTTTGGCTCCAAAGGGCTGCACATTTGGAGCATGACTTCGCTATTTGAATGCACAAAAATATCCATCTGAAAGCAGCATTGCTCTTCCTGGAAGGTCTGCAGGCATCGTTTTGCTCTCCTTGCATATTTTTACACTATTTCTTTTTTATTAGTACATTTCCACATACCTCCCCACCTTTCTTCCGTTGTGGAACCCAAGGGAGCAGGCACACACTCAGGGGTCCCGGGTACAAAACCCTGGCATCTCTAGGGAGGGCTGGGAATGTCCCCTTGCCCGCAACCCTGGAGCGGTGCTACCAGTCAGTGCGGGCAAAACTTGGTCCACTGGTCTGACTTGGGATAAGGCAGCTTCCTACATTCCCAAGGCACAGAGAATAAGTCAGCATCAAGAGTTTTAGGGACGCGGGTGGCGCTGTGGGTTAAACCACAGAGCCTAGGACTTGCCGATCAGAAGGTCGGAGGTTTGAATTCCCGTGACGGGGTGAGCTCCCGTTGCTCGGGCCCTGCTCCTGCCAACCTAGCAGTTTGAAAGCACGGTCCCAAATTTGAGATTGTATTATGAAGCCTCGTGCCTTTGTTGGCTCAGAGAATGGATTGTCTTAAAAAACACAGTTCTGTTGGATTTAGAAGGCTTCGATTTAAGATTCGGTTGGCACGCCTATCTCTGGCAGAATAAGGAAAAGGTGCATAAAGGCTTCTCAAATCATATCATCAGAGGATCCTTGTTAGAGGTGTGGGAAAAGAATAGGAAATTGTTGGAAAAAAATACTCCTTGGTGGTTATCGCCCATTGATATCTTAACTATAAAAAAAATGAATATAGAAGGTGAGAGATGGACCTATGAAGAAATAAAAAAATTTTGGGAAGCCATATACAATGAATTGAAAAAGATATTTAAATACACCTTTGTTAAAAAACCCCGAAGCCTTCCTCCTAGGTATGATCGGAGACGAGATTAAAAAAGAAGACTACATAATGTTTCAATATGCAACTGTAGCTGCTAGGATTCTACTAGCACAAAATTGGAAACCCAATATCCCGACCGTTAAAGATTGGCAAATTAAACTATTTGAATACTTAGAATGCCAATACTTAGAATTGGCAAAAATGACGCAGAATATCAGACAGCAAAAAGATACAAAGTTTAATGACGATTGGACCAAATTTATAACATATATGGAAACAAATTCTAGAAATCTAAAAATCACAGTATGTTTAACATAATTCTTGCAATGCATAGATGATATAAAATGAAAACTGCAGAATGGAATTACAATCTTATATAATCCAAAACCGAGATGGAGGGAAGTCAATTCGTGTGTTTCTTTTTTGGTCCGTTTAGGTTTTCTGTTGTTTGTTCTTGTTCTTGTTTTTCTTTTCTTTTTTTCTCTTTTTTTATGTACGGTTGTTTTGTTTTTCTGTTTGCTTATGAAAATTAATAAAAAGAATTTAAAAAAAAAGAAGAAAGCACGTCAAAGTGCAAGTAGATAAATAGGTACCACTCCAGCAGAAAGGTAAGCGGCGTTTCCGTGCGCTGCTCTGATTCACCAGAAGCGGCTTAGTCATGCTGGCCACATGACCCGGAAGCTGTATGCCGGCTCCTTCAGCCAGTAAAGCGAGATGAGCGCCGCAACCCCAGAGTCGGCCACGACTGGACCTAATGGTCAGGGGTCCCTTTACCTTTACTAAGAGTTCGCCATCTGTCACTTCCACAATCTCTTACAATCCCCATAATAATATTATTTATGCATTTTCAAATTAAATTTATATACCACTCTTCATCCAAAGAGCACCGGGTGTATGTGTGTTATGGTATACTGTTATACCATCCACCTAACTCCCATCCTCCCCGGTCAGGATGGCCAGGAATCAAGGATGATAGGAGTTGTAGTCCAGAAGCATCTCATTACACTAGACATCCTGTCTGAGGCACAAAAGCCAGGCAAAGGCAACCGAGAGATTACTTGTCAGGCTCTAAGCAGGCGTTGGTGGTAGGGAGAAGTGGCTGGAGTGAGCGGCACTGCCTCTAAAATCCAAACAAGCCAAAATGGGCCAAAGTAAGTTGGTAATTCTTGTTACCGACACCCCACCCACAAAAAGCTCCCCAGTCAATTCAACCCCAGCTAGGGGCAGTGGCAAACCTACATTTTTGGGGGGGGGGTGCTGAAGCTTGAACGGTTATGGGGACCCCTTTGCAAGCAGCAACAAGGTATGGGTAACCACTGTTATCTTCTTTAAAGGGGTTGTTCCACAACAGATCACCACTTTCAAAAAAAAATTGCTACGTTTCAGATTTTGATTAAAATTGCTGTACAGTGGTACCTTGGGTTAAGTACTTAATTTGTTCCGGAGGTCTGTTCTTAACCTGAAACTGTTCTTAACCTGAAGCACCACTTTAGCTAATGGGGCCTCCTGCTGCTGCCGCGCCGCCGGAGAACGATTTTTGTTCTCATCCTGAAGCAAAGTTCTTAACCTGAGGTACTATTTCTGGATTAGCGGAGTCTGTAACCTGAAGCGTATGTAACCTGAGGTACCACTGTACTAGATTATCTCACCCGTCAAGGTCAGTGATGCAAATTAAGAATTCCTATGCCTTACTGTTTTCGAGTTATGGGGAGGGGGTAAAAATTAAGGAGCTGCATCATAGAATGATGAAATTGAGTCTACTAGAGCACACACACCCCCTTTGGTGTGGACCAAAAATGGCTTCTGGGCCCCTCCAGGATTAGGGGCCCTGAAGTTTAAGGTGCGTCATTCCTGCACCGCAGGGAGTTGGATTAAATGACCTTTGGGGTTCCTTCCAGCTCTACAAATTCTATAATTCTAATAGCAGATCCACCCTGGCTGGGGGGCGGGGTGCCTTTGAAGGCCTGTCCCCCACCCCTTGCCCAGCCTGACATTGGCACTCTGGTCTGGGGCACTCGGGCGGAGGACCCCCACCCCACCAAAGACGGGGAGTGAATGGGGCCGTGCAGGATAACGCGGAGAAGGAAGATGCGCCGGGAGGGGGGGGCGCGACCGCTGCGCCCTGGCCGCACCCGCCGCCGCCAGCAGGGCCCGGCGCCGCTCGCTGGCCGCCAGCCGGGGGGAGGGGTCCAGAGGCTCCGTGCGGTCGCGGCGGAGCCGGAGCTGCTTCTGCTGCACCAGAGCAGGGGCGGCAGCAAGGGAAGCAGCAGCAGCAGCAGCAGCAGGCGCGGCCGGGGGCGGAAGTCCTTTGTTGCTGCAGCCGGAGGAGGCGGCCGCGGCGCCGGGAGAGCAGCTGGCCGCCCCTCGAGCCCCCGCGCGGCGCGCCTGCCTGCCTCGTCCTCCCGGATCCCGCGCCCCGCATGCCTGCATCGGCCTCGGGTAAGTGGGGCGCGGGGCGCAACCACGGCGCCAAGACGCTCGCTTCCCCGGGTAGAGCTTGCGCAGGCCGCGGGAGGAGAGAGAGCCTCCCTGGGTGGCGCAGCGCCGGAGCGCGCGGAGAGAGGCGCGCGGCAGCCGGGCCGAGGCCTCGGGCCTGGGGGAAGCCGAGCGCAGCGCGATCGCGGAAGGGCAGCGCCCGATCGCAGGCGGAGAAGCGTGCGCCCGCGGTTGGAGAGGCTGGTTCCGGCATCGTCTCTCTCTCTCTCTCTCTCTCTCTGCGCGCGCTCCGGAGAGGGAAAGGCGGCGCTAGCTGGCGCGCCCGGCCTTGGCTGCATCGGGGTTTCCCGGCCGAGGCCTCTGGAGCTGCTTCCCCGCCCTGCCCCGCTGGAGCCATGTGGCTTGCGCCCTGCGCCGCCATCGGCGCTCTCTTTGGGGGAGAGGGGAGGGCGAGAGGCGAGGCGGCAGGGCGCCCCTGGCGGCGCAGATCCTTCTGCCGGCAAAACGTGGGTCCGGGGGTCGGGAGCGGCGGGGGAGATCGAGGCAGTGCCTTGGATCCGGGAGATCCAACTGCTCTCTTAAAGCCGAGGTTCCACGGGCATTTCGTCCTGCGTTGGAATGGGCTGTCTAACTTTTCATACCTAGTGGGCCGCAGAAGTACTTGGACACGAACCCCAGACCGGGTGGTGGGTGACGAAGCTAAAATTTGACACCTTCCCCCCGCCCTCGTGCTGTCTTCCCAAAGAAGGAGGCATGGGGCTCTGGCAGGACCCTAGAGCCCTCCTACCTTCTTCCCCAAGCTGGGAAAATGCGAACTAGGCTATGGGAAGATGGGCACCTCCTTCCCAATGCCCAGATCCTGGTTTACCTGGTTTTGGGAAGGCAGTGCAAGGGCTGGGGCAAGGTGTCAGATGTTGCCAAAGGACTGCTGGACCCCCCCTGATCTAGACTCTTTCCTGCTTTGGTGAATCTGCAATGCCTGTGGTTCACAAGTCACAGTTTTTTTCCTGCTCTTGGAATCATTGAATTATAGAGTGGATTGGGAGGCATCCTGAGCATCATCTAGGCCACCCCCCTGCAATGCAGGAATATGCAGCTGTCCCATGTGGGGATCGAACCTGCAACCTTGGCATTATCAGCAACACGCTCTAATCAAGCAAGCTAATCCAGGCTCTGAATATGGCCTACCTTAAAAACTATGGCCCTTTAGGATACTCTGCTGTGAGTACTCCTTGAACTGCTTACTCCAAACTGCACTGAGATTTGTGGTTGTAAATTTATAGGTATGTTTATGCTCTACCCCACTCTCTGTTTCTTCCAAATTTGCTTCACTCTCCAGTGAAACTGTCAAGCCCAGGGAGTGCTGAGGCTTATCAGTTGTCAAAGATAACTTAGGTTTGGTTTTTAAATGTTCCTATGGCAGCGGTGCAAGGTGGGAAGTTCAGAATTGTCTCCACCCCCATCGTTCTGCGGGGACACTGAGGTCCAGTGCCGAGGGCCTTCTGGCGGTTCCCTCACTGCGAGAAGCCAAGTTACAGGGAACCAGGCAGAGGGCCTTCTTGGTAGTGGCTCCTGCCCTGTGGAATGCCTTCCCACCAGATGTCAAAGAGATAAACAACTACCAGACTTTTAGATGACATCTGAAGGCAGCCCTGTTTAGGGAAGCTTTTAATGTTTAATAGACTATTGTATTTTAATATTCTGTTGAAAGCCACCCAGAGTGGCTGGGGAAACCCAGCCAGATGGACGGGGTATAAATAATAAATTATTATTATTATTATTATTATTATTATCATGTATAAAACCTGTTCTCAAGTGTCGCCAACCTCTGAAAAAGGGGCACTCTGGAAAGGACACCCTTTCTTCCAGGCGTGCTCTTATACCAAAGCCTCATACTTTAGTGGTGGAACACATGCTATGCATGCAGAAGGTCTCCGGTTCAATCCAGTACTCAAAATTTGCCAGGCACGTTTTGCACCTGGCCATTGGCCACCTGCGACCAACTGAAGATGCCCGAGTGCCAGGATGGCGCCTGACGTCTCCACCACCTGGAGTTGCATCCCTGGGGATCCTTGGATCCCGATTTGCACACACTAATAACCCAAAAATGGCAACTAGGCATTCCGTTTGGTGACTGTAACCCTGGTTTAAGGAGCACCTAGATTATATATTTGTGTTTCTAACAAGGGATCAATTCTTCCCTAACAACACCGGTTAAAAACAGTACTCGGCTATTTGGATGGATGGTCTAATGTGCCATAAGGTGACTTCCTGTGCCCATCCATGTCTTTTTCACAGACCCCTTGTTCAGAATAGTATTGCGCTGGCTTGGTCGCCTGTGGTGAGCAGGAGTTTTCTGCAGGTGACCAGACAAGGAAGCTTTTTCATGGTCTTATTCTCAACAATGCAGGAGCAGAATCCGACGTTGTGAGAAATCTTAGGGTCATAGGAAGCTTCCTCCTACAGAGCCAGACCATTGTTCCATCTAGCTTAGTATTGTCTACACTTAGTGGCAGCAACTGTCTGGGGTTTGAAGCAGGAGTGCTGCCCTGCTCTGTCTGGAGATGCCTGAGATTGACCCAGGACACTTGCATGCTAAAAATGTACCACCGAACCAATAAATCCAACGTTACCAGACTCCATGCATCTGTGGTTAAAGTAATTATCTGGAACCGCCATCGGATGTGACGCTAACAAGAAAACTGCCCCCCTCCTGCATTGTGGTAGATTTTCCCATGCATTATTTCCTGTCTCCTCCCAATTGGGAGAACTGATCCTTGGAATCTAAGGAAGCCTTGCACAGTTGGGCCAGACCTATAGCAAGACCAGCTGAAATGGCACAAAATAAAGAGCCAGCTTTTGAGTTGTCCAGGGCTCTTGGTCAGGCTTGATGTTGGAACACACCCATGGGGTTGGGGGAGAAAAAAGCTGCCTTGATTCTTAAGCCACAAAAACCTGCATTTGGTCAGATTCCACTGCGCTCCATCTCAAGTGCAACGCAGGAGGAGAGATCGCTCTTGCAGTGCAATTCTTGCATGTCTGCTCACTACCCTTAGTTCAGTGGCTCTTGCTCCCATGCCTCATAGGATTGCAGGCAGTGCAGACATGCACCAGCTTGCTCTGATAATTGGATCAGCTCTCCTGGGTGCTGCGTAGGTTTCAGGCTGCACTTAGCAACACGGGGACAAAGGCAAGCCGGGGTGGTGTAGTGATTAGAATGTCAGGCAGGCTAGGACCTGGGAGACCAGGGTTCAAATCCACACTCAGATTTGAAGTTCATGGGGCAACTTTCGCGCAGGCACTGTCTCTCAGTCTAACCTGCCTCTCAGGGTTGTTGTAGTGGCAGGGGATGGGGATGGAAAAGAACCAAGCAGGCCATCTTGAGCTCCTTGGAGGAAAAGGGGGGTATAGATGTAATTTGCACAGAAGGCACTTTGGTAGCCAGTCCTCAATGTTTTAAAATGCCTTCAGCGAGGTGGGCAGGAAACACGCTGGACGAGTAACTTGGGAAGATCATTATCATCTATAGTGGCTGGCAAATGGTTCTCCAGGATTTCAAGCAAGATCTTTCTCCAGCCTTATCAGGAGACGCCAGGGATTGAACCTCTGTCCCTGAGCTACGGGGAAGAAACCAGGGGGCTCCAGGAGTCTGCATTTGAGGGGTGAGCCTCAGCAGGTTCCCCGCCACGCCGCCCCTGCAGAAAAGCAAACCACTTTTTTTTGGCTGCAAGAATGAAATGTTTTTCCCCTCCTTAATCCTGCGGCTCAGAAGTTTGGGAATGGCATTCCTCTCGAAAGAACCGAGCCCCCGTTACCCAGGCCTCCTCCCCAGTAACAGAGAATCGGTACCTCTCTCTCGCTTTCTCTCTTTGCAGAATTACTCTTGGCTTAATTTGCTCAGAAACATTCTGTTAGTTGGCCTCCAACCAACTAATATTTGTTTTGTTTTATTTTTGTCCCACTCGGGCAACGCAAGCCTGGGAAACCTCTCTCAGTGTTGCCTTAGTGCATTCAGTCAGCCGGAGCCATGACGCTTAGGGAATTGTGCAAAAACCGTGGCGGAATTTCTTCTTCTTCTTCTTCATTTCAAAGAAATGCTCTTCTTGCATTAGTGGGCAGAGAGGTGGGCGGATGAGAATGGAGGACAAGTTGCAGAAGCAGGAAGCCAGCGTGTGCCTGCCCGGCTGATAGATAACTTGCGTGAAGACCGCTTTGCATTTCCCTGTTAAGTTTCTCAGAGGCGGAATCTGTTCCGCCCTGCATGCTTTCTCACCGCATTTTGTGTGTGCGTGCAATCGTGCTTTTGCCCATTGCTGCTCTGTCGGACTGTTTGTTGCAAACCAATATAGCCGGTGATGTCATGAGCGGCATGTGAACCGGAGCTCTCGCTGCTTAGGCAACCGCTCCTGCAGAAGGCAAAACAGGAGGAGATGCCGCGAGTCTTCCTTGGCTTGGAGACATCGCTCGCCTCTGCTGCGTTTCATGCGTTAAGGCCCCTCTCTCCGCCCCCTTTGCAGTTTACTTCAAGTTTATTTATTTTTTCAATGCTCTATAACAGAAGCCTCGCGCTCATCGCGGTCGGGGAAGGAGCGCCGCCGCAGCTACGCCTGGCTCACAGTTGTTAGGAGGATGTCGGAAGGATGTGGAAAGGATGGTGATAACAAAGTTTAGGAAGCGAGTTGGACGAAGCGAAGCTGCAGGAATTGGGCAGGTTTGGTGGCTCAGATCGGGGAAGGGCGCAGCGGCAGAGTATCCGTCAACTTTGCATGACATAGATCCCAAATTCAGGACCGGGAGAGAGACTCCTGCTTGAAGAGCTGATGCTGGTCAGTGTATACACAATGCTCTAGACCAGCCTGTCGCAACTTGTGGGTCCCCAGATGTTGTTGAATTACAACTCCCATCACCCCTAGCTAGCAAGGCCAGAGCACAGGGATGATGGGAGTTGTAGTCCAACAACATCTGGGGACCCACAGGTTGAGAACTGCTGCCAAACCGATGGTCTGGCTTGGTATAAGGCAGTTCCTTGCATCCCTTCGTGATTCCTCAAGCCCTGCCAGCACCTGTGGCAAGAGGCTTGTTGTCCTGAGCCACCCACCCAGAGCTCCTCATTTTCTCTTCTTCTGACACACTCCGGAGAGGCTGCCCTCTTGGAGGTTTGAGATGTTGTGTGGATGTAGTTTGATGCATCCTGCGTTGAGGAGGGATGCTGAGCCGCCTGTAGCATTGTGGTCATTGGCAGGGCACGACGCAGGCGTTTTGATCTTCCCGTGGGTCTTGTTTGTCTGTAAGGATGTAAAAGCAACTGTGGGGTGGGAGGGGAGGAAGAGTTGGGTTGGCATGGGGCAGCAGCCATTTCCTCCCCGCCTTGCATTCCTAATCGAAATGCCTTGCCCCCGGACATCCAGCTTGCAGATACAGGAACCTGCGTTTTTCTTTTTCTTCACACCTTTGGAAGAATGCTTTAGACCAGGGGTCAGCAAACTTTCAGCCGGGGGCCGGTCCACTGTCCCTCAGACATTGTCGGGGGCCGGACTATATTTTTTTTTGGGGGGGGATGAACGAATTCCTATGCCCCACAAATAACCCAGAAATGCATTTTAAATAAAAGCACACATTCTACTCATGTAAAAACACGCTGATTCCCAGACCGTCCACGGGCTGGATTTAGAAGGCGATTGGGCTGGATCTGGCCCCCGGGCCTTAGTTTGCCTACCCATGCTTTAGACGAGGAAAGCAGTGTGGAAGGAAAGAGTTAAATGTGCACAGGCTCCCTCTTGCTACTGCCTTGATTGGGATCAGTGCCTCCCTATTCCTGGCTGCTGCTTTTGAACTTTCCGGAAATCCGACCAAGGATCTTCCGTGTCTCCTGTGGCCCTAAAAGCCTGAGCTGCAAATCAGGACGTCTGTGATTAGACTCTGGCCCCAGCCACAAACTCGTTATATGTGGCTTTTTGCCTGTTAGCCTCAGTCCGTTACACTCACCCACCTCTTAACCCCACTTCACAGATCCCTCAATGTGTTTTAAAGATTACAAGACAGGAACACCTATTGAGTGCTTTGCACGCTGTATAAATGCTACACACTACTCAGGAGGTTGTGGACTCTCCTTCGTTGGAGGTGTTTAAGCAGATATTTGGGATGTTTAAGTTGAAATGCCTGCATTGCAGGGGACTGGACTAGTTGACCCTCGGGGTCCCTTCCCACTCTACAGTTCTGTGATTCTATGATCCCTAGACATAACGGGAGATTTTGTGTGGGAATAGATGAGCAACGTGCAGCTAAAGTGCCTCGTTGGTTGCACCCCACAGAGACCTGGGTTCATTTTCCCATTGAGCTACGAAGCTTCCTGGTTGCCCTTGGGCCATTATTGTATCTTAATAATTATTCTTCATTCATTGATGTAGGAATACCCTTTTAAAATATGTCTAGAGGAGATTGACAGACACCACCATAGGAACAGCTAGAAACCATTTTCAAAACAGTACGAAATCAACTGGAAAAGGTACGAAATGAACACCTAAGGCAGATACTTTTCTCATTCATCTGGGAAAGCTTGTTGAAACAACAACAAAAATGTCTTCGGTTGTTTTTGGAAAATACAGATAGTGGGAATCTGTTTTATCTCAATAGGAATGCTGTTCAGCGACAGCCTTACTGAAGGCTCTGCTGCAGGTTCCCATTCAGTCTTCCTTAGCCTAACCTTCCTTACAGGGTTGTGATAATACACTATCCTGCAAGTGTGTGTGTAAATAAACTGTAAAAGTGATGGCAGTGTTTCTCTTGCACATCTCATAGAAGAATATGCCTTATGAACAATTGCAGCTTAGGATTTTCCAACGTATTGGAAGCCATTGGTATCTCACTAGAAAGGCTTACCTGAAGTCATAAGTCTTTGACTGCAGTTAACTCAGGCTAGAGATAAAAGAAGGCAGGGGAGAGATAAGTATGCAGTTTGGAAGAGAGCTTGTTTTGGCTGCAGGAAACCCTGGTCATATCCCCACTCAGCCATGAAGCTCCACTGAGCAGTTTCCCTGTTCATCTGTCTTCCTGTCCTTCTCCCTCCCTCTGTTTCCTGCCTGCCTTCTTGGGAGAATGAAATGAGGCAACCGCCATGAAAAGCCGCTCTGAACTCTTTGGAGGAAGATTGGGATACGGATGTTTGCAAAAATGGAAACACTGTTTGGTGCCACCCCCTAAAAGCAAGTTTGCTTAATAAGATCGCCATCATGTTGCATTCATTGCTCTAAAGGATGGTGGCAATTTGCTCCATATGTTGGGCTGCTGTTGACGTATGTGAACTGGCACCTGGTTTCCTGAGGCTAGAGAACCATCTCCCTGCCGCCCAAGAGGAAAGCTTTTGTGAACTGGATGAATGTGGAGTATGCATTTGCTTCTGTTGAAACTGCTGTCTTATACAAAGTCAGGCCACAGGTCTGATGGGCTCACTTTTGTCTACACTGGCTGGCAGCAGCAGCTGTCTAGGGTTTCTGATGGAGTAGCTCTCCCAATCCTACCTGGAGATGCTGGGGATTGAACCTGGAACCTTCTGCATGCCAAGCAAATGAATGACCTGCTTGTCACATAGAGCCTCTATCTAGAAGCATCCATATGGACTCTCTCCTTGGAGCTTTCAAAGCAGAGGTTGGATGGGCATCTGTCATGGATGCTTTAGTTGAGATTCCTGCACTGCAGGTCGTTGGACTATCAGGTGCACAACCTATGGCCCTCCAGATGTTCTTGGACTACACCTCCCATCACCCCCAATCACTGGCTGTGCTGTCTGGGGCTGATGGATATTGTAGTCCAGAAACATCTGGAGGGCCTCTGGACTAGATGATTCTCTGGGCCCCTTCCAACTCTGCAATTCTGTGATTCTATAATTCCTGCTCCTTTCTTTTAATTCTTCTTGCTAGTGTTGGTATATTGATGATTGCTATGCTTTTGACTCTGTAGGCATTCCTTTTGTACATCGCCTATTTCTGCATTGTGTGGCAAATAATAACAATAATGATGATATTAATATGCAGACTTGTAACCTCTGTGGATCCATTTGCAAGGCCTCATAAAAGGCCCTTCTTAGCAGTCCTGTTTTGCAACAGCGACGTCTCTCTCATTATTAGGAATCCAGCATATTTGCCGTAGCTCTGTCCCACTTTTGGCAGCAAGCCTGCCTATTTTTGGAGACTATGGAGAGATCACATTGTGGTACGGTGGAGCTCCAGCCTCTCAGTAACAAACTCCTTGCATGCTTGTTTGGCAGAGCTTGGGTTGGGGGAATGTGAAAACTGGCAAATTGTTTTCTTTAGCAAAAAGGGCTAAGGACCACAACGCAGAAGTAAAATTGCCCCTTCTCCTAATCATGATTAGGAACACCCCACCATATTCTCTTTCCCTGCCCCCTCCAGCAAATTTGCTCTTCTTTGCATGATCGGAGTGAACATGACATTTGCATTCATCTTAATTCTAACCAAGTTCTATTCATGGCTACAAACCTGCGAGTTTTGCTTACCATGGTTAGCTCTGCGAGGGGAAGGTGAGGAGGACGCACATAAAAGGGGGAAAGCAGAGCATGATCCTGTGAACGTGAAGAGGGAGAAGCAAGCTGCTAGGGCACTTGGGATCGCCTTGCTATGCTTGGGGATTTCCTTAAAGAAATCGGTATTTTTCCATGAGCCCTTAGAAAGCAAGTCTTTGCTGTTTGCAGCCCATGATGGTTTCAGCAAACTCTTTCTAATATGTCCTAAGATGAGCATTAGGTTTTTAAATAGTTCCTGCATGGTCAAACAGGCACAGAGAATGGGAAAATCCTAAATGAGGCATGGATTCCTTTTCACCACAGTCCCAAACAAGGACAAAATATGTTGGTGGTTGTTGACATCCATACGTCTTGGAAGATAGTAGAGCAGTGATGGCCAAACTTGGCCCGCCAGCTGTTTTGGGACTACAGCTCCCATCATCCCTAGCTAACAGGACCAGTGGTCAGGGATAATGGGAATTGTAGTCCCAAACTAGCTGGAGGGCCAAGTTTGACCATCACTGTAGTAGAGGAATGTGCCTTTGGGGTAATGGTCACCCATGCTAGATGCACCCTAAACTAGGGTCTTATTTAGACAGTAGCATCTGTTGCTTCTGGTTCAGTTCCATAATGGAAAATGGACAAATGAATGTGCAGTAAGTTGCTATGGGAAGAGGCAATCCCCCCCCCCCCTTTTACACACACAGACTCTGGGTGATTTGGATGGACAGGCACTAGCTCAGTTTGCATCATTCTCTGCCTCTACAGTACTATAATGTTATTGGACCCCCCCCCCCCAAGTATGGGAGTGGTTGAATGACCCCATAGCATTTCGCAGCAAAGCAGCAAAGCCAAATCACATTTCCAAGTGTCTGCTGTTAACAGAAGCTGAAACATATTGTGTGCACTGCAAATGCAGCACATGGGGCCTTTCTGCAATGTGCAGAGCTGAATTAACCATCGTCCTAAATATCATACAGTGCAGTTTGGAGATTCCACCATGGAGAATTGAGGCCCCCCCCCATTCTTTTAAAACCCTCACAGCTGAAAACTCAGTACTTTTTTGTCACATGACAGGGGAGTGGCAATGATATGAGGTCATTAAAACCAAAATGCAGCCCGCTTAGCAAGAAAAACAGGATGGCTACAAATCTCTGCAATGTGCTTTTTGAGTAGGTGCGCACACCTGCCCTGGGCTGCATTGGGGCAAGCGTTTCACCACAACTTTACTGCTCAGGAAGTGCCCCGTTTCTTTAGTCTAGAGGCCCATCAGCTCCTGTGACTGGTGACCAGGATGAGGCCTTGGGATTGGACCAGCCAGACAAATACTAGAAACTGGGTCTTTTTGACTTGCATAATTAGCACAGCATAATACCTTGCCTGCTTCACTCCAGTTCCCGCTGCAGCACATAATACCCTTTTTATGTAATTCTGAACACAGTTCTTTGGAAGTAAGAGCCTGGCAAGATGTTATTCCTAGGGTCCTGCAGCATGGTACTTTTAGACACCACATTGCCCCTGGACCTTCTGCTTTGTGCTCTATCCCTCCTGATTTGATTTGATTTTAATTACATATCAGTGGTGGCTGGGAGGATGGATGGATTTTACTTAGATGACTGAAATTAATAAGAAAAAAGGCTGATTTAAATCACTCAGCTGTTTTGCCGCAGTGTCCATGATGTTTTCTAAGGTTTCAAAATCATCCCCCAGGTCCAAAAAAGCTGGAGACCTGTGCATTTCCCATACACGTAGACCACAAATCTTGCCTTGTAAGACTACTGAAGACTTGCAGGAGCCAGCTAGAGAAAACTTGCGGGGGGGGGCCAAACATACAAGAAAGCAGGAGCTGCTGGCCACTTTTTCTTCTTCTCTTTATCTCTCATTATCTTTCAGAGGCTAATTTTCCCTGGAACATACCCCTCCCAACTCATTGGAACGGTTAGTTGCTGAGCTGTGCCAAAGAAGCATCTGCTTCCCTGTGAGGCCTTGTGAGATCTGAGCGCACGCTCCTGCTTCTCTGTGCAGCAGCTTGAAATCCTGCGCCGCCAGCCTTCAGGGGGAAATCTCAACAAGCGGAGCTCCACTAGGCATGGTTACTTTTCACACGGCATGTGCGATGTGTCACCAGACTCTTAAGTCACGTTGATTTCAATGAAGCTTTTTCTCCCACCTAGGAATTCTAGGATCACAGCCTACCCTCTCCAGCCCCTGCGAGTATTTTTTATTTATTTAATCTTTTATATCCCACCTTTCTGTCATGGAACCCAAGTTGGCATACATGTGGGCCCCGCGTAGGCACAGATGCAGGCCTGCTTGGCTCCAGCACCGTGCCTTCAGACTTTTAGTACCCTGGGTAGAGGCAGGGAAGCCAGTGAGTAACCCCAGCACACACACAACACAGATTCCCTGAGGTCTACTGTGCCTCTTATTCAACTCCAGAAGCATATCAAAATGCATTCATCCTTGGCTAGTATGGTAATCAGTTAGGGCAAAGATAACCAGCATGGTGCCTTCAAATATGTTGCTGGACTACAACTCCCATCATCCCAGGCCATTTGCTATGCTGGCTGGGGCTGATGGGAGATGGAGTCAAACAGAAGCATTAGAAGGGTACCATGATGTTGGCCATCCCTTGGTTAGGATCATGAGGTAGTGGGGCTCTTCTTGTTTCAGTTGTCAAAACCTAGCTGATAGCTGTATATATGTTTTTTCTCTCCTCCTCCTCCTCCTCCCTTTTCCTCTTGTTTGCACAGGGCCGTGATTCTGGCGCAAAATGGCAAGGACCAGCCACAGCAGCTATGTCCTCCAGCAGCTCAACAACCAAAGAGAGTGGGGTTTTCTCTGCGACTGCTGCATTGCGATTGACGACATCTACTTCCAGGCGCACAAAGCCGTCCTTGCCGCCTGCAGCTCTTATTTCAGGATGTTTTTCATGAGCCAGCAGCACAGCACAGCGCAACTGAACCTCAGCAACATGAAGATCACGGCCGAGTGCTTTGATCTCATTTTGCAGTTCATGTATCTGGGGAAAATCGCGACGGCCCCCAACAACTTTGAGCAGTTCAAGGTGGCCATGAACTCGCTGCAGCTGTACAACGTGCCGGAATGTCTGGAAGACATACAGGACACAAACTCCTCGGGTTTGCGGTGCTCCTCTTCCGCTTCCAGCACCCAAAATAGCAAAATGGTCTTTGGCGTGCGGATGTACGAAGAGACGCTGACCCGAAGCGGGAGTGAAGCGAGCAGGTGCGGTGCTGAGCCTCCAAGTTCGACGGTGAGCACATCCCAGAGCAGGGAGGTCAGCGACGAAGCTCTGCGGCTGAGCAGCTTATCCGAGCAGCCGTTGGAGAGCTGCAAAGGGAGCGTTGTGCGCAAGGCCTCTGGCGCCAAAGACCGAGTGTCCATATCGCGCCGCTTTGGGAGGAGCTTCACCTGCGACGGCTGCGGCTTCAGTTTCAGCTGCGAGCGGCTGCTGGACGAGCACATCATGTCCTGCACGAACAGGCACTCCTATCAGAACGCCAGGTATTACGGGGCCGATAAGAAAGACGGCGGCGAGAGAGACTCCACCCTTAAAACCCCATCTCCCCAGCTGGACGAATTCAAAGCAGAGGCAAGCCAAGCGACGGATGGGTCATCCTCCCCAGCGTCGAATGTAACTAGCGGGAAAGGCACTAGCGTTTCATTGGAGGCGCTGGGCAAACAGCGGAGTCGAGCCATGGAGAGGAAAAGGATCATTGTTAAGGTGGAGCCAGAGGACAACCCCATCAACGACCTGAAAGAGTTTAACATTATTAAGGTGACCGACGGCAACGATTCCACTGACAATGACGACCTGGATGATGATGACCCGGTTTACAGGTACTACATTGAGGAAGAGGTCAGTGAAAACAGGCGTGTTAGGAAAGCTTTCTTAAAACCCCACATGCCTATTGATGAGGAGGCCAGGAAATATTTTAGAAGCGCCAGGGTCCTTAACAGTAAAGTCAGTGCCGCCGAGGAGGGCCCGGAAAACGCGTCCTGTGAACTGTGTGGGCAGACAATCACTGAGGAAGACCTCTCTTCTCATTACTTGTCCAAGCACATAGAAAACATATGTGCGTGTGGGAAATGTGGCCAGATATTGGTGAAAGGGCGCCAGTTGCAGGATCATGCGCAGTCCTGCGGGGAGCCCCAAGACTTGACCACCAATGGCTTAAGGAACATGGAGGAGAAAATTGACTTGGAAGAAAGCCCCGAGGAGCAATCTGAAATTCAGGAGATGATGTATGTGGAGATGCTGGATGAGTTCGGAGACGGCCATTTCCAGATGAACAGTCTTCCGAAGAAACAGCTCTATAGGGATTCAGCTTGCCCCTTCCGGTGCCCTAACTGCGGCTTGCGTTTTGAGACGGAGAATTTGGTGGTTGAGCACATGTCCAGCTGCCTGGATCAAGATCTGTTCAAGAATGCCATGATGGAAGAGAATGAAAGAGACCATCGACGCAAGCATTTCTGCAATCTTTGCGGGAAGGGCTTTTATCAGCGTTGCCACTTACGGGAACACTACACGGTGCACACCAAGGAAAAACAGTTTGCTTGTCAGACATGCGGCAAGCAGTTCCTAAGAGAGCGCCAGTTGCGCCTTCACAACGACATGCACAAGGGCATGGCCAGGTATGTCTGCTCCATTTGTGACCAAGGAAACTTCCGGAAGCACGATCATGTCCGGCACATGATATCCCACCTGTCAGCTGGAGAGACAATATGCCAGGTCTGCTTTCAGATTTTCCCAAATAACGAACAACTCGAGCAGCACATGGATGTTCACCTCTATACATGTGGCGTATGTGGCGCCAAATTTAATCTGAGGAAAGATATGAGATCTCACTATAATGCCAAACATTTGAAAAGAACATGAATGCATAATAACGCTTATTGGCAAGAACTAAAACAAAAGCAAGTGGAACACCAAAGCATAGCAAACAATCATACATTTTTTTAAAAAATTTAAATTGCCTGTTTTGAAATGTTCTGGTTTTGTTTGTTTGTTTAAAAGAACCTTTAAATCATGTGCTTCTTCATTTAGGCTGCAATCCTATGCTCACTTACCTGGAAGTAAGCCCCAGTGAACTTAATGGGACTTTCTTCTAAGTAAATAGTTATGGAATTGCACTGTTAGGGTATTAAAGTTCATAAAAAGCACCAAATGTTTAATTATTGCATTTTTACTCTTGCCTCATGTTAAGTTCTGTTTCTGTGTTTCCCCCCCCCCCTGCTTTCTTAAGTAGATGAATCAAATCATTATTTTTAAACTCTAGACTTCAAAAGCACACTGTAGTATTACCTGAATCACCGGCTTCTATTAAACAGCTTCTCAGTTCCAATAATGTAAGCTGTCTCCTTTTCTATTTCCATGTGCATAGAATCAAAGAATTGTACAGCTGGAAGGGACCCTGAGAATTATCTAGTCCAACCCCCCGCAATGCACAAATATGCAGCTGTCCCATATGGGGAGTAAACTTTCATGTGAAAATCAAGACTGCATAATGTTTAATATGTACAGGGATTGGGAAGAAATATCCACTGGCCACACCCCAACACATAGCGTAAGCATGCTTAAGCCTGTTGAAATCAATGGGCTGTGTTGGACTGTACCTATTGAGTGGTAGTCAGCTAAGTTTTACTCAAGAGTAGACCCAGTGAAATTAATGTTACTAAGTTAGGACTATTAATTCCAGTGAGTACACTGAGTAAAACCCATTGGGTTTATAACTTAATGTATATACTGGCTATCACAGACATCTTGTTTGATATTTAAATCTCATGATCCAGAGCACTTTGGGTGACTTTAGTTCATTCTGCAATGCTATCTTGGGGTGAAATGAGAGAACTGCACATCCACAGGAATTCTCTGCTGTGCAGACGTGCTACAACAGAAAAATCAGGATGTTGCAGCATAAGCACATTGTAAAACATCCAGGATATACTCTAAAACAGTCTTCCGCACCCTTGCCACTTTCCATGCTTTGGACGACAACTCCTCTGAGGTCCACCTCCAAGGGACTTCCAGCAGTTCCCTGACTGCGAGAAGTGAACCTCCCATGAAGGAGATAAAGAACTACACAATTTTTAGATGACATCTAAAGGCAGCCCTGTATTGGGAAGTTTTTAATGTTTTGACTTTTTATTATGTTTTTATATGCCCTAGAAGCCGCCCAGAGTGACTGGGGAGACCTAGCCAGATGGGCGGGGTATAAATACTACTACTACTACTACTACTACTACTACTACTACTGTATTAGCCAAAGCCTCAATTAATGGCTACCACAGTACCAATTCTTCATTAAAAATAACAGGAAAAACTGGTGATGAAGTGTGGGAGGAATGAGCAGCCCAATAAGGAGGATACCTCAAGATGCTTGTCCCAGATCTATGGTGCGATGTCTACTTAATGAGGGCCAAAATTATCTGTGTGAAACGTGGAAAATGTAACTACCGTACACAACACCACCCTCAGTGTAATATCCTATGTCTTACTGTGCAATGACTGCAGATCTGAACGGAGGCAGAGCTCTAGTTAGTGGGAAAGTTCTCTTTGTCTCTCAAGTTGCAAAACAGACTACAAGCCGTCTTTGATTTTCACATGCTACAGAAGCTTGTATTGTTTCCAACCATTCACCATTTAGAATGGTTTCAGTTGATGTATGAGCTCTGCCTGGTGACTAATCTAAAACATGCATGCTTCTGTTGGAACAGAAATAAATGCTGGGTGGTTTGAAGATTGCAAACTCAGATCCTGTGGCAGGTTGTACCTTCATTTAAGACAGGAACTGCAGGGCAAGGGGCCAAGTACCGCCCTGCAAGCCTCTCTAATTTGGCCCTTGCCCACACCCTTCTCCCATGGCCAAGCCCCGCACCTGTTTTGCACCTTCATTGAGTGTTTCCCCCCCCCCCTGACATGTACGCTTGAACTCTCATAATACCTCTTGCTTGAATGGATGGAAGATACAGAATGACCCCTTATTTAAAACTGCACTTCTCAACAATAATAATGGTACAATGACACTGGTTTAATCCTCAGTTTACTACTTTCACATGATATAGGAAGGTGTGAGCCTCTCTCCTCTCTGCAGCAAATCCTTCATGCCCCCTAGTGGATAACCAGTCACCCATTGCTTTTTAAAGGACAAGAGCTGCACTAACTGGGCGTCATGTACACTATGTTCAGGGACAGTTAATTAGCAGTGTGCTGTCTCCTTAGACACAATACAGTCTCCAAATCACTCCCTCTCTCACCTTGAACTAGGAGGAAGCCAGGGAGCTGTATTAAGCTGCATGAAACCCACATTAATAAACCTGTCCAGTTGCCAACACCTTTGTGGGACCTGAAGTCTGCAGTTGGTGGTCATGCCTATTGTGCTGTGTCCATGATATTGCCTGGTGCAGGGCAGAGGATGCACCTGCTGATCTGCCATATGAAGACATTGGCCAGCCAAGTTAAGTGAGCGAATGAACTGGGCCTCTGAGATGGGTTCCATAAGGCTCAACAGTATTTGCTGACACTTGTGGGTTGGGTCAGCAGGCCTTGCGGGTCGGGTCAGCAAGCCAAACTGGGCCCATTGCGGATTTCAGAGGCCTCTTGCTTACTGTTGCAAACACTGGGAGCTCTTGAGAGAATGTAACAGGCCACAATATGTGCTCTGTATGCTGCAGTTTGTTCCGGTCTTATACCTAGCAGGGGTTGGCAACCAGAGGTCCTCCTGGGTCAAACTGGCACCTGTCCCATTTAGCAACACAAGGTGTGTTGGAGGGTATTTTTAGCAAAGGGACTCTGTAGCAAACCATGGGTAGAGAAAGTGGGGAGTTTCAACTGCTGATATTTCAGTCTGTAGCTGTGCCTTTAACAGCAACTTGATTGCAGACATTAGAATGGGATAATGTGTCTTCCTGTGATGTGATAAATTTTGCCTGTTCAGCCTGCTGTTAAAGGCGTAGGAGCAGCCTGGCTGTTCCCATGGTAGCAGGTAGTACTGATCAGCTAATTCATACAGCTTTCATCAATGGACTATGCCCGTAAAAAACCAAGACCTGCTTTGGCCAAGTGGTATACAGTGGTACCTCGGGTTTCATACACTTCAGGTTACATATGCTTCAGGTTACAGACTCCGCTAACCCAGAAATAGTACCTCGGGTTAAGAACTTTGCTTCAGGATGAGAACAGAAATTGCATGGTGGCGGCACGACAGCAGCGGGAGGCCCCATTAGCTAAAGTGGTATTTCAGGTTAAGAACAGTTTCAGGTTAAGAACGGACCTCTGGAACAATTAAGTACGTAACCAGAGGTACCACTTTATCTCTTTACTTTTCAATGTGATCCATTTGAAATACGGCTGTGCCTCTATAATGAGCATTTTCCATACTGGCTTGGCTGCTACCAAGGCCCTGCCATAAAACGGCTGCATGTTGCGGGGCACTCTGGAGCATTTTCTAAGGTGCAAAAGAGTACATGGGAAGAGCTGGCTTGGGCTCTTGGGCCTCACAGTCCCCAAAGGTGAGCTGAGAATGCACGCTGCATTGTTCCCTTGCAACAAGATATTACTGCAGAGAAAATCGGTAGTGGTGGACAACTTTCTGGGAAGCTTGTCAGCTGTTACTGATTTTCTCTTTGAGAAATACCCACTAAGCTTGTAAAACTCCCAGAAAGACAAATTGATACGATTTACTATTCAAATAGCTACAGTGCTTCTGGTAATTTGTATCGACTCATGGGCTGTGTGGTTGCCAATTTGTTTACAGAAGGCAGCTTTGTGCATTTAACAGCAGCATTGGAGGCAGAAATTCCACAACTGCATCTGTTGAAATTCTACCTGCCAAAAGTAGCAGTCCTGTTGCTGTCTTGACCTAGGTTATGTAGTTTGTAAGCAGGCAGGTTCTGCCACTGTTGAGGCAGTGTGAGCCTTCCTGAAACAAGTGATTTATATATTTAGTTTTGGTTAGTGTTCAATCTGGGCTCGTCAAAGAAAAGTCAATCATGCAGCACAAAAGTGAACCTGTGTTTATCAGTTCCTTGCCTTAATACTTATTCAAAAGTTCCTAATCTGACTTCCTGGCAAATAGTTGTCAGCTTGTAACTTTAAATGCCCTCAAGACAACTTGGAAAATGAAGTGGCAGGGGCTGCTTCCCTCTGTTCATCCCCCGGTCCTTTCACCCAACCAACCCTAGCCTCTAAAACAGGAGGTAAATGAAGCATCCTGCTCATCAGACCTTCCTTCATACCCAGAGTCTGTGAGTTCAAATCCTTGCTGTTGTCTTTAAATAGTCTTCTCTATTTTCAGAGGCAGTGTTGTGTAGTGGTTAGAGTGCTGAACCAGGACCTGGAAGACCAAGGTTCAAATCCCCACTAGGCCATGGAGCTCACTGGGTGACCTTGGGCCAACCATTGCCTCTCATCTCAACCTACTTCACAGGGTGGTTGGGATTAAATGAGGAGGGGGAGAACCATATACACCACTTGGGAGCTCCTTGGAGGAAAATGGTGGGATATAGATAAAATAAAAAGAAAGAGGGAGGAGCGTGAGAACCAGAAGAAAGACAGGTGACATCAGCTCCAACTCCAACTACTTTTATCAGTGTGCATTTAAAGGTAAATACGGGTTTTCCCCCCTGATTGTTAGGTCCAGTCGCAGACGACTCGGGTTGTGGCCCTCATCTTGCTTTACTGGCCGAGGGAGCTGGTGTACAGCTTCTGGGTCATGTGGCCAGCATGACTAAGCCGCTTCTGACGAACCAGAGCAGCGCACGGTAACACCGTTTACCTTCCCTCTGGAGCGGTACCTATTTATCTACTTGCACTTTGATGTGCTTTTGAACTGCTAGGTTGGCCAGAGCAGGGACCGAGCAATGGGAGCTCACCCCGTCACGGAGATTTGAACCACCAACCTTCTGATCGGCAAGTTCTAGGCTCTGTGGTTTACCCACAGCGCCACCCGCGTCCCATATTGTCACAGTTAAACCTATGCAAAAAGAGCAATGCCCTAATTGTGACCCCCTCCCACACACCAAAGAGTGAGTCTCCATGTGCGCACAAGAATGTCAGGGGCTGGATATGCACAGTTACTGGTGTCCTTGTGCCCCAGTACTCTTTCAGTGGCACTGTTTGCCCTTCCCACACTCAGTGGGGCTTGGACATATCTAGGATTGTGCTGTTACTTAGGGAAATATTGTCTAAATTAATTCAAAATATTTCTGGCTAAACGCTTTTGGAATTTTTCTCCAAAGGAAATCACAGCATTTGTAGAGTTGGAAAGGACCCCATGGGCCATCTAGTTCAGCCCCCTGCAATGCAGGAATCCTGCCCACAGCTATCCTTGGGTGGGCTCAAAGCACCAAGCTTCTGGTTAACAGCCAGACACACTCTGCCTGTCGAGAATGCTGGCTTAAAAGTGGTCTGCTACAAAATATATTGATTTGCCACCAATAAAAGTTGTTGCAATGAACTCTTGCCTGGCTTCTAATCTTGCAGAGACCTGCCACCAAGAACGCCAATTCATTGTCTTCAGTCCCGCAATGCTCCTATGGTTACTTTCTTCCTATCATGATCATGACTAAGCCCACAACTCCCAGACCCATTTCCCACTTTTCTTTAGCCTTATTCCATTATCCCTAAAACCCAACTCATTATCTGCCTCCTGATCTCCTACCCTAATGCTCCATAATCTCGGGGGTGGGGAATATTCCAAAGAGACCAAGTCATACTAGTAATGAAACGGAGGCACTTTCACGTGAAAAAACTATGAAGAAGCAGCGGTTATAAGAATGTGTAAATGAATACTGCTCAGCCTACCATTTTACAAGTCAGTAGAAGGGAAAGCGTTGCTGAAAGAGAAAAGATTTCAAAGAGTCTGCAACATTGCATGCTTTCTGGATGCCTTTTAACCTGGACCCCTGCCCACCCCCCACAGAAGTGACCAAATTTCCTTTCTGGTTTCTCACTAAGGAGTGTCATGGAATTCTTGCATCACAACCAAAAAAGGTCAAGTTCCTCTCTAGCACTTTGTTTGCTTAAAGATGGTATTTGACCTTCAGCTGAATTTATAAGAATTAACAAACAGTGGCTTGCAGGCTAGAAAAACGAGCCCCACGCTATAAATCAGGAACTTTAAAGCACAGTACTGCTTGTCTCCTTTTTCTTCTTTGGTTGTCACTTTTCACTTTGGGTTGCTGCCCAATTTCTTTCTAAAGCAGGCATAGGCAAACTCGGCCCTCCAGATGTTTTGAAACTACAATTCCCATCACCCCCTGACCACTGGTCTTGTTAGCTAGGGATGATGGGAGTTGTAGTCTCAAAACATCTGGAGGGCTGAGTTTGCCTATGCCTGTTCTAAAGTCTATCTCAATATTACCCCTTTCCACTAATTGCTGCACACGTTGCTGTCCTTTCCTCCAAATGCTGGCATTTCAGATCCACCATTATTATTCTTATGTCCTGCTGCACCACTTTCTCCATATTAACCACCCGTTGTCCTGTCCTGTTGAGCCTGTATGCCTCTGTTTCAACAGCAGCCATCAAGATGCCTTCATGAAGGCAACTGTTGTCCCCTAGTGTTTATTCCCAAGAATCACCTGTGAGCACGGATATTTCAGCTACCTATCACAGCCATACTGCAATCGCTAGCAGCCTAAACTGTGCACTGGCCCTTGTCCAAATCTGTACCTTTTTCTTGCATTGTGTTTATTTTCCTTTATCGACCCTCTTTCACTTCAGGCACTTGCTGCCTCTGCCTTCATCTGTATTGCTCTTTGGGGCTGGGAGTCCTGATCTAGCTTTGAAAGAAAGCCCTTGGAAAGCCATAATTCCTTTACGCACAGGGCCAACTATGTGGTCGCTTGCGGAAAATGCTTGGCTGCAAATGTCCTCACCCCTTCACGCATCTCAGGACTGAATAATGGCATGGTAACAGATGTCAGTATTAAAAGCTTGCTTTTGCTTGCCTTGAAGCAGCAGTGTATTTATCCTGGTTAGGCTATATTCTGGTCTTTACTAAGCATGTATTCCAATTTGCTTACAGGATGGTTATATACAATGAACATTCACCTCCATTCATCCTGATTTGCTTTTGGGGTGCTTAGGTGTCTGCCTGTCAATCATTTGTTCACCCCTCACTTTTCAGTGTTTTCCCATCACTTCTGTAACTGCAAAGTCTGTTTTTTAAATAATCATAATAATCATAATTGGTTGCACTAGGATGACAAAACACTTTCATTCTGCACAATTGAAGTAGATTCAGCTTATTGCATGTTATTGAATCCCTCCCTGGGGGAGAGAAGAATAAACTAAAATCTCTCTGTTTGCTTTCTCTGTACTTTGCCTAGTGTGGGAAAACATACTTTATTATTTTTTGCTTGTTGCTTCTTCATTTTGGAAATTGAGAAGGGAAAAGAGATACCTCAGTTCAAGTGAATTATGGCACAGCCTTCCCCAACCTGCTGCCCTCTGTTTCGGACTACAATCCTCACCAAGTCAGCATGAGGGCACCCGGTTGACAAAAGGTATGTTATATTAGTCTCTCAAAAAAGGCTCCATTTTTAAAGTGCCAGTTAGTTATGACGTTTAAATGTGAGGTGAGGACAAATGCACTCTGGACGTGCTCAGAGACAGTCTTTTCTCCTGCTACAACTACAGCATTGGAAGGTGAGCCTGAAACACGATGTTGGGGACTCAGGGTGACCTTATTTTTTTCCTTTAAAGCAGCAACCCTTCCCTCAAATACTGCTTTCATTTCAGTTATTTTATCTCCCTCAGTCAACTGCCCCTTTCTCGTCATCCTGCTGCGTCATCGCTACCCCCCGCCCCCCGCGCTCTTCGAATGTTCCCGACGCCGTTAGAAGCAAGTAGAAGGCGCTCGAGCTTCAAAGTTAAGTAGAAAGATGACGGAACTTTTTTTTCTGGTCTCGAGGCGCTGAGGGGCGCGCCCGAGCTATTTTGCATAACGGCCGCCCAGAAGGCGTCTCCAAGAGCCAACCCTTTCGTCCCTCCGAGCCCCTATTGGTTGCCGGTGACATCAATCCTCTCCGTCTGATCTCGAGCCCTGTGGAAACTTCTGGTTGGGACGAGCAGAGGCGGGAAGGAGGCATAGCGGAGCGATTGGTCAGAGGTCCGCGGTGTGCGTCACGATTGGCCGAGCGCATTCTGGCAGGTTCCAGAAGCGGGAGCGCCGCGGGTATAAAAACTGAGGCGAAGGCGACGGCAACGGCAGATCGCGCTTCAGAGACGAAGCGAGAGCGTTCGTTGTGAGAGGAGCGGCGGGCGAGATAAAGCTAAAACCACCACCGTGAGGGACTTTCCAGTCGGCGGAGCTTTCGAGAGGTACCTGACCGCGTTCCTGCAACCATGTCGGGCAAAGCGCCTGCCATAGGCATCGACTTGGGCACCACGTACTCCTGCGTGGGGGTCTTCCAGCATGGGAAGGTGGAGATCATCGCCAACGACCAAGGCAACCGCACCACGCCCAGCTATGTGGCCTTCACGGACACCGAGCGCCTCATTGGGGATGCAGCCAAGAACCAGGTGGCCATGAACCCCAACAACACCATCTTCGACGCCAAGCGCCTCATCGGCCGCAAATTCGACGACCCCACCGTGCAGTCCGACATGAAGCACTGGCCTTTCCGTGTGGTGAGCGAGGCAGGGAAGCCAAAGGTGCAGGTGGAGTACAAGGGGGAGCTAAAGACCTTCTTCCCTGAGGAGATCTCTTCTATGGTGCTGACCAAGATGAAGGAGATAGCTGAGGCTTACCTGGGGCGCAAGGTCCAGAGCGCTGTCATCACGGTGCCTGCCTACTTCAACGACTCGCAGCGCCAAGCTACCAAGGACGCTGGCACCATCACGGGGCTCAACGTGCTGCGTATCATCAATGAGCCCACGGCAGCCGCTATCGCCTACGGCTTGGATAAGAAAGGCAGCGGCGCCGGCGAGAAGAACGTGCTGATCTTTGACCTGGGAGGTGGCACTTTTGACGTCTCCATCCTGACCATCGAAGACGGCATCTTTGAGGTGAAGTCTACCGCAGGCGATACTCACCTGGGCGGGGAGGACTTTGACAACCGCATGGTGAGCCACTTTGTGGAGGAGTTCAAGCGCAAGCACAAGCGGGACATCGCTGGCAACAAGCGGGCAGTCCGGCGGCTGCGCACAGCCTGCGAGAGAGCCAAGCGCACCCTCAGCTCCTCCACCCAGGCTTCGATTGAGATTGACTCGTTGTTTGATGGGATTGACTTCTACACGTCCATCACCCGTGCCCGCTTTGAGGAGCTCAATGCCGATCTTTTCCGTGGCACCCTTGAGCCTGTGGAGAAGGCCCTGCGTGATGCCAAGCTCGACAAAGGGCAAATCAATGAGATTGTGCTCGTCGGTGGCTCCACCCGCATCCCCAAGATCCAGAAGCTGCTGCAGGACTTCTTTAACGGCAAAGAACTCAACAAAAGCATCAATCCTGATGAAGCTGTGGCCTATGGCGCTGCTGTGCAGGCTGCTATCCTGATGGGGGACAAGTCCGAGAATGTGCAGGACCTTCTGCTTCTTGATGTGGCACCGCTGTCGCTGGGTATCGAGACAGCTGGTGGTGTGATGACCGCCTTGATCAAACGCAACACAACTATTCCCACCAAGCAGACCCAGACCTTCACCACCTATTCAGACAACCAGAGCAGTGTGCTGGTGCAGGTGTATGAGGGCGAGCGGGCCATGACCAAGGACAATAATCTACTGGGCAAGTTTGACCTGACGGGTATCCCGCCAGCCCCCCGCGGTGTTCCTCAAATTGAGGTCACATTTGACATTGACGCAAACGGCATCCTCAATGTCACAGCGGTGGACAAGAGCACCGGCAAAGAGAACAAGATCACAATTACTAATGACAAGGGCCGCCTCAGCAAAGACGACATTGACCGTATGGTCCAGGAAGCAGAGCGTTACAAGGCAGAGGATGAGTCCAACCGGGAACGGGTGGTTTCCAAGAATGCCCTAGAGTCCTATGCGTACAACATCAAGCAGACGGTGGAAGATGACAAGCTGAAAGGCAAGATTAGTGAGCAGGACAAGCAGAGGGTGCTTGAGAAGTGTCAGGAAGTGATCAGCTGGCTCGACCGCAACCAGATGGCTGAGAAGGAAGAATTTGAGCACAAGCAGAAGGAGCTGGAGAAGCTTTGCAACCCCATCATTGCTAAACTGTACCAGGGTGCTGGAGGAGCTGCGGGGGCTCCAGGCGGTGGGCCCACCATTGAAGAGGTAGACTAAACTACCATAGACTGGACTATAAGAGCAATTGCCATCTTCTGCTCTTCCCTTTTTCTTCAGTCAGTGCCATTGCTGGAGGGATTTTCCTGTGGGTGTGTATGGGAGGAGGTTGTTAACTTGCTCTCTGCCAGGGGAAGAAAAGCCAGCTTAAAAGTTTGTTGCAGATAATGTTTGTCTTTGTATTCAGATATCCATGCTAGTCTGTAGATTTCTGTTTCTTTATGTTCACTGTTTTTTAAAGTATCCACTTGAGCATTACAATTGATGGAGAAACATTTCAAGAGAGCATGGAAAATGTTAAAACATATCCCAAAGAAAGGTTTTACCTTTTTTTGTAACTATTTGGTCTGGTTATTTTAAAATTTTGGTAATAAAAAGTTACTTGAAGCTTAACAATACCCTCCTTTTTCATTTTAAAAGTAAATGGTTTATGGGATAGAAGTGGTAGCAACTGTGGGTTTAACTTAAGTGCTCTGGTGGGGAAAATAGTTAAGCACTTGCACTCCTGAAATGATTGTTGGGTTACAGGCAGAAGATTTTATCGGTGGTCTGGCTTAGTCTGTTACTACTTGGTACAACTTTGCCACTTTCCTTGATTTAAAAAAAAACCCAGACAGAAATGCAGTAGGTAAACCTTTCTATCACTGTATATATGTACTGGGACACGATTTACAAGTCACTTCTCAGTAATGCAGTTGTTAAAGGTACAGGAGCTGTTAGAAAAAGTGGCACCCAGTTAACTGCAGTTAAGTCTTGCTTTGATTATCTTTAAAACTAAAAAATATCACGGGGTTAAAGACTTTTGCACAATTGCCATCTGGTCTAATGTCATAAAACATAGATCCTTTCAACAGCTTAAGTGTTTTACTTCTGGCAGAGTCCAAAGCTAATTGGTTTCATACATCAGGGAAACTAAAGAGCCTTATTAAAAAGAATACTTAATAGAGGAGCTTTCCTTTATAATTAGCTTTACTATGTAATCAAACCAGCTCAGGAGCTGACAACAGCATAAAAACAGTTTGCTAACAGGGTGGAGCCAGATGCAAATGCTTTCATAAACTGGTTTTGGTATCTTATCTCTCTGAAGGGATGAAACAAATGGGGTCAGAACAGCAAAAAGAAAACCAAGCTGGGTAATATTAATCGTAATAACTATTTTGGGGAGATCCTAGTTTCTCATGAAGTAATAACTTCCCAACTGCTGGTGGTGACCCTTGTAAAATATTTAACGTTAACAGCTTGTAATACTGCTTAGCTAGTGGAGCAGAAGAACTCTGTTGTGAGCTGATCTTGTCCACATAGGGTGAAATCAAGGGCTGTAGCAAACTCGGGTTTAACTGATGTTATGGTAAAATTGTCAAGGTCCTGCTGGGATGGTTTAACAGGAAGATTCCTGAATGAAAGACTAGGTGGCTGAATGTGGTTTCTATATCTGGAATGGAAAAAAGGCCACTTCAATAATAATAATAATAATAATAATAATAAAAATAAATAAAAATTTTATTTATACCCCTCCCTCCCCAGCCAAGACCGGGCTCAGGGTGGCTAACAACCAATAATAAAAACAAGTTGATTAAAATACAATTTTAAAAAGATTAAAATACAACATTAAAACATTAGGATGCAGCCTCTTCACAGGAGGAGAAAGGAAAAAGAAAGAGGGGGAGGGAATCAAACTGATTCTAAGCCAAAGGCCAGATGGAACAACTCTGTCTTGCAGGCCCTGTGGAAAGAAATCAGATCCCGTAAGGCCCTGGTCTCATGAGACAGAGTGTTCCACCAGGCCGGAGCCAGTGTTGAGAAGTCCCTGGCTCTGATTGAGGCTAATCTAACTTCCTTAGGGCCTGGGACCTCTAGGGTGTTGCTATTTATGGGCCTTAAGGTCCTCTGTGGGGCATACCAGGAGTGGCGGTCCCGTAGATACGAGGGTCCTAGGCTGTGAAGGGCTTTAAAGGTCAAAACCAGCACCTTAAATCTGACCCTGTACTCCACCGGGAGCCAGTGCAGCTGGAAAAGCACTGGGTGAATATGCTCCCATGGCAGAGACCCTGTAAGGAGCCTCGCTGCAGCATTCTGCACCCGCTGGAGTTTCTGGGACAGCTTCAAGGACAGCCCTGCATAGAGCGAATTACAGTACTCAAGCCTGGAGGTGACCATCACATGGATCACTGTGGCCAGGTCGGGGCGGGAAAGGTAAGGGACCAACTGCTTGATGCAGCAAAGGTGGAAAAATGTCGCCTTGGCTGTTGCTGTAACCTGTGCCTCCATGGAAAGGTAGGCGTCAAGGATTACACCCAAACTCTTAATGGAAGGCAATTGGCACTAAAATCATAATACTGGATAATAATACAGTTCAATCCAAGGATTCCCCAAACAGTCTGGATCCAGGAGCCTTGGTGAGTGACCTAGAAATGGAACCGAGTACAGTGTGGGTGGGTATGTGGGGAGGTAATATTTCTAACAACTAATCACAGCACAGCTAAAACTTAAATCTAGGTTACTACCTACATAGGTATTTTTCATTGTCCTATTGCATAGGTATTTCTACAGCCTAGTTACTGTTAGTGAAGTCTGTCTGAAGTGGAGAACATTTTCTAGCATATGCGAAGTCCTTAGTTTTGTTTTTCCTTTTCCTTATAGGGTTACCAGATAAAATAATGGGTGGGAGGATTCCCATACTTTTTAATTTAGGTATAGATGAGATTTTGGCAGGGGTGCCTTTTTCATGCTTTGCATGGCAAGTAGCACACCTACCAATGTTGCTTTTTCAATGTTTGATTTGCTTGAAAGAACCCACATAGATATCAGAGGGCCACAGAGGGGTCCAGCTGGTTCCATCTTAAGGCTGCATATACTGTATGTTCTGAGCAGCCTCTGCCAACCAGGAGCCCTCCAGATGTTCAGGACCACAGCTCACATCAGCCCCAGCTAGGATGGCTATATGATGCTTGGCTGATTGGGGCAGATCTGCTAATTAGCCATCATGCCACCTGTGTCATCATACAGCCATGTTGGCTGAGGCTGATGGAAGGTGTAGTCCCAAACATCTGGAGGGCTCCTGGTAGGCTGATTTTGAGGATGCTTTTGGTAAATCTAGGTGCCCCCCTACTGAGAGATTCTGGAACACAATAGATTCTCACACGCTACTATGAACTGATCAATTAAGTTCACTGGAGGATAGTTGCCTTTACTTGCTCCCCTGCCCAGCCTCCTTTTTTCCTGTCGATCCAGATTAAACTAGTGTAAGAAGCCATATTTCTTTATTAACAGCCTACATGAAGCAGAAAGGAACGGCATTCACATTTAAAGCACAAATCCTTCCGCAAAGAACCCTGGGAAATGTAGTTTACCCCCCACAGAGCTACAGTTCCCAGCACCATAACCAACTACAGTTCCCAGGATTTTTGGGAGTGGGGAGTCATGAGCTTCAAAGATAATGGTGTGTACACAGTTGCAGTTTCCTATTGCTAAGCTAGAGCTGATAGGCTTCAGCAAGATGGCTGTTCTGTGTTCTCATCAGTATCGGAAGAATCTGAGCACCTCCATACGAGGCTACAGAGTTGTACATATACAGTATTGCAAGTAGTCTGTGTTTATATTTATGCCCTGATTTCAACTAAGATTGGCTCCCAACGTGTCTTAGAATTAAAATCTCCAGAAAGTTACAATATAATTAGGGGCATGTTGGTAAGGAGAGGCAGCCTCTTCTGGCATTTGGTGAAACTTTTCAGAATCTAGGCTTTACAGAGGGCTAGACCAAACCTTGCCATGTGGACTTCAGTGGGATTGACTCCCTTAGTCAGGCTCTTGCAGCTTCCAAAGGTGGTAAAAGAGATTTCATACCCTTGCTGGAACAGAAATGCTTGACACACCCATTGGGATGAGAGCAGACAGGCTTGATGTTGCTTGCTCTTTTCAAGCGTTATCGTGGAATGAGTTTCTGTTTACATGACAGTAAAGGCATCAAGAAAACCTATGAAAGTGGGGTGGAGGAGGAGGAGAAAGAAAGGAAATCAGATTTTGGTTACCAAAAATTGGAACTGAAGTCAGCAGAGCCCTGTTAGGAGAGCGAGGAACATTAATCCAGCCGTACTAAAATATCTTTACTGCCTTCACTTCTTCTGGGCTCAATTCAAAGCTCTACTTTTGTCCTCAAAAGCCTTAAATTGATGTGGCTATGCTGTGGCCCTCCCAGATGTTGAACTACAACTCCCATCATGCCCAGCCAGCATGACCAGTGGTCGGGTTTAATGGCAGTTGTAGTTCAGCAATAACTTGTGGGAAGGACACAAGCTATTGCTGTGGTAGGGACTGTGCCTTACATGTGAAAGGTCCTGGGTTCCATCCCCGGTGCCTCTACAGAGGGCTGGGAATGCTCCCTGCCTGAAGCCCTGGACAGGTGCTGCCAGTCAGTGTTGACGGTACTTGGTCTGATTCTGATTCTTATAATATAGAGCAATCAGAAAACCATTGTAACTTGCTCCTTTTCCGAAAGCTTTTCAGGAGCCTCTGCGAGGGGGTGCTGCTGGCTGAGCTGGCAGGTGAGCATGGGCCTATGTTTTGAGGATTGGACCCTAGGTCTTGTGACCAAGCTGAACAGGGTTTGGAATAGGCACAAGTCTCTCCTTGCCCCATTTCCTGCCATGCCCCCACCATGTTCCTTTTTTTGCAGGGGGTGGGCGGGGGACTTAACAGCAACGTAGGCAGCCCAAGAAGCAGCAAACTCAAATCCTCCCACCCTGCTGGATTTTGGGTTTGGATTGTGCTGTCAGTCATGCCTGCTTCAAGTGGCCTGGGTTTGAAGAATAAGGATCATCTTCTATATGAACCTACTCCTCAGTTAAGAACTTCATGCGCCCTTCTAAGGTACCCCCCCTTTCAAGTTAGACAGGTAACTATTGGAGGGAGGTGCTTTTCTGTGGTAGCACTGAAATTGTGCAATTCTCTCCTTAGAGATGTTCACCTGGCATCATCTTTCCAGAACCAGGTATAAAACCACTGCTCTCATGGTTTTGTTGGTATGTGGAATCCTTTTAATGGCTTTTACCAGCTCTCCCCCCCCCCCCCAATCTGCTGGTGTGGGCTGCCTTTACATTTTTGCAGTTTTAACATTGGTTTATATATATTTTTTCTATTGCTTGCCATAAACTACCCTTAGTCCTTTTCTGGTGAAAGCAGGCTATTTAGTTTGAATGCATGCATAAATGCCGAATTCTGACAAACCTTTGGGGTGAAAAGGAGGCCTAATCATGTGCTGGGGCAGAGGAATAGTTTTAGCAATAATTTATTGTGAGCTATTTTATTTGCTGCTAAGGAAATCCTTGAGAATTACGGTTTTTTGTGTGAGTTCCATAGATTTCATAAAACCATAGAGTTGGAAAGGATACCAAGGGTTATCTAGTCCAACCCCAGCAATGCAGGAATCTTGCCCACAGCTGTCCCTGGGTGGGCTTGAACCACCAACCTTCTAGTTAACAGCCAGATGCAATAACCCATTGCACCAGAGTTCAAGAGGATCTTAACGATGATATTTATTCTGCAAAAAGGAGCATTTCCACCCCCATCGTTCAGCTGAGGTCCACCTCCGAGGGTCTTCTAGCGGTTCCCTCCCTGCGAGAAGTAAAGTTACAGGGAATCAAGCATAGGGCCTTCTTGGCAGTGGCACCCTCCCTGTGGAATGCCCTCCCATGTTAGGGAGATAAAAAATTACACAACTTTTAGAAAACATCTGAAGGCAGCCCCGTTCAGGGAAGTTTTTAATGTCTAACATATTTTTTATATTTTACTAGAAGCCTCCCAGATGGCCGGGGTATAAACAAGAAAATAATAATAATAATAATAATAATAATAATAATAATAATAATAATAATAAATTGGTAAGGAATATAATAACTTCCCTTTTTCAACTTGTGAAAAAACACAACCTGAAGTAGCCATGTTTCACTTTCTTAGTGGTGCAGGAAATCTAGGTATGTAGACAGGGCCCTAGCTCAGTGGTTAAGAGCATCTTCCTTGCATGCTGTGAATGTTCAGGGATTAGTCCTTGGCATCTCCAGTTAAGGCTGGGAGAGACTCCTTGCCTGAAATCCGAGACGGCCGCTGCCAATCCCCGTAGACCACACTGAGCTAGATGGGCTCCATATAAAGCAGATTCCTATGTTCTTAGAATGAGTAATAGAATTTTAGAGTTGGAAGGGACCTCAAGGGTCATCTAGTCCAACCCCCTGCAATGCAGGAATCTCAGCTAAAGCTAGAGATGACCATGGATGGACCATCCAACCTCTGCTTAAAATCCTTCAAGGAAGGAGAGTCCACCACCTCTCGTGGGAGTCCGTTCCACTGCCAAACAGCTCTTACTGTCAGACAGTTTTTCCAAATGTTTCGTCGGAATCTCATTTCTTGCAACTTGAAGCCATTGGTTCGAGTCCTACCCTCTTGAGCAGGAAAAAACAAGCATGCTCCCTCCTCCACGTGACAGCCCTTGAGATATTTGAAGATGGCTATCATATCTCCTCTGTCTGCTGTTTTCCAGGGTAAACCTACCCAGGTCCTTCAACTGTTCCTCATAAGGCTTGGTTTCCAGACCCTTGATCATCTTGGTCGCCCTCCTCTGCACACGTTCTAGCTTGTCAACATCCTTCTTAAATTGTGGTGCCCAGAATTGGACACAGTATTCCCAGTGTGGTCTGACCAAGGCAGAATGGAGTGGTACTATTACTTCCCTTGTTCTGAACACTATACTTCTGTTGATGCAGCCTAGAATAGAATTCGCTTTTTTTGCTGCTGCATCACACTGTGGACTCATGTTAAGCCTGTGGTCCACCAAGACCCCTGGATCCTTTTCACATGTACTGCTAGTAAGCCAGGTGTCCCCCATCCTATATTTGTGCATCTGGTTCTTCCTGCCTGAGTGCAGAACCTTACATTTGTCCCTATTGAAATTCATTTTGTTAGCTTGCGTCCAGTTCTCCAATCTGTTAAGGTCATTTTGAATTCTGATTCTGTCTTCTGCAGCATTAGTTACCCCTCCCAGTCTGGTGTCATCTGCAAATTTGATGAGCATCCCCTCAATTCCTTCATCCAAGTCATTTATAAAGACGTTGAACAACAACGGGTCCAGGACAATTCTCCTCTTAAATCTCATTTAAACTCAAAGTTCATTTTGAGCAAGCAATGATACAGTTTGCTGCCCTCAACTGCAACAGAAACTAGCTGGGTTGGCACTTGGGTCATATTGACATTATATGTATAAAGCACATGCTTCTTCCTAAAGAATATTGGGAGCTATAGTTTACCCAGAGCTCAAACTACAGCGCCCAGTATTCCTTGGGGTGGAAACCATGTTTTAAATGGGCTTTAAATAGATCTTCCACTGTGGGGGGGTGTGGGACTGGTTGCATGGAGCACAGAGCTCCGCCAGCTCCAAGTCCCTTAGCAGCTGTCACCTGCGATCTCTGCCGGAAGGTAGGGCCAGCTCTGCAAATACCCAGTTTGACTAAAGCAACCGTCAGGCAGCATTTAAACAAATTCTTGTGTCATTTGGCTTAGTGCATAGTTCCTTTTCCTGGCGTGCTTGTTCTGTGCCATAATGTAGTCTGGATTTTGTAGGTCGACCCTACAGTAAAGCAAGCAAGTGGACCACTCTTGTCAGAACTGTCGTATGGCGAACTTATCCCAAATCTAGATTTAAAAAAAAATGCTTCAGTCTTTGGGCTTGATAGGCGCAACTTCTACAGGACTTGAATTTGCAAGATCTGAACACAACCCTGAGGGCGATGGGAGTGTTTGGGCGTGGTTGCCATCCTGCAGGTGATGCTCTGCATTTAGCCCGGCAGACGGCTGCAATGGAGGGGAACGTGGGCACAATGCAACCCAGATGGTATTTCCTCTCTCTTTGATGTGCCTTATGAAATAAAAACTTGAAAGTTGGCTAGAAAACGCTCTGGAATTAAAGAGGGCAATCTACTAGGGACATCTTCTGAAGCAATTGTTCCGGGCCTTTGAGCAATTCTCATGAATGTTTCCACAGAGCTTATGCTGGAGACTGTCCTGGTGAAATTGTGCCCTCGAGTCAGAAATAAATGAATTGCTTTACCTTCATGGCTACTTTTGACAGTCTGCAAAGAAGATTTCTGGGAGCAAAGTGGCACATAGGGAAGGGAGAAGGAGTGACTGTTTAGTTGGAGAGGAAGATTCTCCCCAAAACAGACAGAATATTATTGGTGAGCTGCTCATTCTCTACCCAGATAAAACAGGCGTTATCAGATCTGAAGGAAACTTTCCAGCCAGGTGAAAACACTCAGGGAGATCTGGGGAGGGAACATGGCCTGGGAAAAGTCCCAAGGGTCAGGTTGAAAGGCCTGGAGGGCAACATTCTGTTGGGATGGACCACAGGCTCTCCATCCCTGGTTTATAGCTATATAAAAGCAGACCTGTAAATAAGCCTACAAAAGTTACAATCCCTGTGCATCCTCCGTGGACAGCAAGGAGACACAGACTGCTAGCCTCTTAGCAGACTAATATAAAGGGGAAAAAGAAAAGGAAATTCTGTGTGCAATGCAAATTGTTGGAGAAACGATAGAACAATCTGCTCTTCCTTCAAAAGCCTGCAGCATTTCTGTGATGGTTGTGGAGAAAGAGACTTTCCTTTCTTGGTGGCTATCACCAAGTTGGTCTAGGAAGGTTGGAGTCATCCATTCCTCTGCCTCCAGCCTGCTTATTTGCTGCAGAGTATACCTGGGTGCCTATGGTTGTTAAATACGAGGCTGATATAAAAGCAACAGCAATATATATAATAATAATAATATAATAATTTATTATTTATACCCCTCTGGACGGCTTCCAACAAAATATTAAAATACAGTAATGCATCAAACATTAAAAACTTCCCTAAACGGGGCTGCCTTCAGATGTCTTCTAAAAGTCTGGTAGTTGTTTATCTCTTTGGCATCTGGTGGGAGGGCGTTCCACAGGGCGGGTGCCACCACCGAGAAGGCCCTCTGCTTGGTTCCCTGTAACCTCACTTCTCGCAGTGAGGGAACTGCCAGAAGGCCCTCGGCGTTGGATCTCAGTGTCCGGGCAGAACGATGGGGGTGGAGACGCTCCTTCAGGTATACTGGACCGAGATCGTTTAGGGCTTTAAAGGTCAGCACCAACACTTTGAATTGTGCTCAGAAACGTACTGGGAGCCAATGTAGGTATTTCAAAACCGGTGTTATGGGGAAGGGACATAACTCAGAGGCAGAGCATCTGTTTTGCATGCAGAAAGACCTGGGTTCAATCCTGGCATCTCCAAGTAGGGCTGGAAATAACAGAATCATAGAACTGTATAATTGGAAGTCACCATGAAGATGGTCTAGTCCAAACTTCTGCAATGCATGTTCCCTGTCTGAAACCCTGGAGAGCTGATGATTGTAGACTATATTGAACCAGGTGTCCCAATGGTCTGACTCAGCATAAGGCAGCTTCCTATTATCCTATCATAAAGGTAGGCAACAAGAGTGCCATAGATTTTTTGCAAGTCTGACTTCTTTGGTCTTTGGCTGTGTACACGCTCTTATTTGCTCTGCATCCCATGTCCCTCCCTCTCCCCCCCTTCTGGTTTGTGAAGCTGTATACACATGGCATTAGCCACAATCTACCCTAAAAGGGACACGGGTGGCGCTGTGGGTTAAACCACAGAGCCTAGGACTTGCCAATCAGAAGGTCGGCGGTGTGAATCCCCGCGACGGGGTGAGCTCCCGTTGCTCGGTCCCTGCTCCTGCCAACCTAGCAGTTCGAAAGCACGTCAAAGTGCAAGTAGATAAATAGGTACCACTCTGGCAGGAAGGTAAACAGCGTTTCCGTGCGCTGCTCTGGTTTGCCAGAAGCGGCTTAGTCCTGCTGGCCACATGACCCGGAAGCTGTACGCTGGCTCCTTCGGCCAATAAAGTGAGATGAGCGCCCCAACCCCAGAGTCGGCCATGACTGGACCTAATGGTCAGGGGTCCCTTTACCTTTACATCTACCCTGCAGTTTCTTGAAGAATACTGTAGTTTGATGCATTCCCCTCAAAACCAGCTTCGATCCGATTTGAAAAGCTACATGAAAGCATCCATGCCACCTCTCTGCCTACTGGCGCAGACCAACGTTGGGCAACTTGGAAACATGTGCAGCTTGACTGATGTGCACAGTGATGAGCATGCCATTTGAAATGCAGCAAAAAAAATATTTCCAGCAAAGCACCTCGGTGCATTTTAAGCCAGTAATATACACACAGCCTTTGTCTTCAAATACAATGGGGGGTGAATCCTGTGATCAGCGTTTTGCACAAGAACCTGGGAGTACTGGAATCGAACGCCAGCTAAGCTGTATTGTCTCTGTGTGCTCTTGAGCAATTTGCTTTCTCTCAGCCATTTGGCTTTTCATCTGCAAAATGGGCCTTTTTAATAATGCACAGGGACATTAAAGCGGATGAATCAGGATGCCTGCGACCCAAAACACTATATGAATGATGAGTGGAGATGATTCTGCAAAATGCTGGAGCAGAAAGCCAAATTGTGTATACGGTGCTAAGAAATCCGTCTGCCCTGAATGTTGTTTTCTCCTTGTGGCGTGTTCACAATCAAAGGTTAGCAGCTAGAACAACCGCAGCATGCATTCCCAGCAGCATCAAAATAGTTGGCACCATCTTAAATTAACAAATAAAAATAAAAAGAGGCGCAGAGAAGGGTAGGGAGCCTTTTATTAGTGTGAGCAGCTGGCTATTCAGGTTTTTTAAAGTTACATTCCCTTCCCATAAGTGGCACTCCATGCTAATTGAAACTTTCTCTCACTGAAGGCTTTAATGTAAAGCCAGTGTTGCTGCTGGCCATGAACTTCAGCCAGAATAGCTCTGTGCAGCCCTAGCTGTGGCTTTGGCATGGCAAAGGGTAGCCGCCTTCAACACATGAAGCAGTACAATTATGGACCAACTTGTGTGTTCAGTAGCAAACACAGATCTGGAAACTCTGGCCACTCCTCAGCTTCAAAATAACCGTGGTGTGTGTGTGTGATTATTTTTGAAGAGGAGAAGCAGCATGTGTGGAAGTGGCTTATGCCTTCCCCCTCCCCATCACTTTTCCACAGGAACTTATGCAATATAGTACATGCATTGAGGAAACCCAGTTTAGGAAAGTTAACAGCAGAGTTTTTTGGGGGGAGGGGGAGGCAGGGGATCAGGTTAGGGAGAAGGGTTAAGCACATACCCTCCTCTCCCCACACTGTAATAAAGAAGAAGCAGCTGGGGCTGTAACCTCAGGTTACAGACGCTTTGGGTTGTGCGATTTCGGGTTGTGCATCACGCCGAACCTGGAAGTACTGGAACAGGTTACTTCTGGGTTTCGGCGCTTGCACAGAAGCGCCTAAATCACGCTTTGCGCATGCACAGAAGTGCCGAATTGCAACCCATGCATGCATAGATGCGGCGTTGCGGGTTGTGGACGCTGCGGGTTGCGAACGTGCTTCCCACACGGATCACGTTCGCAACCCGAGTGCCCACGGTAATTTCATTATTTGTCACTCTGGGTGGCTTCCAGAACATACAGAACCATAATAAAACGTCAAACATTAAAAGCTTTCTTATATAAAAGCCTTCGGATGTCTTATCTCCTTGACATCTGATGGGAGGCCGTTCCACACAAGAGGGTGCAACAGCTGAGAAGGCCCTTCTGCCTGGTTCCCTGTAACCTCACTTCTCACAGGCAGAGAACCACCAGGAGGCCCTCAGAGTTGGACTTCAGTGCTCGGGCTGAATGACGGGGATGGAGACGCTCTTTCAGGTATACAGGGCCGGTGGCCATTTAGAGCTTTAAAGGTCAGTACCAACATTTTAAATTGTGCTCAGAAGCGTCCAAAACGGGTGGGGAACCTGTAGCCCTCAGATGTTCCTGGCCTCTAGTTCCCATTGCTCCTGACGGCTGACCCTGCTGGCAGGCCAGAGATTCCCCACCACTGATCTAAGAGCAAAGAGAAGATGTTTCTTACTTCGGAGGTGGTGTGTGTGCCCTTACACAAATTAGCTGGTTAAAACACATACAGTTGATTGGCTTTCTTTAATCAGGGACTGGCGTAATAATTTGTCACTGAAGGCACCTGGGCGTGCAGAAACCAGCTTCCTTTTCAAAGGTAAAATTCACACTCGTTGCTCCACCCTAAATTGGCAAGCAATCCGTACAATGTTGCCCAGAAAGTTTGTTTCCCCTCTCTACTATGCGGATGTGGTTAATCATGTGTGATACTGTACAATGTATGAGAAGAAAAGCGCATTACATGGGGGCAAAAAGTAACTGACATCCCAAGGATTAGCTTCATTAACAAGGATTCTTGAGCCATTTAATCCTGTTTTTTTCTCTTCCAATCATTCTACCTGCCAAGACTTTCTCTGTTCTTCCTGCCAAAAAAATGCTACCCCTAACACACACACACACCCCGACACCAACAACACCTGATGGCAGAGGATGAGCTGGGTAAAATGGAAAAGTACAGAAGAGCAGATCAGGGTGAGTTTAATGTTCTTGGTTTCTGTCCCCGAGGCAAGGAACTGCTTATTGAGAACAGGAAGGGAACATTTGGCAGGTAAGCGGCCAATGCAGAAATAAACAGAACCGCAGCTGCTGTGCAGGGAACAAATTCAGCGCTGCATAGTCGAGTGCAAAGGTAGTTGTGCTATAATAATTCCCTAGGAAACCAGAGCTGACACCCACAGACTTTTCATGGGCCAAGACCTGAAGGCATTTCCATTTTATTTCGGTCTTCCTCCGTGGAATGCAAGGCATTCCCCAGACACAATGCTTTTGCGGGGAGAGTTTAAGGCTCATTAGTTTACATAAAGGCTATGATATACGGGATTATGTAACGCATGTTTATGTAACACAAACCTTTCAGGACTGTAACTAAGAAACACTGTTCTTTTTCTGAGGTATATGGACACTGCATATTTGAGTCCAAAAACCTAGGGTGCAAATCATAACAAGTAAAGTCACCAGCCACATACCCTCTGATGTTTCTCCAATGAAAATAGGAACGTCCTATTTAACAACAACAACAACAACGATAATGATTTAACTATTAATACCCTGCCCACCTGATTGGGTGGCCCCAGCCATTTTGGGCGGCTTCCAGCACATATAAAATCATAATAAAACATTAAACATTTAAAAACTTCCCTATACAGGGCTGCCTTCAGATGTCTTCTAAAGGCTGTATAGTTACTTATCTCCTTAATTTGAGGGTCACATAACTCCATACCCTTCAACATTTCTCCAATGAAAATAGGGACATCCTAAGGAAAAGCGGGACATTGTGAGATCAAATCAGGAACTGGGGCGGCTTCTGTAAATCCAGGACTGTCCCTGGAAAATAGGAACATTTAGAAGATCTGCACCCAATTAAAAAAATATTATTTAATTGAGCATGAGCATTTAAGTCAGCTAACTGATTTAGTGCAGCTGCATAAATTTGCATATGAAAGGGGGGAGTAGGGATGTGTTGTTTTGTATTTAAATGATGTATCCCAGCAGATCTTGCCTGAAAAGAGGCATTCCTCTTCTGAGGTGACACTTGCAACCTGCAGTTATTATCAGGAAGGAAATTAAATCTGTTGATTTAATTGAGGGCACCTTTTTAGTTCATAGATACAGTATGTTTTAAAAGTGGTTCATCTAACTCATTCTTCTTCAATTGCTGAGTTGGGAGTGAGACCGACTGTTGGGTCAGAGCCTGATCTAAGGTGATTTGCAACAGCGGAATTAGCACCATACATACATATGGCAAAAAATAATGATTAAGAAACAGGTCTCCAAACGCATGTTTGGGTTAAACAGTGGGGGCCTGGGTCTGAAAAGGTTGGAGGCTTTTGATAACTGAATAGCCAGACTTAATAAGCACATGCTGATGACAGAAGCATTTATCTTCACTGTGCCTCTTTCTTTTTACCCTGTTTTTGATACTGCTTTTGAAGTGTTGCCTCGACGCAACTCCAAAACCTCGTTTGTTTCCAAATCTGCTTCTCTTCTTGTTCTTGATAAATATGTGGCATTGCTGCCAAGGCTCCAGAATATCCTTGGCAGCCCACAATAGCAACTGCAAACACAACATACAGTGTGCTGTTGTTTAAAAAAGGTCACAGGGCGCAGGCAGAGAAGTAAGCCGAGCTCAGAGCCGGCGTTGCGCAGGGACCTGAGCCACCATCAGCAAGCTCTTTCAGCAGGGATGCACGATTTAATGAAAGGAATTGGGGAGGATTTAGGTGTGCGAATGGGTGGAAACGTAAGGTGACACCCTCTTCTTGGGCATGAGTCAAAGTCATTCTGATGCCATGTTTGCAGTCCGCTCCACTCTCCCAGTGCAAGCCTCTTTGTGTGTGCATCAATGCATAACAGCCAAAACCTCAGTGCAGGTAGCTTAATACATTTAAAGTTAAATACATATTAAACACGAACTAAATCCGATTTTGTAAAACTGCTGCCAGGTTGGCACTACCTGCGGCAAGGCCCTTTTGGTAGTGGCTCATCTGTGGAAAACTCCCCCAGCCTAGGAGCATTATTAACATTCAGGGACTTAAAAAAACAACAACTACCACATTCCAGTTCGCCCAGGCATTTGACGGCTGAAAAGATCATTGATCCTGGCAACCTTGAAATCATGGTGTGGATATATGATTGTTTTTAGATGCTCACAGTGTTAAAACATTTTTTAAAAATTATTTTTCAGTGGTGCTGCTTTGCTGTTTGACACCCTCGGCTCCTTTGGGGAGGGAGGGTGGTACTGAAATTTAACGCATAAAGTAAAACAGATAAATATCACACACATATATGTGTGTGAGAGAGAAAAATGAGTGCAGGCAGTTCACTCAGAAAGCAAGCAATCCTGCTCAGAAGTAGCACCTATTTTTGAAACCAGTCAGTGTGTCGGATGGGCTATTTTAAAGGAAAGCCGCCTGCGACACGAAACGCGGGCGTCCTGTTCACACGTATCTGGGAAGGGGGTTCGCAATTGGGATAATTTCTGAGGACGCCCCTTGGTTAGAAAAAGAGAGCCAAAAGCCACCACGCAGACAGACCAAAAAAGAGAAGGCCTGCCGCGTTGCATGATGGGACTTGTAGTCTCCAGGCGGGAGAGCCGACCCTTCTATTCAAGATGGAAAGAGAGACAGAGAGCTGTTGCCAGGATACTCTCTCAGTAAACAAAGTGTCGCCATGTCTCAGCTACAGTTCCTGGAGCTGCCCAAGGGACATATAGTGCCTGTAAGTAAGTTTGCATTCCTGGATGTGTCTAGTTACTGTGGAACTTCTTGGGGGTGGGGTGGGGTTTGCAGATATTACTTTTTTCTTTTTTTAAAAAAAGCCCAAGGTAGGATATGACCAGGTTGGGTCTTGCACCCAGTGCCGGATTTATGTATAAGCTAAACAAGCTATAGCTTAGGGGGCCCCCAAAAAAATTTAAAGGGAAAAAAACCTGGATGTACATTTCCAAAATATAAGATAAAAAACAAATACAATAAAACTTACATACAGCAACACTGTTTTTTGCATTATTAAGTTTGTTATAAATAAAAAAAATCATTTTAAGTTAGAGCTTAATAATTATTTCACTATTAATATACTTCTTCTTAATTGTATTTCACCATTAATATACTTCTTCTTAATTGTATTTCAATTCAACAATTACTTTGATAAAATACATATTTTGTTATGTGCAAATGGCTTTAGATACCTATCAGGTCCATAAATTACCATATAGCATATATTCAACACAAAAAACAGCGACAATTTGTTGACAACGGACAGCTGGACATATAATTGCCCCATTACCTTCAGTTGCTGAGGGCCTCCCCAAACCTAAATCCGGCCCTGATTGCACCTTTCATAGCTGGGTCGCCATGCAACCTTCACCTGTCAAAATCCCCTCTTCAAACCCAAATGTTAGAGGCACCCACTCTTGCATCCACAATTCAGGAGCTTCGTTTATTTACTTATTACATTTCTACCCCACCTTTCTTCCAAAAGCCCCCAAAAGGGCCTACATTGGGGACCCCACCCTCAGCCCTGTGAGGTAGGTCAGGCTGAGAGACCATGATGAGCTCCAAGATCACCCAGTGAACTTCATGGCTGAGTGGGGATTTGAACCCTGGTCTCCCAGGTCCCAGGCAGACACTTTAACCACCGCACTATGTTGGCCGTCTAACCTTTTATGAATTAAATCTTACTTGAGGAATACAACTGGCTTGCATTATTATTATTATTATTATTATTATTATTATTATTTGTGTATCCCACCCAACTGACTGGGTTGTCCCAACCACTCTAGGCAGCTTCCAACATAATAAAACCTCAAACATTAAAAACTTCCCGAAGGGCTGCCTTCAGATGTCTCCTAAAAGCTGTATAATTATTTATCTCATTGACATCTGATGAGAGGGCACCTCACAGGTCGAACAACACTATATGTGCTCATATATATTTATTCCGCCTTCCATCCCTATCCATAGTGTTTCTGATGGTCACAAACTTGAAACGACCAGTCAACATCGGTTGTTGCTGTTTTTAAATAGGCAGTTGGAAATATTCAGTCAATGTCTTGATTATTATGATTAGGATTATTAGATGGACCACTGGCCTTTATATACACCGGTGGCCAATATTGTGGAAGCCTTTAGGAAAAGTTGTCTTTCTAAGGCTTGGTGGCTCACGACATCAGTCTTTTTTTTAGAATAATGCTATGAAATAATATCCCTGGAGGTTGCTTGATAATGTCCCAGTGGTTGTTCCAGCCCTGGTTTTGGGTGTACATTGAATCACCATTCTTCAGAAGCACATGGCATTGGGCTTATCGGTCAGGCTTATGAACTCGCTGGAGTTTTTGGAGCTGAAAATCGAACATGAAAATGATGAAATGGTTTAAATTAACGCCTCGAAACTTTTGTATTCCAAAACGCTTGCAGTTCACGAAAGTTAACCCTGGCTTGTGGTACTGGAAAGATGACAGCCGAAGTCTTGAATTTGCATGGTAAGGATTCAGTGTCCCTTTCTGTCTGTCTTTGTTGCGTTTCTGTTTGTGGTTATCGTGATTTCGTATCACTTGCCAGTGAGCTAGTTTATGGAGCGCCTGGCCTTGCAGCATGATTTCCCCCCCTCCATGCACAGTCCATTAAAATCAATAAAACCAATGGAATCTACAACATTTCCAACAACAGCAGATCATAATCAGCAGGATGAAACCAATACATTTTAGTAAATAGAATCCTTCTTTTCCAAAAGCATGGAGGAACTGAAATGTTTTTTCTTTGCCTCTGAAAGGAGGCAAATGTCAGGCCTGATAGAACCCTTGGCAAGGATGGGAGGTAAGAAGAGGTATTCCACAGTAAACAAAGTGACAATTGAAAAGAGCCTGAGTTTGCAGGATGCCGCTCTTTCCAACTGTGAAAGCATCTAGTAGTATGCCTCATCTCTCCCTAAGTGCAGTTGGTCCAAACATACCCATTCCTTCAATCTCTGCAAGAATAAAAAATGAAAACATCTCTGTAATTTTGAAGCAGAAGGTACCCCACGCTGATTGGTTGAGCATGCTGTGATGTCATAAAGAACCACCTGTCCAATCCCTGAAGCTGTTTCCCCCTCACCTTCGGTATTCATTTTTTTGGGGGGGGGGGATTATTAAGGATGGAGGAGGAACAGATCAACTCAGAAATGTTGTGGATGCTGGGGCTTTGGAAAATTAAAAAAACCAAGTATCCCAGCTGAATTATAGCGGGCAGGGGCAAGATTGCATCCTAAACTGGCACTGGACTTGCTGCCATTCCTCTCTGCTGGGCTCACTCTGTGGTTGAGAGATGCAGGGTGAGCTCTCTTTCCTGTGTAGTTGTATGAATTGCCACTGCCATTACCGAAAACTCCCCTCTGTTTGGTATTGCAGTGCTCAGCCTAAGGAGGAAGATAAGGAAGTGGAGAAGAAGTCAAAGAAAGGGAAAACCATCCACTTCCAAGAGACGGCCACAAAAACGCCGGACAGGTGACCCAGTTTAAAAATCAGCAGCGCTTGAAATGCCCTGACTATAGTCTGTGGTCTTGGCAAGGGTGTAAGAAGTCCTGGATTCAAATCCCACGCGAATCCTGTATTTGGGGAAGGGAAGGGGAAGAGACTGGACGTACCTTTGGGGATGGAACATAGCTCAATGCAGAAGGCCATAGGTTTGATCCCCAGCAAAGACCAAGGCCTGAGATCCTGGAGAGCTGCTGCCTGCCAGGGTAGGCAGTATTGGGCTAGATGGAGAAATGGTCTGAGCCTGACCTGGATGGTAAGGGAATCCCACCGATGTCACCAATTTATTTATTTTTTAAAAATAAAATGATTGGTTTTAAAAAGTTCTCCTTTGTGACTCTTGAGACAGGAGTTCCAATTCATTCTAGGTAGAGTGAGGTGGCCTGCCTCAAGTGCACCATGAAAGGGAAGCAAATGGTCAATTATTTGGTCCATTATTATATTGTTGCCATTGCCACGGGGGTTGCCATTCGGATTTTGTGCCCCAAAGTCACGGGCCACCTCTGTGCCTGCTTAGCAGCAAATGCGTTTGGGCAAGCTGCTTGTTTGCAGTCACTTCCCTGTCTGTAAAATGGGAACAATAGCAACACAACTTCACAGGCCTGCTTTTTTGCTGATGTGTATACCATACATACATCTGCTGTATCTCCCCTCCCCTCTTCTGCATCTGCATCCCATAATGCCTTAGCTACAATTGATAATTTGAGGATCCACACCCTCAAATATGAGAAAGAACGGGTCCACAGGCCATCTGCATCGGTAGGATGGGAAGACGGCTGCACAAACTGGGCCATTTTCATCACTGCGTCTTGCAAAGAGTTTCCCCTCCAGGTCACATCCACACCATACATTCAAAGCCCTCTCATGCTACTTCAATCAGTCCTGGTTTCCCCCAAAGAATTCTGGGAACTGTAGTTGCTAGGAATCCCCTCTTGGAACTACAATTCCCAACACCCTCAAACTACAGTTCCCAGGATTCTTGGGGGAGGGAGCTATGGCTGTTAAAGTGGTATGACAGTGCTTTAAATGTGTGTTGTGGATGTCCTAAGTGCTGCCCCTTTGTGGATATTAAAGGCTCGAGAGACCAATAAGGAAGCTTCATGTGCCCATAGAAGGCTGAATTCTGCCTTTGTTTTCAACGTAATCAAGGTTACCTGGAAAGAGAACATCCCAGAGTTTAGCTCCAGAGTTGCCTTGGCATGTGTCCAATTAAATGAAATGCAAGTCCTACCCAGCCTCCATTTTATCTGCAGACCGGATCCTGTTTTTTTCCGAGATATCTTTGCCGTACGGAGAAGTATCCAAGAAGATAAGTCGCCCCGGCTGTTGAGGCGATTGCAAAAGGAACTGATTTCTCTAGAAGACGTTAAGTGTAAGTGTGGGTGCTGAATTGCCAAGTTAGTTGCAGCTTATTGATCTTCTCCGCCATCCTTGAGATTGTTCCAAGGGTTGCTGATTTCAGTGTTATCCCGAGTCAACAGCACTTGTTTACTTGGCCTAAATGGCTTGTGTCCAGCATACCTAAGAATAATAAAAATCAAAGAAATAGCTTCTTTGTCCCTTCCAGCTGTGGGAGCCAAGAGCATCGTCCACCTTAACAGTCTTGCACAGAACCAGCAATGGCAGTCCTATGTGCTACAGACCAAACAGGGAGTGGGTGTTTTGCAGAAAGGCTCCAGTCATGGAAATAACTTGAGTCATGCAAGATTTCCAGTCCATATGGAGCAGGGGAAGGCAGAAAGGCAACCTCCTTTTCTATATCGCATCATGGTGCCAGTTTCTTCTTTCATAATGCCATCTTCATAGCATTGGTTACAACATTTTACTATCTCGGATTGCACAAATGGGCTTCATTATGGTTTTTGCCCAACACACGTAGGTGTGGCTGAGGGTTTGACAAATGTTTCTCAATGGACTGGTGAGTGGCAGTGTTTCACTTGGTCATCTGGAAATCTCTCTGTTTCTCTGTTTCTCCTCCCATTGGGATGTGATGTGAATCGGAGCGTATGGGAAGAGCAGAAAAAGTGCAGTAAGCCTGAATCTCAGGAGACTCAGACAAAGAGCACTCATTTTGCTGGACTGGAAACAATGGGAGACTGAGCTGGAGGGGACATTTATTAACTAGGGTTACCATACGTCTGGGGTGGAAATCGCGAAAATGCCCAGGAAAATCCGAACGTATGGCAATCTATTTCGGCAGTGTCGTTTTGGGCGAATAAAGCTCAACACCTCTGCCCAAAAAATGCTCACCAACTTTTCTGTCCGGATTTTCACTGTTTGAAACATGGTGGCAACCCTAATTAAAACAGGCATGTCCCACCTTTCTTCCAGAAGCTCAAGGTAGCGTAGCACAACGACAGCCTTGCAGGGTAGGTGAGGCTGAGAGAGAGACTGACTGGTTACCCAGTGTCTTTCATGGCTGAACAATTTGGTCCTGGGTCTCTCAGCTTTTACTCTTGACCCTTCAAACACTACAGTACTCTGGCTTCGCCTGAAGGCATACGTAGCTGCTTTTATATATTTGCAAACAAAGCAGGTATTACAAAGGCACTATTTCAGTGCACTTTTGTTTGACTAAAGCTGGTTAATGCTTGGGAAAGTGCAGAGCAGGTAAGCACAATGAATGCAGCAGTGCACCTAAAGTCATTCTCATGTGCTGCAGGTATAGGTCTGACCAGAGCAGACTATTCAGAATGCAGGGAGAGGGAGAAGGAAGTGGGCATGTATTTTCCCTCGCATCAGAAACTCCCTACCTATCTTTCTCTCTGTTTTGTGTGGCCTTTCAGCTTCCTATGCTTGGCATGTAAGCCCCCTTACGTTTCTTTGTAAATAAGGTGTGGTATAAATTGCAAAGATGCTGTCTAGGTTTGTCTAGGCATCTTAAGCCAGTGTGGTGTAGTGGTTAAGAGCGGTAGACTCCTAATCTGGGGAACTGGGTTCGCGTCTCCGCTCCTCCACATGCAGCTGCTGGGTGACCTTGGGCCAGTCACACTTCTCTGAAGTCTCTCAGCCCCACTCCCCTCACAGAGTGTTTGTTGTGGGGGAGGAAGGGAAAGGAGAATGTTAGCCGCTTTGAGACTCCTTAAAGGGAGTGAAAGGCGGGATATCAAATCCAAACTCTTCCTCTTCTTCTTCTTAAAAAGTAGAGACATCACCTTGCCAACAAAGGTCCGTATAGTAAAAGCTATGGTTTTCCCAGTAGTGATGTATGGAAGTGAAAGCTGGACCATAAAGAAGGCTGATCGCCGAAGAATTGATGCTTTTGAATTATGGTGCTGGAGGAGACTCTTGAGAGTCCCATGGACTGCAAGAAGATCAAACCTATCCATTCTGAAGGAAATCAGCCCTGAGTGCTCACTGGAAGGACAGATCCTGAAGCTGAGGCTCCAATACTTTGGCCACCTCATGAGAAGAGAAGACTCCCTGGAAAAGACCCTGATGTTGGGAAAGATGGAGGGCACAAGGAGAAGGGGACGACAGAGGACGAGATGGTGGGACAGTGTTCTCGAAGCTACCAGCATGAGTTTGACCAAACTGCGGGAGGCGGTGGAAGACAGGAGTGCCTGGCGTGCTCTGGTCCATGGGGTCACGAAGAGTCGGACACAACTAAACGACTAAACAACAACAGCAACATAAATTGCTAAATCAGCTGTAACATTAATAATAATTTCTAAGTGCATTGTTTTCCTCTAGCATTTTAATGGTATGGCCCTAGGAGGACTGCCTTGCATTTTTCCTTTGAAAAGTTGGGTCAGCTTCGAAAAACGTTGCAAGACCTTAAATTTGGACTGGGATTCTGGACAGGAAAGACTGTCCACGCATAGGTCAATCCACCGTAGAGAAGTTGTCAAAATGTGCTAGAAGAAGCTGTGTTCTTACGGAGATGGAAAACCCTGTGTCTGGGTAATAGCACTTCAGAACAGACTGCAGGTGGGAACAAACATGATTTAATGTTCATCCATACAAAAAAGAAGAAGAAAAAACCCTCCACACTCCATGTAGAAAAATAGATGATGAGGAGAAGCCTAGACTAGTACAGTGGTACCTCGGGTTACATACGCTTCAGGCTACAGACTCCGCTAACTCAGAAATAGTGCTTCAGGTTAAGAACTTTGCTTCAGGATGAGAACAGAAATCGTGCTCTGGCGGCGTGGCAGCAGCGGGAGGCCCCATTAGCTAAAGTGGTGCTTCAGGTTAAGAACGGACCTCCAGAACAAATTAAGTACTTAACCCGAGGTACCACTGTACTCTGTGTGTGTGTGTGTTTTAAGCACATTTCCCCCTTCAAAGGATTATAGGCACTGCCGATACATTTCCCAGCAACCCTTAACACACTATTGTGCCCAGAATTCTTTGAAGGTTGTGTCTGTGTGCTTTGGATTTGCTTCAAAGGCATGATGTGCCTACAGCCATTAAGAACCAAAATAGATGTAATTTGTATTTTTACAAACATGTGCATTAAATGCAAAAAAAAAAGCCCTAATATTAATTTGGCCCCTTTCCCTGACTTGCTAGATTTCTATATGCAGGGACTGCTTTTGTACAGAGGAGCTTTCAGTCAAGTGAGTCTCACCTGCAGTCTAAAGGTGAACCACCCAGATGCATTTTTACCGCCTCCATGAAAACTAGACCTGGGCGACTCGCTTGTTCCTCTTGGGTCACGCCTGATGCAGCTTTGATAAACTCCAAGCCTGCCACAATAGTGACGTGCATCCATCACCCCACACATCTCCTGGTGCATAGCAGTTTTCCAGGTAGAATCCCTGGGATCACTGACGGAGCCCTACACCCAAACCGCACCCACGTCTGTGCTCCCTGGAAGGAGGCATGCTGTTATCTTAAGGTGAAACAAAGCAGGGCAAATAAAACCAACCCAAATTTAATGGGCTGTTTTCTTTACTCCCGTCTCAAGTTACACCAATCCCTTATAGGGCAGTCCTAAACATGTCTACTTGGAGATAAGTGAATTCCATGTGATTTGTTCTTAGTAAGCGTGCTTTAGGATTCCATGTGATTTGTTTAGGGAAGTTTTTAATATTTAATGCTGTACTGTTTTTAACACTTGATTGGGAGCCGCCCAGAGTGGCTGGGGAAACTCAGCCAGATGGGCGGGGTATAAATAATAAATTATTATTATTATTCCCCGACCCCTTGCATAGTTCCTTCTTTCTCTGCCCCTTTTCTTAAACTGGTGGTTGTTGGCCTCTGTCTGTCTTGGGAGTCAAAGGAGGAGTGCGCCTTTGAGGGGTGAAGTCAAAATGTTGGAAAGTTACAGCTCCTGCTTTGTGTGTGGAGACTGATATGGGAGAGACATGTTTTGTTGCAGCTGGGGCAGAGGAAGGCATCCGGTTGTTTCTTCTCTCGGCGCTTCTCCCAGTGGTCATTACTCCCCTGGTCGCTGCCATGAATGCACAGCCTGTCTGTCTGTCTCCAGGCATTGCAGTTGTCTGCAAGGGATTCCCACACAGCAGGGTTGATCTTGCCAGTCTTAATGTCACCTTTGCAGACATTTTTGTAACACAGAGTTGGTCTGCCAACTGGCCTGGTGCCTGTAGCCAGCTCCGCTTAGAGCACATCCTTGGGGATCCTCCCATCTTCCATTCTGCCGACATGGCCAAGCCAGAGCCCTAACGGTCAAAACAAATCAGAACTGGAAGCAAGTTCAGCGATTGTGATTTTCCATAAGTTCGACAAGGACCAGAGAGACTTGGGTTCAAATCCTCCCTGGCGTAAAGCTCACTGGGTGATTTGGGGACAGTAATTAATTTCTTCACAGCTTAGTTCACAGGGCTAGAGGGGGGAATAAAATGTGTGGACCACCCTGAGCTCCGTGAAGGAAGTTTAGTCTACAAATATAGGCAAACGAAACTCGATTTATGTAAAAAACCTTCTCTGAGATAGTTTGCAGACACTTTGTAGGGCTGGACGAGAATGCAATGCTACAGATTTTTAAAATTTTCATTTTGAATGTTTTCAGACGCTGCCCTGTTTCTGGCCCATGAAGACGATTCCTTTCGCATCCATTCTTTCTCTTTAGTTATGAGGTATGCCATTTGGTATTTGCATTTCACAGTGGGATGCTTTCACTTCATTTTTTTTTTAAAGAAAAATATATTTAACGGCACCTTGTAAAAACCAAGTCAGATGTTAGCGGAGAGGTTGCCAAATCCTGTGTCATCAAGACCTGAATTCTGAAAGCTATCTTTGGCATATATACAATTCTGTGAGAGGGGACATGTCAGAAATCACAACCATCACATCCTCTGACAAGTACCCTTGCGGCTGCTTCTCGCTACACTTCCATTTTAAGTATGAAATGGGCCGGTTGCAGAAAACTTAGTCAATCACATGAGTAGACCTGGGGCAAGGGATTGCACTTCACCTGCAACAGGAGATTAATAAGGGATCTGGGTTAATATATGTGCTGCTTTTAGCATTGCAAAGCAGGGCTGGGGAACATCAGGCCTGGGGGCCAAATGTGGCCCTCCACGGCTTTCTGTGCGGTCCTTGAAGCACTTGCCAGGCTACTTCTCAGTTGGTTAGAGTGTGGTGCTGATAATGTCAAGGTTGCAGGTTCGATCTCCATATGGGGCAGCTTCACATTCCTGCATTGCATGGGGTTGGACTAGATGACCCTCAGGGTCCCTTCCAGCTCTACAGTTCTAAGGTTTTATGATTCTCCTTTCGCCAGACCACACCTTTCACTGGCTCAATGTTTTTGCCTGCTTGGAATTGTTTGCATCCCACTCACCCCCGCCCTGCAGCCTTCCTCCAAGGACCTCAGACCACATGCATTATTCTCACCTCTTATTATTTCCACATCTTCACAAAAACCCTGTAAGATAGGTTAGGCTAAGAGAGAATGGCCATCCCAAGGTTACACAGTAAGCTTTGTGGGTTAATTGGGAATGACGATGATTGGGAGGGCCAATTAATTATCCCTTATTCTAAAATCCCATTATGGGATCCCTTTGGGTCTTCACACATAATAGGCTGCTGGGATAGCTCAGGTGGTAGAGCAGGAGACCTTTAATCTCAGGGTCAAGGGTTCGAGCCCCACGTTGGGCATGAACGTTGGGTATCGTGAAGGGTAAAGGTAAAGGTAAAGGGACCCCTGACCATTAGGTCCAGTCGTGGCCGACTCTGGGGTTGCGGCGCTCATCTCACTTTATTGGCCGAGGGAGCCGGCGTACAGCTTCTGGGTCATGTGGCCAGCATGACTAAGCCGCTTCTGGCAAACCAGAGCAGCGCACGGAAACGCCGTTTACCTTCCCTCTGGAGTGGTACCTATTTATCTACTTGCACTTGGACGTGCTTTTGAACTGCTAGGTTGGCAGGAGCTGGGACCGAGCAATGGGAGCTCACTCCGTCACGGGGATTCGAACTGCCAACTTTCTGATCAGCAAGTCCTAGGCTCTGTGGTTTAACCCACAGTGCCACCCGTGTCCCTATCGTGAAGGGTACCCAGGTGCCATTGTCCAGTGGGCCGCTTTTAGCAAAAGAAAACTGCTCCCTTGTGAAGAAGTTTACATGGGTGATGTGGTGTTTTGCTCTGTTTTTAAAATCTGCTCTAGGTGCCGGCAGCTAGATGATTTTCTCATGGCTCTGCTGTACTATCTGAATTTTTATCTGGAAAAATTAGCCTTGGAGATGAAGCCCAAATCTTTCATGGGGTCAGTAAAATCGCTTGGATGTGTGTCTTAAGCGGAGTCCCGTCTTGTTTAGAAAGGGCTATTGCTCTATATATTCAGTGTGGGTGTGCTTTGCTTCAAGACCCGATTTGTGCTGGTTAGAAAGATCACAAGCCACGGGGCCTCAAGCCCAAGACCTTGGAGAGTTGCCAGTACTCAGGTGACTGATGGATGAATAGTCTGAAGTTGGGAGTCCAAGATCATTTCCTGTGATTCTGCGGGACACTTGTCACGTCCCAGGAGCTATTTGAGCCCAGTGTTCTTCAGTCTCCTCTGACTGGTTCCATCCTTCTTTCCTGGGTCATTTCTGACTTTCTTCCTCCACAAGGAGACTTGAGTCAGTGCATCTCAGCATTTTCAGGTCAGCCCCACCTCTCCTGTTCTCCTTCATGGCTGCGTTTGAGGTCAGTTCTGCATCGGTGGTTGTGGCCTAAGACCAGCCGAAGCTGAGGTGGTGGGTGTTGCACGAACCATTGAAAAGTGGACAGAACTGAGAGCCAATGTGGTGTAGTGGTTAAGCGTGGTAGACTCGTTATCTGGTGAACTGGGTTCGCTTCCCCGCTCCTCCACATGCAGCTGCTGGGTGACCTTGGGCCAGTCACACTTCTTTGAAGTCTCACTCACCTCACAGAGTGTTTGTTGTGGAGGAGGAAGGGAAAGGAGAATGTTAGCCGCTTTGAGACTCCTTCGGGTAGTGATAAAGCAAAATATCAAATGCAAACTCTTCTTCTTAAAGAAAAAAAGAGGAAAAAAAGTGGACAGAACTCTCCCTTCTTTCTCCACAAATGCACCCAAACCTACTTTCACTAGTGCCTTGGCCTGGGTATCTCTGCTCTGTTGCCCCTTGCATGTTGGCAAGGAGCACCAACCCTCTTGCTTACCTGGGGGTTTCAGGTGAGTCCACATCAGCCGAAAGCTATTTCCTGCATTGAACTCAGCCATAATGCTGTCGTCCCCACTGTCCCCCCCTTGTAACAGACTTTTAGGTTGCCTTTCAAAATTTAATACCTTGCAAAGACAGCTTACAGCGTACAGGTCATACAAATGAGTCAAACCAACTTTTGTTTGAATTGGCAGCTGCCTTATGCCCCAACACCTACCTGTTTTGTTTTGTGTTGACCCAGGTAAGATCTTAAACTAGATCAATTAGATTAGATCACCACCAACGCTTCCTTAGGTGTTGGGACATGATTCTATGAATGTGGTTCAACAACATCTGGATGGCCACAGAGGATCCCCAGCCTTGAGGGAGGCCAATAAGGTGTGGCCATCCAAGATGTTGTTGGATCACATTCATAGAATCATAGAGTTGTAAGGGACCTCAAGGGTCATCTAGCCCAGCCCCCTGCCATGCAGGAATCTCAGCTCAAGCATCCATGACAGGTGGCCATCCAACCTCTGGTTTAAAACCTCAAATGAAGAAGAGCCCACAACCTCCTGAGATAGACCGTCCCACTGGCATCAGAAAGTTCTTCCTGATGTTTAGTCGGAATCTCCTTCCTTGTAACTTGAAGCCACTGATTCGAGTCCTACCACCAGAGCAGGAGAAAACAAGCTTGCTCCTTGATTCCCATCATCCCTGGCTATTGGCTCTGCTGGCTGAGTCTGATGGGTACTGGAGGCCAACAACCTCTGGAGGACCACAGGTTAGCCACACCTGACCTACCTGGAGACATTCTAGCACACAACACCTTGGTCCTTCCTGCTCCTTATTTGCAATTACCCTACTGTTCTTTTGTATCACCTAATCTACTAATGATAGTCCAGGCATAGTGGATCTTGCTTGCCTGACCAGAGTCTTGCTAGGCAATCCCAGGGCGTGCCACTCCAGCCCTATGATTTACCGGTAATCTTTCTGTTGCTTTCTTTTATTTGGGTCAGAATTCTCCAGTGCAGACGTAGTGTTCTTGATTGTCTAACCATGAGTGGGAGAGTGCTCTGTGCAATGCTTTTTTTAATGACTTGCTTCTTTGTTAAACAGGAAGCCCAGTGCCCTGGAAAGGAAAGAGATGCGGGAGAACCAAATCAAGCTAGCAGTGACCAAAAAGCACCTGGCCGAGCTGTACTGCATCCTCATCCTCGGCCTGGGAATGTCCGATCAGCATCACATGGCTTGTGGGAAGTAAGGAAACGGCTGCGCCCAGGAAACGCTTTTCTGTAATGCCATCTGCTCTTTGCAGCAGATGTCTAGGGAATAAAACAGAAGAAGTGGGAACTTGGGTTTCTGAGTGGGTTGTCAGAACCCAATGCCCTTTGAGAGTCCTTTATGGAAACCGAAGGGGGACGTGCCGCCTGATTCTTAGCGTTTTCACCAGGAAGCAAATCCCAGAGAGTTCAGTGGGAAAGGGTTGTAGCTCTGGAGAGCACCTGCTTTGCATGCAAAATGTCACCGATTCAATTCCTGGCATGGGAAAGGCTCTTGTGAAATCCTGGAGAATAGCTGCCAAGTAAAGTAGGACAGCTCCTGCCAACCTAGCAGTTCGAAAGCACATCAAAGTGCAAGTAGATAAATAGGTACCTCTCCAGCGGGAAGGTAAACGGCGTTTCCGTGTGCTGCTCTGGTTCTCCAGAAGCGGCTTAGTCATGCTGACCACATGACCCGGAAGCTGTCTGTGGACAAACGCTGGCTCCTTTGGCCTATAGAGAGAGATGAGCACCACAACCCCAGAGTCGTCCGCGACTGGACCTAATGGTCAGGAGTACCTTTACCTTTACCTTAAAGTAGGACATGCTGATAGCTTAGTTGTGGGTAGAGTTGTGGGTTCAAGTTGGGCGAAAGTTTTCTGCATTGCAGGGGATTGGACAAGATCATCCTCATGGTCCCTTCCTATAATTCTATTATTCTGTAGTCCAGATGAGCCAATGGTCTAACTCAGTAGAAGGCTCGGCTTGCTTTCAAGTAAGGATGCATAACTTCCAGGTAAATCTGCACTTGGGGAATCTTTGCAAGGGTACAGTCTTACGCAAAAAAATATTGGTGCTGTAAGGTCCCAATGAACTCAGTGGGATACATTCCAAAATAACATCAGTTAGGATCACAGGCTAAAATTCTCATCATTTTTCCTTAGAAGTCCCTAAAATCAGCAGTCATAGCCTCTGGGTGAATGTGTTTAGGATCTGGTGGCATGCAAATAGCTGTTGCAACTTAACAAAACTCATTACACTATTTGCTATCAGATTTCTGTGATTAGGGCTACCACTGTCGGCTGCCTTATCGCAATGCCTTGCCAGAGTGTTTTGGGCTTGGCAGTGGTGTGTTGGTAGACTGCACAAATCTGGCAATGTGCTTCCGTGGTAACTAATTTTTAGGCACTCTTACTCTTCTGAATAGCTAGGAAATACTTGGAAGGGGCCATGCCTTTATTCCCACGCTCCTAGCAAAGGATGATCCCTAGCTGCCGCTGGCAGTTTGAGTCATTTTGGAGAGAGATACATGTGTCTTAGCATTTACCTTATTTTTCACTCTATAGGACACACTTTTTCCCCTCCAAAAATTAAGGGGAAATGTGTGTGCGTCCTATGGAGCGAATGCAGGCTCCTTGGCTTCAGGGTAAGCTCGGGGGGCAGTGGGAAGGCGGTGTGCCGCCTTTGCGCTGCTCCCCGACCTGGTCTTTGAGGCTTTTCCCCGAGGAGGGAGAAGGGACTGACTGGCCGTGTCAGTCCCTTCTCCCACCTCGTAGAAAAGCCAGCAGAAGCCGTGCGCTCCTTAAAGGGTGCGTGGCTCCTGTGGGCTTTTGCAGGAGGTGGGGGAATTCCCCCACCTCCCGCAAAAGCACGCAAAAGCCACATGCTCTATAAAGGGTGTGCGGCTTCTGCTGGCTTTTCTACGAGGTGGGGGAATTCCCTCACCTCGTAGAAAAGCCTGCAGGAGCTGCACACCCTTTAAAGAGTGCTCCGCTCTTGGGGGCTTTTCCCCGAGGAGGGAGAAGGGACTGACCGCGTGCGGCTCCTGAGGGCTTTTGCAGGAGATGGGGGAATTCCCCCACCTCCCGCAAAAGCAGGGAGAAGGTCTGGGAGAAGTGCACAGGCTGCGCACAGCCTGTCTGCTGCTCCTAGAGCTGTGTGTGTGGGGGGGGAATCATATTTTTTCCCTTGATTTCCCCCTCTGAAAACTAGGTGCGCCCTATGGTCAAGTGCGCCCTATGGAGCGAAAAATACGGTAGGTTGCTGGCTATTTCACCTGGAGATCTGATGTGCGAGCAGCGGACTTTCCTCCATCTCTGCTCAATGAGTACGTTTGTAAAGAAGGGCAAATATTACATGACAGAAGTTCTGGCAACTGCTTCCAAAGGAAATGAAACTTGAGCAAGCCCTGTGCCTCAGGAACGTCTCAACACGCAAAGAAGTGGGACGAATGTCACAGTATGAAGAAGGTCACCATGGGGAGGGGCAAGTACTTTTTAAAAAATTATTTTAAATCCTTGGGCCAAATCCCTTGCGGTGACTGCCACCTTACAAAGCCCATGAAAACACAGCAGCCCCTATTTCCCAGCACTGCTTCCACTCCCATTGAGGTTGCCATCTCTGGGAAGAAAAACCAGTGTGGCCTGCTCTTGCGAGTTTAGCAGATATTTTCTATGCAGAACTCAGCAAACAAGGCTTTTCATGCTATGGAGACACAAAGACAATCCCCTTCTGCTTGCTGCAGATTCAGCGTCTGTTAAAAGCACCGCAACAGAATTTTGTTCAGAAGGCAATAAGACAGCTCCCGAACCAAAGCCTGCCAGTCTTACCAGTTGCTCTAGAGCAGGGGCATTCAGGCTTCAGGCTTGCTGGATCCATTTTGTAGGTTTTGTTTGCAAGAACCTGAAGTTATACCAACAAGGACCAGGTACAAAGGGCATGTGTTGACATCTGTCTTTCTCAAGAGACAATGGAGTGTCGGGAGGTGGAGTCAAACCACTTTGTTAGCAGCACCAAGTGACCTCCCCAGGGCACAAGCCTGGGCAGTGTGTCTGGAGATCCTGGGCTGCCCAGATGACAAGACACCACCCCCTCTCAGACTCGTTGATGTGGTCCAAAGGAAAGCAGAGCAAGACGTTTGGCACCAGCTTGGCTGCAGGAGTCGCTGGAAGGCGCCATCCAATCGCCTTAGGCACTTCACTCTGGATTTGTGTAGGGTTTACTCCTGAAGACATCCCACAAGGCAGCGGAGGTTCAGGACCAGAGTTTTCCTTCTCATAGATGGCTTACAGTTAAAATTAAGGAACGGGGTTCCTCTGAGCTGAGGGATTTGACCTGAGGTCATAGTTCTTTCCCCCCAAACCTGTTCCTGCTTAGCTTTGTTAATTTCTGCAGCCTGATTTAGGGTTTTAAGAGTTTTAAACAATTGGGAGTCTTGCAGCAAGCTACCCACCTATTTGCCTTCTGCTCAGGCCTGCTCTAGTGAGTTCCCCTTCTTATGTCCTTTAGCCAATCTCTTCAGGTGGCCTCTGTTGCAGCTTGATCAGTAGGCATTACCAGGTGGTCCTCTTGTGTTGTGAGAAGCTTAATCTGCTGGTTTCTGCTGCTAAAGGCGCAGGTGCAAGTCAGGCTGATCCCTCACTGCCCCCAGGCAGCTAATAACACTAATGGCGGTGGAAAGAGGACTGGAGAGAAGGGTTGGTACTGGGGAGAAGAGATGGCATGCTTGAGCCTTGCCCGCTTTGAATCACTCACTCTCACTAGCTTTCTTCCAGTATGTGGCTTCGAAGGGTAGGAAAAAGCCCCAAACTCTTATACAGTGGTATTTCGGGTTAAGAACTTAATTCGTTCCAGAGGTCCGTTCTTAACCTGAAACGGTTCTTAACCTGAAGCGTGCTTTTGCTAATGGGGCCTCCTGCTGCACGATTTCTGTTCTTATCCTGGGGCAAAGTTCTTAACCTGGAGCAACCACTTCCTGGTTAGCAGAGTTTGTAACCCGAAGCGTCTGTAACCCGAGGTACCACTGTTGTTGCTGTTGTTTAGTTGTGTCTGACTCTTCGTGACCCCATGGACCAGAGCACGCCAGGCACTCCTGTCTTCCACTGTCTCCCGCAGTTTGGTCAAACTCATGCTGGTAGCTTTGAGAACACTGTCCAACCATCTCGTTCTCTGTCGTCCCCTTCTCCTTGTGCCCTCCATCTTTCCCAACATCAGGGTCTTATCCAGGGAGTCTTCTCTTCTCATGAGGTGGCCAAAGTATTGGAGCCTCAGCTTCAGGATCTGTCCTTCCAGTGAGCACTCAGGGCTGATTTCCTTAAGAATGGATGCGTTTGATCTTCTTGCAGTCCATGGGACTCTCAAGAGTCTCCTCCAGCACCATAATTCAAAAGCATCCATTCTTTGGCGATCAGCCTTCCTTATGGTCCAGCTCTCACTTCCATACATCACTACTGGGAAAACCATAGCTTTAACTATATGCAAAGCACAGGTCAACCATGGCAGGTCATTTCTTTGACTCACGTTTTTTGAGTCGAGTTTATTTCTCCTGCACCAGCTCGGGCATCCTTTCTTTGAGCTTTGTGATGGTGCAGAGCAAAAGAAACAAACAGCGGCAGCTTTATTTCAGATTGGTTACACTCCCCAAAGCTTGCATGGCTGTTTTGTTGTTGGCAGGAAGCTCTTGCTCGGCGTTCAGAAGCAAAGCCGCGTTTATTCAGCGCGGAAGTCCCCGTGGGGATTTGCCTTCCTGTTTAGCTGGACATGACCTGCTGCAAGGACCTGCCGGCCTGTGCTTTTTCAGAAAGCCCATGAGACTGCCGGAACGGAGAGAGGAGAGTTGTCTCGGCAGCTTTAGGAGAGCACCCTTAAAGACGCGCAGACTCCCAGCTGGAAAGCGAAGGCTGCTGGGGAGCACATTGCCAAGGAATGAGCTTTTACTGATATGATTCCAGGGTGAAGCAACAGGACTCAGCCAAATTAACTTGCAGGAAGAATTCCAGCGAGGCCTTAGCTGGGGTTAGCAGACTTGGCAGGAACACAGAGTCCCCGAGCACCATGTTTTACAATCTCTTCTGAATCAGTGTGTTCCTGTGGAATCAAGAGTTTTGCTCCCACCCCCGTCCCTGTCCTAGGGTTAGGATTTGAGTGAGGCTTGGGCACTTGAACCTTGGAGGGCCTCATAGGGTAGAGCAGGCAGAGGCACATCTGCTGAGGTGCGTGGAGCAAGAAAATGCCCCAGAGCTCACTGAGGCGTCTGGCTTGCAGCTGCTTTGGTCCATGAAAGGTTTGGGAAGGTTACAGACAACCTGGGCTGCCTCAGAGCCAGCTGTGCACAGAGTGAAAACCAAGCAGACAGCGCTGGCTTCCGGGTCGTAGGAAGCTGCCTCAAAGGAGATCCATTTGACCATCCTGCCCACCTGTTATCTACTCTGACTGGCAGTGGCTCTCTGAGATCTCAAGCCTTTCCACCTCACCTGCTACGATTAGACCCCTTTCAACTTGATATACCTGGCACTGAACCTGGGACCTTCTTCATTCAGAACATCTGCTGCACCCTTGTGCTACGATCCCAGCAGCTGCTCAACCCTGCCAACCTCAGGCACCCCCCATGATTTTTAAGGGTGCCTGCAATCCCTAAAAGCAGCTTGGCACCTTGGTATTATTTGTGTTCCTTCTCCCTGGGCCGCCTAGCCTGCCAAAGGACTCCCCTTGTGTGGGGAACAGGATACTCAACACCTCCACATTTCTTTCTTTCTTTCTTTCTTTCTTTCTTTCTTTCTTTCTTTCTTTCTTTCTTTCCTTGTGTTGAAGTGCCAAACCCGAAACAAGGGACACGCCCTGACTTTGAGCTTTGTTCTCCTGCATGTGCATGCACTTTGCATCTTCAGGAAACTGTGTAAAAAAGAATTTATTTCAAAATAGTACAACGGGTATAGCCGGAAGGTTCTTTTTTATTGTAAATAAAATCATCTTCTATCTCTTTTTCTATTTCTTTTCTTTCTTCTTCTATTTTCTTTTGTACATTTATAATTTGTAATGTCTGAAATGTAATGTTTTATACTGTATGTATTTTAAGTTCTTTGTAGAATAAAGGTTGAAATCAAAACAACAAACAAACAAACACAGACGGCGTCATGTCCCGGGTTCAGTTCGTTGCATCTGCAGCCAATTGATACGAGGCAGCTGGGCTGCCAACACACCTGAGACACAGGAGAGCAGCAAAATCTGTCTGATCTTGGGCGGTGCCTTGCCACCCGCAGGTGCTGCACAGCTGCAGGTTCAGCAGCGTCCTGTCAGCCATCCTCGTCGCTTGCGGCACAGGGAGTTATTTTCCCTCTTCTTGTCGATTCGGCAGGGTGAGCCGCACCAACTCCGTGGTTAATTGTAGGCTGAGTACAGTCGGTGGCCCAGCCCAAAAATGCTGTGCATGCAAGAGTCAGCATGACAAAATTGTTCAGTGACCCAACCAGAAATCCTGGCTCTGAATTCCAAGTATTGCAAACAGACACACACACACACACACACACACACACACACACACCACCCCTCCCGATTCAGCTGCAGGGATAGAGTGAAAATAAATACAGGGTGCCACCTTTGCATTCTGTACCTTAGATACTTGCATGTTGGGCAGAAATTCAGAGCTGGAGCCTTCCCCCATTGCTGCATTTTTTCATGAAAAGCCAAATGACTTGGGATTTTTCAGCATCTTGAACAGGGCCCAGAAAACAACTGGCAGCCAGGAGGCTGAGAAAGGCTGCTTACCTGGTGGTTAATTTTTAAGGAATATTAGTAGACAGCACCAGGACCATATTATGAAGATCCTTATCTGCCCCTGGTCAAAAGAGCCTTGAATTCCACTGACAAGAAAAGAAAGAAAGAAAGAAAGAAAGAAAGAAAGAAAGAGTGAGCAGGGCTGAGCATAGAGATGCCCAACTGTTTCACAAACCTTTTACAGGCAACCTGAAGGGAGCTTTGGAAACTCTGGCGTAGAGAACTTTAGCACACGTCTGAAAATGTGAAATATCAGGAACCGTATTCCTGGGGAAGGTCCGTAGCTGCTGACTGCTAGAGCCAGTCCTGAGGGCGGCAACATGAGAAAGGGGCCTTTTCTGCCTTGGCTCCCCATTTGGGGACTGCTCCACCCAGGAAAGCTCGCTTGGCACCTTCGTTACATAACTTTAGGCACCAGGCAAAACCTTTCCTCTATAACCAGGCCTTTGGCTAATTAAACAATCTGTGGTCTTCTAAAGGGGGGGGGGTATTGTTTTGTTTTGTTAATATGTTACATATTTTTGTGTTTTTATATTGTGAACCACCTTGTGATCATACGATGAAGGGCAGTATATAAAATTTAACAAAATAAATAAATTTAGAGCGGCCTATCCTGGCTGGGGCTGATGGGAGTTTTAGTCCAGAGTTGAGGGCCCCCAGGTTAGGAAGGTTAAGCCTAAAGCAGGGGTGCCCAAACATTTTTCAAAGAGGGCCAGATTTGATGAAGTGAACATGTGTGAGGACCAATGTTGTTGAGCTTTTTTAAAGGATTTTACCCCAGGAGATAAACTGCCACAAGAGCTGGATTAAACCCCGAAACGAACCCTGAAGAGCTCCTTAGTCAAACTGAAGTGGGCTCACCAGCCCTTTGGGGCCTAAGAGCGATATATGTAATCTTCAGAGACATCTCTTGTCATAAAATGGCAACACCGTCCCCCAAAACAACATTTCACAGAAGCCCAACTTTCTCTCTGAGGCTAAAAGGGCCCAGAGAGAGAAATTCAGCTTCAGCCCTAGAGGGGAAAATGCACACAAAGAAACCCTACTCTTTTCTGGAGGGTCTCATTCTGCCCCCCACCCACTTGTGTGATTCCCAATCTTTGTGTGTGCAGAGCCAAAGCGTGGTGAAAATCTTGGAACAAGGCAGAGGTGAAGTTGCAGAGGGGCCCTTAGATGGTATTTGCAGAGGACCTTGCCATTTTTTAAACGGGTTTTGTAGATTTCCTTCCCCTTTTACTTCGTTAGTGCCTCATACAGTGAGGAAGGAACCAGGCATATCGGGCTCAGGGACACGGTTAGGTAATATTTATTGCTGCCAGTTTCCTCTGGGGCAAATTTACATAAGGGGAGGGGAAGGATCTGCATTTTGTTCTCGCAGCTGCGTATATTAAATACACATGTTTAGTCAAATTTAGAGATCTTCCATAAGCTAGGAGGACGCTCTTGGTTTGAGACTGGGAGAGGGGCTAAAATAGGCAAATGATTTGGGAATGCCAACTTGACGGAGCTAAAAAAAACCCCAAACCTGGCCAGCTTCACTGCCATTAACACCAGTTTGATTTATAGCTGAAGCTTTCCGTGGAATGGGACTAAAGCACACTTGCCTCCTAGTGCAATGTGTTCTATATGGGGCTTTCCTGGAGCTCTGACTGGTGCAAAATGCTACAACTAGACTTGATGGAATTGGATGACCACAGCCATGTAACATCATTGCTTAAAAGCTTGCACATATGATACCATGCCTGGTTCAAGGTTCATGCATTAATTTAAAGGTAAAGGGACCCTGACCATTAGGTCCAGTCGTGACCGACTGGGGTTGTGGCCCTCATCTCGCTTTATTGGCCGAGGGAACCGGTGTACAGCTTCCGGGTCATGTGGCCAGCATGACTAAGCTGCTTCTGGCAAACCAGAGCAGCGCACGGAAACGCGGTTTACCTTCCAGCCAGAGTGGTACCTATTGATCTACTTGCACTTTGACGTGCTTTCGAACTGCTAGGTTGGCAGGAGCAGGGACCGAGCAACGGGAGCTCACTCCGTCGTGGGGATTCGAACCGCCAACCTTCTGATCAGCAAGTCCTAGGCTCTGTGGTTTAACCCACAGCGCCACCCGCATCCCTGCATTAATTTACAAAGCCTTTAAAAAATTGGATCCAGAATATCATAAGGATTGGTGAATCCCTTACATCCCAGCCTGATCACTGAGATCTTAATGGAGTCTCTGTTGGTGGTGGCCCATGGCTCAGCTTGCATGGCTTGTAACTGCTAGAAACCATGTCGCCTGGGTTGGGGGCTGAAGCCTGAAATTCCCTCCCAACTGAGATTAGACAAGGACCCTCCATGTTGAATAATTCCTGGATGTCAAGATCCAGGTTTGGGGCAAATACTTAGTATGCCTTCTGCGTTGCTTCCAAATTTCCTCACTACCCCCCAGCATAGGAAAAGACCACATGTTCAGCAAAGTAAAAACTGGTTTACTTACAAACTCTCTAAAGGTTGGATTCATGTGCTTCAGACCGTGAAACAAAGACAGTAACAAAGTGGTAAGAGTTCCCAGATTATCGATATAGGAACTCAATAATGGCTGGTGAGAGCCATGCGGCTGAGCTGGAGCAACAAGCTCAAACTTCTTCAAATGCTGAGCATCTCAGGTAGAGTGGGGAGGGATGGGGACAATAGGCTTGATTACCTATTTCCTCCCAAGGTAAAGGAAATAAGCCTGCAGGACAGCTTACTCTATTGTATTAACCCCTTCATGCATTAATTAGAGTTAAGCATGTCAGTTATATGAGAATAGTTGTCCCACAACTTTCTTATTTCAACCAGCATTTTAAGGTAGTGTTCTGATTTTATGTTGATTTTTAATTGTTCTTATTCTCTGTATGGTTAGATTTTTTTTCTTTTCTCCAAACCATTTTATTTACCCTACTTAGAAATTCTGACTATTAAGTATTATTTAAATATCTGAAATAAAGCAAACAAACCCACTTCCCCAAAAGATTGTATTGTTTTTTTGTTTTTGTTTTTTTGCAAAAGAGAAGTGGGGGAAAATGCACTGGGAATCATAAGATAACACTTGCTTTGATGCAACATTGTCTAACCTCCCTGCAAACAAATCAGGATGAATGCGTTCAACAGGTGGTCTGAAACTGCATTTGTGGGGCCCCTGTCATTTTGGCAAGAGGAAACTGCAGACTGGGAGCCCCCACTTGGTAGTTTCATTGGGGCATGGGAATGAATTTTACCTGCCAGCGTTTGGTCTTGATTCTGTTTCTTGGTCATGCTAGACTGTGACAGAATGTCTAGGAAACTCCCTTTCATTTAGGAAGATGTTTATGGAGTACTTTCTCTGTTGCTGTCTGTGGATTTATTCTTCTCTTCCACATTTTAGGAGGAAAATATCAACAACACAGAAAGACAGGGATTTCTTTGAGGTAAGAGCGGTTGCCTGGAGGAACAGAGCAGCTAAGGGTTGTCTCATCTTTCAGATAAGCTGCAACAATAGAGTAGATCACCTCCATTTTTATTTTTATTTTTGCATTTAGTGCTTGTACAACTTCTCCTCCTACGTGGCTTTTGTGACGTTCAGACAGAAGAACCTCAAGGAAATCCAGCAGGAAGTTGGCCGGCTGCTCCGCTCAAACATATTCAATCCTGCTCTGAGAGAGACAGCTAAACCCAAGGAGTTGAAAACAGATGTGACCAAGGAGGTGAAGAAGGTCACTTTCCGCTATCGCAAGTATGGCCTCATTTTCTCTCTTCTCCCCTCCCCTCCGTTATTGGATGCATTGCAGATATTTATATCGGGGGTGGGGAACATTCTTTTTAGCCCAAAGTCCTGCCAAAGCCATATGCCAGAAGTGGCTGGAGCCTGCAGTAGGTTACATTCCAACCATACAAAAGTCAGAATTTTCTGCACTTATCGTCTCCACCCAGGTGAACAAGAGGCATTATTGTAGTTGTAGGGCACAGTCCAGCCTGAGGATCATAGAATCATAGAATTGTAGAGTTGGAAAGGACCGAAAGGGTCCTCTAGTCCAACCCTCTGCAATGCAGGAATCTCAGCCAAAGCATCCATGGCAGATGACTGTCCAACTTCTGCTTATACACCTCCAAGCAAGGAGGGTCCACAACCTCCTGAAAGAGACTGTTCCACTGTCGCACAGTGGGAGCCAGTGTGGTGTAGCGGTTAAGAGTGGTGGACTCATAATCTGGGGAACTGGGTTTGCGTCTCCGCTCCTCCACATGCAGCTGCTGGGTGACTTTGGGCTAGTCACACTTCTCTGAAGTCTCTCAGCCTCACTCACCTCACAGAGTGTTTGTTGTGGGGGAGGAAGGGAAAGGAGAATGTTAGCCGCTTTGAGACTCCTTCAGGTAGTGATAAAGCAAAATATCAAATCCAAACTCTTCTTCTTCCCATCGGAAAGTTCTTCCTGGTGTTTAGTCGGAATCTCCTTTCTTGTAACTTGAATCCATTGGGTCAAGTCCTACACTTCAGAGCAGGTGAAAACAAGCTTGCTCCATCTTCTATGACAGCCTTTGAGATATTTGAAGATGGCTATTGTATCTCATGTATTCACATACCGTATTTTTTGCTCTATAAGACTCACGTTTTCCCTCCTAAAAAGTAAGGGGAAATGTGTGTGCGTCTTATGGAGTGAATGCAGGCTGCACAGCTATCACAGAAGTCAGAACAGCAAGAGGGATTGCTGCTTTCACTGCGCAGCGATCCCTCTTGCTGTTCTGGCTTCTGAGATTCAGAATATTTCTTTTCTTGTTTTCCTCCTCCAAAAACTAGGTGTGTCTTGTGGTCTGGTGCGTCCTATAGAGCGAAAAATACATACTTTCCCGTTGGTCATTCATTCATCCCATGTTTTTCCATGCATTTCCTTGTCACTTTCCTAATTACAAAAAAATATATCCATATTTTTTAGTATATTTGTTTCCCTGAGGCAATAGAGCACTTTAATCCCTTTTACCGTAATTCTGCAAATCTAAATTTACAGCATGTGATTGAATTCTGCACCCCCAAAGCCTGCAAAATGCTGTCAGTCGGGAGGTACCTTACTTCACCCTTACTTGAACACCTTTCCCTTATTCATTATTATTATAATTTTTTAAAAAACTATTTCTTAAAGGAGCACCGATGTAAGGCAGCCAGCCATCCGAAGCGTCATGGACCAGCGATCGCCGGTGCTGAGCACCTTGCTGCCGATGCCTAAAGACAGCGCTCAGTACCTTTTCCAGGACCATTACCTCCATGCTGGCAGAAGTCAGCCAGCCTACATTCCTGAAGAGCTGCCACCCTTTTCCTCTGTCGTGCCAGAACCCAAGTAAGGAATGCAGGGCTTTTCTACGCAATACGTGACCACAAAATCTAACAGGGAGCAGTGGCCTCTCTCACAAGTATATCTGAGTTACTCATAGTTTCAAGCCTATTTGAATGTGCTCTAAATGTATTGGGTGCATCTGCCTTGTTTGTTCATGTGATGGCCATGGGGAAAGCAAAAGGACATTGAAGACCCTGCTAGAGCAAAAGAGAGGAAAGCTAGCAGAATAGAATCCAATGAATGCTTAACCATTGAGTTTTGATGAGAACAGCTTGACCTCACCCCAAAAGGCACACTCCTCCATTGTCTCCCGAGACAGACGGATGCCAACAAATTCAGGCCAATGGACTACGTTGGTTTTGGTGACTTGCATCCTGTCTGTCTGTTTGTTCCACCTGGCAACAATTCCGTCTGCTTTCCCCCAAAAGCAGAAAACCAGGAGAAGGGGACTCCAGCTACAAGACTCTCCCACCTTTATCTCTTTGTTTCTTATCCTGCCCGTTCTCCAAGGAGCACAGGGCAGCCTACCTGGTTCTCCAGACACCCATTTTATTCTCAGAAATCGTATCGTATCGTAAAACCTTTATTGGCATCACATACAACATCCAAAACAAATCAATACAGAATTACCACTTCCCCAGCGGCACAAAACATTTGCTAAAAGAAAGGAGGCAGAGCAGTCTATCGTCACATCTCTTGGTCTCCAGGGAGATCAGACGTCTGCAGTGTATTTCGACGACAAAAAACCAAATAGAGATATTTAGCCACTAACTTGGTGAGCTCCTGATCATTCCCCAGTAATAGAAAATGTATGACCTCTGACTCTGGTTTCCATTTGGGGATACAGAGTTGATATAAAAATTGCTGGCAGAGATCAGCATATAGTTTACAATTGAAAACAATTTGTGTAAGGATTTCCACCAGGTGGTCTTCACATGGGCAAGTTCTTTCTCCTTCCACCCTGCCTGAGAACCTTCCCCAAAGGAGGTCTGATGGATTTGAATTAACCCTGGCCAGCGAAAATGCCCTTCTTTCTTGAGGGTTAAGCAGAAATTCAAGGTAATTATGGTTAGAAACTTCTCAGAAATCACCTGCAAGGGAGATCCGAGGGCCAAACTAGACATTAGCTGTATCCTTAAGTGCAGTGTTTTAATTATTATTTTAAATGCAGACTGTTTTAACAAACAAACTTGCATTTCAGGGCACAGATACGGAGCTCAGGTATTGCCTAGTTTGGCCTTGTGAGGTGATGATTGCTACAAGGTCACACGGTGAGCTTCATAGCCAAGATGGGCATTTGGACCTTGGTCTCTCCAGTCCCGATATAGCACCCCAACCACTTTGCCATCGTGTTAAGTGGTGGAGTATAACCCCTACGCTGTAGCTCAGCCAGTGCAGTTCCCTTAGCCCAGGTGTAACAGGTGGGCATCCACTCAACAACCTGGCTGCACTCTTCTTCTCCGGCAGGATCGGCATCATTGGATGCCCACGCCACAGATTTATCCCTCATACGCTTCAGCCTATCGGGACGCAGGATGCTGAGAACGAGGATGACGAAAGCATAAGATCGGAGACAAGCATCTCTCCAGCTGTTTCCCAGGAGCTGAATGTCTCACCGAAGGTCCCTCAAGGCAGTGCTAGCCTCCAGTCCGTGGCGGGTTCAAGGGCTACCACCGAAGCAGATTACGTTGAGAATCACTAGCAGCATACGCTAGTCATTAGGGATAATTTTTGTTCGTTTAATTAAACTCTTTTGAAACGTTTGCCATTTGAATTGTATCCCTTGTGTACTCCAGCCTGCAGGGAGAGTATAGCAAAGCACTTTCCACTTTGCCAAGCTTCCAGGACAATACAGTATTCGGTGCATTAAAAAAAACAAAAACAAGACCATTGAAGCAAGTTAAAACTGTCTGCGTGAAAACCAGAATAAAGAGGTTTTTTTTGAAACTAGACATAGTACGCTTTCAGGTATTAAACCCCTCCAAAGGCCTGGTGGAACAGGTAGGTTTCCTAAAATGGGAATCCGTAAAGGTGGAGAAGGCTTTTTCCCGCATCCTCACTGCAGAGCCCTCCCTAAGGCTTTGGTGCATCAACTGGAAGTTCCTGCTGCACAGGCCTAGCGCACTGTGCTTGCTCACATCCTCTGCTGGTGGCCTGCTGTGGGTGGCGATTTGGCAGTCTCGGACATTATCTTCAGTACCTGCTCCATCCCTATGGAATGTTTATTAGTGAGCCCTATTAGTTGTTGTTGTTTTTTTAAATGCATTGCATTCTGATCTTTGATTTGCTATTTTAAAATTTCCCTTACCCACACACCATCCTACTGCATTCCTAAAACAATCTAGGACTACTGGGAGCAATCTGGGATTCTCAAGGTCAGGGGTGGACATTTAACTTGACGAGCTTCCTGAAACTGATCCAGGAGTCCAGGCAGAACGGGACAGATGTTAACATCTGCAACTGGCAAGCAACACGAAGGCTTTAAATTGGCCAGGGCCTTGTAAATACTAGGGGCCAGGCATTCTGCCTTTGCAAGGTCAACCGAACAGGACCTATTGTTCTTTAGACTACAGCTTCCCATTGCTTCCAGTGTCTCTATACCCTCCATGGATTGACCTGGATACAGCCAGCCCACAGACAAGAGTGGGAGTGCTTGCATTGCATTGGGAGTGCTTGTCTTAAAGCCAGTTTGGTCCCCATAAAGTCAGGCCTGGGTGCAACATATCTTGCTGAGAAACAGTGCTATATGAGTCTGTTCCATCTAAGGAACATTCAGAGATCTCTTAGCATGGGTTAGAAAGCAGGAAAAGAGCCTCTTTTTGGGCCAGTTCATACATGCCCTTGCATCACTGAACGACAAGGTACTTCTGATGAACTTCCCTCTTCTGCAGACCTATTAAAGGTGCAAGAGCCCCAGCTGACCACCCTGTATTTGTGCCCTGCAGCAGAGAAGGGAAGGTATTGACCTTTGGTTCTAATTTCCAGATTGGCAGATGGGTGCTCCTCCTGCGTGCAATTTTTTTTTTGCATGGTCCATGTGACATTCTGGCTTCAAAACCCCAGCCTGTATTCCCCCCACCCCCAATAATTGGATCCAGATTTACCTTTTGGGCAGAAATGTGATAAATGTCCCATTTGTGATATGTTTACCATATTAAGCCCATCCTTGGAAGCACCCCAAGATTCGTATCACTAGGAATGTGTGCTTTAAATTAAGTGTTGTTGGAAATAATGCACGTGCACATGTGCAAGGACCCATAACGAGAATGTGGACACCTTGTTTTTTTAAAAAGAACAACAACAAAGAAACCCTAGGACCTGCCAGTTTGCTCTAAACTAAATAATCAACATTTGGATGCACAACAGCACACAATGGAAAGGCTGGGTGGGGCTGGAATAATGAGCCGCACTTTTTATTATTCCCAGCTGCAACATGTCATTAGCAAGAGTGGATATTTCTCCCTGACTCCCGGGCAAAACAGCAGGGGGGACTGGCATATAATAAGCCTGTACAAAGAGAGCTTTCCTCCTGACTCACTTTCTCCTCTTAGAAAGATGATTCACCCTCATATGGAACCAGACCTCAGCAAGATGCATGCCTCCACAAGCACGACACGCCTGCCTTGGGAGCTAAAACTACACATCTCTGGAGATAGTATAAAAGAACCTCTTTTGTCATTCAGCAAAGCTTCAGCTCAGCTGGGGAATCTCGATGAACAGCACGCCAAGTCTGGCCTGGCACACGCTAATCCTTCCTTCTCCACGAGGGATTTGGAGCTGCCTCTCCAGCACTGCCCATGGCCTGGGCTGGCACAGATGTGGGGTGGTTGTAGGGAAAGGCACATAAGTCGTTCCGTACCAGGAAGGGTGGTTAAATTAAAAGTTGCCAGCTTCCTGTTAGCTGCAAGGACGTGTTTAGCAAAACACTTCACTGCTGTGCTTTGGGATTTGCTGTGAAAACTCGAGCATATTCTGTTCTGATTTGTCTGCCCCCCACCCCCGCATTTCGACAAGACTCTGCCAGCCTTTCCCAACCAGGTTCCCTCCAGATGTTTCAGACTGAAAGATGCCACTTCAAGTTCCATCTAGTTCAGCCTGCTGTTCCCACAATGGTCAACAAGATGCTAGGAGCCACTGAGAGCCTTGGATTTATCCATTCATTCACTCATTTATTTTATTAGTTTTTTAACATATCATTTTCAACAATTATTAAACATACTTTTATATCTTATACATTTTTTTGACTTCCCTCAATCACATCTGAAAATTTTCCAATCTTTTCACTTAATATACATTTCTTACTTTCACTATTACATTTAAATCTCATAACTAATATCTCTCTTCTTTCTCTTCTTTGCAATACTTCATATGTTTCTCCTTACAAAACTTATTGTAGTCCTACTAGCGTAATTTGTTGATTACAGTTGCTCTTAAAATAGTTCATATATTTCTTCCAATCATCTGTAAATCTCTGGTCCCGCAGGTTTCGAATCCTTCCTGTCATTTTATCCAATTTGGCGTAGTCCGTTAATTTTGTCTGCCATTCTTCTTTTGTCGGTATTTCTTCTTGCTTCCATTTCTGGGCCAACAATACTCTTGCCGCTGTTGTTGCATATAAGAACAATTTAACATCCTGTCTATTAATATCCTCATTTATAATACCAAGTAAAAATGCTTCTGGTTTCTTTAAAAATGTATATTTCAACATCTTTTTCATCTCATTATATATCATTTCCCTGAAGTTCTTTACTTTCTTACATTCCCACCACATATGATAAAATGTTCCTTCTTTTTCTTCACATTTCCAACATTTATTATTTATCTTATACATTTTGGATCATTTCACAGGTGTAATATACCATCTATACATCATGAATTTACCCACTCTTTTAAAGCCATCCAACTTGGTAGTTTGTCACTGTTTCCTGTGGAAGTGAGTTCCATAGTTTAACAATCTGCTGTGTGAAGAAGTACTTTATTTCCCCGCTGTTCTGACTCTGCCTCATTTGTTAGGTCCTTGTTTGCTTGCTTTGGTGTTTCCCCATTAAACTACGCTACCTGTTACGTCCTGTTCTTCTTTCTTTTCAACGTCTTGGCAGGCGAGGTTTTGCAGGCAAAAGTTGAGAAGTGACATGCAGACACAGGTGTCGGCAGAACCCAGCGTGCAGTGCAGGTCTGCAATACCTACTTCTGCTGTTCTCTTCAGCAAACGGCACAGCATTAAGAAAAGGTATTGTTTTGTAATTACAACACAGAGCTTAAAACGAGAAAAGAATAATGTTCTCATATGAGAAGAGTCCTTTGAAAGAGAGAAAAGCACGCTCTCCTCATTTTTAGATGACACATGAATGTTTAGCCTGGAGAAGAGGAGGTTAAGGGGTGATATGATAGCCATGTTCAGATATATAAAAGGATGTCACATAGAGGAGGGAGAAAGGTTGTTTTCTGCTGCTCCAGAGAAGCGGACACGGAGCAATGGATCCAAACTACAAGAAAGAAGATTCCACCTAAACATTAGGAAGAACTTCCTGACAGTAAGAGCTGTTCGACAGTGGAATTTGCTGCCAAGGAGTGTGGTGGAGTCTCCTTCTTTGGAGGTCTTTAAGCAGAGGCTTGATAACCATATGTCAGGAGTGCTCTGATGGTGTTTCCAGCTTGGCAGGGGGTTGGACTCGATGGCCCTTGTGGTCTCTCCCAACTCTATGATTCTATGATTCTATGATTCTATGAATGTGTTGCAACAGGCATTGTTTTAGAAGAGGCATCAATGCTTCTAGATACCAGTTGCTGGAAACCACAGGAGAAGAGAGAGCTCTTGTGCTCAGGTTCTGCTTATAGGCTTCTCATGGACGCACACAGCTCAGTTGGCAGAGCATGAGACTTAATTTCAGGGTTGTGGGTTTGAGCCCCACGTGGGGCAAAATATTCTTGCATTGCAGGGGGTTGGACTAGATGACCCTCGTGGTCCCTTCCAACTCTATGATTCTGTGATCGGCCACTGTGAGGACAGGGTGCTGGAATAGATGCGCCATTGGTGTGATCCAGCAGACTCTTCTTAGGTTCTTACTAGCAATTTTTTAAAGTATTTATTAAAAACAATTTTTATAAGTGAACCATCTTCTGTGCAATCAACTGAAGGTATCAATGTGTTTTAACCGATTAATCAAACTGATTAAACATGATATGCTGCTATGAAAACTGCCATTTTGATTATGTTATCCAGGCACAGGCAAACTCGGCCCTCCAGATGTTTTTGGCCAACAACTCCCATCATCCCTAGCTAGCAGGACCAGTGGTCAGGGATGATGGGAGTTGTAGTCCCAAAACATCTGGAGGGCCGAGTTTGCCTATGCCTGATGTTATCCTTCCTTGCAGCTGCTCAACCTTCTCAATCTTCACAACCTTTTAGCTCTCCCCCCATATTGCAGGGGGTTGGACTAGATGTCCCTTTCAACTCTACAATTCTATGATTCTATAAGAATCAGTGCTAAATAAACTTTATGCAGTAGTCGTTGTAACAGCAACAACAGAAGAAATAGTAGTAGTAGCAGCAGCAGCAGCAGTAATAATTATAGATGCTGAAGTAACTGGCAGGCAGGGGCTGATGGGAACCTTAGTCCAAAACTTTTGAAGCGCACCAGGTTGTCAAAGGTTGTTGTATAGGAATGAATCTTGCGGCAGCAATACTGTTCACACTTGCCGGAGTCTGGGATTAAGCCCTATCAGACGAAGGATTACTTCTGAATTTGAATTCACAGGACTGCAGCCCTGATAAATAAAACAATTTTAGAATTTATCCTTCCCTTTTGAGCTATTGCACACAATGCAAGCCTAGAAAAACAACTCCTTTGTGGAGCTTTGCTACATTTCTGCAATCCGGACCAAGGCAAGGACGCCAGACATTGTCATTTATCTTCGGATGGAATCCTAAACATACAAGGA